CCTCCTCCCCCTCCCCCTCCCCCTCCCCCTCAGCCAACACCTTCACCCCCACCCTCCCATCCACCTCCCCACCCGGCGTCCACGCCACCACCTCCCCCTCCTCATCCACAAACTCCCACCTGTACCGACTCAACAAATGCGGAATAGCGCTCAGCTGCGGCCCATACCTGCCGGTATTATCATACAACTCAAACAACGGGACGGCAATGAGTTTCATATTCTTCGGACACGCGATGACTTTCGTCTTGGGGAGTTCGACGAGGTACAACTTCTTGCACTCTTTCGGCCGCGAGACGTGGGGCGGGAGGTAGGGGTACATGAACGTTTCGAAGTTGGGGCGCCACCATTGCGCGAGGGCGGAGTGGACGTTCCAGCCGGCGTTCGCGGGGGAGTTGGACAGGGAGCCGGTGGGGGCGAGGCGCTCGTCGAGGCGGGCTTTGAAGCCGGACATTTCGTCGGCGTCGGGGGGAATGTAGTCGCCCGGGAGTTTGAAGAACGCATTCGCGATCTGCAGCATGAGCACGTGCGGGTGGTTGTGTTCGTGGCAGAGGAGGACTCCCTCGCACGTGCGGCGCATGCCGTGGGCGTGGTAGTGGGTTTCGAGGCGCTCGAGGCGTTTTTTTACCGAGTCATCTTCTTCTAGTTGGGGCTCTTTGACGCTAAAGGTGTAGGACGAGAGAGGGTAGAGGCGGATGGGCGGGGATTGGGCGGCGGAGAAGGGGAGGACGGCGGGAGGAGGGTCGCCTTTCACGTGGTGGGAGGGTGGGAGGGAGGACATGGTTGGTGGTTGTGTGGAGGAAGAAGGGGTGGTTGGTATCGAGGTCGAGAGGTGGAAGAGTGTGGTTGTGTGGAGGAAGAAGGGGTGGTTGATCTCGAGGTCGAGTGGAAGAGTGTGGGGACAAGGTTAGATTGAGTTAGAAAGAAGCTTTTGGCTGGCGTGGGGAAGCTGTCAGGGTGAATGGCTCTTCGGCTTCCTCCCTCGTCTCTGACTTGCACGACAAGTTGGACAGATCTTACAGTTTTCGATGGTACGATAAGGCATTGGCGTATCTCTTCTTCTATATGTAGTGGACTATGGGATCAATGCTCTTAGCGCATACATGCACCTCATGCATTCTTGGAAGCTGCAGCTGATGCAGGAGTAGCGTGCTTGCTCAAACCTCTCTACTGACCGTCTCACATTGAGCAAAATACTTTCATTTCTACACTTGACAAGATCCGGTAGGTTCTAACACTCCTCCTATTCCATCCTCTAGGTATCCATTCAGATGTGTCGGTAAGCCCGCCCTACTCTATACTCCTCCATCAAACAGTAGCTAATTAAATCAGATGGTTCGCCTACATCTCCCCCACGGAACCATGCCTGCTCGAGGACGTCTTGGTGTCACCTAAGCATTCTCTATCAAAGCAAGTCCATGAGCATTATCTTCCGGGGGTAAGCTCGTATCCTCAAGATTCGGTAACGATGCATGTGAGCGCTGACAAGCAACAGCTCCTGCCGCACGACCATACCACGGACGAGGAGAATGACATGAAGGCGAGGAATATGCTGTTCGTATGTTCCAATTCCTTCCTAGCCGGGCGGATGAGTGTGCGGCGGTGCTGAGGCGGTTCTGGTTGTGGGGACACTGATATGAGACAAGAACGTCGACGGACTCGGCATCGCCTGGTACACTTCCTCCAACTCGGACTTCGAGCGCGGTAACACCGTACATCGACCCCTTTTCATCATCAACTCCACTCGAGACTGACCGTACTACAGGGCGAATCCAACGACGGCACCCAAAAAGAAGGCCTCCGCCCCGCCGTCTACAAAACCGTCCAACCCCCGATCAACGACATGAACTTCCGCTCCCTCTGCGCCAACATCGAGACTCGCGTACTCTTCGGCCACATCCGTGCAGCGTCGAGTACAGCTATCACGCCGGTGAACAATCATCCGTTCGTGTTTGGACGGCATTGTAAGCTTCCTCCTGCAAATGTGTCAGGAGGCGTTAGCTGATCATTGTCTGAAGCCTTCATGCACAACGGCGTAATCCCCCACTTCACCCAGATCCGGCGCGCCATGTGCGCCGAGATGAGCGACGCCGCATTCGCCAGCATCAACGGGTCGACGGACAGCGAGCACATCGCCGCGCTGTACGCTCCCTCCCCCACCCCATCCCTTCCACCACTTCCGCTTCTCTATCTAACAGATGGTGTTTGTTCCAGCTACATGACGCACCTCACCCTCTCCGTCCCAACCTCCTCCCTCCCGTTCGAGAAATCCTATCCCCTCCCCGCCATGTCCGCTGCCCTGCACAAGACCGTCGCCACGATAATCCGCCTACAGAAAACCTTCGTACCAGAGGCAAAACGCCTCCCCAACTCCCTCAACCTCTGCACCACCGACGGTACTTCCCTGCTCGCGTATCGCTTCCGCAACCACGCCGTCTCCCAACCGCCTAAACTTTACTACTCGACTAAAGCTGGGACGACGTTGAATAGGAAATATCCTGGGGATAGCGAGGGGAAGGTGATTGAAGGTGTGACGGACACGGGGATAGATCCGGAGAGGCATGGAAGGCATGTGATTGTGGCGAGTGAGCCGAGCACTGCGCAGAGGGGGGATTGGGAGTTGGTTGGTCGGAATGAGTGGATTAGTGTGGATGGGGAGGGGCGAGTGGGGAAGGGGGGGATTGAGGTGGGGGAGGGGTGGGACGCTGGCGGTATACCCTAGCCTCTCAAAATTCCCCTGCGAAACGCAATTCACACGTTACATGTACCAGTGTTATGTCAGTACAGCCACAGCTACGGATACAGCCTAGATCGATCGACGTGCAGACATTATCTTATTCTCTTGCTCCGATCGCATCTCCTTCCATCGAACAAATCTCTACTTTACTCTTGCAGTCCAAAATGCCAAAGACTGACAGATGCCAGTTCCGTTCCGCGAATGTCTGCTCGTCTGCCACCATCATCATCACCCTCGTCGCGCAGGCGTCTGAGTCCGCGTTCAGTCCAGAGACCCATGCCTCCTTCATCCACAGCTCCAGACCGCACTCGCCTTCCCTCCGTCCTCGCACTCGCCCTCCTCAATCTCCAAGTCCACGCACAACTCCCCCGTCCCCTGTCCGAGCACGTACGTCACCTGAGACTCGTCAGTCGGTCGGTACATACATCCCGTCGAACGTCACACGTCAGAAATCTGCACGTACCTTCTCCCCACCATCTCCCTCAACCATCGCACAAGTAGCAGAACGATACCACGCCCCCAACAAACACCCCCGCCCCTCCACCTGCGGGATCGAGACGCTGGGCGCGCAGAGAGGTGTGCAGGTGTTGGCGTCCACTTCCAGCGTCATCTCGGTATCGGTAGCCTTTTTGGAGGTGGCGGAGGTGGCGGAGCAGGCGCAATGAGGGAGGGCGTGGAGAGTGATGTTTGTCGCGCTCGGGACGAGGGGTGCTGAGGGGGGTGGGGGGAGGGGTAGGTTTTGTGGGAGGGCGAGCGCGGTGGTGGCGAGGCCGAGGGTGAGGGTGAGGAGGGTGAGGAGGGCCATTGTTGGTTGGTGGTGGGTTTTGTTGTTCGAGGTGGGAGGGGTTGGGGCTCGTGGGTGTTGCGTTGTTTGCGGTTGTTCGGTTGGAGGCTCGTATTGACTTTTGGGTGTGGTGTATATCTCACTCCTCAGAAGTGGGAAGATGTCGCTGGCGCAACCTTCGCTGCTTCCGCTGGTCTCGCCCACCCAGATCGAGGTCGCGATATCCAATTCGAGTTGCAACCTTTCTTCTTGGAACGGTGTCTACGTCGCAACTGCTTGTTCCCAGAGGCAAACAATATTCCTAACCTTCACATGAAAGAAATGTTGCAAAAGACGATAAGATCACGTACCACCTACGCTTTTTCATACTTCAACAGGAGGTAACATCAAAACGTGATTGCGGACGTGGTGTTACGTGCTGCAGCGTGTACATATATTCGCATCTCGGCAAAGTCGATCGGGGGATTAGTCGGATGTGCTTGGAGAGGAACGTGGTGTGGTTGCGCGTGTGTGTGGTACAGACGAAAATAGCTTTTCAACAAAAGCTTCTCTCCAGTATCCTCTTCGAAAAATTTCCGCTACACGGCGTGGTAAGCAGCATAGGCATAACCATCAGGCGACTGACGGTCGGCGAAAGGTCAGACGACCCCAGGTGAAGTCAACGAAAAAGGCCCGAATACCGCCTCTCATTGGCGAGTGAGGTCCACCGCGCGATGGGGCAGGCTCACGCGAATGTCCACACGTCCGTCCCCGCAGAGAGACTGGAGAGAGCTGCCAGACTTTCGGCTATTTTCGAGGTGGTGGTACGCGAGCGGCGGCGAAGTCGGTGGTGCTGTGGGAGGCGATGGGGGGGTAGTACCAGGTTGTAAGTATAGCTGGCGGCGACCATATCATCTCTCTGCTATGGCCGCGTTGTGTGAATGTTGATGGAGAAGTGAAATTGATGGGAGGAAGAAGAGACGGTTGACGGTCTAAGACCTCCCAACGTCAGAGGTGGGCGGGAGTGGAAGCTTTCCAGTGAAGCTCGGGGGATTTTAGCATGACCACCCAGCCATCACCAAATTTCCACCTCCAACTCTGCCCACTCCACTCTCCTCTTCCTTCGTTATTAGCTGAATACCCCCGTGGGCAAGTGCTGGTCTGCTTGAACTGCCAGTGGGAGAGAGGTAGGCCGACGACGGCAACAAAAGCTCCAGCCAGCAATACGAGAGAGCTCCGCCAGGACCACCGCTGACTGAGGATAGTTTGGCGGCCTTCCGCGACACCTCGCTCCCTCCTTCGAGACAGGCAGAATAGAATAGCAGTCAGACACAGCACACGCACACGCCATCACCATGGCCGAGCCGGGGAAGAGGGACATCCGCAACCATGTGCTGTTCGAGGTCGCTACCGAAGTCGCCAACCGCGTCGGCGGCATCTACTCGGTGCTGAAGTCGAAAGCGCAGGTGACGACGGCAGAGTATGGCTCGACATACACACTACTGGGCCCGCTCAATCGAGCATCAGCGGCCGTGGAGGTGGAAGAGATCGTGCCCAAGGACCCAGCATTAGTAGCGACCATCAAGAGCATGAACGAGCGCGGTATCAAGACGCTGTACGGCAGGTGGCTGATCGACGGTGCACCCCGAGTACTGCTCTTCGACACCAGCACGGGCTACTACAAGCTGGATGAGTGGAAGGGCGACCTCTGGAACACCGCCGGCATCCCCTCCCCACCCGACGACCATGAGACAAACGAGGCTATCGTCTTCGGTTATCTCATCGCCTGGTTCTTAGGAGAGTATGTCTACCACGAGCGCGAGCGGGCTGTCATTGCTCAGTTCCACGAGTGGCTGGCGGGTGTTGCTCTACCGCTCTGCAAGAGGAGGAAGATCGATGTGACCACCATCTTCACCACACACGCTACCCTCCTCGGCCGGTATCTCTGCGCCGGCAGCGTCGACTTCTACAACAACCTGCAGTACTTCGATGTGGATGCAGAGGCAGGCAAGCGTGGCATCTACCACCGCTACTGCGTAGAACGCGCGGCGGCGCATGCTGCGGACGTCTTCACCACGGTCAGCCACATCACCGCCTACGAGAGCGAGCACCTCCTCAAGCGGAAACCTGATGGCGTCTTACCAAACGGCCTCAACGTCAAGAAGTTCAGCGCGACCCACGAGTTCCAGAATCTGCACTCCATCAACCGCGATCGTATCACCGACTTTGTGCGCGGCCACTTCTACGGCCACAACGACTTTGACCCCGAAAAGACACTCTACTTCTTCACAGCCGGCCGCTATGAGTACAGAAATAAGGGTGTGGACATGTTTATTGAGAGTCTTGCGAGACTGAACCACCAAATGAAGAGCTCGGGTAGTGATATGACGGTGGTAGCATTCATCATCATGCCGGCACAAACCACCAGCTTGGCCGTGGAAGCTCTGAAAGGGCAGGCTGTCGTGAAGAGCCTCCGGGACACCATCACCCACATCGAAAACAACGTCGGCCGAAAGCTCTTCGACAAATCCCTCCGCTGGCACGAAGGGGATGAAGTCCCCGACGAAAAGGACCTCCTCACCCCCCAAGACAAAATCATGCTCCGCCGCCGCCTCTTCGCCATGAAACGCTCCACCCTCCCCCCCATCGTCACGCACAACATGGTCTCCGACACCGAAGACCCCATCCTCAACCAAATCCGGCGCTGCCAGCTCTTCAACCACCCCAACGACCGCGTCAAAGTCATCTTCCACCCGGAGTTCCTCTCCTCCGGCAACCCCGTCTTACCCATGGACTACGACGACTTTGTCCGCGGCACGCACATGGGGATTTTCAGCTCCTACTACGAACCGTGGGGCTACACGCCGGCCGAATGCACCGTCATGGGCGTACCGTCCATCACCACCAATTTATCTGGCTTCGGATGCTACATGGAAGAGCTGATCGAAAACGCCACCGACTACGGCATCTACATCGTCGACCGCCGCATGAAGGGCGTCGACGACAGCGTCAACCAACTCTCCGATTTCATGTTCGACTTCACCAAGAAATCCAAACGCCAGCGCATCAACCAGCGCAACCGCACCGAGCGCCTCTCCGACTTGCTCGACTGGAAGAGGATGGGCATGGAGTACGTCAAAGCGCGCCAGCTCGCCCTTCGTAGAGCCTATCCGGAGAGCTTTGACGGTGACGAGGATACGGGCGGCTTCTTTGATGGGGCCGAGACGGTGAAGATTTCGCGTCCGCTGAGCGCGCCGGGCAGTCCGCGGGAGAGGAGCGGGATGATGACGCCGGGGGATTTTGCGAGTTTGCAGGAGGGGAGGGAGGGGTTGAGCACGGAGGATTATATTGCTTGGAAATTGCCTGAGGATGTAAGTCAGATCCCCAGAGGAGATTGGGGAAGAGAGGTTTGCTGACAAGTGGTTTTTGTGAAAAACAGGAAGAACCAGAAGACTACCCCTTCCCCCTGACGCTCAAACAGAAGAGCAAGAACGCCGGCGGCCTCAGCCCGGCCCTTGGAGGGAGTCCGGCGCCGGGACAGGTCGATGGCGGGGCGGATGCGAGTGGGAATGTGAGTGGGAATGGGAATGGGGTTGGGACGGGCACGCCGACGTTGGTGAATGGGACGGGAGCGTCTGTTTCATAGGGGGGTGTTTCGTAGCGGAGCAGAAGAGTTGGCTGAGTTGAGGGGTGTTCGTACAGGTGATTGAGAGTAGGGCGTGGTGGTTGTGGTGTGGTGTGGTGTGGATAGAGGGATGAGGATGGAGGAAGAGAAAACTGGAGAGAGTAAGATTGATTTTTCGAGCCAGGCGGCGGGCGGACAGAGCAGAGCATAGCAGAGCAGGATAAGGGGAAAGAACACGGGAAAGAATTTTGTGAAATTGTGCATAGCGTACGATGTGTTTTGGGCTTTTGGATGGTGCTGTTTCTTGCTATCCGTCTGCTCTGCGGGTTTTGGTTTTGCGTCTGGCGTGTGTGCGTGTGCGCGTGTTGTTGCGCGTACGAAGCAAAGTTTGGGGTCGGGCGGTGTTTCGTGCGTGTACAAAATCTGGAAGCAAGATTGTGATGGAATGGCGGCAACATCGTTGGTGTGTGATGTGCTATTTGTATAGGTATAGCAATGGCAGTATCGATACTCAAACTTGCTCACACGCTACTCATCTTCCTTTCAACCCACCATCTACATACTGCCAACACCAACACCCCCTCCCACAGCCCTGCGCACAAGATGCTGCCCCCGCTCTTCACCTTCTCGAGGCCAGCCTCTTCCATGTTCAAGCAGCCCGGCCTGACCCGTCCCCGAATATCGCTCCTTTCAGCGCCAGCACATGCCAACGGACATCCTGGGCTTCAATCGTCTTCCAACAGCGTGGGCGAAGCAGCTCTCATTCAGCCGAGGTCAAGCAATTGCTGCCAGTCCAGAAAAATATCCGTGAAATTCGCGTCGTCCACATCCTCAAACGCATCCATCCCTATCGGCTGCTGCGGCGTATAACCCCCCGTCTCCGGCGCCGGCATCGCCTCCCCCGTCGAAACTTGCGGTACATGCCCCTCTACCCCATTCGGTCTCGACGAGAGAGCCCTGCCGTGCTTCGCGCCCCAAATCACCCGATAAGGAATATTCGCCGTCATCCTCGCCCTCACCACCTCTTTTACCTTCCCCTTCCCCTTCCCTGCCCCCGCCGTACCACCCTCAACCCTCGCCGCAGCAGTAGAAAGGTGCCCAGCTACTCTAGCGATCTGGTCTCTAGGAAATAAACTCCACCCCCTCAACGCCACTACGGCGTCTTTGACGGCGCTTAAGAGAGAAATCTGGACTATGAGGTCAGAGGAGTCAGCAGCGACGGAGACGCCTATGCAGGCGGCGAAGACGAGGCAGTATTTCGTTGCTGCGGGCCAGAATTTCTTGTCTGGGTCGGGTTTCGAGGCTTCGGAGACCAGCTTGACGACCGCAGAAAGTGCCTTTGCCTGGATTAGCTGCGCTGCTGCTGTGTTATTGTTGTTGTTCTCGTCGGAGGTAAGGTGATCGGCGGACTGGCAGAGGGAGAAAGAGTACACCTGCAGCTGCAGCGCGTAATACGATATCTCCGCCACCGCCGTCCAGTGCCCGGAGAAGCGAGAGCGGAGCTGCGCGAGTTGGGACTCGAAGGCGTGAATCAGGGATCCGGGGTCTGGGCGTTGGCCGGAGGGAGTGGAGGGGTCGTCGCCGAGGAGGGTGGTGTATTGTTTGGAGAGGAGGGCGAGGTTGAGGTCTATGAGCAGAGATGGTGGGGCGGAGGGGTGGTCGGATGATGCGGCGGAGAGGAGGGCGTGGGCGGGGGAAATGGTTGAGGGGACGCCGAGGCGGAGGGCCAGACTGTACAGCGTCAGCAACAGCCTAGCACTCGATGAAAGGACGAGACGAACCAGTGATTAACAACAAAACACCCCCACCACGTCCTCTCCTCCTCCCCCTCACTCTCCACCCCCTCCACAGCGTTCTCATCGAAATCCCCCCTGCACCTCGGCCGATGCAGTCCCAATTGATACCCAATCCCCGTCGCCAAACTACAGAACATCGGACTCGGATCATTGATCGTCTGCTGGAAGGGAAAGGGCCAGACACACAGCAGCAGCAGCGCCTGCATGGTCTTGAAACTCCGACTTTGCGGGCCATAGAGGTCTGCGGCGAGGCGACGCACGGGGTCGACGAGGGAGAAGTAGGTGGCGGAGTTGGAGTCTTGGTCGAAGGAGGCGAGGGCGAGGACGGTCCAGAGGAGGAGGCGGTTGGTGGTGTGGGTGGTGTAGAAGTGGGCTTTGGAGGGGAGGATGGGGAAGAGGGGGTGGTGGGTTGTGAAGTAGCTGTGTGGGCTGTTAGATGTTGGGTTGGACATGGTAGTTTGAAGATTGGTATTACTGTTCAATCAAGCCATGTACCATTCCTGGGGATAGTGTGATGCCCTCGAGCGTTTGAGACGTCAACATGAACGACTCGGACACTACACTCTCGGGAGTCCGTCCAGGCATCGTTGTTTGCTCGGCGGTACAACCACCAGTCAACGGCGAGCTTTGCGTGGCTTCTCCATCTTGACCATTACGCAGAGACTGGACTTGCTGCTCAAGAGCTTGCGTGTACCTATACCAAGACTCGTCAATGACAATGCCGCGGTTCGACTGACGACGGCACTGACTCTCTCTGAGCCCGGCGGCGAAACGTAGGGTCGACTATGCATCGCAGACCCCGTCGTCGACATCGAGAGCAGCCTTGGGAATGAGCTGTTGCGGCATCGCACTTGAGCTATGTCCATGTCGTGTCAGCGCGGCTCCTAGGCGCTATCCACGCTGCTGTCGGGAACGACCTTGTGTTGCCTGCAGTTCCTACATACTGCTCAACGATCAGCGGACATGCTTCCTGGACAGGTCTTCTTCTCCGAAAAAGCAGACGACGACTCCTGGGTGCATGAAACGAACTTGAGCCTTTTGGACCACGCTTGCGCACATCAGGACCAGCCGAGGTTTGCGCTCCTGGATACGCATGATCTTCCATTCGGAAACCAAATCGCTCCCAGACAATGTCGACAAAGCAGACGAGTAAGCGAGGGCGCTTATGATGGTGGGTGGTATTGAGCTGAAGTACCGCTTGTCTGTGCCTCGGTCAAAAGAGCTCGCCTTCGCTTTCGCGCCATAAGCGACATCGCCTAGGCATGTTGATGCAGAGCAGCTCAGAGGTATTCACGACCGCGCCCATCAGAAGCCTCTTGCCTAGGTCCATCGATACGAGTATGGAGCATCAGCCCCGCAATATGGCGCGGCATGGGCTATATACATGCTGGCCGAGGACCTGGAAGCAGAAGTACGACTTTCGTAACTTGGCATACTCCAACAACTTCGACACACACCGTTGAGATGCCAGGCAGTATGATCGACGAGAAAGACGATCAGTGGGAGGTCGAGGAGCGGGAAGGCTCTTTGACGACGGCCAACAGTCAAGAGCGTCTGCCTTTGTGGAAGGCGATCAAAAAGTACTGGATTATAACCGGGTGGACCTTCGGCCTGACGCTCGGGATCCTGCTCTGGGGCTACGATCTTGTGATTGTCGGAGTGGTGGCATCTCTTCCAGCGTTCCAGTAAGCAATGGTCGAGATCCCGCAACCCGGTCGATTGTTAACAGTGTCGCAGGGAGAAGTTCGGCGAAGCGTACGAAGACCGCTTCATCATCCCAGCAGCATGGCTCTCAGCATGGGCCGTATCGACCAACATCGGACTAATGGCTGGCGCCGTGCTGACCGGGCAGGTCCAAGATCGAATCGGCCGAAAATGGACGTTGAACATTATGAGTGTGATCTGCTCCGTCTCGGTCGCAATATGCTACGTCTCCGATCTTCCAACCACGCCGGACGGCAGGCGAGGCGTTTACTTTGTCGCGAAGACAGTGCAGGGCTTTTCGATTGGTGGCATCATGACCACAATCCAGACCTGGCTATCAGAGGTTCTGCCGACGGATCTGCGAGGGCCGTTCATGGCTGTGTTTCCAATCTTCAAACTGCTTGGGTATGTCATTGCGGTCTGGTTGTTGGAAAGTCGTGCTGATTAAGAACAGGCAGCTTGTTGGTGCCGTGGTCTCACTGGTAGTTGTCGACTACCCCGGATCATCATCCTATCGAGTTTGCTTCGCAACGCAATGGCCCTTCTCTGCGCTCCTGACCATTCTGACCATCTTCCTGCCAGAAAGTCCTGCCTGGCTACTCCGCAAGGGCAAGGATGATGCCGCAAAGAGTGGAATGAATCGTCTTAGAGGACGTAAAGGCAACAACGCCGAGCTTGCGTACAATCAACTCCGTGAGACCGTGGAGGCGGAGAAGGAAGGCGACCACATCTCAAAGGAGTCCTACCTCGCCTGCTTCAAGCAGCCTCACTTACGACGGACATTCATCGTCGCTTTTGCCGAGGTCATTCCATTGTTCTTCGGCCTCCAGCTTCTGGGAAGCGCTTCTTACTTCCTCCAGCAGATCGGCATGGATTCGGAAACCAGCCTGCTGCTGCAGGTCATAGGAATTGCTATCGGCGTGATTGCGTCCTGCGTCACCTTCTACACTTCCTCGAAGTTTGGTCGGCGAGTTCTTATCCTGACAGGCCTGGCCGGTATCTCGGTGATGTGGTTCGGCATCGGACTGTCCGGCATCTGGCAGAACGAGGGCGCCATGTGGTAAGTGCTGAATGAAACTCTGGCATGCTGCCTCCGCTGACCGATTGTCAGGTTCACCGCAATTGGCATGCTGCTAGTACTCTTCCTTGCCGGCTCCGGTCCTTGGCCAGCATCGTATGCAGTCGCGAGCGAGGCATCCGCAATCTGTCTCCGTGCCAAAACGCAAGGTATCGGTTGGTTCACGTACGGTCTCGGTACCTTGGTATTCGGCGTCGTGATGCCCTACCTGTACAACCCAGATGCCGCAAACCTGGGCTCGTACACGGCCTTCGTTTACTTCGCCATTGCTGCGATCGGCGTGACGATCACCTTCTTCTGTGTTCCCGAGATGAAAGGCCGGACGGCGAAGCAGATTGATGCGATGTTTGAAGCTCGACTTCCAACAAGGAAGTTTCGGTCCTGGGAAGAGAATGAAGGAGTGGGCCCGCAGCAATGATCGACGATGACATGGTTGCCATTGTGGGTAGTTGCTCATGGAAGTTGGTAGACTTGCAAGTAGTTGCGAGGTCTCAAAGTCATAAGTCCACAAAATTGCCCAACAATCGTCAAGCATGTCCAGAGCGAAGAGGCGGAAGAGCAAAGCTCTGTCCCCGCCAACGGACCAGTATTCATGCTGTTAGCTCCGACCAAGTATTGTGTGTCCAGAGTCACGTTTGCGAGAGGTTGAGTAAAAGTGATCAGTCGCTTAGCAGCATCTCTGCACCGCTCCATGCTCACCAGCGTCGTCTCGCGAGCCATACAACGGCATCGTCCCCTCCGTCGAAGCAAAAGCCTCCTCAAACGCCTTCAAGCCCCTCTCCAGCTCCTCATCCGTAGTAGTCAGAGGCGGCGCAATGCGGAAACCACCACCGAACGACGCTATCGTCGCCAGCTGTGCCCACACACCCAGCTCCGTCAATCTCTTCCCGATCGCATTTCCGAGCTCTGGTGCGCTTTCTTTCGTCTCCCGATTCGCAACAATCTCGACCCCAGCCATCAGTCCTCTGCCGCGAACGTCGCCGATGCAGCCATAACGGTCCATGAGCTGATGGAGACGTTCTTGGAAGTTCTCACCGAGAGAACGAGATCGGCTAACTAGATTGTCCCGGACGACTATTTCGAGGACTTTGTCGCCTACGGCAGCCGGCAATGGATCGTTGACATGGGTTGTGTAGAACAAGAAGCCTTTCTCCTTGGTGACTTCAGCGATAGTGTTGCTAGTCACGACGGCGCTCAGAGGCAGCCCATTCCCAAGAGTCTTGCTCAAGGTAAGGATATCCGGCACAACGCCTTCGTCCTCGGCGAAGTGCTGAAAGGCGAACATGTCTCCCGCTCGCCCAATACCAGTCTGTGCCTCGTCGATGATCAGCAGCATGCCGCGCTTTTCGCAGTGCTCCTTCATGGCCTTGATGTAGCCTGGTGGTACCACGAGCATGCCGCCAGAGGACAGGATGGGTTCCATGATAACTGCTGCGAGTGAGCCGCAAGACTGCCGATCAATCATACCAAAGCCATAGTCGAGCTCTGTGCGCCAGTCGTACGACCCGTCTGGGTGTCGAAAGATGGAGCGGTAGGCATTTGGTGTTGGTAGGGCGAAGTTGCCGACTGCAGAGGGCCCGTAGCCAGCTCTCCCTATACAGGGGCCGTTATCCTACCAATAGGCAACCGATCATGACTTCGAGAATACTCACCTGCATGGTATTGAGCTCCAAGAGCATTGCCAGTCATGCCATGCCAGCTAGATGCCAGTCCAACAATCTCGAACTTGCCGGTGTACAGCTTGGCAAGACGAATGGCCGCTTCGTTGCTCTCCCCGCCGGTACTGAGAAAGAACGCCTTGTCGAGTCCTGGTGGTGTCAACGAGGTGAGACGATTAGCAAGCCTTATGACAGGTGGGCTCAGCATCCCGCTAAACAGATGGTCGAGTGATTGTGCATGCTCTCTCAGCGTCTGCACGATCTCAGGATGACCGTGGCCAATCAAGCATGACATTTGGCCGGACGTCTGCATAACAGCCGGAGTGTGTCAGCGTATGTCTCAAGCAATGTACGGGGTGGAATGCGTACCCAGTCAAGCATGCTATGTCCGGACGCCGTAGTAACGGTCTGCCCTGAGGCGTGGACGATGACTTCGGGATACCAGCTGGTGCCGTAGTGTAAGAGGGAGGCATCGGCTTGACGTGCAAGCTCGTTTTGTTCATCTTGGCGGTAGATTCTCGCTGCATTGGCCATGATGGACGTCTGGAGATTCGATAACAATCCGCTGTAAGTTTTTGATCTCGAGAAAAATGTTTCCTTCAATCGCGAAGTGAATGTTATGCTGATGATCCGGCTAGCTGAGCTTTTCGGAGAGCTTTTCGGGCGACCTTCGACGTCCAAGAGTCTTCGCAAGGAAAGCTCGACAGGGCTGATCGATACGACTGTACCTGTAGTCCCTTCTGATTTTACCTTACCGTAAGGACGGCGCCTCTTTGGCAGGCCATGCCATCAGCAGATTGCGCATCATCGAGCCTGATTAGAGAAGGTCGACCACACTGCGCCGTAGGCCTTCAAAAGGAGGGTCACTCAGTCGTTTCTGATGAAGGGCTGAGCAGGATTTCCCATCATCTTCAACGTTCTTCTCCATGGCCGGCTTGAATTGAACCTGGTTCACGTCGGAGCTGCTGATAAGCACGTGCAAGACACGGGACGGACATGCGTCGATCTTTGCCCGAGGTGCTTTCACATGATCGTCTTTGACTTCGCGCAGGGGCCACATGTGATTATCCATTCTCCCATTGCCGTGTCCCTCATTCATTCTCTTTTGCACCTCAATTGGACTCCATTTTATTTGGAAGGCGACTTTAGCGACTTCAAAGACACCAAGATCGCAATACGTTGCTCGCTACAGCGCGACATACTGCCATGTGACGCCAAAGATGGAGCAGCAGCAACAACACCGACCGCAGTCCTACGTTTCACACAACCCGGCCGAACTCACCTTCCCATCCGTACCGAAAACAGACGTCAACCACGCGCATGCGACAGCAGAAATAACACTACCCGGCCTCAAAACCGTACTCTCGTCCGACTTCCACAACGACTCCCTTCCCTCCGGTTTCCGCTCGTCGAACGGCGGCCATGAGTCTCCGAGATCAGTGAGGAGTATACCGCGCATTGATCCCGGGCCTCAGGATATCAATGGCGGTCGCAGGAGTTTTGAGGCGGCTATCGCGAGTCCGTCGGAGGTGGGGAGTGCGATGAGCATTGATGAGCCGTCGGTGAGGTCGCCGAGTGTGTCGATTGATGATCCGAATGTGCGCATGGCTGCTGAGGCGCTTTCTGGGCTGGGGAATCCAGGTAGGACATAGCTATGGCTTTTCCGAGGGCTGCGCTGACTTGGACAGACTTCGTCCGATCTCCTAATACGCTGCATTCTACAGAATCAAAGCAGAGTAGCATTGCGACTTCGAGCAAAGAGCAGGAACCGCTCTTTCAAATGTTCGCCAAGGCACATCCGTGGGTTGGAGGCACAATCAATGGATCGTTGAGCGCATACTCTACAACCAAGAACTACTCGCCTCGCTTCGTACAGTCCGGCGTCAAGATTATTGAGAGCAGGATTGCCATGCCGGTTGTCAGTACCGTGGGAACAGTGGGAAAGGTGACCGGTGTGGAAAGTGGTATAAGATGGTATTACGGAGGTGTTGCACGGCGGCCGAGCGATGTTGAGAGAGATGCAGACGACCCACGCAGCAAGAGGAGGAGGGTCACGGATGAGAACATGGACGATGCTGAACAGCTGCCCGCATATGGTGCGAGCAAGCCACCATCCTATCGCTCAGAGGTGAGTCCGATGGGCTCAGAGAGGCAAGCGCAAAGCGATCGATCGGGACAGAGTCAAAGCCTGTCTTCGCAGGTCTTCGTCATGACTTCAGCTTTAGGTGTCGCTCTGAGCGAGGCTTCACGGCGAAGTCTCAGAACATGTCTCCTATTCCTCGCTGGGCAAACGGAGCGCATCACAATGGCCCTAAACGCTCTCAAGCTCGTCCTAGGCCACTACGATCAAACGCGCGAAGCATGGCACCAAAACCAGGACGGAGTACTGGAGAAAGGCGAACGCCCCAAAACACCCGACGGCGACGAAGCCGCGCGCAGACTCGCCGACATGATCCAGCAGCACTGCGACGACATCTGGCGCACATTACAACACGTCGTCTCGTCCGTCTCGAACTACGCAGGCGGTGCGCTACCGGAGAACGCGCGCACGTTCATCCGCACGCAATTGATGTCCCTCCCGCAGCGCTGGCGCGTGGCTTCAGAGACGCAGACCGGTGAGAGCGAGACGAGCAGGAAAGCGCATCGCATGGTTGCTTTCGCCACCGAGGGACTCGACATGATGACCCAAGTCAGTGAGACGATAGGTCTTACGCTGGATTCCGCTGAGCAATGGCTGGCGACGGTGGGCAGACGTCGGGATACGAGTACCCGTTCGCCGAATGGTCATGATAGTAAGGATCGAGAGATGGCGAATGCGCCGCCAGTGAGGGATGTTGAGAAGCAATGATTATGACACAGTCGTTCAAAACCAGCACGTGGACGGGTGGAAGGGCCGGGGGATGATATCGCGAACATCAATACTCATCGACACTTGCGTTCGTGTCGCGGACATTGATACCACTTCTGTCCAGAGCAGGCCGGCCGGACGTCCAAAGATCGGATTTGTAATCGGCGTTGGCGGGGCGGGGTTCGGGAATGGGTGATGAGAAAGGATGGCTCACTGATCAGATTAAGAGGAAGTGGGCCACCCACGAGCTCTCGCGTGCTTTGTGAGCGAGTCAGTTGAGCGAGTCAACAAATTTGGGGTCATTTGACGGGCTGTCTGTGTCTACGAGCGCGGCGCAATGAGGAACAAAATGCTCGGAAGTGTGAATATACATGTCTTTAACAATGACTGAAATATCCCGAGCATGAACATGAAGATTGATTTAATGCCGCTCCGAGTAATCACGCCTGCCTGTCAGATGGTGCACCTTCCTCTTCCGAACAGCGGCTCTGCGACATTGGCGGCCAGCGGGGTAGATCTGTGCGATGCTTTTCTTAACGCCGGGGGTGGGTTTGGAGATTTGTCTGTGGCACGCTATTCGGTTAATGGGACGATTTCATATCCGGCGCGGCATGTCGGTCTGCTACTAAACACTTGCAGTCACCGGCATGCGATCGGCGTGGTCAGTCGAGCGAGTCAAAGCTAGGTTCTTGTGCTTTTCGTATCCTCTTTCATTTTTGTTTAATGGTATAGGCATGTCGCGGAGCTAGCATTGGTGGTGAGAGTGCTTCTTGGTTGCATTCCTGAGGGTAGTCTGCGGTAGCTGGGCTGTTGACAAGACAAGATGGAGAAGTTCGAAGAAGAGGTGGAAGAGAAGTTGCATCTCAATCATCCCGGGCATCACCACGGCGGTGTGTCGACGCGGTTGACGAAGGATCCGGAAGAGCCTGTGACGGAGGAGCTGGCGAACCCGGATATCAGAGCTCATAGCTCGCAGACTTCGGAAGAGCTTGAGAAAGAGACAGCTGTGAATTCGTACGTGCCTTCTGGACGAGTGTCTTCGGCAGACAGCAGGAACGACAGAGGTGTGAATGTTGTCAATGCAGAGAAGCATTTCGCGGAACTGCAGAGGCAGCTCAGTCAAGTCTCGCAGGCTTCGCGCAAGCTAGCCAGACAGCAGAGCCATGCGAAGAGTCAGAAGGGCGCACAGGATGTCGAGAAGGCGGTTGGATCAGACTCTAGCGAGGACTCGGAGCCGTTTAACCTCGAGGACACGCTGCGCGGGAACAAACAGCTTGAGGATGAGGCAGGCATCAAGTCGAAGCAGATTGGTGTGGTGTGGGAGAACCTAACGGTGAAGGGTGTGGGAGGCACGAAGATCAATGTTCCTACGTTCCCGGATGCGTTTACGAACTTCTTCCTTTTCCCGTTCCGACAGGCGATGAGGTTGCTGCCGACGAACAAGAAGGGGAAGGAGGTTAGTATCTTGCAGAACTTCAGAGGTGTGGTGAAGCCTGGGGAGATGGTTCTGGTGTTGGGGAGGCCTGGAAGTGGATGCACGACTTTCTTGAAGACGATTGCGAATCAGAGGTTCGGGTATACCACGATTGATGGCGAAGTCACCTACGGTCCGTTCACGGCAGCGGAGTTCGAGAAACGCTATCGTGGTGAGGCGGTGTATTGTCAGGAGGATGATATACACCATCCTACCCTGACAGTAGAGCAAACACTAGGCTTCGCCCTCGAGACCAAAGTCCCCGGCACTCGACCCCAAGGCATCAGTGCGGCCGAGTTTAAAGACAAGGTCGTGGACATGCTGGTGCAGATGTTCAATATCGAGCACACGAAAAAGACGATTGTCGGAAACCCATTCGTGCGCGGCATTTCTGGCGGCGAGAGGAAGCGTGTGTCTTTGGCCGAGACCATGATCACGGGCGGTGCTGTGTACTCCTACGATAACTCGACTCGTGGTCTGGACGCCTCCACAGCACTGGATTATGCGAAGTCTCTTAGGATCATCACTAACATCTACCACACCACCACATTCGTCTCGCTGTATCAGGCCTCGGAGAACATCTACGCTCAATTCGATAAAGTCATGGTCATCGACCAGGGCAGACAGGTGTTCCTGGGACCCACGAAGGAGGCGAGAAGTTACTTCGAAGGCTTGGGATTCCTGCCGAAGCCTCGTCAAACGACTCCTGACTACCTTACCGGCTGCACTGATCCGTTCGAGCGTGACTATCAAGATGGCTACGACGAGACCAACGCCCCGTCTTCGCCTGAGAGCTTCGTGGCCGCCTTTGACGAGTCCAAGTACAACACATTGCTCACTGAGGAGATCGCAGACTACCGAAAAGTCGTGGCAGAACAGCAGCACATCCACGAGGACTTTACGACCGCGGTATCGCAAGGCAAACGCCACACCAAAGCCAAGACCGTCTACTCTGTCCCCTTCCACATCCAGACCTGGGCACTCATGAAACGACAGTTCATCCTCAAATGGCAAGATACCTTCTCTTTGGTGGTCGGCTGGGTCACCACCGTCGTCATCGCCATCGTCATCGGCACAGTCTGGCTGCAACAACCGCGCACATCTGCTGGAGCTTTCACGCGAGGCGGTGTGCTATTCATCAGCCTCCTCTTCAACTGCTTCCAAGCCTTCGGCGAACTGGCTGGTGTCATGCTGGGCAGACCGATCATCAACAAGCACCGAGCGTACACTTTCCATCGGCCTTCAGCACTCTGGACCGCACAGATCGTCGTCGATCTTTCTTTCCAAGCAGTGCAGATTCTTGTGTTCAGTATTCTGGTCTACTTCATGTGCGGGCTGGTGTTGGACGCTGGGGCATTTTTCACGTTCTATCTGGTCATTCTCACCGGGTACCTTGGGATCACGCTCTTCTTCCGGACGATTGGGTGTGTGTGTCCTGATTTCGACTCGGCGATCAAGCTGGCTGCGACTGTCATCACGCTTTTTGTTCTGACGGGAGGATATCTGATCCAGTGGTCTGACTCGCAAGTCTGGCTACGCTGGATCTTCTACATCAACGCTCTCGGTCTAGGGTTTGCTGCTATGATGGTCAATGAGTTCAGTCGCATCGACATGACTTGTGAAGGCACATCATTAGTCCCGTCCGGTCCTGGCTACAACAACATCGAGCATCAAGTCTGTACTCTCCAAGGCAGCACCGCCGGAAGCCGCTTCGTGAGCGGTACGGACTATGTCCAGCAAGCTTTCCAGTACAGTCCTGGCGACCTATGGCGAAACTGGGGTATCATGGTTGTCCTCATCTGCGCTTTCCTTGCTACGAACGCGTGGCTGGGAGAGTACATCAAATGGGGTGCAGCTGGACGCACCGTAACCTTCTTCGTAAAGAGCAACAAGGAGCGCGATGAGTTGAATGAGAAGTTGCAGTCAAACCGCGATACCAGACGCCGAGAAGATACGGCACAGCAAGGCTCGGAGCTGAAGATAGAGTCAAAGGCAGTCCTGACTTGGGAGGATATCTGCTACGACGTGCCTGTCAAGTCTGGCCAGCTACGGCTGCTCAAGAACATCTTTGGATATGTCAAGCCGGGAGAACTGACGGCTTTGATGGGTGCGTCTGGTGCTGGCAAGACGACGCTGCTGGATGTGCTTGCGCAGCGGAAGAACATTGGTGTCATTACTGGTGACGAGCTGGTGGACGGCAAGCCACTGTCTACCGACTTTCAGCGAGGCACGAGCTATGCTGAGCAGCTCGACGTACTTGAAGGCACGCAGAGCGTAAGAGAAGCCTTACGCTTTTCGGCCGACCTGCGCCAACCCTACGAGATCCCGCAAGAGGAAAAATACGCCTACGTCGAAGAAGTGCTCTCCCTCCTCGAAATGGAAGACATCGCCGACGCCATCATAGGCGACCCCGAAGCCGGCCTCGCAGTCGAACAGCGCAAACGAGTAACTATCGGCGTCGAGCTCGCAGCGAAACCCCAACTCCTCCTCTTCCTCGACGAGCCCACCTCAGGTCTAGACTCCCAATCCGCCTTCAACATCGTGCGCTTCCTGCGCAAGCTCGCCGCCGCCGGCCAAGCGATCCTCTGCACCATCCACCAACCCAACGCCTCCTTATTCGAGAACTTCGACCGCCTGCTCCTGCTGCAAAAAGGAGGTGAGACGGTCTACTTCGGCGATATCGGCAAAGACGCCCACGTCCTACGCAAATACTTCTCCAAACACGGCGCCGAGTGCCCGCCCGATGCCAACCCAGCGGAATGGATGCTCGATGCGATAGGTGCTGGCCAACAGGCCCGTATCGGCGACAAGGACTGGGGGGAGATCTGGTCCGACTCCGACGAGCTCGCGGAGACGAAAGAAGTCATCCTGCGCATCAAAGACTCCCGCACGAAGGAACTCGCCGGCCAACCCACCGTGGAGCAGAAAGAGTATGCGACGCCCCTCTGGCACCAGATCAAAGTCGTGACGAAGCGGCAGCTGAAGGCTTTCTACCGGAGTCCGAACTACGGCTTCACGCGGCTGTTCAACCATGTGATTATCGCGCTGTTGACGGGGTTGATGTTCTTGCAGCTGGACGATTCGCGGACCAGTCTGCAGTACAGGGTGTTTATTATGTTTCAGGTTACGGTGTTGCCGGCGTTGATTCTGGCGCAGGTGGAGCCGAAGTATGGTGAGTACATACCTTACCCTGAGGAGATGGAGTGGGATGGAGTACTGACAGGTAAACAGATCTGTCGAGGTTGATCTTCTATCGCGAGAGTGCCTCGAAGACGTATCAGCAATTTCCATTCGCGCTGTCGATGGTGGTGGCGGAGATGCCGTATAGCATTCTCTGTGCGGTTGGGTTCTTCCTCCCGATCTACTACATGTGAGTCCGAACACTTCAAGCTCAAGACTACCAGTGACTGACCGTCTACTCCAGCCCCGGCCTCAACCCAGCCTCCTCCCGCGCAGGCCTCAACTTCTTCTACGTCCTGATCACGGAACTGTTCTCCGTCACCCTCGCCCAAGCGATCTCAGCCTGGACACCAAGCACCTTCATCGCCGTCCTGCTCAACCCTTTCATCATCGTCATCTTCGCCCTCTTCTGCGGCGTCGCGGTCCCCAAACCACAGATCCCCGGCTTCTGGCGCTCCTGGCTCTACCAGCTCGTCCCGTAAGTCCCACCTCACCTCCCCTCCTATAGAGCAAACACTGACACCTACTCCAGCTTCACCCGCCTCATCTCCGGCCTCGTAGCAACCGAACTCCACGACCTCCCCGTCACCTGCACCCCGGGCGAACTGAACCGCTTCACCGCGCCTCCCGGCCAGAGCTGCGGCGAGTACATGTCCGCATTCTTCGCCTCCGGCGGGCCGGGGTATCTGGTCAGTAACCAGACTCAGGATTGCTCGTACTGCGCTTTCGCAGTCGGGGATCAGTTTTACGAGCAGTTTGGGATTAGTTGGGAGACGCGGTGGCGCGACTTTGGGATTCTGACGGCGTATATTGGGAGTAATTTGATTTTGCTGTTTGTGGGGAGTCGGTATATGAATTTTAATAGGCGATAGACGGTATGAAAGTGGTAGATGGCCTCTTGATGTCACCGTGTTCAGCTTACCTTACCTTCCGGAATGCGGGAACGCTATCGTGGTACGGCAGTAGGGCACGAGAAGGTGTTCCAGAAGAAGCACAACATCATCGCACAACTTACCATTCGCGCACAACAACCTCTGCTTCGATTGCCGCTCGAGCACGAATCTCGCCCGCCTGAGTGCAATATAACCCGGCCGTATAGGCTGTCTCGGCTCCTTGGCTCCGTGGGCGCGATTTCTTGAGAGACGCTGCGACGGCGAGTGGAGGGACACCCCCGGCAATATCACAAGAAAGAGCCTTTTAAGCGCTTCGCATCCTAATCAAAACACAACACGGAGGCGGCTCCCAGGCGTCTCAGCGTTGCAGCAGCTAAGCTTCCTGATACACGGTCGATCGCGGCAGTGGCTGTGCAGCACATCTTCATCAGAATCATCACTCATCCGTAGAGCCGTGGACTGACGTAGCCGGAGAGAGATAAACGATATGAAAACTGGAGTCGGATGTTGTCCGCCAGAGCATTGACAAGAACCTCCTGTTGATCCCAAGACGACGAGCACCAATTCGCTCGCTTGGCGGCAAGAACGACCCAAGCGTTTGTTGTCGTCGTCGGCGAGAAGGGGGCGTTTGTGCTGCCACGAGATGCGAGATTTGTGCCATGCTCGCCGAGACCAACGGATGTGCAGAAGGCGGCTTGGAGGACATGTGTTGTGCACGAGAGGACAGAGAGCAGGTGACACGGCGGAGGGGAAACGGCCAAGGAGGTTGCAGGTCGTGCCTTCCTCATTTCACGGCAGTCTCGGACCTGCATGACTAGCGTCTCGGCTAGGGCGGATCCTTGCAGCATGCACCTCTGCCTCGAGACATCTCGCTCCGTTAATAGCAATTCACCACCACTTCCTCCCTCTCCGCGAGAGCGCATCCCGACGTCTACCAACTCACCACCATTCAGTCACTCCTTTAACGAAGAAGTCAGTCCTTACCGCCGCTTCACCGATCCCATTGTCGCAGCGACAGCCTATTGTGATCAATAGACCGCTTTTCACCGATTGTCCCAGCAGCCAACAAACGAGCAAGCAAGGTGCAAACACAAGCAAAATTCTTCACCACTGCGACGCGAGCCACCTCGACACAACAACACGTTGCCGAAGACGCCTCATCCTCGGATTCGACATCACCTTCGCGACGACAGACACTTCGAGAGTTGAGCTCTCGTCAGCGAAACGCCACCATCAACGGGCGCTGGTTGCCTTGCTCCTCAGCTTGCACATACACCACCACCCACGACCTTGACGGCCGTCGCTCACCATGAAGACTTCGCAGGCGATCCTCACCTCAGCAATTGCCTTTTCCGGCATTGCGAGCGCCTTCTGGCGTATGCCATGTCGCTCGCAGACCGGCGTTGCTCGCCTTGACCCCCTCGTTGACCCGGGCGAGATCAGCGCGCATGTACATACCATTACCGGTGGCGGAGGTGAGAAGTATCACGTGAATGCATGTGATATCAGCGACTGACTTTTCGCAGGCTTCTCCTGGGACGCGACGTTCGAGACGCTCACTGCGGATGGCTCTTGCACTGCGTGCGAGGTCACCCAGGACCACAGCGCGTACTGGACCCCGACGCTGAACTTCGCCTACGACAATGGCACCACCGTCATGGTCCCGCAGGTCGGCGGCATGCTAGTGTGAGTGATATCAGCCCATGCGATTGCTTGACCTCACTGACGACTCCGCAGATACTACCTCTACTACCTTGATAAAGTCAAGGCGTTCCCGGAAGGCTTCCAGATGTTGGCGGGCAACCAGGCCGTGCGCAACTTTACCGGTCCCTTCCCGGACACGGAGCTTAGCCACTGGCCCACGGATGCCACAGACGACCAGTTCTTCCTGCAGCAGCGCGCTCTCGGCTTCAACTGTCTCAACTACGACATCGATCCGGAGCCGTCGCTCTACCGTCACACCATGCCGTCCCAGGAGTACCTTGACGCTCACTGCAAGGATGGCATCCGTCTCGAGCTTGCCTTCCCAAGTTGCGGCAACGGATCTCTGGACTCCACCGACCACAAGTCGCACATGGCCTACCCCAGCTTGGTGAAGGAGGGCAACTGCCCGGACGGCTACGATGAGCACTACCCGTTCCTCTTCTACGAGACCATTTGGGCCACCAATGCTTTCGCTGGAGAGTCCGGTCAGTTCGTTTTGTCTTACGGAGATCCAGTCGGAACTGGCTACCACGGCGACTTCATCATGGGCTGGGAGTCTGAGGAGTTCCTACAGGACGCCCTCGACACCTGCAAGAGCCCATCTGGAGATATTGAAGACTGCCCGCTTTTCAAGATGCAGAGCGACTCGGATGCAGCCAAGTGCACGTTCGACGTCCCAGACTGCTTGAAGGAGGACAACCCGAAGGGCCCACGTCAAGGTCTCGCCGTCGATGTGCCGGTTCAGTACGGTCCTGAGGAAGCCACGGCCTACGCAGTCGCCGGACGCAAGGGCCACGAGACTCAAGGCATTGCTCCCTCGCAAGCGCCAGAGACGTTCTCGCAGCCCACGCTCACCTACTCGCCGGCTGATCCAGAGTCGACCAAGACTGCACAAGGCGGCATTGTCGTTGCGATGGCCACTACTAAGTCCGACTCAGACCAGATGAAGCATGGCGCTGTCAACCCAGTCGGATTCGAGTCGCCCGCTACGACCTCTTCACCCGCGGAGCCATCACCTCCTGCCCAGCCCGAGGAGACCCCAGTCAGCTACATCACAAACGGCAACACCGTCGTCGAGCTCTTCGTCACCGAGGTCGACGTCACGGTCACCGCCACGGAGACCGCATCCGCCGACTCGTACCACAAGCGCCACCTCCACAGGCACGCTCACCACCACCACGGCAGGTAATCGTCGTGAGTCGTGCAAACCATCTCCGACGCGCGTCTCGTCTTTCACACCATGGGCTGGTTCCGCAACCCTTTTCTCCGTCATGGATCAGGCTGCGAGGCCGCGGTCCGGGCTAAAGTACCACCGTTGGATAGGCCTTCGATCCATAGTGGGAAGCCCTTCTCATCATCGGTCTGCAGGCTGGCTCCTGCTGCGATTTGTAGAAAGCTGAGAGGTCGGGGGGATGGGGCATGGCATGGCATAGATACCTTTTATGATTGCGCTTGCGGGCATGGGGGTGGGATGTGATGGCCTGGCCTGTGGTCGGGTGTTGAACTCACTACTTCGTTCGTATATGAAAACTTGAAACTTCAAATGCACGTCTGCTGCGACTTGTCAAGTTCCAAACCTCGTATACCGTTCTCGCTCACTCTGAAGTCCAAGAAGATGATGCGTGAAGTACCATTCCGACCTCGTTGTACGAACATACCTTCACATACCGTACTTAGATATCCTCCCACCAAGGCAATGTTCCGTCTGCCCAAATTACGAGCTGAGAGCCTCACGGTCGAGGCAGGAGGGTCAAGAAACGGTTTGACAAGACAAGCCATTTGATGGCCGCAACTGGGTGTTGCGTGCACTGGATGTGCACCGAGGCACGAGGAGAGTTGAAGTGGTGATCCAATTTTTTGGGCAAGTCGTCCTGATCACCTATTCTTCTAGTTTTCACAACCTCTTGCACCCATTTGCTGATGTGTTCAACTGCTCTGTCCTTGCTTGTTTTTGCGTTGACTCACATGCTGCTGCAAGACAGGGCAGCTGAAAGTGCGTAGGTGAGGCGGTGGCGTTGCAAGCTTCGCGGTGGCGAACGGCGAGAGCGACCGAGTTGTTGGACAGGCAGACATTTCTTCTTTTCATCAGGCAGGCTTCGAGCCCATCTTCTTTCTCTTTTCTACCCACTGCTGTGCATAGCGATAGGCGTTGGTCGAACTGTAAATAACTAGACACCGGCTCAGAAGGACCGCAACTCGTGTACATACCAACACCAAACCACAGCAAGAGACCTCATCAACCCGGAAGCCGCCGCCAACACCATCTCGGATATCCGAATAACAGACGGGCTACCCAGCCCATTACCCCCGCAACCATGGACATGCGCAAACTCACCCACGCCATGAACTCCGCCCAACGCACCGGCAACTCCTCCGAACCCCTCTCCCTCACCGAGCTCCCCCCCAGCATCCTAGACGCCCTGGTCCCCGGCTACAGCCTCATCTCCCGCTACATCCACGCCTTGACAGGAATCGACATCTCCTTCTTCGTCTCCATCGGCCTCATCCTCTTCGCCGTGATCAAAGGCGGACAATTCCTGTACAGCAGAGGCTCCCGCGCGTTTCGCTACTTGTTCCTGTCCTCGGTGTATATCAAACAGCACGATGATTTGTTCGATATGACGCTTGATTGGATGGCGAAGACGCAGATCTCGACGTCCAAACGCAGGGCGACGGCGAAGACACAGCGGGGGCCCAGGGCGCAGAATGAGTTTGAGGCGACGGAGGCGAATGCGCTGAGTGAGGATGGGTTTTTTGATTTTCAGAAATGGTCAGCGAGAGTGCCGCCGCGGTATGAACCGTATTATGGACGGCATTTTATGTGGCATAATCGAAGATTGTTCATTTTCCATCGCTCGAAGCGGTCGAAGCTGGATTTGGGCTCGGGGTCGGGGTTGGGGAAGGTGGACGAGGAGGACATGATTCAGATTGATTGCATTGGCAGGACGATCGAGCCGATCAAGGAGTTGCTGGCGGTGGCGAAGGTGTGGTCGTTGAACCGTCTTAGGGGGACGACTACGATTCGGCATCCGCTCCCTAAGGAAAGACAGCGGTTTGGCGGGCTGTGGAGTAAGTTGTCGGTGAGACCGAGCAGGCCGATGCAGACGGTGATTCTGGATCGGGCGCAGAAGGAGATGATTGTGACGGATATGAACGATTATCTGCATCCGGCGTCTCCGCAGTGGTATGCGACGAGAGGGTTGCCGTATCGGAGGGGGTATCTCTTTCATGGACCGCCCGGGACGGGAAAGACGTCGTTGTCGTTTGCGTTGGCGGGCATCTTTGGGTTGGAGATATATGTGATTGGGTTGCAGGAGCCGAGTTTGACTGAAGGAGATTTGATGGCGCTGTTCAACAGCCTTCCGCGGCGCTGCGTGGTACTTCTCGAAGACGTCGACGCAGCAGAGGCAGCAAAATCACGAAAGCTGGAAGGTCAAGGCGAAGGACCGAAAGGCAAAGGCAAAGGCGGCAAAGGCAACAACAAGAAGAAAGGCGAGAAAGCCAAGCAGAACGGTAAAGCGAACGGCGACGTGAATGGTGAAGTCAATGGCGACGTAAAAGAAAACGGCGACGGTGCGAATAAGAAAGGCGCGAAGGATGAAGAGTTCACGCTGAAGGATCTGGCGAAGGAGCTGAAGGCACTGAACAAGCAAAAGCCGAAGGATGAAGGCAACCAGGCTAGTAACCAAGGCCAAGGCAATCAAGGCGGTCAGAGTGCGAACCGCTCTTCTGGGTCTGGCATTTCTTTATCGGGTTTGCTGAATGCGATTGATGGTGTGGCGAGTCATGAAGGACGAGTCTTGATCATGACAACCAACCATCCGGAACAGCTTGATGCTGCGCTGATAAGACCGGGACGGGTGGATCGCAAGATCGAGTTCACGTATGCGATGCAGGAGCAGATTCGCGAGTTGTTTGTGCGGATGTATTCGGGTGTTGATCCTGCGGAGATTATGAGGGAGATTGATGAGAAGGTCGCAATGAACGGGACGGCGAACGGGCATCTGGATGAGAAGAAGGAGTTGTCGAATGGGAATGCTGAGAAGAGCAAGAAAGTTGTTCTCGAGCAGCTGGCAGAGGAGTTCGCCTCGCATATCCCAGACGCGACGTACACGCCTGCGGAGATCCAGAATCATCTCATGCGGTACAAAGACGAGCCGCGCAGGGCTGTCGAGAAAGTCGACGACTGGATCCAAGAGCAAACGAGCGAGAAAGAGCGCCAACAGCCACAGGCGGCGGGCGACGACGACGACGATTCCTCAGAAGAATAGATGTATGTCTATACCATAAAAATCATCTCTCAGCTTCCCGCCCTTGCATCACCGGCTGCCGTATCATAAACAGATTCCGATACCACACCCCCTCCACCCTCTCATTCCTAATAAGTGTATCGATCCTATCCGCCTCCCTGAACCCCAACTTCTCATACAACGGCACAGCTTCCGGCGAGGCTTCAAGATAGGCCTCCATGCCCTGTGCGTCTGCGCGCTCGAGGCCCCAGCGCATGAGTTTGGAGCCGACGCCTTTGCCTTGGTGGGTGGGGGATGTTGCTACGATCTCGAGGTCTGCGATACCATCCATTAGCAAACAGCACACAGTGGAGGATCGCTGGAAAGGTTGAGCAACGTACACCAATGTCCCCTATCCCCCATCAACTCCCTCCGCCTCCTCGCCCACGCGCCAAACGTCTCCTCACACAGCGCTTTATCCGCTCCTTCAGGCCACTGCGGCAAATCCGTCTCTGGGAAGACGCCTGGTTTCGGCTCTACCTACAGCACCGTACAGACGACTTAGCAAACGGTTCCACCTCTAAGTGATAGGAACATAGACATACCCATTTCCCAAACCCGCACACCACCTCCCCCGTCCCCTCCATTCCCTCCTCAACAAGAACAACTTTCAACCACCACGCCCCCGGCTCCTCGAGCTCGTCGTACAGCATTCGCTCCCACCATTCGCGGACGGCGGGGACGTCGCGGGGCCAGCAGGCGAGCGAGTGCGCGTTTTGGAAGGCGGCGAAGTAGATGGAGACGCAGTGGGGGACGTCTTGGGGGAGGAGGGGGAGGAGACGGAAGGCCATCTGACAAAGTTTTTGTGTCTTTCTCGTTGTTTTTGAGGAGGTGGAAGTGAGATGGTTGTGCGAGTGGTGGGAGACGTGTTCTACGGAAGAGGAAAGATGGAGTGCGACGATGAGAAATGTGGTGATACTTATACCTTTATATAGTGCGTGTTTTCTGCGAATTTCAATGGTATGCATCAGCCGGAAAGATAGTCTTGAAAGCTGTATTAACGCATTGCGGACACCGACGTTGTCAGCAAGCCGGTTGGGCCAAAGCTTGAGACGCAATCGGAAGGTGGTTCTACTGCCAGCTTTCAGCTGTAAGGCCTACGTGCGCTACAGTTGGAATCATTCTATTCTTCATAACAACCATCATCCTGTACATCATCATCATCATCTGAACTAACACCCCCCAAACCCAGCCACACTAACCAACCCCTCTCCCTCCGCTTCCCTCGCCGCCACCCCCGCCTCATCTTCCTCCAACAACTTCTCCACCACCTTCCTATCCTTCACCCTAAAAAACCCATTCACCCCATCCCGCAACCTCTCCGTAACCTCCTTAAGCATATCCTCATCAATAGCCGCAAAACACAGCCGGAAATACCTCCACCCCTCTTCATCCATGATTTTCTGCGTTGGGCTGAAAATCGTCCCCGGCGACACGAGAACACGGTACGGTTTCGTGGTCCAGAAGATCCACATCGCGCGGCTCAGACGCGAGAGCTGGTTGTGCTTCGCGTAATGGTGGTAGAGGGGGTGGTTTTCAAAGTGCACGCGGAGCCAGAGGAACATGCCGCCGACGGGGAAATCGAAGGACATGGTTTGGGTTTTCTCCACGACACTCCACTCGTCGTCATCGGAGGAGGCGGTGGGGTCGGCGAGGCTGTTCCGGCGCCCGGATTTGACGAGATATTTGCCCGAGTCGAGGATCTTGGCCATCTGGTTCATGCGGCGCTCGTAGTTGCCGCGGAGACCTTCGATCCAGCGGACCCAGCCGGCGGCGTCCCAGGCTTCGCCGGGGGTGGAGTTGTCTTTTTTCGTCCTTTGGGAGGTTGCGACGTCGCGGCTGTCGGGGCCGAGGAGGAGCTCGGCGATCATGCTTTGCACGAAGCCGGAGGGCTGCTGGGTGGAGGTTTCGCTGATGCGGAGGATGCGTTCGACGAAGGCGGGTTGGCAGGTTATCCAGCCGAGGCGGCAGCCGGGGGCGACGGTTTTGGAGAAGGTGTCGAGGCGGATCACGCGGCCTTCGGTGTCGATGCTGATGGAGGAGGGGACTAGGGAGTCGAGGAACTTGTAGCCTGAGGACTTCCAGCCTTCTGGAACGGGCTCGGCGTTGGCGAACATGGGCTGGTCGGGGTTGAACGAGGTGTTGGCAGGGTCGGAGGTGGTGGTGGTGTTGACAGCGGTCGCGGTTGGGAACTGCAGATACCAGTACGGGTCGTCCTCGCAGATGATCACATCGTACTCGCAGCAAATAGCGTAGAGCTCTCGGCGTCTTTGCAGCGACAGTACGCCAGATGTTGGATTCTGGCCCATGCTATAACCCATATTAGCTCCTCCATTCAGAGAGTCCATCCCGTGTATGCTGATGCTTCAGCCGTCGTACTCACGTCACAGTATAGATCAAACTCGGCCTCTTGCCCTTCCTATAATCCCAATTCTCCAAAACCTCCCTCAACCCTCCCTTGCCCTCCGCAATCATGCCCTCATCATCAATCTCCACCGGCACCACGTTCAAACCTCTCGGCCTCGCCGCCTGAATCGCATTCATATACGCAAACTTCTCCACCAACAGTCCCTGCCTATCCCTCACCCAGTCTTTCTCCGCGCTCCATTCGTTCGTCAAGAGTTGTAGAACCTTGCAAAAGCCATCGGTGTTGCCACAGGTGAGGATGATCTCCGGCCCGCCCTCGTAAGGGCAGTTGGGGTGCAGGTTCTCGCGGGTCAGCTGGCGGAGGAAGCCGTAGAGCGGTGGGTAGCCCTGGGCAGTGCCATACTGGAGGGCGGTGGAGAGGTCGACTTTCGTCTGGGGGTTGGTGTCGGCGGAGGTGTGTGGGACGAGGATGCTGGATTGAGAGGACTGCTTGGAGCTAACGTTGAGCTTTGAGAAGGATTGAGCGGCATCATCGCCCTCTGGCGGAGGGTCGACGGGCTTGTTGGGTGTAGGATCCCAACGATCCGGCCGGGCTACCTTCGCCTCGAGAGTGTCATACGGAAAGTAATGGTTATTTGGCAGCCCACCAGCGAGCTGGCCAATGCCGGGGATCTGGAAGTACTTGTAGAACTGCTTGATGGAGCTCGCGGTGCGCGCTTTGGCGCTCCGGCTGAAGTGGTTCGAGAGGTCTTTGGGTGGTGCTGGCTTATCGGACGACATGCTGGGGGTCATGCTTGCGGCGGCCTGCGCGGAAGCCATGGTGGATCAAGAAGGGAGATGGAAAAGCAATGGATCTCCTACCAAGATACAGTACACTTCACAAGACACTTCACAAGGCAGTGAGACGAGGACAAGGACGCCTTATCGGCGACACCAACAACACCTTACTAATGTAGACGTCGATGATCCGCTTCTGCAGGCACTCGGCACGCTGCGAACTCCGCTGCCGTCGAGGTGGGGGCTGGACTCCGTCGACGATGTCTTGATCACTGAACGACCTCACTTCATCGTCACGAGGAAGTCCCATCGTGATGTTCAGAAAGCCAGTGCGTACACTGTTGGGCTCAGAGCATGTTCAATGGGAGCATGCAAGCGAGGTCAAGCGTCGACACTGTAGCATCAACATCAAGAACAGCTGCGTTGGGCTCTGTAAACGTCTTGTTGATCCCCACCTCTGCCAGTCTTTTAATGTCCATTACGGTCCTCTCGAAAGACTAATTCAATTTCTACACTTGTATTGTACAGCATGACTTGTTGTCTTCATCCGCGAGGGCCCCTTCTCGAAGAACCCAGCCAACAAACGAACCAACAACTCCGACTGCAGTCCCACCACGTTCCTCTCACTTCTCGAGAAGCCAACCTGACCCGACCGTCTTCGACACCGCATGTCCTCCAGCCTGGCCAGCTTGTGAGGTACATGTAGCTCGAGGCGCCTCTTCTCCAACTTGCGAGTCCAAGTTCATGCCCTTGTACGGCTTGAGGAGCACTTTTTGTCACAAGCAAAATGCAACATGCGCTAGCGTGCTTTTGTTTCGACCAATCAGAAGCTAGCATTCCACTTCAATTCACCGCCGCTCATTCTTTACATCTGTGTCTTAGCGGCAGTCTCTCCACCTCATCAGGTCGTCCTGCCATAGCATCCCGCCCGCGGCTGCTTCGCAAGCCCTCTCCAAGCTGTCGTGCTGTATGTCTTCTTCAAAACCCCATAGTGCATCGATTCGTGCCAGCGTCTCGAGAGTCCACTGCTTCATCTCCACGGCCAGATCGTAGTCCGGTGCGGTCTGAGAACGTTGTCGTCGCTCCAGCCGACACCACACTCCGTACGCTACCTGCAAAGCGAGCCGCAACCGTACCGCTCGCACCGGGTGGGCATGCGAGAGACCAAGGGCGTATGGAACGCTTTTGGCTACGTTGATTGCGGCATCCATTTGAAGCGACCGTATGCCTTCGAGGGTTACGTTCGACAAATTTGCAGGCGGCGGCCAGTGGTTGCTCAAGAGGTGGTCCAGTAGACCGCAGAGGAGGATACGGTAGGCCCAGTACTGTGTGGCGAGGATGTAGCCTTCCAGGGAGCGGAAGTCGTGAGCTTCTCCATCTAGGCAAAGCGGAAGCAAGGTATTGTGAGCCGTCCTGGGTCGTAGGGACGTTACTTCTTCCGCCAGAGCTTGGAGAATGCAAGTTTCCGCTGAGGACGCGTGAAGACTCTCCGCTAACGTGAATGCTTCGAGTGTGGTGTCATGCGGCCTGGCTTCGCATTGGCCCGCGGCTCGTACTAGTCGAACAAGGCGTGCTATGCGGACGTATAGATCCTGAAGAGCCAGCAGAGCATCCTTTATACCATTCATCGAGGGCGAAGCGAGGTAAGGTCCTTGGGTATCGAACAGAGAGTCTCTGCCCTGGATCATTGCTTCAACGATCTGGGACGATGGTCAGCTAGGGGCGTTCCGAGTCGAACGTAAAAAGGACGTGCCTCTTCTTCGTAGACGCCTAACACAACGCTCGAGACTACTTCGTTCTTGAACGTGTTTGCGCTGCGGCGGTGTAGGATCAGCGATATGGCGTTGATGTGCGGGATGTAGTTGTCAGTCCGAAGTCCGCGCAGGCTCTGTGGTGCACAAGTAAGTGCCAGTGCTTCACATCCATTGAAAAATGTCGACCAACCTCCGCGTATCGGTGAAGGGCAATAGTGAGAAGCAATTGACTGGGATCGTCGTCCTTTGTGTGATACGTGACAGCCTCCCTAAGACATCGCAAGGCTTTCGAACCTGCTACGCAAGCTCTCTGTTGACTTGCGTCGCTCGGTGAAAGGAAGCTCATCATGCTCTCGATGTAGTACGTCGTCGCAGAGTCCAGGCAGGCATCGTTTCCGATCGACAGTGGAATGTGCCTAACCCACATGTCGAAGATCTCGTTGGGACTACCACCGGGGAGCGAAGAGAGCACGTAGACCCATCTTGACGCCAAACGGGTCTTGTGAGACCACAGATCACTGCAAGGTGCCACAGCAGCCACTACTGCCCCGGAAGTCTTTGTACACCTGGGAGAAGAGGTTGCTGTGGTCTCAGGTTGGCCCACATGCTTTCTCTGCGGCAATAAACTGCTATATTCCCCTACGCCGTCGGCTGTCTTGCGCTTTCGCTTGAGCTTCAATGTCCAATGTGCTCGTTCGTGAGTACTATTGGCACCAACAGCGCAATTGGTCATACTCGCAAATCCGGCAGATCCGTCGGTGGCATTTTCATGGAACCTCTCGAGAACGAACACGGATTTCTCATGGCTGTACGAGCAGAAACGTCCGCTGACCTGACAAGGCCGACAGCTCGGTCTCTGCTCCTCGCACTCCAATAGTTTCAGCATTGATGGTGCCAGGTGGTTGTACGTGTCCTACCTTGACCTTGCGGCGCCTACATATTTCACATTTCCCAAGTACCGTCATCTCATCTTCGACCCCTGAGGGTTGCGAGCAAAGCTAAAGAGAAAGCCTGCAGTGCGGCAAACGGATATGCCTGCGTTCCAGGAGGGTGCATAGCAGGATGTCTGCTATTGGTATTCATCTCGTCTGTACGGCTGGGTGAATGTTGGAGAGAAGAAAGTGCTTCTCGCATTCCGTCCCAGAAAGGAAGGAGGAATCTTGGCGGGCTTCCTCGATCGACCAATCACGGAAAGACGTTTGAGCTGGGCGTTGACGACGACGACCAAGACGGCCGCGCGCGTCCCAAAGCTGTTGGGTCATGCTGGTGGTTTTACATACAGCTTTCGAGTAAGAGCACAGGAACGGGTGAACGGAAAACACAATGCGTCGATAACATCTACCCGAAATCGCCATAAGCATGAATCCATGGACCAGCAGCGATGAGGAAGCGGCTACCTCCCGGGAGGATTTCGAGCCATACCAGGACTCGCCGGAGGAGACCGAAGATGAAGGATTGTTGCAGGCGGACGCACCCTTGCGAGGCTCGCAGCGGCCATCCCTTGAGCTCGACCACACATTGAGACGCAATGACGGAACATGGAAAGAGCATATCTCAGGCCGCATACCACCGCGGTTGAAGAGAGCATGGGCAGCGACAGTCAAGTGGGCAAAGGGACCAGATCCACCACGAATATACAGCATCGAGCCCATATTCCCGAAGATCCAACACGCCCCGCTAGCTCTCCTCGACCGCTACGCTCCAAAGAAGATACATAAATTCGGCTTGCTCCTCGCCGTCTACTTCAGCTGGCTCCTCGCCTTCTCCCTCGTCCTCTGGCGAAGCTCTTTCGCCGCTTCTATCCCTGGCTACGGCACACCCGTCCGCCTGGGCTGCTACGCCCGCTACTGGAACGAGAAGAACGGCTGCGGCATCAACGGCGACCTCTGCCGGCCATTCGCAAACGCTACCCTCGCCTTCCGCTGTCCTGCCGACTGCGCCAGCGCTGAGATCTTCAACCCGCATGCTGTGGGCGACCAGGAAGTCGTCTATAAACCGCTTGTCGTAGGCGGACCGACAGACAACCAAACGGGTTTCGAAGACGTCCTCGTCAACAACGCCGTCTACCGCGGCGACAGCTTCATCTGCGCGTCCGCCGTCCACGCCGGCTTCATCGACGATGCGCAAGGCGGCTGCGGCGTCGTCACTTTGACCGGCGAACAACCCTCCTTCACCAAGTCTTCCCGCCACGGCATCAAGTCCCTGGCTTTCGACTCCTACTTCCCACATTCCTTTGGTTTCCTCTCCGGCACCCGCGCAGCCTGCGCTGATCTCCGCTGGCCCGCCCTCGCCGTGACTGTGATCTTCACAACCATCCTCTCCCTCTTCACCACTTCCCCAGCAGTCTTCTTCTGGTCTATCTTCGTGTCCTTCTTCTTCCACGTCGCCCTCGCCTCCGACCCCCCAAACCTCACAAAATACACGTCTCTCCTCTCGCTCGCATTCGGGCGGTTCTTGCCAGCTTGCTTCTGCGCCTGGGTCACGTACCGCTACACCGCGCTCCGCAGTCTCGAGAACCTGACCGCGCAGTTCGAGAAGACGATCCTCTATCTCGGCCCAGCATGGCTGGGAGCGTTGAATAATTACACCTTCGACAAACTACCCCTCCAACGCCTGACACCCCACGACATCAAAGCGCAGCCTGGCGCCATACCTGCACTCATCACGGTTATATTGAGTATTTTCTTCATCGCGCTCGGCCAGGCATGGGCTTTCCGCGTCGAAGGGCGGATGCCGCGATATCTAGCTATCTACGGCATTTTCGTCGCAAGTCTGCTCTTCTTTGTCGCGCTGCCGGGGCTGAACTTGAGGATCCACCACTACGTCCTCGCCCTGCTCCTGCTACCAGGCACGTCGTTCCAAAACCGCCCCTCCCTAATCTATCAAGGTCTCCTACTCGGCCTCTTCATCAACGGCGTAGCGCGCTGGGGCTTCGCCAGCGTTCTTGAAACTCCCTCCTCCCTCCTCGAAGGCGCGGCGCAGGGGACGCTTCTCCCCGCTGTCTCTGTACTAAGCTCGGGAGTGCGGAATATCACGTTCGACCTTGGCCCCTTGCCGATCTGGGACGCAAAGCAGAAGGTTTCATGGGACGGCATATCCGTCCTCGTCAACGACGTCGAGAGGTTTAGAGGCTACGCCGACGATCGGAGTTATTGGCCCGGTGAGAGGCATGGGGGGAATTATACCTGGTTTTGGGACCGGCATGAGCCGCACGCTGGTGCGGATGAGGAGAGGGAAGGGAAGGTGGATGTGCTGCCGGAGTATTTTCGCTTTGGGTACATGAGTGGGAGCGAAGTTGGGGATTTTGGGAAAGCTGGGAAGTGGGAGGTTGATGGGGGATGGAAGAAGATGGAGAGGGGGCCGAGTTGAGCTGTGCGTGTACGATGTCGTTGCTGTATGATCTGTGACTGATATGTAGCCATGTACAGAAGCGTATGTATTATGAACGACTTCTGCCCACAAGTTCTGCACATTTTACTAGCGCCATTGAAGCTAATCAGCGCCTAGAACTACCTCCTGTAGCACATGCACTAACACGACTCCGGTACAAGTTTCTCCACACGACTCCATTCAATCTCTCCACACGACTCCATTGAACCTCTCGGCATAACTTTGTCTACAGAACAATCGCTTGAATGAAAGTGCACCGAAGCCAGTGCTCTCCGCAGCTTCGTCGAGGCACCGCGCCTCTCAGCGTGAGGTCAGGGTGACCTCGCGGTGATTCGACGATATGGGCCAGTGCTCTTTATCAGATATTGATGGATTCGCGAGTCCGGAGAACGGACCTAACGATGTGAGCGCGCGTCTGCATAACCCACAAGTTACGAGATCCAAAGATTCCAAGCCTGCCATCTGTCTTGGTCGCCTTGGCTGAAAAGCTATCTTGCGTAGAACAGAGGCCCCATCCATCGCCGGCCTGAACTGAGACTCTGGCCGCTCCAACGCCAATCACTTGATGGTATTGGCCTTGCAACTCCGCCGGTATCCGATTCGCACATCTCGCCGCGAGGCCTAGGATATGCGGCTATACCACCATGACTGGAGAAGCTGGGGATACCGCATCTGGAGATCAACAACTTGACGCCCACGTGGAGCACTCGTGGCTCTCCCAAGCACGATCCTTGGAGCCTTGGTGCGGGGGACCTTCGTTATGGCATAAAGAGAGAACCGAGTAGCCGCGGCGACGGGAAAAGCACTGTTCGATTCCTAGCCGTTGTGATCTCAGAAAATTGGCCCGTCTCCTTTAGTGCTCAATATCACGACAATACCGCACCGCCCTTAAAGATTATTGTGGCCTCCGAGGTCCTCCACGATGTTCCTCGCAAAGGACGAAAAGAATTCAGAGCCGTTGCATTTGGACAAACGAGAAGACGGCACCGCATCCCCTTCGGACTCCGACCTCGCCAGGACCGAAGATGCTCGTGAGACCGGCCCGCCGCTCCTCCAGGTCGACAAGCAGACTGAGAGGAGGCTGTTGAGGAAACTGGACTCTCGCATTGTGCCCATGGTGATGTGGATGTATCTGATGTGCTTCATGGATCGAGGTACAACTCCACATTGACAGGCACGGCTAACGATACATGCTCATGAAATATGCAGTCATCATCGGCAACGCGAGACTGTACGGAATGGAAGATGATCTGGGCTTGGAAGGGAATCAGTTCCAGCTGTCGGTATCCATTCTGTTCGTCACCTATTGCGTACGTACTCTTTCAACCTCCCCCTTCCGACCACGATGCTAACGCACACGGAAGTTGTTCGAGGTCCCCTCGAACATGATCATCCGAAAAACCAACCCCTCCTACTACCTCGCCATATTGACCATCCTGTGGGGCCTGGTTGCAACCTTCTCGGCCATGGTTCAGGGCCTCCCCGGATTGATCGCATGCCGTCTGCTCCTCGGTCTATTCGAAGCCGGCTTCTTCCCGGGAGTTGTAATCTATCTGAGCCTCTTCTACAACAAGGGCAGTATAGCGCTACGGATGGGCTACTTTTTCTCGGCGTCCGCCATCTCCAGCGCGGTTGGCGGCTTGCTCTCGTACGGCATCGGGCAAGGCATGGATGGCACGGCCGGCTGGAAGGCGTGGCGGTGGATCATCCTCATCAACGGTCTGATGACCGTAGCCACCGGCTTCGTCGTCCCGTTCATCCTCCCAGGCAGCATCAAAGGCGCCAAATTCCTCAACGACCAAGACCGCCTCGACATGGACACCCTCCGCAGCGCGGAGCTCGGCCAGACCGTCTCCGGCCAGAAGCTCAACAGAAAGGACGTCATGGACGCAGTCAAGGACTGGAAGACGTACGCCTTCGGCTTCTGCCAGTTCTGCAGCAACCTCGCCCTCTACTCCTTCTCCGTCTTCCTCCCCACCGTCATTAGCGAGATCGGCACCTGGAGCGTCGCGCAGTCGCAAGCGCTCACAGTGCCCGTGTTCGCGCTCGGCGCCCTCGTCTACGTCGCCGTGTGCCGACTCAGCGACTGGACGCAGATCCGGGGGCCGTTCATCGTCGGCTTCCAGATGGTCGTTGTGGTCGGGTATATCATGCTCGTCTCGGACTCCGGGGGCGGCGTCAGCCTCGCCGGGACTTTTTTCGTCGGAGCAGGTATCTATGTAATCAACGGGCTGGCTGTCGCGTGGGTGGTGACGAACAGCCCGCGGTACGGCAAGCGCGCGTTCGCCAGCGGCACGCAGCTCTCCATGGGCAACGCGGCGGGAGTCGCTGCCCCGTTCCTGTTCAGTGAAGGCACGCGGCCTGCTTATACGCCCGGCTACTCGACCGCCATCGGAGTCACGGTCTTCTCGATGGCGCTGTTCTCTAGTCTGTTCTGCTGGTTCGCGTGGCAGAACAGGCAGAGAGCTGCTGGGAAACAGGATTGGAAGATCGACGGCAAGACGGAAGAAGAGGCGGCGGAGATGGGCGACGTAAACCCGAATTATAGGTACACGGTGTAGACTGTGTTTCGAGGTGTCCATGCGGGGCGATGTCTCTATACAGACACGTGCGTAGAGATGTATGGTAGGTATGCAAATGGATGGGAACTGTGCAAATCTTCAATTTATCATATCTGAACATACCGTTGGGGCTAGGCGACGCAGTAGAAGAAGTGGCAATCTCCGAAGTCTAGACTATAAAGCAAAGTATATTCAGAAGCCTCTAGGTAGGAGATTGTTTACCGGAGATGGGGTGAGGAACAGGCGGATAGGATAGCTCTCCGATATAAGTAGGAAGAGCATCGCCTAGCACAAGTCTTCATCGCAGGCGATAGTGTCATGAGAAGCCAGAATCTGACTGCCACTTCTTCTGCTCTGCCGCCTGGGGCCCGAGATAATGTTTTATCAACGTGGGCGGCCGCCTGCCACTGCGGCTCAGCGGCTTGTGGCTTGCAGTGAAACGTGCTGTGCCGCACTTTGATCCCCATTCTTCTAGCGAACAGCATTCTCCGACTCACCTATAGCACACGCAAAATTTTACTGCCCAGCTCCAAGGACGCTGGCAAGCTCGAGGCATCTCCTCAAACCCAGTAATCGAATTTGGACTTCACGACGCCATGGATCCATCGAAGCGCAATGTACCAGACAACCAGTTGGAAGTCAACCAGCAGAGCCCCAACACCGCCACCCCATCCATCGTCACCCTCCCCAAAACTTCCAAGAGTGGTAAAGTCGATACCCTGGACATTGGCGATCGCTCCTTCAATCTGGAGTCCCGCCATCTCAACGACGAGTTCGTGGACGACTTCATCGGCCTCGAAGAAGGCAACACGGACCAGATCGAGGCGTTCACCCAGAAGTGGGGACTCGAGGAACTCTTCGATGCGGATTAAGCTGCCCAGCGCGAGGAATTTCATCGGAAGGTCGGTGGGAAGCTTGTTCTGAAGGGGCGGAAGATAGACGCTGAGGTTGCTTCGAGGGAGTCTCGGAAGAAGTGGGGTTGGTGGTTTGAAAGGGGTGAGTCCAGGGCATGAAGGACTTAAGAAGGTCGAAGATGCTCACTCGCTCGCTGTCATACCTCAAGGGGTCTTGGGTCGTTTCTTCCGTAACCACAGAGTTCATCTTGGTTCAGCTCTTCGATCGAAATGCCGCTCACACCAACGCAGGCTTCTTCTTGATTCCCAACGCAGCCCCGAAATCCTTTTTCTTCCTTGGCTGGCGCTGGAACGTAGGTGCCGGCGGCGGAGGCATAGCCTTCTTATCCTTGTCCGCCTGACTCTCCACCCCACCCACGCCACCCTCCTCCCCATCCTCCTCAACCACCCTCTTCACCCTCTCCCCAGTCCCACTCTGAAACGCCAACCGCGCCTGCTCCTCGATCTCTCTCTCCGCCCTCTCAACCTCCTCATCCCGCCTCCTCTCCACTCCCGCCAACCCCTCCAACGCCCCCTCCACGCCACCCCTCTCCCGCTGCGCATTCCTCGTCCTGACCTCATCCAACGCATCCGCCACCGCCATCTCCGTCTTCGCATCCATAGTCTTCTGCTCCAACTCCTTCATCGCATCCTTCTCATTCTCCTCGCGCTCCAGCCGATCCAGCCGCTCCTCCTCCGTCTCCTCGTTCAGCTTCGCCTCTCTCCAGACCTCGAAATTCCTTCTCGCGCCCCGCTCGCATTCGTAGTCCATGTTCTTCGGGTCGGTTTTGAAGGTGATCTCGGCGCTGCAGCGCGTGCAGCGGATGTAGAAGCGGAAGATGGTGATGGCGTAGTATTTCTCTTCCGTAGTCTCTTTGCGGGCGTTGAACTTGCGGCCTTTGTAGATGTACTCGCCGCAGGAAGTGCATTTCATGCTGAAGGGGGCCATGAGGCGGACGGTCTGTTGTTTGGGGCCGGTTTGCTTGGGGCCGCGGCGGCGTTCGATCTTGGAGGGGTCGAAGTCGGGGGGGTAGTATTTGGTGAGGACTTTGCGTTCCGACATGGTGGGCGGTGGTGTTCAGTGATATGGACTGGTTGCACTGTTGTCTCTTAATGTCGGCGGTGGTCCTTGGCCTCGTCGTTGATGTCGTGTTCTGGTGGTGGTGTGGTATGAGGAAGAATGAGGTGGAGGAGTGTGGAGTGGTGGCTCGTGAAAGCTCGGTCTCGGCTTCGGTCTCGCACGTGGACAGTGACTGCCCCGCCAGAAGTAAACAGCAGTCGCGGGTCAAGATTCACTTTCTCCTACACGTGAGTATCATCTCAACAATGGCATCTGGTGTAGACGCTTACGAGGTACCAGCAGGCACGAACAGAGCGACTCTCCATGCTTCTTTACAAGACAGACCTACCAACGACCCGGGTTGAAGCAGAGGATGGAGGCCTATCTGCGACAATGGCAGCAGCAGTGTTTGGACCGACAGCAGTGGGATGCCGCCATCTACGTCGGTGACAAGCTGCTGGCCTTGACGAGTACGATATACCAGCGATTAGGGAAGACTCGTTCTAACGGCGAACAGACTCGGACGAGGATGCATACGCGCTCGCAAAGATCCACTTTACGGCGAGCAACTACACCAGAGCACTGTCGCTGGTGTCGAGATCAGACCTGCTACAACGATCGGCCGCCGCAAAGTACCTCGCAGCGCATTGCCATGTCAAGCAGAACAAACACGACGAAGCGCTGGAACTGCTGGGCGAGAAGAATCCAGTCCATCTTGTGACGCAAACAGATTCGGCGCGAAGAAAGCTCCAGTACATGAGCAACGGCCTGTCGAGCAAGCAGCTGGGCAAGTCGAAGCTACCGAGTCGCGTCGAAAGGGCGGACAGAAGTGAGGAGCGGGATCATGAGAATGCTTCCAACATCAAGTTTGAAGCTGGCATGTGCTATCTGCGAGGACTCTGCTACGCGAAGCAGAACGCCTTCGACCGCGCAAAAGATTGCTACAAAAGCGCCGTGCGGATAGACATTCAGTGCTTCGAGGCCTTCGATCAGCTGATGAAGAACTCCCTCATGAGCCCTGGCGAAGAATGGGACTTTGTCGACAGCTTAAACTTCGACAGCATACTGGCCGATCCTGGGGGTGTAAACACAGCATCAGAAGCCGCCGACTTCACACGCAACCTCTACCTGACCCGACTATCAAAGTACTCGCGGCCTGAAGAGTTCAAGAAAGCCATCGAAACCCTCTCAACCCACTACCACCTCGACACCAACCCGGACATCCTCCTCGCCGAGGCCGAAATCCTCTACACCAACTCCCGCTCCGCCCAATCCCTCGCCATCACCTCCTCCATCCTGGAACTCGACCCTTACAACTTCGCCTGCCTCCCGCTCCACCTCGCACTCCTGCACTCCCTCGGCCACACCAACGCCCTCTTCGCTCTCTCCCACGACCTCGCCGACACCCACCCTCACGAACCCTGCAGCTGGCTCGCCGTCGGCACATACTATCTAAACACCGGCCGTATCCCCGAAGCACGCAGCTACTTCTCCAAAGCCTCCCTCATGGACCCCCACTTCGGCCCCGCCTGGATCGGCTTCGCGCACACCTTCGCAGCGGAAGGCGAAGGCGACCAAGCCATCGCCGCCTACTCGACCGCCGCGCGCTTGTTCCAAGGCACGCATCTCCCGCAGCTCTTCCTCGGCATGCAGGAGATCGCGCTCGGGCATCTTACCGTCGCGCGCGAATACCTAACAACAGCATACAACCTCTGCGACCGCGACCCCTTGCTCATCAACGAACTCGGCGTCATCGCCTACCTTGAAGACGACTTCGCCAGCGCCGCCAATTCCTTCAAACTGGCCCTCAGCATCTCCGCCGACAACGACGCTCCGCCCTCGCAAACCAGCAGCACCCGACTGAATCTCGCGCACGCGCTCCGTCGTTCTGGCCGCTTTCCGGAAAGCCTCGAGCACTTCGACGAAGTAGTCCGACTAGGCCTTCGCGACGTCGGCGTCTTCGCCGCCAAAGGTCTGGTGCTGCTCGAAATGGACCAGGCGTTCGAAGCAACAGTGGCATTACACGAGGCGCTTGCGATCAGTCCGCAGGACCCTGTCGCTTCTGAACTCCTAACCCGAGCGCTGGGACTGCTGGAGACGGTCGGCGTGCTCACAGAGGTCCAAGAGGAAGGTGTGAATGTCGGGTTGGAACGGACGCTGGGTGAGGTTAGGAGGGGCAAGATGCCGAGACGGCGGAGGATGGAGGGGGAGGGGGAGGGCATGGATTTGGATGGCGCTTGGGATGGCGGGGGGAGGTAGGACCTCCCCGGCACCAGGGGGTACATTCCAAGTTTCAGGGTTGGGAAGCAGTATCGGGAGGCTTAGCTGGGTGAGGAGAGGTTGGATGGCATGGGGATGGGCGCTGGTTACGATCGCATAAGGTTGGATCCTAACTCTGTTATATGATACGAAGTACCTTTCGACGTTTTCAATCCTATCCTTAGCGCAATGTGGCCCCAGGATAACGTTAAGTACGTACGAGGTGCGGCTTACTACCTGATCTGGGTACCGGTCAGCATGAGTCGGCACTCGTTCTAACGTGATATGAGCAGCTTTCAAGCATTGACCCAGAGCGCTCGAGCTTGCTGTACGAGAAGGCTCGACTTCGCAAGCTTCTCACGACAGACAGACGGATCAATCGTGCAAAATGTTGGCTCCTTGAAAGGGTAGCGGTGCTGTCAGATCCAACTCACGTGCAATCTCTACACAGGGAGCCTTCGTTACGGCTCTCATCAAGGGGTGTCTTCGAACCGATCAATGCTCAGCGGTATAAAGACTCTACCGTGGACGGTTGTAAAACAGGCCCAGAGGCCCAGCAACCCACCCTCCCTCTCCTCCATTGCCAGATTCGCCCTGCATCTCGTTCCCGCCACCACCACACAGCTACCGTCGAGCGTTTTCGTCGCTGCCACGTTTCCAGTGGCCATGATCATGAAGAAGCTGTGCGTCTTGCTAGCACTTGCAGCAAGTCCGCTCGCAGTAAGTCCCAATCCCCCCAAGACTACAAGCTTTTCAACTCACATCTCTTGCGCACGCAGACCCTCGCCGAACAGCACAACGCTGCCATCGGCATGCTCAACTTCCCATCCCCCTTCCCCTGCAACTCCGAAGACTGCTGCTTCGCCACCTCCTGCGCCGTCAGCGTGGGCTTCTCCGGGTGCTTATTCAACAGCGACACCGTCTTCCCCGGCAGCTGCCGCTCCAACATGGAGAACCCCTCCGCCAGCCTGCCGGTCCTGGGCTGCGAGAGCTGGCAGATGACTTGGGGCCACATAGATGCGTTCGGGACGGTCGTGGCAGTCGTGGGGCCGGAGACGGCGTACGAGTTTGTGGTCGAAGGGTGTACGTCGGAAATGAGCTTTGGGGACGATGGGTGTCATACTAAGCCGTCCTGTGAGACGGCTCAGTTGTGTGGGTTTGAGCGGTGTGAAAGCGGACGGCCGACGAACAGTAGCACATCTGGCTTATGAACGGTATATCCTTACCGAGCCTGTTTCTGGTACGGTGTCAGCGGGAGCTCCCTAACCTCCTAGCCCTCCGCCGCACCTAGGCCCTCCCTCGAGATCCTCCCTACGCTCCGCTACCCCCGGGGGGGGGGGGGGGTCCCTTCGTCTCGGGGGGCCCGTCCTTCCTAGGTTTGGGCTACGGATCACATCTCTGCTTGAGGTCTTTCAAGCGCAATTTGAGAATCTTCTGACGAATTCAAGTAAAGAGAGTCTACCTTGAGAATACGAGTGAAAGTCCTACCCGCGCTATTAGCCAAAGCAGACTGCTAAGGACGGATTCTACCCGTATACTGTTCGTAAGCCAAAGTAGCTGCTGTTCGTAGACCGTCCGTGTGGGACCTGCCTGCCATACCAGCGATGCCACAGTTGAGGGTGGAGCACGTCAAGCCTGGGAGACGGCTATGTTGTAAACTCCATCTGCATTGTCATCACTACTTATTCGATGCAGTACCTCTACGAATGACCAGAGAGCATCTCCGTCGGCCACAGGCGCCAGAACGCCATGCTCATGCCCGTCAATAATCCATTCCAAGCCCGTGTGGGGCAATATCTTCCCACTCGGTCTTGCTTTCACGACCCTTCCCGGGCTTTCGAGAAGACCGCCGGGGAGTCACCTCTTCAGCAGAAGCCTCCTCTTCGAGGGAGGGATCCTCTACAGAAGGCTCTTCAGTGCGAGAACCATTCGAAGAAGATTCGCTAGGAGAAAAGGACTTTCCCGGAGTCTTCCGTCGACGAGCCTCCTCAATCGTAACATCCCCTCGAGAAGACTCTCCGCTAGCACCCGATCGATCTGCAGTCTGCTCAGGCGCAGTCTGTTGCGCGCCAGGCTGCCCTACCTGCTAGTCGCCATTCTAAGACTCACTAACATCCCTCCTGGTGACTTTCGTGGGACTGCGCTCGACGAGGTGCCGGGATGCGCGCCAGACCATGATCATGTTGTCCTCTGCGGCGGTACACATGACCTGCAAGGCGAAATTGGGTTAGCATATCTCTTGTGCTGAAGTAATGTACAAAGTGGGAAGCCTGTACGTACCCACGGGTCATTCTTGTTCCATGAGAAGTCGCTAATACGGTTCGTGTGTCCTCCGTGCATGAAAAGCATCTCGGCCGTTCCATCCTCAGCATCCTCGGGCGTTTGCTCCATGCCCCCGCGACTGAGATCCCAGAAAAGGACGCGGCGATCTTCAGAACTTGATGCGAGGATGGCGGTGTCGTGTGGGTGCCAGTCGATCTTGCTGATGGTGTCTCTGTGCCCTTCCAAGCTGTGAAGCTTGCCGTGTTGTGGGAAGCGCAAATCAAAGATTCCGATCGTCTTGTCTGCTGATCCCGTCGCCAGGAGTTTGTCATAGGTCGGGTGGAATGCAAACGTATTGATAGCATCTTGGTGTGCATTCTTGAAGATAATGACAGGCTTGCTGTCGGAAGGCCTCCGCATATCCATCAGCTGCATGGTCAGATCGTCAGACACCGAGCCGAAGAGGTTCTTGCCGTGTGCTGGATGAAACTGGACATCGTTCACAACAGCCGAATGATGCTTGAAGGTACGGTGCGGGGAGACGACTTTGTTGTCCAGCTTGAAGTCGTCTTTTAGGTTCCAGAGCCTCACTGTGCCATCCTCTGAGCCTGAGAGAAGCTGTCCTTCGGTGTGTGGGTTCCACTCCAGCGCAAAGCCTTCGCTTTCGTGCCCCTTCAGTGTGGCTTGTGGCCTTAGGTCCTCGTCCTTCGGGACAGACGAGTGCTTTGAGCGGTCCCAGACGTAGATGTTCTTGTTGGCGGCCCAAGTCGCGATGATGTCAGGGTTCTGGGGTTGATAACGGGCCTTGTTGACTTCACCCGGGTGGACGATCTTCTGGACGACATTGAATTCGATGGGGTGCTTGGCGGCGCCATGTCCTCCAAGCTCCTCTGTGGCCGGGTTGTAGTCTGCCAAGGTGGCCGCCGGCGGTTTGGGAAGCTTCATATGCACTATCTGCAGGTAGTCGGTCGCGTTGCCAGAGGTGTGAGTTCCGAGCAGCAGACGGTGGGTGCGAAGGGGGTTGCCCGGCTCGTCGCGCACGTCCGGCAGCCACTGTGTTGTGAGCGTCGGCCATTCTAGGGCACGCCTGCAATGTGTCAGTGACCTCAATCATTCTGCATAGTTGCTGAGCAGACATACGAGTACACTACAACGCCATCGATTAGCATCTGTCTCAGCCTATAATAACGCAGGGCAGGACTCACTGATGTCGTACAAGAATACTGAGTTCTTCTTCCATATCTTGTACTCCTCATTGATAGTGACGTTTTGGATTTTCTCCTCATCGGTCTCTCGCGCTGCAGTACTATTAGCTGTGTGCGCCCAAGAATCGAAGCAGACACTTATGCCGCTCTGAACATAGGCCTGGAGGTGGGAGAGAGAGAGACGTACTGAGGTCGGCCATGCTGGCTGTGGTGAGTGGTGGTGAATGGAGTGGTGCGGCAATGTCTCATGCGGACGACCGCAGTCAAATACGAATGGAGGTGGTGGTGAATTGGAGAAAGTGTGGTGGATTCTTTCATGTGAAGCCCAGCGCGTGTTTGTAGGTAATCGCGACCCACCGCGTAAAGCGTGAATTAAGCTTTCTGGAGACGGGACCGGCCGTGTCTGTGCGGGATCCTCGACTTGACGTTCGCGAACTTCGCCTCCGAGTTGCTTTCTTGCTTCAAGGACCACAGCGTCAGACCGCCGCCCCCCTCCTTACACACCTCCCCTTCATACCCCTAGCTACCCCTTACCTCCACCCTCAGCTAGGCGTCTGTCTTGAAACACAGCAGCCGCCGCCATCATGGGTAAGTACCAGCTGCCTCGCCAGTGAAGTCGGCTCGCATATTGACTGCTCCTAGGTGTCCCTAAGTTCTTCCGCTGGCTCTCTGAGCGCTATCCAGCCATCTCCCAGCTCATCGCCGAGAACCGCATCCCCGAGTTCGACTGCCTTTATCTTGACATGAACGGCATCATCCACAACTGCACCCACAACGACTCGGGCGCATCCATCGAGAAGCATGTCTCTGAAGACGAGATGTTCATCAAGATCTTCAACTACATCGAGCACCTGTTCGGGAAGATCAAGCCGCAAAAGCTATTCTTCATGGCTATAGACGGCGTGGCGCCACGGGCCAAGATGAATCAGCAGCGTGCGCGCCGCTTCAGGACGGCTCTCGACGCAGAAGTGAACAGAGAGAAGGCGATCAGAGAAGGGAAGGAGCTGCCGAAGGAGGATCCATTTGACTCAAATTGCATTACACCCGGAACCGCCTTCATGGCGCGACTCACACAACAGCTCAAGTATTTCATTGCGAAGAAGGTGACCGAGGACATTGACTGGCAAGGATGCGAAATCGTCCTTTCTGGTCACGAAGTCCCTGGCGAGGGTGAGCACAAGATCATGGAATACATTCGGCAGGCGAAGAGCCAGGCGGACTACGATCCGAACGTGCGGCACTGTCTCTACGGGCTGGACGCTGATTTGATCATGTTGGGACTGCTTTCGCACGATCCGCACTTTTGTCTTTTGCGAGAGGAGGTGACGTTTGGGAGGCAGAGCAAGGCGAAGAGCACAGAGCTTGAACATCAGAATTTCTATCTCATGCATCTTTGCATTGTGCGGGAGTATTTGGAGCTGGAGTTTCAGGAGCTGAAAGAGCCTGGTGGTCTGGGGCCGGTGAAGTTCGACATGGAGCGCATTATCGACGACTTCATCCTGATGGCATTCTTTGTTGGAAACGACTTCTTGCCAAATCTGCCGCATTTGCACATTAACGAGGGAGCGTTGGCGCTGATGTTTGGGGTGTACAAGAAGGTGCTCCCGGAAGCTGGAGGCTACATCAACGAGGGAGGTGTGATAAATCTGAAGCGCCTGGAGAAGCTGTTGGATGCGTTGAGCGACGTCGAGTACCGGTTCTTCGAGCACGAGAACCAGGACGCCAACTGGATCAAAGATAAGAGCTATCAGAAAGAGGACGTCATGCAGAAGGTGAAGAAGAAGGGCGGGCAGATCGTCATGACGACAGGCCAGAAAGAGCTGTATCAGAAGGTGAAGCAATACGTCAACACCCACGCGACAAGTCTGAGCGATGACCACGCCCCGTACGACATGCCTGGCACGTTGAAAGCGGCGGATCGTGCGTTCATCGAAGGTCTGGCTAAGAGCCTGCACCTTGACTGCTCGAATGTGGTGGATGATAACGGCAATCGGCACCTCCAGCTGCAGTTCCCTCAGCGTCCCGAGATGGATGATGAGGACGACGACGATGATCCAGAAGCGCAGAATGCGCTGCTCCGGGTGTTCAAGCAGTACGATAAGGCGAAGATCGAGGATGTATCTGCAGAAGAAGCGCAGGACAAAGCAATGCAGAAGTACGAAGCGAAGTTTCAGGGATGGAAGAACAAGTACTACACGGAGAAGTTCGAGTGGGGCACTGATAACCAGGTCGAGCTCACTAAGCTGGCGGAGAACTATGTTCAAGGTTTGCAATGGGTGTTGTTCTATTACTACCGCGGCGTGGCCAGCTGGCCGTGGTACTACCAATACCATTACTCGCCGATGATGTCGGATGTCAAGAAGGGATTGGGTGCCAACATGAAGTTCGATCTGGGCCAGCCTTTCAGGCCCTTCCAGCAGCTCATGGGTGTGTTGCCGGATCGCAGTAAGAAGATTGTGCCCACAGTCTACTGGGATCTGATGACGAACCCGGAGAGCCCGATCATCGACTTCTACCCGCGCGACTTCGAGCTGGACATGAACGGCAAGAAGCAGGAATGGGAAGCTGTGGTCAAGATTCCGTTCATCGAGGAGAAGAGGTTGTTGTCAGCCATGGCGCCGAAAGACGCCATGCTATCAGCCGATGAGAAGAAGAGGAACGAGTTTGGCGTGAGCTTGAGTTTCACTTACCGGGACAACGTTGACTTCACCTATCCATCGTCGCTACCAGGCGTGTTCCCGGATCTAGAGCACTGCCATTGCGTGGAGAACATCTTCGATCTGCCGACGATGGACGGTCTTGAGGTGTACGTTGGCCTGGTTCCTGGTGTCAAGCTTCGGGAGGCGGCTCTCGCTGGCTTCCCTTCGCTGCACACCCTGCCTCACACCGGTACGCTGGGCTTCCACGGTGTGAGTGTTTTCCAGCAGGAGACCCGCAATGAGAGCATGGTCATCACGCTTAGTGAAGGTGAAGACAAGGGCACCATTGCGGACGCGAAAGAGCGTCTCGGCAAGGCTGTGCATGTCGGATACCCTTTCCTCCAGGAAGGCAAGGTCATGAGCGTCAGCGATGAGATGTTCACCTACCGGATTGCGGATCCTTCTAAGCCAGCAGTGGGCGCGAACGTCATCCAGACGCCGCACCAGCCGCAAGGCATCAGTGACTGGAAGAAGAAGGCCAACCGCATCGAGAGCGTCTACTCCAAGCGTCTCGGCATGATGGTCGGCACGGTGGACAGCCTAGTCACAATCGAATTCTTAGTCGGTCTTAACAAGACGGAGCAAGGAGCTGTTGTGAAGGAGTACGCGCCCATCCCAGGAATGGAGCCGGACTTCGCTACGCAGACGATCGTCGACCGCGTGGTGAGCGAGGACCGGCGCTTCTTGGAGAAGGAGGCTGTTCCTATCGCGGAAGAGTTTCCACCTGGCACGAAGGCGTTCTTTCTTGGCGACATCGCTTATGGCCGACCACTCGAGGTCACTGGCCATGAAGGCGAGAAGGCGACAGTGTGGGTCTCGATGCTCTCGTCACGTGAGCCGGAGTTTGGTTGGGACATTGCAATGCAAGCGGAGAAGCAGTTCCCGTACACGCCAAGCTACCAGGTGGCGAGGATGCTGAATCTGCAAGGGCTTGTGCTGTCGAAGATCACGAGTGCTTTCAGCGTCAACTCCTCTGGCCTGCGGCTCAACCTGGGTCTGAACCTCAAATTTGAATCGAAGAAGCAGAAGGTGCTTGGCTACTCACGCAAGAGCATGAATGGTTGGGAGTACAGTGGGAAAGCGATCCAGTTGATCGCGGAATACATGCAGCGCTTCCCAGAGTTCTTTGCCAAGATCGAAGCCAACCCGAAAGGCGATGGCTGGGAAGACACGTCCTTCTACCCTGACCCAACTGAGGCGAAGCAGAAGATGAAGGAGATTGGTGCGTGGTTGAAGACGGTTGAGACGAAGAGTTTCGAGCGTGTGCCTCTTGAGGCCGAGCAGATGGATGGCGATACTGTGATGATGATCGAGCAGGCCGCTGATCGGAACACGAACGCCAACATCCAGATGACCGGCAAGCAAGTCAACAACATCCCTCGGACCGCTCTGCTCAAGCCAGCGGACGCGGAGCAGAGGACTGGAAAGCAGAGGTTCAAGCTGGGTGATCGAGTGGTGTACGTGCTTGACTCCGGCCGTGTGCCTATCGCTATGCGCGGCACGGTCGTCGGCATGACTCGCACGGCACGGCAGACGCTTCTGGACGTTGTGTTCGACAGCCCGTTCATGTCTGGGACGACGCTCAACGACCGCTGTTCGAAATACAGAGGCAGCACTGTCCCTAGCAGCGCAGTGCTTAATCTGTCTGATCGGCAGGTCGTTGCGAGCTCTCAGGCTGCCAGGGCGAGGGCGCCGCAGCAGAACATCACGCCTTTGCGAGCTGGTGGCGCGTACAAGGCTACTGCCTACGGCACACCAGGCGGTCCACAACTCCGTCAAGCAGACGTCCCAGCACCGCTACGAGGCAGCTTCCGCGGCGCCGTCTCCGGCATGCAGAACGGCAACCCACGCGGCGGCTATGCCCCCCACGGCCGAGGCGGACTGGGCAGTCAGCCCAACGGCACGCAGCAGAGCACCCTTCCCTACCACCCCCGCGGCAACATGAACGGCGCCTCCGCCTCCTTCACGCCTCGCGGTGGCCGCGGCGCGCCGAACGGCGGGTACAGCAGAGGTGGCGGCGGAGCGCCGAACAGGCAGGGTTTCACGGTGATTGATAATTCGGATCCCGCGCAGGGGATCGTGAGCAATAATCCGAATTTCCGGCCGCAGAATTATTCGAGTGTGCCGCCGCCTGCGGGGTTGGATGCGAGAGGGAGGGGAAGAGGAGGGTATAGTCGGGGTGGGACGAGGGGGAGGGGGGATAGAGGTGGGAGTGCGAGAGGTAGGGGGAGGGGGAGTGGGGAGGCTGTTGCGAGCTGAGTGGGATGCTGAAATGTGACGAGAAGACCACCGCTTGGCTTGCACCTTGGCCCGCACGAGAGGATTGCAGCATTGCAGACGGGGTGGTGTGAAGCATGGCCTCGTGAAAGCTACCACGGTTCCGCTGGTCTCAGCACACCCACCCAACCACCTACCTGCAGCTTTGACGGATCGCTGACAGCGCGTTCTCTTTATCGAGAGGCGCGTCTTTCGGCGTCAAGTAGAGCAGCGAAATGCACGAGTTATCTGGCTCCGAGGTGCCAGCTCAAACACCACTTTCTTTTCCTTTGTGTCACGGTGCTATTACTGTTGGTCGCACGGCAGATGTAGCCTCGCTCGTTTCTTGAGCCCGCAGAGACCCGTCTCAGCTACACGTTCTCGGCTGTCGGTACACGCTCCCACGTTGCTGTCCGAGCGGACGAGAAGCGTTCGATGGCATTGCCGAGTCAAACCCCCGAGAGTGCGGTTGTGCTACGGTACTGATACGAGGTCTTCTCTGCCCAGACGGAGGTGTCGTTGCAGTGCCGATACCTCGATAAAAGTCATTTTGCCGGATGACTGCTATAGGTACAGCGATATAGCTACCTTATCACACACGAATCCTGCAGGCTCAGAAGTGTGTCTGCAGCATGTGACAGCGACTGCAGTAGAGTCGGAAGGCACATCCATCCCAGCTCCTTCTCCCGTCCGAACACAGTCTAGGCTCTCATTCCCCGCTTTCGATTGGCTCACCTTCTTCTTCCACCCACCTCGAGCTGCAGAACGTCTTGTCGCGGATTTAGCCTCCATGTGTAACGCACATTGCTGGGTAAAAACCGTTTGAGGGAGAGGGTACGGGATAAGACTTCGAGGTGAGTAGATGGGTGGTGGTTCCGGGTCGAGTACTGGGACGGCGGAGAGCGAACGGCCACGTTTGGCTGCGGAAGTTGTGCGACATTGACGGGATCGCTGTCGTGGGCGAGTCCGGGCCCCCGAGTCAGCAGGATCGCGCAAAGGGTGTGAACGAACGCCGCTTGATCCGGCGGATGGATTGATGGAGTGAGAAGAAGGTGTGAAGGAGTCTTCCTTTCGAGATAACCATCATCCTTCCCTCGTCATTGGGAAGGCGAAGGATCCCGCCAAAACAACCAGGATCCACGCTCCCGGGCCTCGACACGCGAGTCGTCAGATCGCTACCGGGGCATCCCAGTTGATCTCCAGGTACCATCACCGTTTCCGCGCATCCCGCAGTCCTGCAGGCGAAATCCCGAAGGAGCTGCTGCAATCATTCTCGCGTGTCTGGCCTGTCGTGTTTCATCCCCCTGCTGCTGCTTCCCACGACAATTGCGAGCCGACGACAGCACAGACAGCTGCTGCCCAAGAGCAGACGCCGTTGGAGAAATGGCGTCCTCTTCTGGAGTCCAACGCTCGATGGACGACTTTCTCATTAACCCAACTGCGGTCAATATTATGGACCAATATGGTGATGAGGCTTCGACGGCGGTTGCGGTGACGCCGCCGAGGGAGCTTTATGCTTTTGAGAATGGCTCGAAAGAAGATGAGACGAAGGTGGATTTCAAGAGGTTCAGAGATGAGCCTGTCTATTCGCGCGGCTACACTTCTGAGGAAGAATTGGCCTCACCAGTCGAAAACGACGACTTCAGTCTTGGATCGTTCGACAGCGACGTCGAGTCGATCATATCGGACGATGGCTCGTTGCATATCCAGACCGCTGGTCAACAGCTATGCAGTCGAGCACAGGCTGTGCACGTAGTGTCGGCGGGCAAGGCAAAGGTCGTCAGCATGCCGAAGATGATCGATAGTCCGAGAACGCCATACTCGATGGCCTCACCAACCACATCGATCCGACCGCCAACAACGCCAAATACTACTCCTACGCCTGCCGAGGAAGTTGCTGCCAGCCCAAGCTCACCATCGCGATCATCAGAGGAAGAATGGCCGATCTCACCAACACCATTCATTCGAGCAGGTCGACCAGAACAGGCACGCACGATCCGACGACGGCCAAACCTGTCACCACTTCAAATGGTCGGTCGTTCCGAATCACCCCAGGAACTGAACCGTGTGCCAAAATGCCAGGCCTCAACAAGGACCGTCAACTTCATTGAAGATGGGCCACGGACAGCACTACCAGCACTGGCACCGGCACCGGCACCGGCACCACATGCACCTGGTCTGTCACATACGCCCTCCAAGCGCAGAGTGTACAAGCTACCATCCGCCTTCAGCCTCCGAGCCCTGGGCAAGACACTCAAACGCTACAGTGTCGAATCAGACGGCAACGGAAGCCAATCGTCCTTTTCGCCTCCCCAATCAACCCGCAGGTTGCAGAAGGACCCGCCCATCTCAACCTGCACCCCGAGCAAACCCCTCCCGAAAATGATTCCGCGCGGTGCCAACGAGCGCGCTCCACCAATCGTCCTGCCAACCTGTCCTTACGACGCTGCGGACGGGGACGCCAGTGACGAGGAACTGCAGCAACAGGCCCGGGGCAGGAACGTCTCGACGGCTCCGCAGTCGCCTGAGGTGGGCAAAGAGCTGGGCGTGGCGCGGCGGAAGAGTCTTCCGGCTTATGTGTCGGCGCAGGTGTAGGACGAGCTGCGTGGGATACAGTGGCAAGGTTGCTTTCGATGATGTGTGTTATTACAAGGGTTTTTTGTGTGAGAGAGGGCAGCTATGATGAGAGATGTGCTTCCGCTGTGTTGCGCAGGATTCACGACTTCGTTGGGGATGACGGGGTATGGTATGGGTTATGGTATATGGTGGATCTCAGAGGAGAACTGGCTGATGAGGAGTGGCTTACGAGTGCTACGATCGCTTTTAAAGCACACAGATACGATGAATATGAATTATATGAATGATGCAGCCAATTTACTTGACCGCAAAGACTGTCTTGGCAGTTCATTCATGCCCACGCGACCTCCATGCTTGCCATCAGGTCTTGAGACGGACTTGGTTGACGACTCCGTTGGAGTATCCTAGATACCTCTTCAGCGCACAGTTGATACCGGGACATGGGATTGGAGGCCTGCCACTGGCTGTGCGCTCCCCCCGCTAGTTCATGTTGCATATCCTCGGTTCAACACCAAAGTTCCAACCTGACTCTCTGTGCACTCGACTTTGACATTCACTCCACGCACCTGGCCCATCTTCACATGCGCGCTAGCGATGAAATTTCTTGAAGCTTCGCATTCCCCATGCGCCTTCACCTCTTGGTGCATCGGCTTCAGTACATCGTCTTGCCTACATGTACGCAGGCAGTAGACATGCAGGTTCGTTCTCTGATCGCACCGGTATAGCTCGCAAGATGCCGCGCTGGTGGAGCGTACCATTCTCTTGCTTCCGCCGTAGGGGTGTTGCAAAGCCTACAGCCGGCGGATCTTTCTCGACTGTCGCGAAGAAGGCGACGACCACAGCGCCGCATACAGCACAACATGCATCTCCACGCGACGCACACAGCCGATATTACGACGCGAAGGTAGGTGAGACATTCAAAGACAACCGCTACGAAGCCATCCGACAGATTGGCGAAGGCAAATACTCCCGCATTTGGCTGGCGAATGGTTCATCGTAGGTCCGACTCTTGCAAGGCCACAATGCTCACTCAGGCTCACACCCGGCATGCAAGACTCTATCGTGGCGCTCAAACTCTTGACCTTCGATTGCTATGGTAGTGGTCACGATATCTTCGAGCGTGAAATCCTTGACACGATCGGTCGCCAGCAACGTGAGCGCAGTGAGCAGACGTCCTCCTACGCTGTCGAACCCCTTGGCTCCTTCCAAGTCTCAGGCCCGAATGGAGTCCATGAGTGCTTCGTCACACCCGTCGTAGGTGGCACCGTCCATGCCCATGCTCGGAGATTCCCAGACCGCGTGATTCCGGTGTCAATCATAAAAGAGGTCACCAGGCAGCTGCTCAAAGGACTTGCCTTCTCGCATGATGACTGAAGGTCATCCACACGGGTAAGCTGCCTGCCTACGACAATTATCGCTTATCTGGTGCTCAACTAACAAAGGGCAGATCTGCATCCGCACAATACCTGTCTTGAAGTTGGACCAGATGAAATCGAACGTAAGTCCACACCCGCGAAGCTACTAAGCACTAGCTGAAAAAGTTCCTAGGCATGGCGATTGGAATGTCCCCTGACGAAGCTACTCCGACCGTGACCAAGGACCGCCCTGGCAGCATCAAAATCATCGATTTTGGCGTCGGTATGTCACCTTCTCGTCGCATGCATGCAGTCAATGAAGAACACTGATCCGTCACCCATGCAGCCTCTTGGGTCGACAAGCATCTCAGCAATAACATCCAACCAGAGCACCTGAGGCCCCCGGAGGTATTCCTTCGTGCTCCCTGGGGACCTCCAGTAGATATCTGGAGCCTGGGCTGTCTGGTATGAATACTATGCACCGAGTCAGTGTGCACTTTGGCCCGATAGAAAACTAACGACATGGGGTAGGTGATTGAGCTTGTCAAAGGGCACGTTGCCTTCCCTGGGAAGGCCGCCAAAGACGGATCCCATAGCTCTGAGGACGATCATCTCGGGCAGTACATGGAAGTTTTCGGGCCGATGCCACCTGCTCTCCTGAGTCGGGGCTCCAGGACGAGCGAATACTTCGACGGGGAAGGTATGTAACAGCACTATGTATCACCATCGGCGCTGACGTTCTTGATCTTGGCTGACCACACCCCATTCGCGGGCAATCTGCTGCGGATCCCCGAGATCACTCCGTTCAGTCTCACGAACGTTGTCGATGGTACGTGGAGCCTCTACCTTCGGCCTCACGACATGGCAGCGGAGGAGGTGCCGATCTTTGTCGACATCCTCGAAGGGGCATTGACTCTGGATCCTCAATACCGGAAGACGGCAAAAGAACTGTTGCATCATGACTGGCTTCGAGGAGACGCAGACCGCTTAGCGGACCAGGCAACCATCGACAAGCATTACGAACAGCACAATCTGGACCGTAGGGGCGGTCAGATAGCTGAGATCACGTCTGCTTGGTGAGGTGTCCAACCCTCTGTGCAAAGGACATCCGACTGATCTCGCAGCAGCAGCGAACACTGGACCATCGACTGGTGCACGGAGTCTGGGACTTGGATGACAACGCATCATGTGCACCGATGAGCTTAGAGCCTGCAATGGTGGGGTTTGAGAGAATATGAACGAGGTCTCGAGAACGTAAGGACAATTTCGCAACTCCAGAGACCTCATTTCCTCTCAGAAGAACCGACTACCACAAATCTGAAATCAACCCACTCGTGTTAGGCCGTGAACCAAAAGCGCATCACCGCTCCACTGTCTGGCTGTAGCTTGGCAAGAAGGTTGTCCTCTTCGTGTCACGCTCTCCTTCAGCCAATGCTTCGTCTTGTTTTCCAGACTTTGCAAACCCGATTGACTTCTCGTCCTCATCCACGCTCGAAGGCCTCCTGCTCTCCACGCCCGTCATCTGGCTTGCCTGGCCTTCCGTCTCTTTCGACCGGCGAAGGCCGGTGCAACACCATGCAACACCTTGCACAAAGGTCACGAGCCACAGAAGCATATTGACAAGATCGATCCAGACTGCCGCCAGCATCCGATCGACAGAGCTGGTCAAAGAGTATTCTTCGTTGGACTTCGTCGGCGACAAGTACAGCGAAGCGAAAAACCCGAAGAGGGATGTCCAGAAGATGAAAAGAACAAAATTCCAGAACACCCAGGCCATCGACTTCAGCTTGATGACGCAGTGAAAAGCACAAGTCAACATTGACAGAGCGGCGACGACTTCTGCAAAGATCCAGCTGGCCTGAGCTCGCTTTGAAGTTTCGGTGGCACGGTGGAGATCGATGCCGTACAGTGCTGTGACCACAACGGCAAAGACGACTTTCAGCAGCAGGAGTATCGTTCGGAGGTCCAGAAATCTGCTCTCTCGCCCAGGAGATGTCGATTTCGACAGTCGATCGGGAAGCAGCATTGTTGTAGAGCTTGCCATGGTTGTGAGAGGCGTGTCGTGTTGAGCGTCAAGTTTCTGTGGATGGTCAAGAAGCAAGATTCGTTGCAATAAGAACGTTTTAAATGGCGAGGTCAAGCTACATGTACCTGCAGTCGTTCCAGTTGACTTCGGCGCCAGGCAAACAAACTTTCTTTGCGGCGTGGCGATCTTGCGTATAGATACGATGGGCCCGCGCCCGAGAAACATTGAGCAACTGAGCACAGGCGGAGACCGTTCGGACTACAAGCGCGACCGTACCAAGCTGACAGACTAAAGAAATGTCCGGTGGTGTAATGGTTGGGTGACCTTTTGTTGCATCTTCTCGCCACCAGCGACAAAGCATGGACCAGCGCGATGTAGCCATTTCAGCATGGCTGTGTCTGTGAGAACATTGCAGTTGCATCCCCTCCGATATGGAGCGCACTCGGTGGCTCACAACATGCGGGCTGTGGCATCTACCTCTCACCCGAGTACATGGGCCCCGGTCGAGTAATCACTGCATGAAGTGCAACAACAATCACTACCCCTCTGAGCACGACGGGATGAGTCTCGAAAGTCCTCAGCAGGACGTTGTGAGGGCGCAACTGTATGTCGACTACGTTATGATGCTGTCCGCCTTCGCCGATACCAGCAACGTCCGCCTGCTGGTCGTTCATATGCGTAACGACGTTTTCTGGGCCGAGCAAGCCACCGAGAAGACCACGGCACAGATGCGTCTTATCGGCAGGCACCTCCTCCTCAACAATGGCATCTCCACTCTGAGCCTCCAGCTGGTCGCCCGCTTGTTCTTTCAAGATACTGTCACGTCTGAGTACATTAACTGTGTTTGTGCTAGGTTACAGCTTTGCTTGTCGTACAGATAATGGACGCTTGCTTTTCTTTCATTCCTGATGCGAGCAAACCCATCGACCAACCTCAAACCCATTGACCGCGTGTGTCGCCGCCCTGCAAAGGCGCGGCATCGCCGTACCTCCCGAGCTTGTTCGCCCTCCGCGCCGCCTTGATCAATCTCCCAGGGTAGAACACTGTCAATGTGAGGACCACCAGGAACATGGGAACCGCATCGAAGAGGTACAGGAAGATCTCGTGGGTGATGATGTAGCCGTCGCCGCCCTGGACATACTCGATGATCCGCACCAGATTTCGTAGAAGAATGAGGCTGCTCGTGATGTACAGCGACCAGAAAGCCATCCTCCAGTACACGTCAAGATGTGCGGATATGTGGGTTGGGTTGTTGATAAGGCGGCGGTGGACTCTCAGGGCCAAGAGCATGAAGACGACGAAAGCGACCAGTTGGAAGATCAAGCCGCCTGCTACCAGATTGATGGCCAGCTGCTGCTTGTCAGATCCGCCGTAGGCTTGTGCGACTGTGCCGATGACCTGTAGGACAAGGCAAGCGATGTCGATGAGGATGTAGATCTTGGAGAGCCAGCTGAGCCGGATGAGTGAGTGTTCGGCGGCGTCGAGTGCTCGCGTGATTCGCGGCAGCGTCATGTATATCGAAGCTGACAGCATTGGCGCGGCTCCAATGATGAGAAACAGTTGGAGTAAGTAAGGTGCGCCCAGCCGTATGTTGTCATGTGCCCAAGCCCTGCCATAGTAGCCACCCGCCTCAGCTGTGAGCTTGTCAGCTTAGAGATTCTCCTCGTCGGAGTGGCTGCGAGTGCCTCTTTAAGGTCGGCACAACGTACCAGCACACCCAAGAATGAAGGGGATGAAGGACCAAGACCGATATGGTATGAGGTACCCGATCTGCACAACGGTGCCAATGGCGAAGAGGACGACGAAGATGAGCCCTGCAGGCTTGCTCGGATTGTAGACGTAGAAGTCAAAGTCTGCCTCGCCGCCGCCAGCGCGCGGGAAGATGGTAGGGCTGCTCATCGTGAGGTAGATCGAGTAAGTGTGAGAGCTGCTCACGGCTTGAATGGGCGTCTCCGGAGACGCTCTCAGGGTCCGTTCCTTGTGCTGCGTGCTGCGTGCTGCGTGTTGTTTCGATCTGGAGTGAACAGAGCAGAGAATGAAGCACTGCTAGAATGGAACAAACGGAAGGGTATCTAGCCAGATGGATAGAGGCTGGTGGGATGCGGTTGCTTTATACAACACAAACCCGTTTGACAATAGCCGCGACGAAGTCCTTGACCTACCTTAGATCGCATGGTGGGTATCTGAGCCACTGCGTATAGCTCCCAATCTCTGTAAATTGGGAGGCGACGCGTAGGCTGATGGAACAGCATGTCGTTGTATCGCAAGCGTCTGCGGTGGAGGTAGACTTTCACTCTGGACGCACGGCCCTTTTTTTCCCTTCTCCACTTCGTATTCAAACCCTTCAAATACGCATCTACAGGGGAGGGCCGGCGTGTCAACACGCACTCTCCCAACGTTCGATCGAGTGACAGCGGCGGCATTTGGCATCGATAGGTGATTCCCCTCGCGCCACCGGTATGACGCCGCGAGGGACGGATGTTCGGCAGAGGCAGTCGCATCGAAAATCACGGAATGGCTGCACACGGTGCAAGACTGGGCATCGAAAGGTGAGCATCCCCTTCAGCCAACGGAACGTATAGCCACCAACAAACAAACAGTGCGATGAAGTCCATCCCACCTGCGGGAATTGTCGCCGCGCGGGCGTCACCTGTAGCCTAAGCACTCCATCTCCCTTGCCGTCGGAAAATGCCAATGGTCACCCACCGCTGGCGCTGGACGACCTGCGCCTTCTGCACCACTGGCTCAAGGTCGACGCAGCCCTGTTCGAGGATCAAGATGCCGAGTCCGGGAGACGAGAGCGGGACGAACAAGTCGAACTGGCATTCGCACACCCTTACTTGATGCACACCATCCTGTCCCTGGCCGCTCTTGAACTGTTCCATCGGGAACCGGAGAAGCGCGAATATTACTACCAGGCATCTTCTCACAACCTTGCTGCGCTCAGCCATGTCCGGCCAAACATCACTCAATCCAGTCGGGAACACAGCCAGCCTCTGTTCATTTTCTCGGCGTTTACGTCGTTGTACGCATTCGCGGAGCCTCCGTTGCGCCTGCATGCTGGGCACACACAGTCCTGCGAGGACACTCTGAACGATCTGTTCCAGGCCTTTCGTATGGGACGAGGCATCCTCGCAGTCATGAGTTCGAACGAAAAGCACCTGAGAGAAGCCGGCAAACCGAACGGAGAGATCTGGCCCGACGAGACTGACGGGGTCATGCCAACACTTGAATCTGATTACCCTCAGCTCCAAGTGCTTTTGGCCCTCGTAGACGGCCGCTTTGATGGAGACCACAGGACTGCGGTCCATGAAGCTGTTGTCAGATTGTTCGCCATTATGTCACTGCTTCAGCGCCGCCCTGCGAATCATTCCAGTGCCAGACTGATACAAACATGGACGATGCATGTGGACACATCTCTCATCAATCTGTGGGAGGCACAGGAGCCGGTTGCTCTGATCATTTTGGCTCATTACGCAATGTTAGTGGAGATGCGCGCGAAGATCTGGTTCTTCGATCGATGGGGTCCGCTCATTCTCGAATGCGTTCAGGACACTGTGGGACAGGAATGGCAAGGATACTTAGCCTGGCCAAGAGAGAGAATTGGGTCGATTCGAGCCCCAACTTGAGCCGATATGTTCTGGCGAAAGTCTATATCCGACGCGGAAGGGGGGAATGCCAGTAATGGTTCTCGAGCGCAGTCGGCCCGATCGAAGAAACCGACACCGGTTGGAGTGACAGTCTCGTCGCGCTTTACAGCACTATGTTACGACGGCAGACTCTTCTCTGAGCCCAGCGCTTTCATACCAGAGTGGTCGCTGGCGGAAGAAAAAGTCTATCCAGATGAGCGGTCGAACCTTGAGGACCTCGTGCTGTCGTTCAGCCTTGGTGGAAGAGCGTACATCGATCGAAACCTAGCATACATCGAGTTGAGCATAGTCATTGCTGCGCTGGTGCTTTATTTCGAGTGGAGCCTGGATGGAGAGAAGCATGGTGGCGATAGGGGGATGGAGATCGTCGAGCGCTCGAATGTCAATCCAGAAGAACTGTGGGTGGATACGAGGCCACTGGATAAGTAGTACTGCATACACCTGATGCATGTATCAATGGCATGTCGTACGTCGGCTTTGTTTAGCACAGAACAGTTGTGGCATCGGCTTCAGCTCGGAGGGCATCGTTCTTTCTGTTGCTACTGGTTGTCGTGTTAGTCAAACGATATAACACGGCTGTGGCAGATACTGTGTAGGCATGTTGGCCTGTGTCTTGCCCTGTCGCCAGATGAGTCGCACGATAAGAGGCGTGTTCACATGCTGAGGTCGCAGTTTCCAAAGACGTTTCAACTGCCAGTAAACTTGAACGCCAGCTAGCGCGTAGAAAGGTCGACCAATCACAGAGCTTGATAACCACCTAGCAACCAATGTTGACAGCCGCTTTCGCAGCCCAAATCTGGACTTCAACATTCACGTCGCAAACCTCATCGCTACACCACCGCAGGTCGGCTGATTCTTACCGTCATTCGCTACTTACGCCAGAGCCAAGCAAGTTCAAAAGACTACCACCGCGCCATTTCGATTCGCGATCAGCACCCGACCTCGAGCCATGAGACCATCGCTACAACAATAATCTACAGAGAGGTCCAAGATGGGCGCACCAGAACAGCTACCAGCCTTCCCATGCTGGTGCCGCGCGACATACTCTTGGGGCGGAGAGAGCAAGAAGGACCTTGGCTTCATCGAAGGAGACCTGATCGAGGCGCTCAATGCAGGTGATGGACTCTGGTGGATGGGAAGACTGAGGAGAGACCCGCGAGCCATTGGGCTGTTTCCCAGCAACTTCGTGAAGGTCTTGGAAGGCTCTTTCCAGCCAGCGCCTAACAGTCGCAACCCATCTCCTCTTACGAAGGTCCCTTCGCCACAGAAGACTCCAGCTAAGAGCGGAGTATTCCGAAAACCATTCCAGGCCTACGACGAGGTCGGCAAAAGACCAAGCTTAGACGGTGTCAAAGGCAGAAATGGGACGCCTGAGAATGACAAGAAGAGCAAGTTCAGGCCATACTCGAGCATGAAGACCGCACAGGCGCCGACTGGAACTCTCAAGAAGGACAGCAATGGCAGGCCAATACTTACGAAGGAGGAGAGCACATCTTCGATTCCTGCTCCACCACCTCGAAGTCGGTCCAGAAGTCCAATGCCACCGCCCAGTACAGAGCCTCCATTGTCCCGACAGCAAACGCATATGTCCTACCATCCACCTCCCGCGGAAGCTATGTACCGAGCGGTATCGCCCCAGCCGGGATATCGAGCTGTCTCTCCGGCGCCATCCCGTACTCATTCTCCTCTGCCAGGATCATACAACGATGGCTCAGCATATCCCCAACTTATTCCATCCCGCGGGCCTTCGCCAAATCCATACCAGCAGCAGGCATATCGAGCACCGTCTCCTCAGCCACAAGATTATTTTGACTACCAGGGTTCGCGCGTGCCATCGCCTGCGCCGTATGAGGAGGACGATCTTGGTTCCTCACCACCACCTCCACCTCCGCCGACGCACCGAGTGGTATATCAACCAACCCGTGCGCCCTCGCCGCAGCCTTACCGCACTCGAACACCAGAACCACCTTCGCCCGGCCCAGGTGCCCATGGAATGACTCCGTCGCCTCTGCGGGATGCAATGAATGATGTCATGTCTTCGTTGCAAGATATGAGTGTGCTTCAACGGGACGGCGTACCTCTGCGGAATGAAGCTCCGGTCAATGTGTGGTCGCCAGATGAGTTTGAGATGGTGCGGACGAGATCGCAACAGCAGCATCAGCGCGCACAATCCTCGCTGGGATTTACATCGAGACAGAACTCAACTCACGGTTATGGCGGAAGCCAGACACCCTCAGTGCCTTCCTCTAGGGACGGACCACCTCAACTGGAAGACTTTGTGCAGCGTATGGAGCGACAGCTGCGGCACACGAAATCTAACATTTCGTACTCATCCGACAATCCTCCAGCACCGCCACTGAAAGGCTCACAATATGCTACATCGCGGCCAACCACGTCCGGCAGCTCATCAAGTCAGGGCTCGCAGGGCGCGTATCAGATGCATTCTTCTCAACGGCGGCCAAACTTACGACAGCAGAAGTCTGCTTACGAACTTGGAAGGACGTATACCACAAAGACGAATGTCACGAACTCTACGGAATCATCGTCTGCGACCCAGAGCAGCAATAGCACGCAGCTGACCAGCCGAAGCATTATGTCTGGCTACTCTGCAGGCGGTTTCAGCGCTACGAGCGCCGGCAGTCTCGCGCGGAAACGGTTCGGCTTGGGCAGCCAGAGAAGCAAACGAGGCATGACGATGATGGAGAATAAGTCAACACCAGACATTAGCTCTAGCGCAAGGAGCGTCGCCATGAGCGAAGTGTCAGGTCCCAGCTACCATGAAAGCCACGCCTCTGCCAACTTCCCCGTAACGACGCCAACGGCAGACTGGACGAAGGACCCAATGGATGATATGGGAGCTCTGGGAGGACTGAGCGCTGTGAAAGCGAAGAAGAGCAATTTCTTCAGGAAGATGATGGAGAGTGCGAGGTCTACTGCTCGGACGGGTGCAGCGAGTGCAAGATCGACTATTGGCAGCAGACCGGGCAGTCGATCTGGCTCTGTCAGTCCGACGAAGGGTATTACAGGTATTGCCGGCGGTCTGGCTTCTCGGCCTGGCTCTTCGATTGGAGCACCCGCGAGAGATATGGGTCTGGGCGGCGGCGCCGGGGACTGGATGCAGGTCCGACGCGACGTCAACAGGTCCAATTCTCTGAGTCGAAGAGAGCGCGAAGAGAGGGCAGAGAGGTGCGAGATGATGGATCTCATGGTGATGAACCCGATCGACCAGCTACTCCAGATGGCGGAGGGAGATGAGAGCCTCGATGGTCTGCCCGTGACGGATCCAACAGACTTCAACACGCCGAATCTGGCTTTGGTTGACAAGAGCACACGCTTCATACAGAGTGTGCCTCCCATGATCAATGCAGCTGCTCTTGCCCAGAGCTACATCTGCCGGCCGCAGCGAAGCGATGTGCAGCGAGCAAGAGCGATCTTTACCTGGGTCGCCGAACGCATTACCTGGGAAGAGGACTTCGAGGGGCAAGTGGACACCAGAAGGGTTATCCAGACGAAGCGTGGTTGCAGCGAGGAGATTGCTGTGCTGGTCAGGGACATGTGCAATGCTGTTGGCCTCCAGGCGGAAGTCATTCGCGGGTACTTGAAGGGTCCTGGCGAGGTTCTGGATCTTGACACGCTGGCCCGGCCGAATCACTGGTGGAACGCGGTCATTGTTGATCACGAATGGCGCATCATGGACTGTAGCCTTGCTGGACCGACGCATCCCAAACGAGGTTCATATAGCGGCGCGAGCAGTCAGGTTGCCGAACCTTGGTACTTCCTCGCCCGGCCGATGGAGGTTTGCTACACGCATATCCCACTTTTGCCGGAGCAGCAGCACATTGTACCGCCTGTGCCGCACGAGGTCCTCTGCGCGCTGCCCTACGCTTGTCCCACGTACTTCAGGAATGATGTCGAGCTTTCTGGGTTCGACAATAGCATCCTCCATCTCGACCATCTGGAGATGACGCACCTGCACATCAATGTTCCTGAAGACGTTGAGTGTGTCGCCGAAACAGAAGCTAGAAGCTTCGCGCAAGACGCGGATGGCGACTACTTCGAGAGCGGCGAGATGGTCAAGAAGAAAGCGCTTGCTCAACCAGAATGGGTCGCTGGTCGCAAGCGTTATACCATTAAGGCTCTCCTACCTGGGGACGATGGTCAAGGTGTGCTCAAGATCTACGCTGGCAAACGAGGGCTCATGCACAGCATCAAGGACAACCCACACTCGCTCGCTTTGGCAGTGCCTCTGACCCACACAGGGCAGAATCCGCCTTACGACTTCCTCACCCGACATCCGACACCGCATGCGCAGCGTCACGACCTCTACATCGCCCAGCCCCAATGCGCGCGGTTGGTGCTGAACAACACCTTCGTCTTCTGCGTGCGCCAGCACCCATCTTCGCTCTCGCGCTTCACGCCCGATACCTGGGGCTCCGGCGGCAACACCCAGTCCAACGGCCCGCCCGCCCCTTACACCCGCCCCGGAAGCGCAATGAGCATGACCCCCTACGCCCGCCCCGGCAGCGCCATGTCCATGGTCTCCGCCACCGTCTCACAGAGCGGGAGCAGCAACTACTCGGACGGCGCGCAAGGCATGACAGCCGCGCAGCAGAAGCCGGCGAAACTCGCGATCCAGTCGCCGAGTCAGAAGATTATCCGCTTGACGCGGAAGCAGGAGCATATGCTGCGCGGGTCGGCGGAGGAGGATGGGTTGACGACGAGCTGGGAGACTGTGATTAAGGTTGGGGAGAGGGGGACGTGGAGGGGTTTGGTGTTGGCGGATCGCAGTGCGCGGTGGTGTGTTTTTGGGGAGTGGGAGTGTGTTTGATCTTTATCCCGTCTTGTGGGAGGGATGGAAGGGGTGTTTGGGGACTGTATAAGACACGCAAGCATAGATATGGGAGGTATATGGGTAGGCAAGCATTGCATAGAGCTGCGAAAGGCACACAGCCGCGGCGGGATGGTGTGGGTTGGGTTTGGCGTTGGGGGGTGTCTGATAGTAACACAAACGCCTTCGCGTCATTGGACATCTCATCGCCGGTGCCTTCGGTTTCCCTTCGCGTTGCAAAAGCAGATCTTATACCATACTGAGACTGAGGCGTGCTGGCGCTGGCTCGAAGCACGGACGGCGGCGTTGGCGGAGCAGCGAGAGCCATTCGATTCCGACCTCACGCGTCTTCACGCGTCTGGTCCCACTCCCTGGCTGCATTAGCCGGTTTCTTGTCCAAGGCTGTGTGCTACTGATGAGATACTCTGCTCTGCCTCTACTCTCCTCGTTGTTCATTAGAGATACCATACACACATTGAGAAATAAGAAGCAGTCGTGAATTGCTGGCAACGAAACAATTACAAATCTACACGGCCTACGAGGCCTCACTTCAGGCTTCTCACGCCCCCCTCCTCCGCCACCAAAACGCGTCGAGTGCACAATGGCGACTCACGCCCCAATGGCCAGAGTGCCGTTCGCTCCGCTCGATAGTCCGCGACTGCAGCATCTCGTCAACGCGAAGAATCGTCAGAATGGTATGGCGAGCACTTGATCACTACCAGATATATCACATTTCTCACAAAATCAGGCCTTCTAGCACAAAAGACTCCCTCCATCGGCAAACCCAGTGTCTCACTGAACAAGACACTGTCTTCCCCTGCCAAACGAACGTTCGACGCCACCGATTTCGACGAGAACGATAGCGAGAACGTCGATCCGGCTATCCTGTTCTCGCCTTCGAAGAAGAGCAAGAGCGATGGCATGGAGAAGGCGTCGAAACCATTCACCTTTTCTCTCACCCCGTCGAGCAAGTCAATGCCGCCTCCGCCGACCATCCCATCTCGCCTCTCGACACCCGCTAGAGCCAACATCTCGTCCCCACGAGCTCCCATGACCGCACCTGCTGGACGCAGCCCGAAGCGTAAAACGACTGGCGTGAACAAGAACCGTCGAGTGTCGGCGCCATTCACGCGTATCGACCCTCCCTTCGCTTCACGCGGCTTCTCCACCCTCCCCTTCAGCCTCGACGCCGCGCTCAACGGCACCTTCTCCACCCCGTCTGCTCCCAAGTCCACCAGCGCAGCGATCCAAGAAGCCAGCATGCCCAAGACCTGGTTCTTCGACATCTACGAAGACACGCCCGAAGAAGCCGCCGCGACGCTCATGGAGCACAGCACGCTCACCCTCGACCTCAGCTCCGACGAGGAGAGTCAGAAAAAGGAGAAGGATGGACGCGGGAAGGAGAATATGCCGCCAGAGGGGTATGATGCCCCGACTGCTTCGCGGGCCGTGAGTGAGCCGGTGGTGGCTGCGCCGAAGAGGGTAAGGAAGGGGGAGATTGTGCGGAGGAAGGTTGTCGGGGTTGATGAGATGGATGATGGGGAGAGGGGAGTTTTGTCTGTGCTTGAGACGGAGGACTTTATCCCGGAGGGGTTGAGCAAGGACTCGCACGTTATCGTCAACGCTGCTGTGGAGACCACGGTGGTTGAGGAGAAGAAGTCGAGCGCGTCCAGCTTGTTCGCTGCTCCTGTCGATTTTACGTCTGGCGCAGAGAAGAAGTCAGCCGCCTCGACTCCCGCGAAGGGTATGCGCAACATGCCTGTCGTTAACGCCGACGGCGACTTGAAGGGCGACATCATTATCTGGGAGGACAGCGCTTCCTCTGAGTCCCCGTCCTCTCCGAGCGTACAACAACCGGTTGCCGGCACGCTTGGCAAGGGCCTGGTCGCTGACGAGAACGCTCCTCCGACTGACGAGAACGATGTTGTGTCTTAATTTGGCTTTTGTTCTTTTACGACTTGCTTGTATGCTGGGTGGAATATGGGAGAGGGTGGGTGGCGTTGCTGTTGGGTATGCTGTCTGCTTTATTCTCGTACTGTACTGGGCTAGTTCTATGGTGTACGATTCTGTTACGGCAATGCGAGATGCTTCCCTTACTCTCATGGCCACTCTTTCTTTCCATCGCTCTCGGTCACTGCTGGAAGCTCCCAAAGACAGTGATCGGTTCAAGGTCTCCAGTCTGCTATATCCGCCCTTGCCACCATATCCAAAACACCGTCCAGCCCATGCAAGGCTCCGTCCCCTCCCCTCCTACCCCCCACACCGGTATCCCCAACTCACCAGCATCCTCAGCGATCAACTCTGCAAATCCGAAGACATTGCCAACCACTCGACAACCGTCGCCGACACCACCATGGCCATTACAGCCCTGATGCACTTCTGGGAAGCTACCGAATTGTCGGTTGATGAGGATCAGAATATGAAGTGTTTGAGGATTTGTCGAGCAGGCCGGACGCTTCCGTTCGGCGGGGTGTCGAGATCAGGGCCACTGCTGTCTTTTGACGGGCGCCATTGCTTGTCTCCTTGGTGCTCTCGATGGTGGATAGTGTCACTTTTAAAAACCCCTCGGACTTTACTCTCTGTTCAAGCCAGAAAGGATTAAATTGCCGTTTCCAAGGCGTTTCTCCCCACGCCAGAGAGATCGATATCTCACCAATTTGCGCTCAGTTCGCTGCAAACCCTACCAAGCTGTCCAACTCTTCTGAACAAAACCCTACTTCTTCCCCTTCCTCTTCCCCCCCTCCTTCCCCCCCTCCTGCCCAAACCCCGCCCCCAGCATCGCCTCCCTCGCCACCGAGTTAATAATCCGAAACCGATCCGGCCCCAACTGCACCCCCCCATACCACCTCGTCACCACAACCATACACCCCCAAACCCCCATCAACTCCATCAAATGCAGCACCCTCCCGCCCGCCGCCGTCTCCCCATCATCATCGCAGTCCTGGAACTGCACGCCCCCTTCGCCGCGAATGCGCCAGGCGGTGATGTTGTGCGTGGCTTTGGCGACTTTCTTGTCCGTGGAGAGGAGGTGGGTTAGGTATTGCTTTGCTTGGTCGACGGAGGTTACGGGGGCGCAGCGGGCGAGGAAGATGGATTTCTTTTCTGTGATGACTGAGGATAGCGTCCAAGGGGGTGGTGGTGCGAGGTCCCAGTCGGGGGGCTGCGGGGCGTCAGAACTCTGCTGCTGGTGGTGGTGGGTGGTGGGAGCTGAGGAAGAGGATGCTGCCTGACCGTGCGTTTGAGCAGTTTGTTCTTCCGGAGGCCTTGCGCTGCGGTCGAGGCCGAGCTGCTGAAGGCGCGTGGTGACTTCTTCGATGAGGTCGAAGACGCATGCGGCGCCGGGGGTGTAGATTTCGGCCAGAGCGTCGCGGGTGAGGGAGACGAGGTGGCTGCCTTCGCCTTTCGCAACATCGTCGCCGGTCGATTTGGTGCCTAGGATTGAGGGTGGCGCATCCGGGTAGTCTGGTGGAAACTCTATATGCAGCGAGATGCTGGGTTGGGATGGAAATGTCAAGGCATAATGGGCTGCCAAATTTTGGTCTTGCACAAGCGTATCATCTCCGTAGATCGCATTTATGGAGGTTACTTCATCCTGTACCTCATCTGACATGGCATATCGTGCAGGTTGTGGACCAAGTACAACGGGGAAGCGAAGGAAAGAAGTTTGTGGAGGTTGAAGGCTCTTGGCATTCAGTGGTCTGAAAGACCGGCACGCTACATAACCTCATCAAGTCTCATGCACTGGCTGCCCACTCGCCGAACCAGCGTCTCATGGTATCATCATATCAGGTCTTCTCTACTTCTTACCCGTAGGAATCTGGAACGCCTGCACACTCCCTCCATGCAACATCGGCTGGTCGATCCTGAAGAAGCCCTTCCGATCGAACTGCACAATATCACCCTTCTTCAGCTCCGCAACATTGCAATCCGCAAGCGCTTCCGTCTTGAACTCCGTCACCTCCGTCAGCACATCCTCCAGCTGATCGTCCTCGCTCAACTTATCTTTCGTGATCAGGAAGTCAAAATCGTACAGCGTGATCGGCACCAGCTCCTGGTCTGTCGACAGCCATGTGACCTTCTTCGCTGTGGTCTTGACGTCTCCCTGTAAGTGGAGTTCGAGCTCGATGTTGGTGATGAGTTTCTGGTCCGAAGACTTGATGAGGTTGAGCGGGTTCATGGAGAAGGACTTCTTGCGCACGATGGCGTTGCCCCAGTTCATGAGCGTGATCTCCTCGTCGTCGGCGAAGGACTGCGCGTCTGCTTGATCGAGGATGATGTTCTTACTGAAGACGACTTTCTTCTTTCCTAGCTCGGGATTTTTCGCGTGCACGTCCTTGTCTTCTGTCCTGGTAGCTTCTGGCGCACCCATCACCGTGCATGTCACTTTATTGTTGGTCTCGACCGCAGTATAGCGTGCTGCTACCGGGTCGATGAACTTCTTGTTGGTAGCCCAGAAGCTCGTCCAGTCCATCAGGTTAATGTTCTTGCTTGGCCCCTGCTTGAGAATGAACTCCTGGAGAGCTGGGATGGTCATGCCGCGGCGGTGGATACCACGAACAGTAGCCATACGAGGGTCATCCCAGCCCCAGACTTTGCCTGAATCAACCAACTTGGTGAGCTTCCGCTTCGAGAGTAGTGTGCGGATGAAGTTCATGCGTGAGAAGTTCCAGTTATGGACTTTGCGGAGACTGAGAGCTGTAATGAACCACTGATACTGCGGGTCGCGGTCATTATATTCAGTCGTTCTGAGCGCATGTGTGACACCTTCGATGGAGTCAACGATTGGGCAAGCGAAGTCGTAGGTCGGGTATATCTTCCAGGTGCTGCCGGTACGATGATGGGCTTGCGGGTTGCAGCGGTAGATGGCAGGATCTCGCATTGCGCCGTTGTTGCTGCTCATATCGATCTTGGCTCTGACGAACCACCTCGTTCCTTCTTCGCTGCCTTTCTTCATCTCCTCGAAATGCGCTAGATTATCTTCGACAGAATCGTTACGGTGGGAACTCTCAATCCGGTTCTCGCGCTCCTTCCTTAGCTGCTCCTGTGGGGTGTCGTCTGCATACGCCTTGCGGTCCTTGATCATCTGCACGCACCGCTCGTAGAGGTCCTGGAAGTAGTCGCTTGTGTACGTGACCTGATCGTACTTCACGCCAAGCAGCTTGCAGTCTTCCAGAATGGAGTCCTCATACTCTTGCTTCTCCTTGGAGGGATTGGTGTCGTCGAACCGCACTATCATCTTGCCGTCATATTTCACGTGGGCGAAATAGTAGTTGAGGTAGGCGGCCTTGGCGTGTCCGATGTGCAGATAGCCGGATGGCTCTGGTGGAAACCTAGTAACGACACCCTTCTCCGTGTCCGGAAGTCCGATGTCATAGCTCGCACCTTCATCGACAGCGCCGCCTTTCGCTCGGGTGGGCAGGTCAATGGCGGGCTGGGCCGTGTCTGCGATGAAGTTGAACCAGCGGGCAACATTGACCATCCGGCCACTCTTGATGAATGCAGATGTAGCAACGTGATTGGCTTTGAGTGTAGTCCAGACTGCCGTGTCTGCATCGGTGAGGTTGTAGCCGACGATGTATGACCGGAGAGTCAGATGGTCGTTGAGTTCGCTGAGAGGGCCTTCCACCTGCTTGGGGTTGGTAGGCTTGAGCGCTTCCGCGCGCTGCTTCCATTCTTCGACTTGGGCGTCCATGTTGGCGTACTATTGACTCGAGATCAGGTCGCAAGTTCAGAGGTGTATTCCCTCAGTGCAGTCGGTTTCCTCTAAAGTCTTGAAGAAGTTAGACTGGAAAATTCGTTCCGACCTCAGGGTTATACAACCCTGACCAATGTCGTCCCTTCCCTTTCGTCTTCCTCCTCTCTTCCTCCCAGCTGCCGCTTCCGCTCACACTCACCAGACCAGGAGTTCACACGGTACGAAATGCGGCTCGCCGGAGAAGCAGAAGGCTCCGAAAACTTGGCCCTCAGAATGCATCTAGACGACTTGCGCCATCATCAAAAGGCAGACCAATGGCAGACGCCAAACGCCTTTCTTCAAAACTTCCCGCTCTCAAAGTTCCAGAATCGTGCTGGACTCACCAATAAGGTGAGACAATGGCTAAGCCAATTCCGGCCTCCATCGAGACTTCACACTTCAGCACAACCTTCTTCCTTGACCACCTCATCCACACGGCACACTCTTCCAAATTGCCACAGTGGCTATCTGGACCCGTTTCATCTGGTCGACGCGATATCAACAGGCTTTTGTGGTGCATGCTGCGTCGCCAATCCAGCGCCAGAGACTGCATCCGACAAGATGGCTTCGGCTGGAGCCCTCCACTTGCTCTGAAATTCACATCCACTTCAAACCATGTCACACCCATAAACAGACAGGCCCCTAGGTCTTCCCACCCTTGGCCCGAGCACCGTCTGGTTGTTCCCTCCACCGTAGCCAAGCTTCGCCACGGGCTGAACGTTGCCATAGCCTGAACAGCAGTTCTGGAAGTTGGAAGCCGCCTTCCGGCGCCTCCCGTCATGCAGAGGTTCATCATCCTGTCGCCAATCAGCGCCATGAGACGTTGCCTGTCTTGATGAAGACACCTGCAACATGCATCTTCTACCGAGATCCGATAAGATGGCTTGATGCCATTGTCACCTCCCCTTGAACATGCTTGCACATGTCGGTGGAGACACAATCCTGCTTGATCGAGCGGCGTGGGATTATGCTTCAAGGGGTGAGGATACAAGTAAGTACCGATTTCTCTCGAGAGTGTGAGCGACTCTTTCATCCATCTTCAGTCTCTTCAAGTCGGTCTTTACCACCCAGATTCTAGTCATTCGTTTGCCCAATTGTTTAACCCAGTCATTCGTTTCCACATCGATTCTTACCTACAGCCCACTACCATCCACCGAGACCATATCAAGATCAAAGTAATCTCATCATGAAGACGTTCTTCGGGCTCGTTGTGGCGTTGGTCGCCCTTTTCCAGTTGGCACTCGCGGCTCCAGTGGTTATCGTTGACCCTGGCAACGCAGGGGACATAATCATCACCAAGGAGAACACCATCAACGCCACAAACCCTGCTCCACCCTCTTCCAACTCTTCCACTCTTGCAGCGCAGAAATGGACGAAGAGTGGCAAGCTTCCACTCGCTTTGAGGAACAACTTCCCGGGCGGAGCTATCAATGCATACGTTACTGGACTGGACCGGAACAACCGCCTCGTCATGCTCAAGCCGGACGGCACCTTCTTCTATCCCTCAGCGAACAGAAACATTGCTGCACCGCAACTGGTGACCGCCAATGTGGCTATCCCATTGGGCGCCCGAGGAAGCACGAAACATATCACCATCCCAGACTACATCTCCTCGGCCCGAGTTTGGTTCGCGGAAGGGAAGCTCAAGTTCTTCACGATCTACTCTGACGCCAGCGGCGGACCGTCCCTCGTCGAACCCTCAGCCGTCAATCCGTCGGACCCGTCCTCCGCGATCAACTGGGGCTTCGTAGAGCTCACGAACACCGCGAACGGCGGTCTGTATGCGAACATCAGCTATGTCGATTTCGTCGGCCTCGTGCTGGGCATGAAGCTGGACAGCGCGGATGGCACACAAATTGCAAAAGGCTTGCGAGCCGACGCCGTTTCTTCGATCTGCAAGGAATTGAAGGCTCAGGGTGCAAGAGACGGAAATCCTTGGGGAGACCTGTGCATGGTTGGACCCGGCGGCAAGCCTCTCCGTGTGCTTGCACCAAGCGACTATGTCGCCTCCAACCCAAGAGCTTTCGGCAACTACTGGAACGATTACAACAACAAAGTCTGGTCGCACTACACGTCTAACCACCTGACCATCAACACGCAGACTGCACGAGGCCACGTCAACTGCAAAGTCTCTGGCAACCAAATCAAATGCGATGGCGACAACAGAGGGTACGCGAAGCCCACCGCTGGCGACATCTTCGGCTGCAACTCGGGTCCATTCGGCATTCTCGGCTCCGACAACGACGTCCACCGTGCTGTGGTCCCGAGGCTGTGCGCTGCTTTCAACAGAGGGACACTACTCAAGACTGGCGGCAACATTCAGCCCGGTCTGGCTGCTGATCACTACTACTCGACGACGCCTTCGAATTGGTACAGCAAGTTCGTGCATCAGTATGAGGTTGATGGCAAGGGATATGCTTTCCCGTACGATGACGTGAACCCGGCCATTGGTGTCGACCAGGCCGGCGTGGTTGCGGATGCTCAGCCGGAGCTGCTCACTGTTATTGTCGGAGGGCCGTTGTAAGGCGAGCTGTAGCAGGTTCTACAGAATTGCCCAACTTTTATATATAGATAAATATACCTTCTGACAGACCTCTCTACGAACAATCAAGAGTCTTCGTCTATGGTAATCTCTCTCTCAACCCTTCCACCAAGCTATCTACAAGCTTATTCGTCATCTCCAACCCGGGATCATGATCCGGATTCACCTCTGCAACCATCAATCCACAAACTTTGTCATGATTGAGTAATCCCTTCACCGCTCTAATGACCTCGTTAAACCCAGCGCCCGTCCGCTGCGGCACATTGGCAAGTGGAAACGCTGTCCCATCGATAGCGTCGACATCCAGATGCACGAAGATGTGGTCCACACGATTCTCAAGAAACCGAATCGCCTGCTTCGCCGCCGATTTGGGATCTTTCGCCACCGCGGCGGAAGTGAAGACCCGATATCCTTCGTCCATCAGATAACCCATCTGACTTCTCGTATTGCTCTGCAGCGCGGTGTTGAGGCCAAATAACACGACATTACTCGCATCAACCACTCCTTCGCCATCTGGGCGGGTGAAGGGGCGCATACTCTCCAGTGCTCCGGGCGCCATCGTGAGGTGCGTGAATGTCATGCTGGCTAGGGTACCGGAAGACTCTGGGCCGGGGACGCTGAGGTCGGCGTCAGCGTCGACGTATATGAGACCAATTCGTGCGGGTGCAAGGCCTTGCCAGAGCGCTGAGAGGACGGCGGGGAGGTTGTTGCATTCGCCTCCTATAACCAGTTGGAATGGCGGGTCGGAGTACTGGTTCGAGAGCCCGTCCAAGATTGTCCGCTTGACTTGATGGTTTACTTCGACGTTCGCCGCTTCGTTGCGGACGCCGTTTGGTGCGGTCGATGGGTTGAAAGACCACGTCGCCGGGCCAGAGGGAAGGGCATTTTGCTCTGTGACATTGTAGCCGGCGGCCTCCACCTTGGGGATGAGTTTGGCTTTCCTGAAGGCTTCAGGGGCGAGGGATTTGCCCTTGAGGAGAGAGCCGATGTCTGAGGGGATGTTGGTTACGGTGAGCTGGTGGGTCGTAGACATGGTGTCTTCCTAGATGTATCCGCAGTCGTATGGTCGCTTAAACAGATGACTGAGCGCTCTTGTCCTACCTTATGTACTTGACTACACCCTCAAGACTGCTCAGCGGGTGTGGATTAGCTGACTCCTTGTCGACAGGGCGTGAGATTACTAATGCCATGGCCTGCAACAACAAGTTCATCTCATGTCTTGACCACTACGAGAATCGTCTTCCATAACGCGAAGGAATCGAGGAGCGTTCAATGGCTTTTTTCATAGGGCTGAAGTCGGCCGCATCGTTGTGTGCTGTTGTTCGTGGCCTCGAGACCTCGTGTTGACCACCAACGACCACCAACAACGTCCTGCTTGAACAGCCGACACTTTCGATGCCAGCCATGTTATCACTCCGTGGCGAAACACCGTTCGATGCATCAAACACATTCTTCCTTGTGCCAGTCTAAGCGTATGAGTGGTATTCTGGCGGCCGAGGGTCGGAGCGGGGAGGAGCTTGACCTTATTGATTTTGGACGACGAACATTTCGAACAGTCCTTACAACGATTATTTCAGCCGAACATGGCGCCCAGCAAAGAATCGCAGGCCCTTGCTGAACTCTTTGGAAAGCTCGCAGGAGCATGGCCATCCGATGGTGATCCATACTTGAGCAGATGCATATACGAACAAGTCCATAGCGTCGCCAGTGAGGCGGAGGGGGTAAGTAACAACCGACTCGTCAAATCGATGTACTGTTCATATACCTCGACTTACCAACAAAAATCAGGTCAGTTACAAAACCGTCTCCGCCGGCGGTCGTCCCAGTCTCTGGATCCAACCCTCAGGAGCATCAGACCAACACGTCGTCCTCTTCATGCACGGCGGCGGCTTCAGTTTCGGCTCCACCAACTCACACAGGAAACTCGCATCCCATCTAGCCAAAGCCTGCAACTGCATGAGTCTCTCAGTCGAGTACCGCTTAACCCCCGAACACGCCTTCCCTGTCCCTCTGGACGACTGCGTGGATGCGTACAAATGGCTGCTTGACCAGGGTTATAAGGCCGAAAACATTGTTGTCGCCGGCGACTCTTGCGGTGGTGGCCTGTCTGCGACAGTCCCGTTAGCAGCTGTCGAGAGAGGACTTCCCAACCCTGGCGCAGCGGTGGCGTTGTCACCGTGGTACGACCTAACCAACGGCGGGGAGTCATTCACGACGAACGAAGACAAGGATGTACTGAGCAGCAAGGAGAGTGTCAAAGTCATCACCGACCGGTATATCGCTGGCGGCACTTCGAAGGAGAATCCGCTCGTTAGTCCGATCTACGCCAACCTCTCTGGTTTACCGCCAACGTGGATTTCGTGCGCTGGGTTCGATATGCTGAGGGATCAAGGCGCACTGCTGGCGGAGAAGGCGAAGAAGGCTGGGGTGGATGTTACGCTGGATATGCATGAGGGACAGCAGCATGTTATGGAGTTTATGGCTGGGATGGCGCCGGAGGCCAATGATTCTCTTCAGAGGATTGGGGAGTGGGTTAGAAAGAAGATTGGGTCTTGATCAGTAATGTTACACAGAAAGCGATGTAGCTCACGATATCAGCCATAGTAAATCTGGATCTTGCCGTCCCCGACATTCATGGAAGATGCGAACAGATATCTGGCATTCTTCTCCTCGCTGTCCCAGCCATGCCAAAGGATGAGTTGGTTGTTTGCCACCACGAGCATATCGGCGCCACCGGGTCCATAGTAGTTGTCGTTGGTGACAATGAGAGGCGCATCCGGAGCCTGAGCCTTGGTGTAAGAGCAGGCCACACAATCCGATGTTGCGTACGAGGTGTCGTAGTACTGAGAGTCGTACATGTTCGAGGAGAACGTCAGGTAGTAGGTGCCGTCTACCTTCACCAGACTAGGCGCCTGCGGAATGTGTCAATCTTCGTGTCTGGACAGCATACTAGTAATTGCATCCTTACCTCGACCAACGGACCGTCGGCTTCGTCTCTGTCAAGAATCTTCGTGGGTGTGCCAATCTTGGAGTATCCATCATCCTCAACCTAAGACAAGTCAGGATGGGAACAGATTTAGCCTGAAGCCTTCAGGATAGAACGTACCTGCTGGATCATGATCGGCGTGCTATCGTGACCAGCACTGTTGCCGTCTACTTTCCACAAAACCCACCGGCTTCCATCCTCATCGAGGAACTGGTCCGGGTCGATGTCTCCGGTGTCCTCGTCGCATACCCAAGGGTCATCTTGGGGCTGGAATGGACCCAGCGGATCCGTAGAAGTAGCAAAACCAACGCAGTGCTTTGCTGCATCACCAGTCGAAGAAGCAATGGCCGAGAACATCATATTGTAGACACCGTTGCTCCCTGGCGTGACATCCGGAGCCTGCTCTAGCAGTCAGAAGTGATCCTTACACTTGGGCTAGCGCAACAGAACGATCCGCTTTACTAACTCACCCAAACCTGAGGGTTTTCTGGAGACCAAGGAATGCCGGCAATGCCATCGTGGCCTTCTTGCAGTGTCCAATCAACTCCGTTATCTGAGACTGCCACCTGACACTGGACCCCATTGCCGGCGGTAGCGTATGCATAGTATCGTCCATCAGCTGCCTGCATGACACTCGGATCAGGGAAGTCTTTGGCGATAGCTGGCTCAATCGTTTGCCTTTTGATAGGTGAGATAATAGGCGAGGCGCCGGCGCCGAGAAGAAGCGCAGACAGCGCAGCTGCCTGGAGGGAAGTCGAAGGGATCATGTTGCGGTAGATATGGAAACAAGCAGAGGTATATTCCAGGAGACAAATACGAGAGACCGGAACGAGATGGAGGAGATACGAAAAGGTTTGAAGCACACAACTTACCTTGCGAGGACCACGACGAACATATATGTTCCAAACCTCGCCCCCATTCGAGCGAGGCGAGGTATAGTGACGACTCCGCTGCTGCCGTATTCTAGCCCAAGCGCCGGCAGCTGAACGCCTTGACGTTACAGCTCAGTTTGAGAAGCCTGACGTCGAAACCCTCTGTCCCGAAGTGGAGTGATCCCGGTCCTGGTCTTCGCCTCTCATCACATCTCTGTTGGAGAGGCTCGAGAGAGGCTCACAAGGGGCCCCGCACTCGCGTTGGATGATCTTCGAAGGTTACTTTCGGACGTGCCGGAGGAGGTCGTTGGGTTGTTGATTCAATTGCCGCGTAGCTCGGTTCCGCCTGGGCTTCGTATGTAGAAACGTGTGTAGACGGTCGTTTCCTAGTCAGCCAACTTTCATACTCAACAGCATTATCCTTGGGGCTTGTCGACAGCCAGGCAGTGCGCGCACTGGCGGGTCTCAATTTTGCGCGTTGTTTTGCATCCACGCAAAGCCACACGGCAAGGGGTCGATGCGGGTTGCAGATCTCACAGAATTATCTTTAGCGCCGTTGATTTACAGCTCAAACAAGAAGGTAACATGGGTTAAGTTGGAACCTTACTATTTGATGATGAGGAAGTTGAAGCAAGGAGCTTCGAAGTACGGACAGGGTATTGGGTAAGGATGAGCAGCGAAGAACTCTTCCCGACTCTGTCCACGTGGAGAGCCCGACAATTCGATTGCTGCAACAGCCAGTCACCAACCAGCTTTGGTTGATCGGCTCGCGAGCGCAACTTAGAGAGGGTGCATGTAGACAACACTCGGAGAATAAACTCGAAATGGAAATGTAAACGCCTTTCAATGTAGTAGCGAGCGATCGCAGAAACTACATGCCCCGTAGCCCAGGTCGTAATATCATGAATGCCTCTTAGCACCTGCATTCTTGTATTTCGTTTCCGTAGATCCGCTCGTGGGCGGTCATCATGTATCGTCGTAAAGCTCATAAACCGCTACTGAGCGAGCTCTTTCTTGCCACTCCCGTAAATGATGTCGTACACCGGGTCCGACGTCAACGGTGGCTGAACTCCAAGCTGGTGCGGGCAGGATGGTTGATTGCTGACAGCCATGTTCAAGGTGCAGACTTCGTCGATGCCCAGGGTGCATTGCGTATCGGCAATGTTGTACAGAACGTGGTTCTGACCAACCCAAGAGTCCGCCCGGCAACTGGTGATGTAGTTCATGCTGTTTGCTGCAGTAAATCCTAGCTTCCCATCGCCAGCCTTCATGATGTCCGCGCATTGAGACATCTCCACTTTTTCGTAGGTTGCTGCGAGACCGCCCCCTTGGACAGGATTCTGCAGAGCGGACTGCCCAGTCATGAGATAGTTCCAGGCATCGTAACTGATGTCGTAGGCGCCGCCGGACGAGTCAATTTGGAGCAGGTTGACGCTCCTTCCGTTAGCATTGACGCGGATGCACATGCCGTCGCAGGATGGTGTTCCGGGCCAGTAGGCAACTCGATTGACATCCAATTTGCACCCTAGGACACCGATGGAAGAGCTGTACCGGTCGTGCGGAGTGATCGAGACTCCGGTTCCACGCTTCACAGGGATGGTCAAAGAAGTGGCGGTGGTGATCGCTGTGGCAGCGGCAAAGATCGTGGAGGTCTTCATTTTGCTAAAAAGCCGGGTCGTCTAGAGAGCGGTTCTTGTAGATTTGCTTGTCTTGAGAATGAGTGCGAGGTATCTGTTGTAGAGACTGTGGAATGCAAAGAGAGTGTTATACTGATTTGTAGAGACTGGAAATATTCTGGTGAACACCAAGGGAGTGTGTAAACCTCACAAAAGACAGCTGATGGAAGAGAGAAAGCCCAGAAGAATACTGCGACGGCACATGGTTGTTATAGATGCTCTTACCGGCCTTACCTCACGATCTCGACCCGCACAGAAACCTCAACCCGTCGGCTGGTCCACACAAAGTAGGTGTGATAAGTGGGCGTCTTGGGCGTCTGGACCATGTGGAAGAGGATGAGCGGTGCAGCAGCGCAGCCGTCCTGTACTCCACCCTCAACGTCGGTGGAGACGGGTGCAAGCACGACGAGGTCATCCTCGGGGTGAGGTGCTTCAGGCGGATGCGGGATTGGTCGAAATGGGCGTTGTAGGTTTCAAGGTTTTGTGGGCTGCAAGGGGAAGAAGTCTTCAGACTTCAATTGAGCCGAGCGACAATGCGGGACGGACGGCAGGCGGCTCCGGCATCGGCCTGGTTCCCGCAAATCCGAGCCAGCACCTGACCATAACTCACCTTACCCTCTCCCTCTTCTCTCGGCCTTCTCTACGGCTTACCAATGAACCACCCTGATGAACCAGTATGTCCATGGCTCAGCGGCGGTCTAAGGCTTAAAAGTCCATGAGATAACAGCGACCATCTTCCATTACGCGTAACTATGCTGGAGATAAAACCTATACAGGCAATGAATCGACAAGAAATGTTGACGACCATCACGGGAGATGTATACATATCGTCTAGACGAATCACAATGTTTCGCAACTGACCTAATTACTTACCAACATTACCACCACTCATCTTTACGGACACAGCCCCAGCGTCGGCAGGATAAGTCACCTCCAGTTCCAGCTTCTCTTTTGGCCACAACGTGACATAGTTGTCCGTCCACAGCACTGGATTGACATCATCTCCCTTGCCGTCGACGAGATTGAGCCGGATGAAGAAGGCAGGTACATCTGCCGTGTTGTGCAAGGAGACAGTCGAGCTCGTCGAAGACGTAGACTTGACTGCAGCCGACACGGATGCTGTCTTCATGTCGTCCAGCGCAGTCAGGTCTGCCCATTCAGAGACGGGAGTGGAGAACCAGGATGACTTGTCCCAGTTGAGCTTGTCATTCTTCGTCGCGAGCCAATAGACATTCCGACTGAGCGCTTCACCGTCTGCATTGGAAAGCAGTAAACGTAGGAACGCCACATCCTTGATCTTTTCCAGACCAGGCACGGGGGATACGACTTTGCTTGTGTTGGGTTCTGTCTTCGCGGAGACGGCTTTTGAGGCGAGAACCTCTCCGTCAGTATCCATAAGCTCGATTTCGATCTTCCGGCTACCCTTCTTGTCCAGAGAATGGTTGATAAGGTAGACGTTGCCTTCGTCGTAGCCATAAGCGACATGCTCGATGCGACTGCCCACTTTCGTCCCAAAGTAGGCGCCAGCTGGATGCAAGTAGTAGTCGAACAGGTTCCAATGCAAGCTCGGCCAAGCATTGTTGAGCATCCAGTAGATCGCACCGGTCGCTGGATGGTCGGCATTCCATTTGGCTGAGTAGCCCTCGAATTCAGCTCGTGTTGCCTCGTAATCCATGATCTGGGCCTTGAGCAAGTAGTCCTCGAGACTCTTGGGCTCGCCGTATCTCTCAAAGAGTCCTTTGTCGTAGATGTGCCTGTCGAAAAAAGCCGACACATTGGTGGACATGTGGTACAACCCCTTCCGCGGCTTCGTCCAGAGATCGTTAAGATCATCGCCACTCAAGAACTTGGTAAGACTGCCCATTTCAGGCGTACCAACACCAGAGCCCAGCTCGGAGCCGAAACCGAACGCCGCGCCGAGTTGGTCACCATACCAGTAGTTCGGCGGCACCCAGTCGTACGGCCCGTCCATCTTCAACCCAGACGGGCCAAGGGATTCTGGGTAGCCACGTTTGGCGGCCGAACATATTATCGGGTTCTGCCAGTCGAGATCATCGAGGGCGTCGAGATAAATGGCGGTTGCTCTATCATCAGGCCAGAAATCGCTGCCAACGAGGAAGGCAAGCACGCTTGGGTGCGTCTGCAGCATGGTGGCTTCGTTACGCATCGAGTAGTCGGCAGTACTGTAGTCGTTGTCGTTCCAGAGCGTTGCGGTGACTTGGTCGTTGTACTTCCAAGCCTCCCATTTGTCTACCACAAAGTCAGCCGGAGCGCGTTCATGATTTCAACGGGACGGGCACACATACCACAGCATTCCCACCCCGCCATGACCATCAGCCCGATACGATCAGCGATCGCATACAGCTCCGGCTGCTCCTCCTTGCCCTCTAGTCGAATGGTGTTCAGGCCCATGTCAAGCACATACCGAGCCTGAGCTTCGAACTTCTTCTCGTCCCACCGCAGGAACATATCACTTGCGTACCCACCACCCAGGACCTGGAAAGGATGTCCGTTTACGAAGAAGATCGTGTCATTGTGCGAATTCACTTCCTTCGAGACGTGGCGTATTCCGAAGTCTACCTGATCTGCTTGGTCGGACAGTGCACCGTGGACATGCACGGCAGCATTAGCTGTGTAGAGTGGCTGATCACCCCACGCGTGAGGCCACCAGATTTTGGCATCCTTGATCGTGGCTGAAGTAGAGATCGTTCGAGTCTCTTTCCGTCCCAGCTTGAAGTTTTGCTTCATACCGCCGCTCGGCTTGCAGCCATGGCCGTCGATCGCACCCTCCAGCGCTCCGCTGACTTCTGCGTCCTCGAGGTTGGTGACGTCAGCCTTGAGAGTCACCCTGACATTGCTGACACCCGGCTTATAGTCGTGCACAACACGCAGCCGACCCATGAACAGAGACCCGGTCTGTTTGACATTGACATCTCGCCACACCCCAGTGCCATTGTCAGGCGGATACGGATTCCAGTCCACGAAGCCTTGAGCGAAGTTCTTGTCGTAGTCGGTCGGATAGGCTTGAATCAGCAAGGCATTGCTGTCTCCAGCTATATCAGAGATGTCGTATGTGTGGCCGCCGTAAGTACCAGCCTGCAACCTCTTATCGGCGACCTTGTGGCCGTTAAGGTAGATGTCCGCTTTGGAAGTGATGCCGTGAGTCTGCAGGAAGAAGTGCGAGCCTTGTTCAGACTTCAGAGTGAACTCCGAGCGGTATAGCCATGGACTGTAGTACGGCAGGTAGTCAACAGTAGTCTGTAGGTTCTTCGAGTAGAACAGCTGTTCAGTATCGTAGACTCCAGCTTCTAGCAACCCGGCGAAGACGGTGCTTCGAGCACTGATGCTGTACCACGAAGACGAGTCGTACCCTGGAGCAGACAACTTGACAAGGTCATCGCCTGCCTTTGTTGTCGACTGCAGATCCCATCCTGGTATCACGGAGTTCTGGAGAGCCGAGACCAAAGGAGCAAACAGCGCTATGCCAGACAAAAGCTTCATCTTGCCTTCGTGGATTTGACGAGCATGCCACAGCCGGCCATGATGTTATCAAGTAGGCCACTACCTGTCGACCTCGTATCCTGACTGCGACTGCGGAGAAGTTGATAGGCGCGGTAACGGTGTGAGCGGTGTAACGTGAGGTTGCATTCAGAGGTTAGTAGAACTACCTCAGTTTGCAACAAGCTTCGCCTAAGGTGGAGCTTGACTCGCTTAATGTCCGATTGAGGAAGCAGTACGCCAGGCGCCATGGGTATGATGGTTATCAAAACGCTCATGGCTTGTCTCTGCCATGCTCACGGCTCTATGCTTCGTCTCCATTTTTTCGTAATGCTCACCCCACCCAACGCCGCGCGCTCTTAAACATCCGCACCCAAGGCCCAAACTCTCCCCACTCCTTCGCCTGCTCCTGAGGAAGATAACTCGACACCTCCTTCAAGATAGTCCGCTCCGGGTGGGGCATGAGCGCCAACACCCTGCCATCTGGCGTCCGCACTCCAGTAATCCCCAGTGGACTGCCGTTGGGATTGTACGGATATCGCTCTGTGTGCTTGAAATAGTTGTCCACGTATCGCATGCTAACGAGTCCTTGGTCGATGAGCGACTGCGGTGAAGACTGCCCAGTGGGCGAGAAGCTCGCTCGACCTTCACCGTGAGCAGTCACGATGGGGAGGTAGCTGCCGTCCATGCCGTGTAGGAAGACGCTCGGCTTCTGCGATGGCGGATCTTTGACCTCGACCATGCAGACTCTGGCTTCGTACTGCTCGCTGATGTTGCGCTCGAAGGTTGGCCAGTTCTCGGCACCGGGGATGATTTCGGTCAGCCGCGAGAGGAACTGGCAGCCGTTGCAGACACCGAGAGTGAAGGTGTCTTTTCGCTCAAAGAAGGCCTTGAAATCGTTCCTTGCGCCCTCATGGAGGAGCACACTCTTTGCCCATCCCTGGCCAGCTCCTAGCACATCGCCGTAGCTGAAGCCTCCGCAAGCTGCAAGACCTGTCACGGACGCCAACGAGAACCGTCCAGAAAGGATGTCCGTCATGTGCACGTCAATTGGCGAGAAGCCAGCGACAGAGAAAGCGAACGCCATTTCCGCATGACCATTGACGCCTTGCTCTCGCAAGATCGCCACCCTCGGCTTCGCGCGTATTTGCGAAGTGAAGCTCGTAGCATAAGGCAGAATATTGTCCTTTGGATTAAAGGTGAGCTTGTATCGGAGGCCGTGGTCATTGTCGTCGCTAATGTTGTCGAACTCAGCGTCGGCACATTCAGGGTTGTCCCTGTGCTTCTGCATGGCCCACGAAGTCTTTGACCACTTCTCTTGCAGGTCTTTGCGTGATGCCCGATAGGGACACGTCGCGGCGTAATGCAGCGATAGCTCCTGCTTGCTGGTCTTCGGCACTGTGCCAATAGTGATGGGCGTCATCGGCGCAAACACACCCCGGAACTCGTTCTCGTCCTTCCTTCGGATCTGGAATACCGCTCCGAGCTCCTCGTTGAAAAGAGCCTCCATGAGATCTTGAGGTCGTCCAGACTTGGTGATGTTATCAAGCATGACCTGAAGCCCGCAGCGACCTGCAAACATCATCTCGACCAGAGTAGTGAATAGCCCACCATCCGAGCGGTCATGGTACGCCAGCACGATATCCGACTCATGTAACTGCTCCACAGCATGGTAGAAGTCCTTGATGGCTTCCGCATCGTGCACATCAGGAGCTGTGTTGCCCACTTGACCAAAGACCTGCGCGAGCGCTGAGCCACCAAGAGCTTTCCTGGCACCCGCAAGGTCGATGAACATTAGCAACGTCTCACCAACATCCTCCGTCCTCCGCAATGCTGGCGTCCAAGTACTGCTCAAGTCGTTGACTGGTGCAAAAGCGGTGATGATCAAAGACAGCGGAGCAGTTACCTCTTTGCCTTCCCACTTCGTTTTCATAGACATTGAGTCCTTGCCGACAGGAATGCTGATGCCGAGCTCAGGACACAGCTCCATGCCAATCGCCTCAACAGCTTCGTACAAAGCTGCGCCCTCGCCAGGATGACTACTCGCAGCCATCCAGTTGGCAGACAAGCGCACACGATTCAGACGGCTCGGTAAGCTCGCGGCAGCAATGTTCGTCAGACTCTCAGCAACTGCCATTCTTGCCGACGCAGCGGGAGATATGAGTGCTAGCGAAGGCCGCTCCCCCATCGCCATAGCCTCACCAGTCTTGATACCAGGGGTGAGCGAGGTTGCCGTGACCGAGACGTCGGCGACAGGTGTCTGCCATGGTCCGATCATTTGATCTCGAACTGTAAGACCGCCAACTGTCCGGTCGCCGATGGTGATAAGGAAGGATTTCGAACCGACTGATGGCAATTGCAGCACGCGATCAACAGCCTCGCCAAGCAAAGACTCAGAAGGCACACCAGGCAGGTATGTCGACAAGCTGCTGTCGAAGGCCGGTATTCTCAGCCTCCTCGAGTCGACCGTTCTGTGCATCTTCGGAGGCTTGCCGAACAGTACCGGCATTGGTAGGTCGATTGGTTTCGGTTCGTCAGGGGAGTCTCGGTCCATCAGAATCAGTTGCTTCTCCCGCTGCGCCTTGCCCACAACAGAGTAGCCGCACCGTTCCCGCTTCGCTATCTTGGTGAAGACGTCCAGCTTGTCGGGTGCTACCGCCATGACATACCGTTCCTGCGCCTCGCAGCACCAGATCTCCAGCGGACTTAGAGCAGGGTCCGCATTGTCGATCTCTCTCAGCTCGAACTTCGCACCATAGCCGGCATCTTCGACCAGCTCAGGCAGAGCGTTCGACAGACCACCTGCGCCAACATCGTGGATGAGCTGGATAGGACTTTGCGGACCAAGTGAAGTACAGGCGTTGATGACCTCCTGTGCTCGTCGCTGCACCTCAGCATTGCCGCGCTGCACGCTTGCAAAGTCCAGCTCTGCGCTTCCCTGTCCTGATTGAATGCTTGAAGCCGCTCCACCTCCCAGCCCGATCAGCATCGCGGGGCCACCAAGTACGATGAGGTGAGCGCCTGGACTGACGAGTCCCTTCTCCTTGAGAGCATGTTGTGGTCGCACTGTCCCAACACCACCGGCAATCATTATAGGCTTGTGATATCCTCTAATCTCCGACTCGCCGTCCATGACTGGCACCCGTGTTGTAAGCGTCCTGAAGTACCCAGTCGTGCAAGGTCGTCCAAACTCATTGTTGAACGCTGCACTCCCAATCGGCGCCTCAGTCATGATGTCGAAGCTGCTCGCGATATGAGCTGGCTTGCCTACATCAAGTTCCCAAGGCTGCTTCATATCAGGTATTAGCAGATCAGACACGGTAAACCCAGCCAGTCCCGCTTTCGGTCGTGAGCCTCTCCCCACAGCACCCTCATCTCTGATCTCGCCACCAGATCCAGTAGCTGCCCCAGGATACGGGGACACAGCAGTTGGGTGGTTGTGCGTCTCGACCTTTCCAAGGTAGTGCACGACTTCCTTCTGCTGCTTCCATTCACCCAGTGTGTTGTCTGGCGCCCAATGAGTGCCGTCATATCCCTGCATGACTGCAGCGTTGTCGCTGTACGCACTGATAACATGCTGGGGATGCGCGTTATGCGTGTTTCTGATCATCGAGAACAGACTCCGCGGCTGCTTCACACCATCGATCGTCCAATCCGCGTTGAACTGCTTGTGTCGGCAATGCTCCGAGTTGACTTGCGCAAACATGAACAACTCGACATCTGTGGGATCTCGGCGTAGCTGGTTTGTGTATGCATCGATCAAGTAGTCGATTTCTGAAGCGTCGAGGGCAAGTCCGAGTCTGGTATTGGCTTCCTGCAGCGCAGCCTTGGACCCTGAAGCGCTGTCCAAAATCCGTATCCGTTGCAGAGGAGCGGGTCGTTGTTGCGCGAACATCGCTTCCAAGACTGGAGGATGTGTCGAGACGTACTCTGTCATGCGGTCATGCAGCATATCCGCTTCGGGTACATTGCCATCTTCTGGTGCAGTATCAAAAGTGGCAGCGAAGACCAGCCCCCGCTCGACCCGCTTCACCACCTTCTCCAATCCACAAACATGAGCGATACTCGTCGCCTTCGAGCTCCACGGCGAGATCGTTCCTTGTCTCGGTGAAACATAGTACAGCCTTACATTCCTGTCGTCCGGCGTCCGTCCATTGATGACAGCCTTGAGCAAAGTGCCGTAGAGCTCATTCGTGGAGTCCGGGAAGGATCCATACTCAAGAAGCTGATCCAGTGTCGATATCTGCTCTGCGAGTAGTTCCTGGTACGAGGCGACATAGTGAACCCAGATAGCCTGAAGGTCTGTGGCATCGATAGCTTTGGCCAGTCTTCGAAGGCGGAAGTCCGAGAAGGCGGATGAGCCTGGGAAGGCGCGGAAGGCGGCGGGCTCGTCGGCCATGTCGTGATATTGTCTGCTGTATCACATTCGTGGCGAGTATGTCTTTATGTCAATGTTTCACTCTGCAAGGTACACAGAAGGATTTCACGTGAAAAGTTGTGGAAGTGAAAAAGCCGAGCTAAGCCCAGAACGGAAGACGCTAGACCGTTTTAAACATGAACTCCGTCAAGGAATCGAAACGCCACGCTCCACACATAGCTCTTGGACAGACGACGGATCCTTCTTCAACAACTCATGTACCGAACACAAGTTCGACAACAAGTTCGGCCCTGCCATGGGGTTGCCGTCGACCGAACGTGTGGGACGTACAGCAAAGCTGACAATCGGGAACACCGGCACGGCATTGTCAAATCCATCCTCAACGGCAGTCACAAAGAGATTGAAATCGGTCATGGAGGAACGCCGCGCGTCTTCCACTCATCTGTACACTCCCGGAAACTCGGGAGAAGCAGAAGGTCATATGGATCGGGTTCCAGGAGGAGAGTGTGTTTGCACAATTTCGAAAGACATTCGAGAGACGCTGTACCATGTCGAAGTCGTAGCTGGGGGAAGAGAGACAGCTCGCCGGTACCGAATTACTACAACTGAATACTTTGCAGGCGTGCGAGTGCACAGCCTCCATGAAAGACGACATCCGTCCGCATGCTCTGGTCTCACCGTTCACGTGGCATAGTCTACACCGACTACGTCGCTCATGACTTGCAGCATCCGTGTGACTTTCTCCTCCTCCAACCGCCGTCCGACAATGGCAAGTCCAATCAAGGCGTTCTCGTGGTTCTCGGGACAGCCATCTGCAAACGGGTCAGCCCTATACAAGTCTACAGGTCACCGTCAACCGGGTGCTTACAGTACTCCATGACTTCCTTGTCCTTCTCTGAGATTGGCTGGAAGTCCGGAGATACCTTGTCCTTCTCCAGATCCACCTTCGTGACAGGGAAGACGCCTGTTGTCAGGTCGAGCAAGGGCGACAGTGTCCCATAATGCCATGGATACCCACCGTCATGTCTACAGAATGAATAGGTGGAAGAGTCAGCAGTCACCTCAGCAGTCCAACAGACTTGTCGATTCGTACCTGATAGCTGGAAACGGGGTGGAGGGCACAATCAATCCATCGATCGGCCGACCCGTCCCCGTCTCCTTCTGTGTCGCCTGCCACTTGTCCAGCCACTTGCGTGCCAAGTGTGCCCTTTGGTTCTGATTCTGCCACGTGCTGGAGATGCTGTGCGCATGCTCGGTGTTCGCCATCCAGCGCTCGAGGTCAGGATGTAAAGGCTCTCCCGAAGCATCTCTGTCCCGCCTGAACTCCTCAAACCCATCCGCGGACCACATCTGATAGATGATTCTGGACGCTTCAGCCATCTCGGTCGGCACGAAGTCGATGACCCGATGTCCGGCGGCCTGCAGCTTCGCCTTGGTGATCTCCATCGCACGCCGTAACGGTGGTGTTGGAGTCACCGTGCCATCTCCCAAGCCAAACCCGAAGCAGAGCTGCTCTGGAAGTACCTCCTGCTCCGCTCGCCAAGGCAACGGTATGCATTGTGGGTCATGTATCCAAGGTTGTTGTGAAGCCATAGTCGACATGAACAAGCGCACGTCTTTCGCCGAGCGGCACATCGGGCCTGCACACGAGCGCACCGCTTCTTGTCCGACGTATGTGTTTACGACATGCTGGTACGAGATCCTTCCGTGGGATGGTCGCAGGCCGAAGAGGCCGGTGTAGCTGCAAGGATGTCGAATGCTACCTCCAATATCGGTACCAACACCCAGGAAACTCGCACGGAAAGTCACTAGCGCAGACTCACCACCGGAAGATCCACCCGTCGTGAGGTTACGGTTCCGTGGGTTGACAGTCCGACCAAAAGTGTTGTTGACAGACTCGCCCATCATGAGAGTCGAAGGCACATTCGATTTGACGTACAACACAGCACCCGCATCCAGCAGCAGCTTAGCCAGAGTAGACGGCTCTGTCGCCGGCTTGAAGGCATACGACACGTATCCAATGGTTGAGTCCAAACCCGGAACGTTGAACTGGTCCTTCAAACTTATGGGAAGGCCATGCAGAGGGCCGATGGTCTTGCCTTCTCTCTTCAGGTGGTAATCCAGTTCTTTGGCCCGCGCAATGGCCTGGTCGAAGTAGATCTCCGTCACGCAGTTTAGCAGCTGCTGAGCACAGGCGGCTCGCTTGCATACTGCCCTGACGACTTCTTCGGAGCTCCACGTGCTGGTGGCTATCTGATCGACGACATCGCTAGCCGAGGATTCCGTGATGAGCAGCTCTCGATCCGTGAAGAAGCCAGAGGTACGAGGGAAGTCTTGCACATCTAGAACTTCGGAGGGTGGCAAGAGATCTCCTGGTATCTTCCATTCAGGTGGTATCTTTGAGCTGCGCTCATCTTGCTTGCGAGCCACAATGTTCTGCCAGGGTTCAGTTGTGGACATGGTGTCGACCCGCAAGCATTGATTGGTAAAAATCCGTCAGGTCGCCTATGCGAGAGGTTCTCAGTCCAGACTGAGCAGTACCTTATACTGAGGTCGACGCACGTGCAAGGGTCTGACAGCAACACAATGCTTGGCCTGCACGATGTCCACGGGTGTGTCGGAATGCACGACAGGAACGACTTTCCGGGATACCAATACTCCGTGGCGATAAGTGGTCAAATGGTTTGATGGAGAGCGTTAGCCGAGGTTGCCTTCTTGCCTTTTAAGAAAGATTTCTTGTCAAAATCCTTGCCCGATGCTTGCCTATCAAGAAATACCGCTTTATCAAGCCTCATCGGATGCTTGCCGATCTTCGCGAGTCAGGTGTCTTATCAAAATCATTGTCGGATGCTTGCCTATCAACCTATCTTCACCTCGACTGCCATCTAGGCTGCAAGGCAATCAAACATCGCTGCTTAAATGCAAAACGCTATCGCCGTGCAACAAGATGGCTTCGACAGCTCTGACTCTACCGACGACAGCGTCGAACTGTGCACACGAACATGGCAGACACTGGTGTCACGGCGCCGCCCCTCTCGCAGGGAGTCGCTTATGGCGTCGTCTTGGGGTTTGGAATCGTCTTTGCTTTGGGGATGAACCTCATCACGTGGATTAACCGGAGGTTCTTCCAAGAGTCCAAGGTACGCACAAGATCAAATCGGCCTGTCTGCGCCATTGCTGAATGCCATAAAGGACACCAACATGATGATGACGGCGAAGAAGAGCGTCAAGACGGGTCTTGTCGCAGCCGCCGTCGTGTCGTCTTGGTGCTACGCGGCAACAATCCTGTAAGTTAAGCATGTGGTTCATGGGCCGGGTCTGCCCCCGACAGAAGCTTACACCATGAAAAGCAACTCGGTCCGTCTCACCTACGTCTACGGCTTCGCCGGTCTGTGGTGGTTCGTCTCCGGCGCAACAGTCCAAATCCTACTCTACGCAATCATGGCCATCGAGCTGAAGCGCCGCGCCCCTCGAGCAAACACTATCCTTGAAGCCTTGCGGATCAGATTCGGCACAGCGACTCACATCGTCTTCTTCGTGTACGGTGTCGTCGTCCAGATTCTGGTCACAGCGGCGCTGCTACTCGGCGGATCTGCGGCTTTCGCGGTCACCACTGGTGTCAACATCGTAGCAATGAACTACCTGATCCCGCTTGGCGTCGTGATTTACACATACTTTGGCGGGCTGAAAGCGACCTTCATATCGGACTTCCTCCACACGCTGGTCATCTTCATTTTGGTACTGGTGTTCATGTTCAAGGTAATGGCGGTCAGCTCTGTACCCGTTCTCGGCTCGCCTGGAGCATTGTGGGATCTACTCCAGCCAGACGTGCTGCAGACTGAAGCCTTTGGTGCCAAGGACGGCTCATATCTGACCCTGCAGTCGGGACAAGGTCTCCTGCTTGCTGGTGTCATTCTGGTATCAGGTTTTGGTTCCGTCTTCGTTGACCCATCCTACGGCCAGAAAGCTATTGCTGGAGAGCCCAATGCTGTCGTCAAAGGATACTTCATTGGTGCGTTCGCATGGTTCAGCATACCTCTCGGACTCTGCGCGACGATGAGCTTCGTTGCGGTTGCGCTGGCAAATACAAACTACTGGCCCGTTTCTGGAGGCGTGACGCAGTACCAGATCGACAACGCGCTGATTCTGCCACTTGCCGCTCAGGCTGTTATGGGCACTGGAGGTGCGGTGGCGATTATTCTAATGGTATTCATGGCTGTGACATCGTCCTTCAGCGCGGAGATTGTTGCACACGCTTCGATCGTGACGTACGATATATATCGACCGTGTAAGTATTCCTTTTGCGGAAGAACGTCCCCGTCCTGAAAGCTGATTGAAACCGCCTGCAGACATCAACCCTGCCGCAGACGACAAGAGGCTGGGACTGGTTTCTCACGCAGCGCTCTGTAGCTTCGGCCTCTTCTCTGCGTCCTTCGCCACTGGTCTCGGGTATTCCGGCGTCTCCATGGGATGGGTTCTCGAATTCCTCGGCGTCGCTGTCGGCGCTGCCGTTATCCCCATTACGCTTGCTGTCAACTCCGCCCACGTCAGCCCTCTCTTCATGGAGATTGCTGCGCCCATCGGGACAATCTGCGGCCTCTCATCGTGGCTGGGCAGCGCAAAGGGCATGTATGGCGCGGTCAATGTCGTGACGACCTTCGAGAACTGGCCCATGTTCATCGGCTGCACCGTCTCGCTCTTCGTCCCGCTCATCATGTGGGTGGCGATGTGGCCTTTGCAAAAGCGCCCTTACGACTGGGATAGGCTGTTTCGAATGGAGGCGACGCAGCCACGGCCAGGAGACGCCAAGTTTGCCGCAGGCGACACCAAAGACCTCGGCGATGACTTCGACCCTATGGCTCTCGCGCGGGCTTCCAGGAACGCGAAGATCGTCTCGAGCGTGGTCTGCTCCATCTTCCTGATCATCATTCCCTTTTCGTTGTATGGGACGGGGTATATCATGAGTCGGAACTTCTTCATTGGATGGACCGTGGTGGTCTTTATTTGGTGTTGGGTTGCAGCTATTCTTCTGCCTACGCTGGTCTGCCTGAACAAGTAGCAGGCGAGTGTACTGTTCACGAGGAGACTGTCGTCTATATTTCAGAGCAGGATTTGTAACTAGCAAAACAATCTTGTACATGGCGAGCATGGCCATCACGTCGTCAAGCCTAGCAATGTCCAACTCCTGCCCCATGCATTTTAGTGTGCATTTGCTGGCAACATGCTGCAGATCCACGACCGAAGATCGCCCACTCTCTAGAAAGATCCGTGGTTCTTCATGTCAATGCGTCGTGCTGCAAGGCACGCAGAAGGATCTCACGTGAAGAGTTGTCGAAGTGAAAAAACCGAGCTAAGCCCAGAATGGAACACGCTAGACCGTTCTAAAGCTGAACTCGAGGAGTCGAAACACCACGCTCAAGATACACAGGCATAGGCATAGGCATATCTCAGGAACCCCATAGCGTACAAACCCCCGTCCCATCCCATCTATCCTGTGCCATTCCATTCCCCTCCCACCACATCACATCCACAGCCGTAACATCGAACCGAGCAGCTTCTGAACCCTCCCGCCGCACCCTTCATCTCTAACCCACCACCCCCTTCCCACTCCCATCTCCAGTCTCCACTGCGCTCACTAAGAAGCACTCCCCCTCCCACTCCTCCCCCCACCAGCACTCCCCGCCTCAACCGGACTCTTCCCACTCCCCGCGCTGCCCGGCCGATAATGTCCTGTGCTATTACTCCTCGCCCTCGGCACACTCACATGCAACCCCTTGTGTCCAGCGGTGCGGGGTTGATTGCTGCCTGTGCTGCTGGAGTGGTGGTGGCGGGACTAGATCAGTGGTGAGTAAGTAGACGAAACATCAAACTCTGTTTGGCTGATCCGGGGACAAGTCGGAGTGTGGAGGATGAGATAGAGAAATCACACCATGCGCTGTATGAGATGAGGGAGATGTGAGGTAGGTAGGTAGGTGGTGAAGAAAGGTCCCATCTCGATATGCTATGCACCGCTCCCCACGCCGCTCGCTCGCGCGCGCGCCCCGTAAACGCCCACAATCGCTCGACTGCTTGTTTCTCCAAGACCGCGTCGTGAGCTGTACAAACGAAACAAAACCCTCCTCCAACCACAGGCGCCGCCAAAAGAAAGAAGAAAAGGCAGCGTGCGCAGAACGCCTGGACAAAAAGCAAAAAAGGCAAGAGCCGTAGGACCTCATTTAGGAACCCGGCCAGATGCTCATAGGAAGTCCGAGGCAAATTGTCCAAAACCAAGTCAAAGCAAAAACATCTCGCTCAACGTACCGAGTTGCTCTCCCTCGGCCGCCTCTCCCGATCATCCTGCAGCCGTAACCGCTCCATCCGCTGCTGGCTCTCACGGGACATCTGATCGCCGTCCTCGGCTCTCATCGGCGTCGCAGCAGCAGCTTTCGTGACGCTGGATTTGCTGCCATACCCCGTCGACGCTGGGGGTCGGACAGCGGGTGCAGCGGTGCCGTTCTCCGCCTTTCGCGCGTCGGCGAGCTCTTGCATCCGGTCCCATTTCGCTTGGCGCGCGGCCTTGACGGCGTCGAGGTTGGATTGCTGTTCTGTGTAGTCGTGCGTACATTCGTCGAAGAGTTGGGGGTTGACTTCCATGAAGAGCTTCATGGCGTTGTAGACCATGCCGTGGATTGTTCTGTACAAATATAAGTATGATACATTTGGTGGTGAAGGGGGAAGAAATACCGGTTCCAGTGACCCTTCGAGTTCTCGTATAGCGGCGCGAACATAATAGGCAAGATGACATCAACGTTGTCGCTAACCAGGTTGCAGAAGTACTCGTTGTTCCAGAAGTAGAGCGCTCTCTCCGCCACCTATTTTCAAGTCAGCAACCCACCCATGCATGGTGTAAGAACAAACATACCTGGAAATGAGGACTCGCCACACTCTTCGCCAGCTGATTGAACAAACTCTCCTGCACCTTGGCAAACTCCGACGGATCCATAACCTCGAAGATATCCTCCACCTCGTTCAAGAACATGACCTCCTTCGTGCTGTTGACTTTCGGCCAATACCGCAAAAGACCCAACACCACCTCCTCGGTAAGTGAAGCGTCCTTCTCCAGGAACTGCACAATGCAATACGCCAGTTGCGGGTGGTACATGCTCAAGCTCTTCACCTTGTGCAGAGGCAGGAGCACGCGCGTGAGGAACAGCTTGTGCTCCTCCTTGAGAGGCAGCGCGAAGCCGTTGATAATGGACCCGAGAATCTCCAGAAGCTCCGCGATGCCGTTGAAGCGCTCGGTCTCGTATACGAACTGGAAGAAGACGTTGTTGATGCTCCGTCTGATGTACGACCGCAAGTTGAGGAACTTGCCGTATATCCTGTGCAGCGTCGTCTTCAAGAAGTCTCGTTCGCGTGGGTCCTCGGAGTCGAAGAGCTCGAGTAATTGCAACACGAAGCTATGATCGATGTACTGCTTCGCATAGTTCGTGTTGAAATCCTGGCTTTCGATGAAACGCAAGAAAAACTCATAGACGACTTGAATGTGCGGCCAAGCAACTTCCAGCACCGGCTCGTCTTCTTCTGGGTCGAATGCTTCGCCCTGCGGGTTCATTGGTGGCGGTATGGGTCTGAACAGGTTCTTGGAGAACATCTCGACGACTCGAGGGTACATTGGCTCCGAGATGACCTGTCGGTTTTGGGCGACGTAGTCCAGCAATTCATGTAACGCCAATCGCTTGATCTCTTTGCTCTTCATATCACCGGACGCGTCATTGAAGTCGAAGATGATGTTGCACTGATCGAGCTTCTGCATGAAAAGCTCTTGTCGGCGATTCGGCGGGACCTCATGAAAGCCGGGCAGTTTCTCGAGCTCGCGCTGTCTTTGGTCTGAGATGTCGAAGCGGGAAGAGTGTTGTCGTTTGGGCGTCCTGACTCCTTCAGGGACGGTGTCCTTGGGAACCGCTTGGAGCCGGTCAATCAGCAAGCTCTTTGTTCCAGCTTTGGGTGGTGCGAGATCATGAGGCATGGTTTCGGCGGCGCCCGGAGGTGGGATATGCTATGTATACAATCAGCATCAAGTATGAGCAGGCTTTGAGGTGACGCAATAAACTCACCGGCGCGCTGGGGGATATGACAACACTGGGAGCCATTTGCTGTCCATGTCTCCCAGGTGTGTTTTGACCGGTCGAACTCGACCCATTCGCGGGGCTGTTGCCCGATACAACTGGATGTGGCTGGAACATGCCCGAGTTTGGCTGTGAATTTGCATTGCTTCCTTGTCCGCCGGGCATGGGTGCGCCGGGGTGAGACTGTGTAGGGCCATCGGGGGCTGGGACCGACTTGTTCCGCGCATCGACGAGGTTCGAGGTGGACGAGGTCGGCGTCGCCTGCGCAGAGCCCGAGGGCGACTGATTCGAAGGTCCACCGAGGGGAGATGCGGTGCCAGAAGAGGAGTCCTTCTTCTTGGCGAGTTTGTTGCCCTCTCGGTCTTTGTTGCGCGAGAGCTGCTCGTGCTGTTAGACGAATCAATACTTGTGCGCGCATCTTGAGGATTGTGACGTAGGGGACTCACCACTCGCTGCCGGAAGCCTTTCATTGTGTCTGTAGACCCGCTCCAAGCTTGTGGATGATGCTCGTCTGCAAGGGAACGCCTGCCCTGCCGCCTGCCTTGACTCCCACAACTCGTCCTTGTGAACCCAGACTCCTGCTGCAACCGGCAAACGCACGTGACCAACGAATGTCGAGAAGATAGGTTGGCGGAGGTCTATGAAGCCATTGAGCGTCGGTAGGCTGGAGGCTTAGAGGCGGGTGGAAGTGGACCCCTCGCTGCGGAGTGTCGGGTCACACTGAGGAGGGAGAACAGCGCCAAGATTAGGTCGAGATGCGATAGAGTGGATAGAGAGAGGGCAGATGGGCGGCAGGAGCGTCGCGTCAATCGTGCAACGGGGGCAGTAAGAGCGGCAGGAGGGGTGGTGGTGGATGAGGAGGGTGCGCTGCCACACCACCTCAGGGCTCGCCGTGCATGGCCTGTGCGCTCGAAGCTCGTCCGCTTCCACTTGACTGCATCTGCATCCACCAATTGGTACCCAAGTACCTCACATCAACTTCACCTGGACAAGGCTTGAGTGGATGTGAAACATATATACAGACGAGGGCTGTGTAATCACTAAGGGTATATACTATGGAGGACTCGACTTCAACATCGCAAGTCCCACCGACCCAGATCGTAAGTATCGAGCATCCCTGCATCATCAAGAACTTCCACAATGGCTTCAATTCCCTGGGAGGTGAGCAGCAGCTCAAGCACGTGCTCGAAAACGACATCGGCGACAGCAAAGACCCAGATATTAAGGGCGGCGTGGAACCAGAAGCTGGAGTCTCTCTTCGACCAAACGACCCTTTCGCCAAGAAGCTGGCCTCGGACGGTGTGCATACTGGCAATGTCCTGGTGAAGGTGACTGTACCCAAAACAACTGGACGAAAGCGCAAGCGTGGCTCCGATGTACCCTATCAGGAGTCATATGGGAACCGGGGAATGGCACCAGAAAGCATCACAGCTCCGGACTTGCTACGACGGATGCAGGACAATCCTCAAAGCTATACCATGGAGGCCGTTGGTGTGATCACCGACACGCATCGCTTCAAGAGCCTCCCAGACTTTCAGCTTCGAGCGGATGATGTACCCATCATGCATGAACTTCGCGACCACGCCATGACTCCCGACTACGAGCGCCTCAAAGCCTTCGACCCAGTGGCGGGCCAGAACACCGTGAATCCTATTTTGCAAACAACTTCTACACCAACACCACTCCCAGGGCCCCCATCCTTCCTGCACACCAGCCGCCCCTACGCTCGCTACCCACCACCCAAGCCAGCCCAACCCATGCCGCCAACGCAAGCCCCTCAGAAGGTACAGAAAAAGCGCGGCCCCAAGCCCAAACCCAAGATCCCACGCGCCACCAAAGAACCCGCCCCCCAACTGCGCGACATGCTCGTCCACCACGCCCTCGCCGCCTACCCCGTCGGCCCCTCAACCGCACTCACCCCGCGAAGCGAGCTCGGCTCCACTATCTCCACCATCATCGACCAACTCACCACCGCCATGCAAACCCGCCCCATCCACGCCCGCCTGGCCTACCAGTCCCTCCTGCGCGGCCACAAAGACGCCAACATCCGCTTCGCCTTGCCACACGTCGGTTTCTACCTCGACGGCGGACCCTGGAAGAACACCATCGTCAAATACGGCCTCGACCCGCGTCGCGATCCGAAGTACCGCATCTACCAGACCGTTTCCTTCTCCAAAACCGCTTACGCCGCTATTCGCGGGGGCAGCGCCTACGGCAGTCCGGACAAGCTGGATCGCGTCTTCGACGGCACCCGCGTCGTCGACCCGGCGGAGATGTGGCAACTCTGCGATTTCACGCAGCCCCTTTTACAGCGTCTCGTACACGACTCCCCCGTGCGCCCGGTGTGCCATAGGCGGTACGGATGGTACTACAACGGCACCATAGCGAAGATCCTCGTCATCGTGCGAGACATGATGGTGCAGCTCTCCAACCCCGGTCGGTACGGGAATCTGACGGATAAAGACTACGAAGTCCTGCTCAAACTCCCCGATCAGGTGGAGGAGGCGATGGAATGCCATCTTGAGCACTGGCATGGAGAGCATTTGGTTCGGTTGGCGGAGGCGATTGGGGCCGAGGCGGTGAGCGCGACGTATCAGGGTATAAGGGGGTATGAGGAGCAGTTCCCCGTGATGGAGCGGAAGAGGGAGGGTGCTGCGGAAGGTGCGTGGCGGAAGATGGGAGGACGAGGGATGGGGTTGAAGGGCGGGGGGGCTAATGCTGCTGGGCGGGCTAGTGTGGGTAGTCTCGGCGGGGCGGAGGACGGTGTTGCAGCCAGAGGGGCCGACGAGTCTACCACTGGCGAGGCGGCAGTTGATGGTGGAGAAGCTGATGTGGACGCCGAGGGTGAAGGAGCTGATCATAATGATCCCACGAGTAGAGATCATGAACCGAACGACGACGACAACGAACCGGACGAGAGAGGCGCGAATCTTGACGATGAGCCGCTCACTGACATCTCGGATGTCGGAGAGGCGGCCGATGGCGATGATGAGGCGCGCAAGGAGGACGTAGGAGGTGAAGATGCCGAGCTAGACGGTGGAATCGATGGCGACGAAGAGGCGGACCACGACGAGGGGGTGGATGAAGAAGGGGCGGATCTTCAAGACGAGCCGCTCACAGATATCTCAGACGTCGAAGACGCAGGTGGTGAAGGGCAGTCGACTGCCGCAGAAGAGTCCACGCATCGGCCAGGGATCAATGCAGATCCTGCGGCTTGAGAAAACGTAGCGCTCGAAGCAGGGCAGGACTTTTCTGAAGTTGCATTCATGTTGTATTACACTAGTAGCGGCGGCATCTTGGTGCTTCTACTTCTGTCACCCGACTGCTCTCCGCAGCTCTTGCGCTTTTGAAAACACTCCGGTGCTTCTGCTGCCGCAAGTCCCATATCATACACATAACCCATACCAGCTTTCCCAGCCAGCTTTTCGCCCAACGCATGATACAGACTATAACACACACGAAAAGAAACCCCTCAAGTCCCATCCACACCCCACGCCCCGGGCATAACCCTCGACCTCCTCCCTCGCCTCACCCTCGCCTCACCCTCCCCTACCCCCTCACCCTCATCATCCGACACCGCCGCAGTCGAAGCGTCCGCCTCCGCGGTCGCGCGCTCAAACGCCCGCAGATCCGCCAACGACCACGCGCGCACATGCTGATGTCCCGGCTGGCCGTGCGGGACCGCATACCGATGCTCCCGCAGCGCCCTCGGCCGCGGAAACGTCTGCGCCCCATCCCTCCCCTCCGCACCAGTCGCAATCACGAAATCGGCTTCCTAAGCCTTTCTTGACCGCGTGACGCGTCCACTCCCCGGCGTAGCCGCCTGTCCGTTCGGCGCGAACCCGTTCTCCTTTGCCGACGTGAAACCTTGCTGTCCCGCCGACAGCCGTCTCCGGACTTCCTTGACATCCGGCACCTGCTCGTCCTTCATCTCGACCAGCGCGCTCGTGGCCCTACCACGTCCTTTTCTGACCGGCTTCTTGTAGGTGGATGCGTAAAATCCGATGAATAGCACCAGGTAACTGCTCAGAATCCCCATGCCGGCGAACGCGGCAAACTCCTCCCCAGCGCAGATCCCCGCCGACGGCAAGTTGGGGAAGTAACTCGCGGTGAAGTACGTGTAGGAGGCGAAGTAGACGAAGCCGAGGTCGATGACGAACTGGATGATCTGCAGCATGGTGATGTACTTCTTCCACCAGATGCGGATCCCGCGGGCCGACTGGAAGTAGTACCAGTACATGACGACGTGGACGGTGAGGTTGAGGGTGATGGGGACCCAGGAAACGGCGGTGTTGCCGAGGAGTTGCGTGTAGCAGAGGAGGGCGGTGGCGCCGTGGTGGTAGGTGTGCAGGAAGGTGAGGGGTTTCTTTTTGAGGAAGAGGAAGACGGTGTCGATGAGTTCGAGGTATTTGGTAAGGTAGTTGAGCTGGACCATTCTTGTCAGCGAGGGTTTGGAGGAGGGGGGGAGGTGGGGAGGTATACGTAGTAGAGCGTCACAAGCGGCTGCGTCCATCCACCATTGTAGTCGCAAATGGCGTGAAAGAGCCCACCCCTCACCAACGTCGGGATCAGCTGCTCCAAGAACAGCGCCAGCAGTATCCCGCTAATAGCAGTCAGGTAAAAGTTGTGAATCTTGAACAAGCCATTCAGCTTCAACGGCTGCCGTTCGCGCATCAGCTCCCTCCCACCGAAAATGATCAGGTAGTAGGAGATGAGCGAAATGGCCGTCTCTTGCATGGTCGACATGGGCGTCTCGCCGGGCACGAAGCGGAAGTCGTCTGCTGGGTAGCCGCGCACTGCCTCGAAGGCCTTGTTGAAGATGGGCCAGAGGGCGACGCCGAAGGGCCGGTCGAGGGTGGGGGTGCCGTATTCGAGCCATTGCGGTTGTTTGGTGGCCATTGTGGTGGTTGGACCGAGTCTGCTGTATGCGCTGGTCGAGGCAATGTGTTGTATGTTGTTGCGCGGGACGAGGCGGATGGGGTCGCGTGGGGCTGCGCTGCGCTTGCTGCGTCGATAGCCAAGGATACCTCTCTACCAAAACGCGCGTAAGGAGCGACTGAGAAGGAGAAGAAGATATCACCACTGCGACGAAGGAAGGCAATGGGTGAAGAAGTGAAGTGGGATGGAGGAGACGGTGGTGGTGGTTTAAAGGGGTCTCTTGCCCCGGAAATTATCTCGAAATCTCAATGTCAAATTTCCAGCTTGCGCGATTCTACTCGGTCCGAACGATCCGGATGTTGTCCTGCCGTCTTGTCTTCGATTTGTTCTTCTGTTATGCATAACCATTGTAGAAGGGAAGAGCTCGTCGACGTTGTGCTTGTGAAGGTGTGATGTCTTAGGAGGTATACATGTGTCAACGCATCCGAGTCAAGCACTCCGAACAATACCTCAGCCCTACCAACGCCTTGCATCGAGAGCTTTGGACGAAGCTGATGTGCCACGAGCTCGTCCTGGAGCTTAACGGTTCCTGTAAATACTATACTCGAGAATGCTGCACAGTACCAGATCTCGAGTCGCTTTCATTGCATATGAACGTCTTGTAGTTTGGCAGGAACGTGCAAAGTATATCGCACCACGTGACCTTCGAACCAAGTGCCGTCCGATCAACCAATCAGCATCTCCCTAAAACCTCCGACCTCTCGCCGGTTCCTGAACTGCAGCAGCGAGACTGCACAGCAGAGCTCCCATCACTGCTCACAAAAACTTCCTGGACCACCCTACATCTCCACTCCCCTCCCACACAGACACCACCCAATGTCTTCCGCCGCCTTGGCTCGCGTCGCGCGGGCGAGGCTCTTCACCCTACGGCCCCGACTGCCCGTCTGCCAGAACATTACCAAGCCTGCCCTTGCTCCTGCGAGCGCGGCGGGTTTCGCTTCGAGCAGCAAGAGGTTGTCCGCGGATCCGCATCAGGAGGAGAGCTTTGAGGAATTTACTGCGAGGTGAGCATTACCCCATCCATCTGGGAGGGCAGGGCCAATGGCTGGAATTGGAAGAGGTGGAAGGGGTGGAGGAGGAGTCAATGGCTGCATGGGAGGCTGTGATAAGAGGGAAACATGGGTGAACAGGATACTGACATGCGCTGTGTTTGATACAGATACGAGAAGGAATTCGACTCGGTACAAGACGTCTTCGAGCTCCAACGCAATCTCAACAACGCCTTTGCCTACGATCTCGTCCCCGCCCCCTCCGTCATCATCGCCGCTCTGAGAGCAGCACGCCGCGTCAACGACTTCCCTACTGCCGTGCGGATATTCGAGGGTAAGCCTACCTCCACAAACCCCCTCTCCTCGCGGCACACCATCATGCCGAACACCAATGTGCTAACTGCTGGGATGATCCACAGGCATCAAAGCCAAAGTAGAAAACCAAGGCCAATACGACGAATACGTCGAGGAGCTCAAGCCCATCCGCGACGAGCTGGGCGTCAACCTGAAAGAAGCCATGTATCCCGAGCCAGCCTCATAGGCGAGTCTGCGCCGGCCGCTGGACGAGTGCGAGGACTGCTCGCGCGAGTCGGCGGACCTGAAGTAAGATGGGGTGGAGTGGGAATGGCAACATTTGTTGAAGAGGCGTATGGAGGTGGAGCTGGATAGAAGAGAGATATGGAGGTGGTGGTGGTGGACACTGTGCTATTACGCTATACTAGTAGCCCCCCTCCCGACTCGCTCTGAGAAGTGGAAACATATACTTGTACAGGTTCTTCCCTATAATCGAGCTGGCAGTTCTCCATGTGAATCTTCTCGGGAGGCTCACAGATGCAGCTCGTCTCGAGATTGTTAGTTGACGGGATTTTACGAAAGGGAGTGCTCTGCCATCTGCATCAGCAGCTCGCTCATATCATACGATTTCACGTCTGGCTTGGGACGGCAACACCTGAGTGCCAGCCATATCGCAAAGATTCTGTTATACCCTCATGTTCGCTCCTGCTGTTCTCAGCCTAGCTTGTTCGACGAGCTTGACTTTGCATGATATCCTTCTCCATCGTCCTGGACATGTGCCGTCATTGAGTTCATTGATATGATAGACAAGTGGAAAAACACCACATTCCTCTCAACTCCGTTTCCTGAACCTAGTGGGTGGTGTTTTCGAACCGAGTGTGTGGGTTTCAACGACAGCGCTGCGTCAGTCGTCCCACGTTTCTCACATCGATAACGATTAGCTATCCATGTCATCGCCTCTCGATTGTCCTGTTCGTTGAAGAAAATGGAAGGCAAGAAGAAAGTGCTCGTCCTGGGCAGTCCACTGGATTACGTGGATAGGCAGTATCTCGACGAGTTCAAAGAAGATTACACCTTAGACGCAAGTACTGGCAACCAATATCTGACAGGCGGATACTGAACAGTATACCAGGTCCTCCACGCCAAAGACCGCGCGGAAACCCAAGCCCGCCTACCCCAAAAGGTAGCAGAAGATGGCCCCTTCGACGCCTTGGTCGTGAAGATGGGAACGGTACGTTGCCGGTGCATTAGACCCGTGGCTGTAGGCTAAGTATGCCACAGATCCCCTACGAACCATACGACGAAGCATTGCTCGGCCCCCTGACACCCCACGTCCAACTCATCGCCTCCGCCTCAGCAGGCTACAACGAATTCGACGTCCCCTGGATGACCTCCTCAGGCATCTGGTTCACCAATACCCTGCACTCCGTCTCCGGCCCCACGGCCGACATGGCTATCTTCCTCATTCTAGCCGTCGTGCGCAATACCTCTGTCGCGGAGCGCCAGGCGAGGGAGGGGAAGTGGAAGGAAGGGTTAACACCGACTCCGGATCCGAAGGGGAAGGTGTTGGGGGTGGTGGGCATGGGGGCGATTGGGAAGTTGGTCACGGGGAAGGCGGGGGTGTTTGGGATGGGGGTTGTTTATTTTCAGCGACGGAGGTTGAGTGAGGAGGAGGAAAGGGGGTTGGGGGTAAGGTGGTGTGGGAGTTTGGAGGAGTTGTTGAGGTGCTCTGATATTGTGTCCCTGCATACGCCGTTGAATGATGAGACGAAGGGGATGATCTCGCACTCAGAGTTCGAGATGATGAAGGACGGGTCGTTTTTAGTTAATACTGCCCGCGGTGCTATCGTGGACGAGCATGCGATGATCGCGGCGTTGGAGAGCGGGAAGTTGAAGAGGGCGGGGTTGGATGTTTTTGTGGATGAGCCGGGGATTAATCGCTTTTTCATGGAGAGCGATAAGGTGGTGCTGCAGCCGCATATGGGCGGTTTGACGGAGGAGGCGTTTGCGGCGAGTGAGAGGGAGTGCTTGGAGAATGTGAGGGCGTTGTTTGAGAAGGGGGTGCCGAATTCGCCGGTGAATCGTCCGGAGAGATGACGGAGGTATTTGATTAGATGCCATCGCGCGCTTGGGAAGTCGAAAGATGGTCCGTGCCAGCCGGCAAAGCGACGGTGTCGAGGTTTGAGAGCAGAGACGGCTGATGCGTCGTCGATGCGGAGTCTGATCCAAATGTCACAGTCCAGACAACTCCCAAGGCCTCCTCGTAGACGTCGGTCTTGCCATTGAACGGCCGCCCATCCGCTAATCGAGACTTCTTGGTCCACAAGCCGATCAAATCTCGTACCATCTTCTCTACCATAGGTCCGACCGTCCCTGCAAGAAGCTGTAAGATATAGTATCTTCCATGAGCACAATGTGGGCCTTCCAATCTTCTCCAGTCGGCATATAGACATGGTGACATGAAGTAGTGCTCGCGTCACATCTCCGAAAAACTTGCGGCGATCGAACTCCCGGGTGCGGCGAGTTAGAACATCCCGGGCTTCGTGGAGGTCGGCGACAAGAGCCCATGGTCTGCCGCAAGGACGGGCGAAAAACTGCATGACGGGGAAGTTGAGCTCGTTCATCAGATGTCCCATGTATCGAAGCTGGCCGCCGCGGCGCTTTCCATGTTGCTGTTGGTCAGGGAAGCTTCCCAGAACACTGTTGAACTGGGGGGCTTTGTAAGGAATGCCTGGGATGGGCCGTGATAGAGCAGCACGATAGAGGAAGTAGAATGTTGTGAGGCATGTTGCTTGTAGAGAAGGAGATGTGGGGTGCTTGTCGAGGCATAGAACAGCACGATGAGAGACCAAATAGGAGACATGAGAGTCAAACGGCCGAGTGGCCTTACTTGCCTTCTCATCATCAAATAGACTATGGGTGCTGTAGGTACTTGAGTAGGGTATCAGGACATTCAGCCTGGGGACCGTCACTGACATCGCCATAGTAGCTGACCCCTAAATGGCTCCGATGTAATATAACGCTGTCCTTCCGAGGGAAGGAGTCGGCGTCTGCATGCAGGAGAGGTTTCGCTCGCGGTGGTGGTTGTTGTTGTGGTCTCCTCGATTGCATATCGCCAAGGACATGTGTAAAGCTTGAATGGGGCCAAGCTTCGCCTCATGTCGGCAAAGGAAGCGACGACGACGAGGCTAGAACTTCCCGAGAATCTCACACAACAATTCCCGAACACGCAGCAAAAGACGGGAGGCATCTAGCAGCTCACCCACACCCAACACTTGCCATTGATACTCGCCATCCCCCCATCGCCACGAACGTCTTGCGTACGGAGTGCTATCGCCGTCCTTCCCGCCAGCATCGAGGCGCAGCGAGACCGCCCAGAAGCGATGCGCTCGGCATTCATCTGACAATGGCCAACAGTCCCGGAACGAGCTCATAGTCGTGCTCTCCAGCACCCGACGACATCACTATCCAAAGCCCTTCCGGCTTCACTTCAGCGACGGCGCGGGTTCGCTCAAGCTGTTATTAGCACTGTCCACTCCACTCACTTCACTTCGACCTCCGTCCCATTTCTAGGTCAGCACACCTCGACCGGAAGAGCTGGTAGCACCACCCCTTTGAAGACCAACACGGAGGTACTCCGATGACTTCACAATACCTCAAGAGTGCATCCGCCAGCATGCTCGAACCACTGCAAGACGTGGGCCGCTGGCTCTGGGTCAAGATACCCAAGGACCTTCGCTCCAAGTACTTTCGCCTCAACTTCATCATGGTCCACTATCTCTACATTCTCACCTGGTCTATCCTCGGCTCGATCATTCTATACGGCGGTGGCTTGATCCCATACGTCGATGCCGTCTTCTTCGCCGCCGGCGCTTCCACCCAGTCCGGTCTGAACACTATCAATGTCAACGACATGAAAACCTACCAACAGGTCTACATGTACTTTGTCGCTTGCTTCACGAACCCGATTTTCATCAATGGTGCGGTCGTGTTCGTGCGGCTGCACTGGTTTGAGAAGCGATTCGAGCATGTCGTCAAGGAGACGCGAGAGCAGCGGCGTTCGCGGGCAAAGACCATTACCCGCAGTAAGAGTGAGATGAAGGAGACGGACATAGACCTGCATCAATTGGAGATGGGGGTGAATGGGAGAGAAATCAGAGTGCTTCATGACACAACACTACCGAATGGTATGAGCGGCCCCACGGCAAAGTCGAGGGAGGATGAAGCAAAGTTTATGGAAAAGATGGGGCTGGACACACATGCAAAGAGCGTCGAACCTACTCCAGAAGGTAGCAACGCAAGCAGTGGAAGCGGCAGCGACGAGGTCGCTCCAGATGACTTGCGGGCGGATGACGATGAGACTGGTCCTGACAACCAGCCCGCAACGCCAGAGCATCATCTTGGACTTCACCCGACTCTGCACAGACAAATTACGTTCGCAGATGAAGTGGGAGCAAATGAATCTGGCGAAACTCCCGAACTTGCACGAGTGCCCGATCAGGTTGATGCTTCTAAGCATATTGAATTTCTCGAACGGCAACAGCGCAATGCTCGGGAAGGCTCGACCTTGCGCATCCCAGGTCCCCGAGACTTCGATCGTGGCGAGGTGCCACGGGAGATGCAACGATCTGATACTAATAACGATTTGGCACATTCGCAGACCCGCAACACACTGCAAACCATTTTGAGCGAGAGTAGCCGCGAAGGTATGACCTCTAGAGGCACTGACGAGCTGAATGGAGATGACCATCCACCGCGCAGCGGGATCAAGTTTGATGACCAACAACACCCCGGTCGGAGGCAAGAAACTGCCACGTTCGAAAGTGCTCCAACCAGCAATTCGAAGGCTGGCATGCAGCGTATTAAGAGTGGCATCAGCACTCTTCGACATCGTCGTTCTAACTCTAATGGATTGCATTTAAAGAATGCCAGGGGAAGCATAGGCCGCACATTCACGTCGCTTACCACTGTCCGAAGTCGGGATCCGAACGACCCAATGCCTTACTTGAGCTGGCAGGCGACAATCGGACGCAACAGTGCCTTCGTTGGTCTTACGGAAGAACAGCGTGAGGAATTGGGAGGTATTGAATACCGCTCACTGAAGACTCTGAAGTGGACCCTACTCGCCTACTACTTCGGCTTTCACATCCTCGCTGCCATTGTCCTTATCCCGTGGATTCTACACACACAACCTTGGAAGGGCGTGGTGAGAGACGCTGGTACGAACCCAACCTGGTGGGGGGTGTTCAGTGCAGCCAGCTTGTTCAACGATCTGGGCCTGACTTTGACTCCCGACAGCTTCCTGAGCTTTCAAAGAGCGGTCTTGCCTCTACTGTTGGGCTCCTTTCTTATTGTTATTGGCAACACTGGCTTCCCGATCATGCTTCGCTTCGTGATATGGGTCACCAGCAAGGTCGTCCCGTACGGTTCGGGAGTCTGGGAGGAGTATCAATTCTTACTCGATCATCCTCGCCGCTGCTTCACCCTCCTCTTCCAATCCAAGGCCACTTGGTGGCTTTTCTGGGTTCTGGTCATACTCAACAGCGTCGATCTCATCTTTTTCATCATTCTGGACTTGAACGACCGGACCGTTACTTCAATACCCGTTGGCTACAGAATCCTCGACGGCTGGTTTCAAGCTGCTTCCACCCGAACAGCGGGATTTTCGGTCGTCAACTTGTCCGACCTTCACCCGGCTATCCAGGTCTCCTACCTCGTCATGATGTACATCTCCGTCTTCCCCATCGCCATCTCTGTCCGCCGAACGAACGTCTATGAGGAGAAATCACTCGGTGTGTTCGGCGGGGAAGAGGAGGGAGAGGAAGGCAGCGACCCTTCGTACGTGGGCCAGCATCTCCGTCGACAGCTTTCCTTCGATTTATGGTACATCTTCCTGGGCTTCTTCATTATTTGCATCGTCGAGGGCGACCGGCTGGGCAATAACACCGACTACTCCTTTACCATGTTCTCGGTGCTGTTCGAGATCGTCAGCGCCTACGGCACCGTCGGCTTGAGTCTCGGCTACCCTGGCACGGACCCCAGCTTCTCAGCTCAGTTCCGTGTCATCAGCAAGCTGGTCATCGTCGCCATGATGATCCGTGGTCGCCACCGTGGCCTACCATACGCCCTCGACCGCGCCATCCTCCTTCCTAGCGAGAAGTTGCAGAAGAAAGAAGCAGAAGAGCTCGATCGTCGTACCACGCGCCGCAACAGCTTCTTCACCGAAGGCCACGACTTTGACCGTCCACGACACGGCCACACCTGGAGTCAGACGGAGAATGACGATAGCGGGATGCCGCGCCACCACAACCTCGCCCGACAGCAGACTGTTCCAGCGAACAGCATGCGCGACCCGCCGCCGTCCGCTGGCGAACAGTCGCCCGAGCGGACTAGGACGCTGCGCAGGCGGACTAGCGGTCTGTCGAGCGCGAGCGGGAACGCAAAGAAGCGGGCGCGGAGCATGAGCCTGAGCGGGGTGGGGAGGACGATTGCTGGGGGTTTGAGCGCTGGGCCTACGTACCCGAAGCATGAGTGAAAATACCGACAGACAGGGTTGGGTTTTAGTTTTCTCTTGAGTTGGAGCGTTCTGAGCGTGTGTATAGTCTGTCGCTTTGGGTTTGGGAAAGTATGGCGCTGGGTGGCGTTGGGCAGAGGATGATGGGATTGAGATACCACTGATCGGCTTGTTAGAGCAGGATAGGGTTGTTTTGGGTTGACGGTCGTTCATCTGGATTTGGATGGAATAAAACCTGACAATGGTGAAGTTCTGATAAACTATCCATCATTCATCACCGTCCGTGCCTGCCTCGACTGTTCATCCTGTAGCCAAATGTAAATTCACCTTCTGTGCGATTGCTGATCCTCCATGCGTGTCCCGCACTATCAATATCTCATATCGTTCCCTCCATCTCCTCCACCGCAATATCTCACACCCCACCTCACCACCTGAAAATGTCTCAAGAACCCAGAAAGAATCCAGAGAAAACGACATCCCAGGAAGCAAAACCCACCCGACCAACCCCCCCAACCTTCCTCGACTCCACCTGGACCTGGTCCTCCCCCTCCACCTGGCCCTTAACCATCAAACTCCTCCCCGTCTTCATCGCCATCATCTCCATCTACCTCGCCGTCGCTTTCCCCGCACTCTTCGGCGACCCGGTCTCCCGTTTTCTGGCCGACACCTCCTGCACGGGGGCTTTCAACTACACGTTCCAGATCGCCGCCGCGAAACGGCATGCCGAGGAGCTCGCGACGCATGACTGGGAGATTGGCACCGCGGGGGAAGCGCTGCTGGAATTGCTTTCGCCGCACAAAGCGGTTTTTGGACGGGTTCCGTTCCCGAGGGGGAAGGTGCCATATGATTTCGTTAAGATGGATGAGGCGCTTACGTTTGTGTTTGAGAAGGTGAGAGTTTGGGACGGGCCGACTATTGTCGAGGATAGTTACTCTGTATCTGATCCTGCTTCTTTGGGTGTGAGCGCAGTGATGATTGGGCAGGTGTGGAAGGGGTGGTTGCGGGCTGCGGAGGCGCAGAAGGAGTATTTATTGAAGGATGCTCCGAGGTATGGGAATGGGGCTATCAGTCATCGGGTGGAGGTGGCGGAGCTGTGGAGTGATGCTGTGCATATGGTTCCGCCGTTCTTGGCGTACTATGGGGTGGCGACGAATGATCTCGAGTGTGTGAGGGAGGCGGTGCGGCAGGTGGAGTTGTATAGAGAGGTGTTGATGTTGAGGGATGGGGAGAGGAAGGAGTTGTGGAGGCATATTGTGGGACCGTCGGAGATGGCGGATGATGGGGCATGGAGTACGGGCAATGGGTGGGCGGCGTATGGGATGGCGAGAGTGAGGGCCACGATCGCTGGGTGGGAGAAGAGTAAAGAGATGATGGAGAAGGAGATTGCCGCGCTGGACTCGTACATGATTGAGATCATCGACGGAGCTATCAGGACGGACGACCACGAATCTGGACTGCTAAGGAATTACCTGGGAGACAGCACCTGGTTTGGCGAGACGGCGGGTACGGCGCTGCTGGCTGCTGCTGCATATCGTTTAGGGATGTTTATGGAGCAGAACGCTGGACGGGATCACATCTTGCAATGGGCTGACGAGAAAAGGAGGGCAGTTGTTCGGCATGTGAACGACGATGGTGTTGCGAGACCGGCTGTGCATTCGTTGAAGCACGATCAGCGGCAGCCCTTTGAAGGCATCAATCCTGAGGGCGAGAGCTTCTTGTTGTTGATGGGAGCTGCTTGGAGGGACTGCGTTTGTGCTGGGGTGCGTTCAAGAGAGGGTTGAGGATGTGCATACACGTGTGGAAGACTGCCGACATCTTGCTCTCGTATATCGACCATTTTGGTGGGGTCATGTCCACAATGTTACAACTGCCAAACTTGTACAGAGATACCTACCTAGTGTAGAATAGTACATGTAGTCTAGGCCGGATGGAAGAAGGCAGATAGCCGTCAAGACAAAGCCACCTTCCCCACCATCGAAACCATCGAGAGTGTGAGAGTGCCTCAAGATGGCGTTGTCTCCATTTATGTGTGATCACCTGGAAGGAGGTATTTCTACGAAGCTGAGGTAAGCTGCAGGCACCAATTCATTCCAATCAGATAAACTGTCCGGTCTTTCACCTTCTTGGCCGTCGCTCTCGCGTCTCGTACCACCCTCGGGACGTCGCATCTCAGCCTCACAGGACGCGAGAAGGATGCCTGCACTCCTTTGTATCGACATCGTAAGTACCTAACTTTTCGCCTCCTCATCGCAGTCTCCACTGTGAGCGCCATGCCTTCCATTCTCCTGGCCTTCGCCGTTCTCGTAACGGCATACGCTTCAACATTCGTGTACCGCTTCACGCGCGGTTGGATCGATGGCAGAAAGACTGGTTTCCCGCTCGTGCTACTTCCTCTTGATCCAAACTGGCTCCCATGGATGATTGTCAGTGTGCCCTGGAGAAAGTGGCTACAGAAGAATTTGCCGCGAAGCATCTATCAGAGAGTAGTGCTGTCAATTTATGGCTGGGAATTCTGGGAAAAGACCGCGCCGTATGATGAGCTGGCAGCTCCGCAGGGTGATCGCAAGAACTTCCTGCTCGTATCTTGCGGGAGACTGGAGCTCTGGACGTGCGACTCTGCTATAGTTGCTGAGGTATTGAGCCGACCCAAGGACTTCAATCAGCTTGATATCGGCAACTTCATAGTATGTCTATGAGTCTGGAACGGAAAGGCACCCAGCGCTGACGGTTGGATAGCTCAATAAGTTCGGCGATAACATCTTGACCACGGAGTGAGTCCAGCGAGATCGATATTGCTCACGTGCATGGACTGATCTGATGCAGTGGCGACCGATGGGCGCGTCACCGAAAAGTGGTGGCCGGTGTCATCAACGAACGCATCTCAAAGTCCGTCTTCGATGAAACCGTCGTTCAAGCTCGCGGTCTTCTAGACCAGATCCAGACCGATTCTAATGGCACCAGCGCGATCGAAACGAATAAAGCCTTCGACTGGGCAAAGAAGATCACCATGCAGGTTCTGAGCGGAGCTGGAATGGGCACCCAGTTGCCGTGGAATAACGAGGGCCACGAGAAGCCCGCCCCTGGTTTCAAGCAGACATACTCCCAGTCGGTCACGCATGTGATCAGCAATATTGCTGGACCTTTGTTGCTGCCTCAATGGTTTCTGCTGAACTACCCTTCCTGGGCACCTGGCTACTCTGTGCTCAAGCCTCTCGGGATTGCGATTGAGGAGTTTCCTATCCACACCGACAGGCTGCTGCAAGACGAAAGACGCCGAGCTCGCGAGGAGGGTGGCTCGTCTAAGAGCAACATTTTGAGTCAATTGCTTGAAGCGTCAGACAGCTCGGAGAAGCAAAGTGCCAAATCAGCGCCCTTATCGGACAGAGAACTACGAGGAGACCTGTTCATATTCACGGCTGCAGGTTTTGATACTACGGCAAACACGATATCATACGCTTTCGTTCTGCTCGCCCGATATCCGAAATGGCAAGATTGGCTGTTCGAAGAAGTCGATGACATCCTTCCCAACGACCCGAATGAGGAGCTCGACTATATCGCCACTTTCCCGAGAGCCACTCGAACCCTTGCCTTCATGCTCGAAGTCTTGCGCCTGTTCACACCCCTCAACCACATCGCAAAGCAGGCCCAAACCCCACAGCCCTTACACACGCCTGGCAAAACGTACTGGCTGCCAGCGAATACGACAATGTATATTAATGTGGTACCGCTACACCGCGACCCAGCCGTATGGCGGGGCCTGAATCTTCCCGAAGGCGAGACATCTGCAAAAGACGACGAGTTGCACTTTCGTCCCAACAGGTGGACAAATCCGTCGGGATCGGCGCAGGTACTATACCAACCAGCGAAAGGGACGTATGTACCGTGGTCAGCTGGTCCTCGTGTATGTCCTGGACAGAAAATGGGGCAAGTGGAATTTGTGGCTGTTTTCTTGACGATATTGAGAACGCATAGAATCGATGCAGTGGCGCTTGGGGAGGAGAGTAAGCAGGTGATGAACAAGCGACTTGATGCGCGGATGGAGAAGAGTCATTCATTGCTTACACTGCAGATGGAAGATATTTACGATGTGAAAGGTGAAGACGATGGGTTGAAGTTGAGGATTAGTAGGAGGAAGTAGTCAGTCTTCTACCAAGCTCGGTATGGCTTCGTACTGGCGTCTTGGAATCAACCATCTTTGGGCGCACCCATTGTCCACAGAATGCAGCCGGAAGGGCCATCATAAACCCAACCGCCGCCTTTGCCTGCATTGCCAACGCCTACGCGGAAAAATCATGTTCAGCACAGGCTGCTAAAAGTAGTCACGCGGAGGGGATGGACTTACATGAGTTCACAATGTTGGTGTATGCATCTTGACATGAATCGCCAGAGATTGCATACCCTGCTTGCTTTTTGCATCCGGACTGGTCGTCTGCCCACTCCACGGCAACGGTAACGTCCACGCCAGCACCGTTCTTGAACGATTCGGCGTAGGCAAATGTCTGACGGGGAGACAGTTCATGGCCGCGGTTACGCATCGCATCAGCAGCATCTTTCGCATCCTCGTTGGAAAACTTCTCATAGCCGGGCCCTGTCTCCTGATAGCAGAGGGTATCTCTGATACGGACCCCTCCGGCTAGATTCGTTGCTGTAGGATACACGAGAGTGGTCGAGCTGGCGGCAACCGAGGACGGAGTGGCAGTAGGGCTGGGGGTGCAGTTCGAAAGGCTGCTGCATTGCCCGCCGGCGCCGACGTACGTACAAACTTCGCAAAGCGCCGTTCGGGTGATCGTATTCTTCGTCACAGAAACGGCTATGGTCGACTCGGGGATGGTGGTGTATGCACAGCTGTTTGGGGGAGAAGCAGTCGTTGAGAACGCGAGCGTGGATCCGGCGCAGACGCAGTATCCCGAATTGATGCCCTGGTCTGGATCCGGCTGTTGTGTCGAGCACGAAATGTATGATGCAGACGTGGATGCAGACGATGCACTTCTAACCTTCGTAACAGGTGGTGGCGTACCTCCTTGCATCCACAGCGGACTTGAGGCTCCCAGCTCGCTGAAGCTTTTCATCGGGTTGTAGGGTGTAGCAGCGGCGAGACCGCAAACTGGTCCGGACGAAGGCGTTGAGACTGTCGAAGTCGTAGTCGCTTCCAGACTGCAGCCAACAGTCTGTTCACACATTGTCGTAAAGCAGACGGTCGAGGTCGAACGAATGCTGTCAGTCGTTCGGAAAGATAAAGAGCAGCCAACTTTGCAGTCTCGCACGGTAGTGGACGTGGAGCACGTCTCCGTAGAGCTCTTGTCGTTTTCGTTGTCATTATCGCCATCGTCGTCGTCGCCACCGTGTTCATCGGACTGGGGACTCGGACAATCTCCGCTGATCCGCACCCCAAAGATCTTGATACAAGGTAGGTGAAAGTGCGGCAAATTGGGAAAGTCAGGCCAGTCGAACTCAACCCATTGAAGCTTGGGAAAGTTCCAGACAACAACAAGGCCACTTCTACCCCCTGGAGCGCAATGCTGGCACCAGAGAGCCGGGACAATGGTGTGGTGGCCGCCTTCGTTCGTGGTAATCCAAGTGTTGGTCGTGATGGACGGAGGATGAATGAGCTTTGTGGAGACGTCTGGAGGAAGAGTCGTCATTGTCGATGTGACTCTACCCGTAGTAGCAGTGCTGGTGGACGTAGGTGTGTTGATGATGACAATTGGCAGCGACGTCGTGCTGCCGCCAATCTTCAGGATGTTGGAGGAGCCTAGTGAGATGGTAACTATTCCTGCTGTATAAGCTGAACCGCCAGGCTTGATTGTCTCTGACGCGATTACGATGCCTGACTGTCCGCGAGAAGCCGTTATGCTTGGCCCGATCGTTATAATATAAGGGCTTGACCTTGGAAGAACGTCGACGTTTGCTGACCCAAGAGTAGTTCTGCTTGCGTCGGTTGTGGAGTTGGTAAAGACGCCGGACGGTCTTATTGAGCTTCCAGTAGTGACAATGATCCCTGACCCTGTCGTTCGAGTAGTCTTCTTTGACGGCACGGTCGAAGCGATGGGAACGTTAGGCGATGGTATTGGCGCGGTAGATGTAGCGTCGACAAGGCTGGCCAAGTCCTTGAGGGCGAGAGCGAGGAGAAGAATGAGCTTCATTTCTGTGGGTGCGATGAGTGAGTAGTTTCCGGTCGATAGTCTCGACCTACGTTGGGGAGACAGCGAGCTATTAGAGCTCGTCACGACAGGACGGTGATCAGGCAAAGCAGGTGGAGGAACATTGCCAACGTTCTGTGCCGCTCAGTAAAACAGGCACCAACATGGCAATGGCACGGTAGCTTGTCCGCATCATCTCTTCCTTACCTGTGAAACTGAAACTTGCTTCTTTTGCCGCATCTTTGCAAGTAGAAGACAAAAAGACCAACAACAACTATCCGTGCCGCTGGGCAGTGCCCACTGGTTGAGGCAGCATGATCCCTTCAACAGTCTGAGACTTGTTGGTGCCGTACACCTGCGTTCGCTCCTCGCCGCAATGTCGACGAGTATAGACAGTGTTCGCGCCGCATCAACGCGAGCTTGAGATCCTGGTCGAGAAGTTTGTGTTTCGTTGAGGCGTGGACGCTTGGTGGCTGGACTCTACGAGCCCAGACTCTATTGCAATGCCGGAATCCCGTCCTCCTTCCATATCCTGAGAGACTCTTCCCAAGTGTCCCTGTCGTATGCAATGAAGAAGGTTGAGACCATGTCCGCGTCGCACGGCATGGTTTGCAGCTCGCCATCTTCATACCTGTAAACGGGAAGCCAGCCGTGCGATTCGTACATTGCCCTGTCCAGAACGGCGAAGTGCACCTTGTTCAACGCCTTTGGCGGTTTGGGGCAATTCTTGATAAACTCGGCAGCGTCCTGTACGCTTTTGCCAATGAACGGAGAATGCCACTGTTCGTCCACTTGTGGCCGTTTGTTGCCATCCTTGTTGCTCTGGTCGATATCGACCAGATTATCATAGCTGTCCGCGAGCCACATGTAGTTGGTTGAGGCTTGGTCGTGATTCCCCTGTAAAACTTCGTTGACCATCTGCGAATGGATCAGATCAGTTGAGTGACCGTGCCGCAACAGTCATTGCTCTCTATCGTACCGCGATTGGAACATCCTCCAGCACGAATAGTGCGAAAACGTCCTCACTGCCATCGTCCTCGAGCTGCCCCTCTGTGTATTGATGATCCATCTTGGTGGGCTGGGAGTTTGGCGGCACGGGAGTGATTTAGGTCGACGAGCAGAAGAGGCACAGCTTGAAGTTGCTCTTGAAGGTCATCCAAGCTTCGCACGGACGCTAGTCTAATCCCGACGTCTGGTGTGAATCGCTCTTTTCCACTGTCCATGACACGACGGATACCATAGGGTGCGCTCCATCAGGCAGACTGATGCCTGCCCACCATGTTACAACTGGGGACAGTGTTGCTGTTGGGCGAGGCACGATCTCGGCGCAGCCCTGGTACAATGTATCGGCGCGTACAGCAGTACTCCGTCCTGTACGCCGCAAAGGGACCCGCTGAGGTCGTGTGAGTTCTGGATGACCAGGATTGCGAGGCTGGCTTCTGAAGCGATGCCTCCAAAGCCAATCAAGCTGAGAATGACTTGCGGTGCCGCATCACTGGTGATCTTCTCGCAGAGAAGCGTCTCCCTTCTGTAGGATAGTGAGCTGGCCGACGACCATCCAGTACGCCGGAAGGCGTTGGATGCTGCATGAGAGAGGTTGTTGGATAGCCTGAGTTCAGGGCCCTCCTCTCTATATTGGTAATCTGGCTGAGAAAGTCTCATCGTAGGGGATGGCGCTTGACGACGTTGCACCATTCTCGACGTGTTGGCGGCGCGGCAATGCAGCATCGCTGCCTAAAGGACTCTTGCGAACGGCTCAGCACTCATGAGCTGTCTAGCATACAAGATAAAATGGATGGTCCTGCCAGGTATCTGCTCTCCACATTACCTTTGCTCCTGTCTCCTCTCGAATACTTGTCTACCGCTACCGACATGGCTGTCTCATTTTTGACTTGGCTGCTGATAACTGCTCATGTTTCTGCAGATGCAAGCTTGAAAGCCATACCACTCGGCCGAATGCTACCAGTCGAAACTCTATTCCCTCTCCCTCATCGAGTCAAGTCAGACGATGAAGCTCCTAGGCTTCGGAACGTTACCGGGTTGTTATCAAGCGCACCGTCAATCGTGCAATTGGGATTTCCCTCTTCTCGCCATGGTCCAAGCCTTGAGGACAGTGATCGGACCGACGAGCACCCTGAAGAAGGCCTCGATGATGAGGGATTTTACGACGAATTCAGCGATTACGTTCCGTACGACGAGGTCGAGGGGGTGGCAATGGTCCGCAAAGGGTTGTTGAAACGAGCACCGGCATTCCGGGGCACCATGCAGATGGATTGCAAGGTAGCAAGGGAAGCCTGCCAGAACGCTTGCTGGTATCAAAATTGTGTCCGGGGAGCTCGAGGTGCGAGTGACCAGGTCGTCTACAGAGAGGGTGGCGGGGTTTCAGAGGAAGTTGACGCAAACAGGGTGGGTTCGGGCGTAAAAGCTTCCCGAGGCACTCCTTGTAGTGCATGGCCATTCGGGCAGAGGTTTTGGGACATGTACGACACTGACGTAGGCATTGCGACCACTCCTTTCATCAGAACGTGCTGACCGAAGCTCAGAAAGCTGCCGATAAACGCGGGAATCCACTGGATAGCAGGGCATACATTCTGCAGACCGATGAGTGGCCGATGGCAAGCTTTGAGAACGACGCGTTCGATCCTAATGCAGACCCGCCGCAGCATTCATTGAGATGCATTACTAACACTGACAATACGGGCACGTTACCACATACACCTTGCCCATCAAGAGTCTCCGCTAATAGGATCATATTCTAGCCGGTGGAAGGGAATGGAGGAATTTTCGAAGGGCGAGAGGCAAGTATGGAGAAGGGCAACCTTATGCCCATTGGCGCGAAGGCAGGGGTAAATTCATCCGCGGAGACTGGTTCTACGTCAACTTCGATATGAGTTCGTTCGACAATCAGGATCCAAACGATCGATGGGTCATGGACAAGTAAGTGTTCGTTGATCTCGTTGGGTGCCGAGTAGGCGACTGACGCCCTCCCTAGCGTGCTTTACTACTGCAACGCACCCTTCAAAAATTGCGAGAACGATGGCCGACAATTCCACATGAGTGAATTAGTCGAGACCAATTCGAGACGAAACCTCCAGGTTGGTGTTCTCGAGTGGCCGTACGATCGGACTGGGTCCAACAAGTATGGAAGTCAAGGCATGAGCGAGTACCAAGTCGACAACGAGGGAGAAGCTATCAAAGCGTTCAACCTCGTCCTCAAAGTCACCGGAAATGACAAGGACCAGTTTGATGTCACTGTGTCAGAGGTCGTCAACGGAGTCCCGGCCCTTTTGGCTTCTAATACCCAACAACTGGCGACAGACGAATCCATGTCAGTCCAAGGTTCTCTACCGCAGTCCTTGAAGATCTCGCGGACAGATGACTGCGAGGTTGTCAAGTTCGAGTACGGCAGTGACGGAGAGCTCTCCTTTTTCCCTTTCAATACCAAAGACGCTGGATACCCGGATAATGCACCAGAAGACCGTAAGAAAGGCGCGAATAGAGGCCGCTATTGCTTGCCAAGCGACATCGAAGACAGCAATGGTGACGCCATTGGCGTGGAGTACGACTGCTGGTGAGTACATCTGCGTGAAGGGGAGAACAACGGCTGACTCCACCGGCTCTTTTGCAGGTTTCCCGGCTGGTAAAAGCCTCGACGAGCGCCGACGATGAGTGTCTTGGCCGCTGTCTGATGAGTCACGAGCTTGTTGAGAGAAGGAGGGGAAGCGTGTAATGAGGTCGTGGAGGGGCTTGTGGAAGCTAAGTGATGGGAGGGATGGAAACGGTTGGTGGGCAGGGCGAAGACGTACCTGGGTGGAACGGTTCGAAGGGTATGGCGGAGGACCAACAATGTTCTCCGAGACGACGTCTTGGATCAAAAGCTTTTCATCCTCCTTGAGTGTTCGTGGTGTCTTGCGCTCTCGGAGAACATTGCCACTCTGCCGCTGCCTTCCAACCTCCTCTCTTTCTCAGAGCCCATCATCTTTCGACATGGCACGGATCGAAGCAAAATTAGCGAGATGCAAAAGCTTTGCCAGCACTACGACATCTACCAGCCAGAGCGAAGACTCTTTCCCCGACGCTTCATAACGCATCACACGACCCATCTACCTCTACCTCTATAACTTCGCCCCCAACTCCTCAAACTCACTCAACTCCTTGACTGGCCTCACGCCAGCACTAAGCGGCATACCCGCCTTGAAAGCCTTGACATCCTCAATCACTACCGTCTTGCTCTCTTTCTCCCCATTCGCCACCTCCCCGTTGACTTCCGTACCATTCGCCTCAGCAGCCGCATCTCTCGAAACGATGCCCAAGCCGGGCAGGACCTGCGACAGCACCATTTGGCCCTGCGCCACCACCTGCTCGACCTGATCGACGGCCATGCCGACGGACTCTTTGAGGTACGAGTCCACGGCGCCGATGATCTCCTTTGAGTCGCCGGAGGTGATGTCGACCTTCTCCATGCGCTTGGAGAGGTCGGCGGAGTTTGCGTCTTCCAGACCAAGCTGCTGGAGCATGGAGGTAATGGTTTCGACCAGCTTCTCCTTCTTCTCAGCCGTCGATGTCTTGGCCGCGATATCGGCAGCTGAGCCCTGGGCAACGAGGTAGACGCTGGCTTTTGATCTGCTGGGTGAAGATGGGCTGATGTAGCGGCGGAAGAAGGCGAGCATGTCGTCTTTGGATAGCGGCTCGATGTTCTCGACATCACGGTAAGCTATTCACAGTCAGCTTCGTTGCCACTCGTCGACCACAGAAGTTGCTTCACTTACTCAGCTCAAAATCATAAGCCTCCGAGGTGATATGATGCCAGAACCGTCCAGTCTCCTGACTCAAATTCTTCAGCTTCTCCAGCCGCTTGTTGATGATGCCAACTTTGTGCGCCTCGAACTCATCGGACGGCATCTCCTTCAGCGTCTCTTCGAAGCCGTTGAAGAAACTGTCGATCCTCTTCTCCAAGTGCGCACAGTCCTTCTCGCTTTGAATCAGCACGCGGAAGCCGGCGACGGTGCTGTAGATCAGCGCGTGGCTGCCGACGATGTAGCCGAGCTGTTCTTTCGATCGGAGTGTATCGAAGACCGGCTCATCAGTCATCTGAGCGAACAGAAGAAGGAGCGCACGAAGTCTGCGATCCATGTTGTTGCCTACGAAGACGACGTAGTCGATGCAGTGGTTGATGTTGTCCGGGTTCTTCAGCGTCCGCTCGTACCTGAAGTCGCATCCCTCCGGCATCTCGATGTTTCTGCGAGTCGGCCACTGGTTTGCAGGTAGCTTCTTTGGCTTGAGAGTCGACTCGACCAGGTTCGTGATGTTCAGTGCATCCTCCTTGTACACGTTGCCATGAACCAAGATCTCAATGTGCATCTGTTTTAGGACCTGTGGGAAGAACTGCCGCACATCCTCCGCGACAACGCTCGTCAGCTCGTCGTGAAGTTCACCTACCACCCAACCCCTCTCGCTGGTCAGCCATCGGCTGTACGTGGCAATCTGGCGGTACGGGTCTTGGTAGTCGAAGTTCTTGTAGCTGCGCATCAAGCGCTCCTTGATGATGTCAAACCGCTCATCCTTGATCTTCAGATCCCGCATCGAAACCAGCACCTTTTCGAGCAAAACAGACATTTTGTCGTTGTACCCACTGATCACAACATCAAAGCCCTGCGAGTGGTTCGCCAAGCTATACTGCAGGCCAGCGAGTTCAGCATCGTAAGCGTACTCGTTCAGTGAGTCCTCGACCAGGTCCTTGAACAGCTGGCTCATGACAGCCATAAACGGCGTGATGTTGGTGAGAGGAGAACGCAGGCAGACATCGATGTTGGCTTTGGGAACCCAGAACTGGTCGTCCTTCTTGAACCACGTCCGGACGTTCTCGTCATTCCGAATCAGCTTAGGTGAGACGGAAGGCTCCTTGACGTCCTTTCGCTCGACATCCAGCCGCTGGGGCACAAACTCGTTGACACCGGGCAGATGAAGCTCAGAAGGCCGCTCACTCGGAGCTGATGCCGCTGCCTTTTTGAGCTCCTCCATAAAGTCGTCGGGAATCTTCTCCAGTCGGTACTCAGTGCCATACCATTTCTCTTTCCGATCCCACGTCCCAGGGAAGGTCTGGCTCTGAAGCTGGATTTTGAAGTTGTCAGGCCTTAGAGCATCCAACCCAGCCTTTATGGCATCGGCATCGAACTTGGTAATCTTGCTTGGTGCAGACAGGAGTCGGTCGCGAGGAATGGGTTTCTGCATCAGCATGCTGTACGAGCTGACAGTCCGACTGGCGGGGGACTTTTGTTGGAACTTGAATCCGACTTCCGAAAGTTGTGCCATCTCGTCTACAATCCACTTCTGAGGCGGCTCGTCCTTCACAAGAGCAATATATTGAAATACTGCCTTGACCACCTCCTGATAGTTCTTCAGACCGGACTCAGTCAGCTTTATGTCAACGTCAAAGGCACTCGTCCCCGGACAGACAGGGGCCTCTCCAGCGGAAAGGCTGGTCGTCCAGCCCTTCTCTTTGAGGTATGCCAGAAGACTGCCTGGCCCCTCGTGGCCAATGAGGTGGCTGACGTAACGCGATGGGTGCGAAGAATACGATTCATCCTGGGCCGGATAAGGGAACCACAACTCTAGCGAGCGTTGATCCATGACAGGTTTTGCGAAGATCTGCGTGCGGAGGTCATTCTCATCGAAGAGAGGTATCCCGTCCCATCTGTTTTGGGGTAGGTTCTTGTTGGGCACGTCTGTGAACATCACTTCAACCCATGACTGCAGCTCATCCAGCGATTCCGTGCCAAGAACAGCCAGCTTCATTCGGTTGGCAGAGTAGTTTCGGTCGTAGAAGCTCATGAACTCGTCTCGGACCTTGACACCGCGACCAATGGGATCATCATGCAAAGTCTGGTAGTTGCCAGTAGAGAACTTGTGATGCGGGTGCTGCTTGCTGGATGTGCTTCTGTGGAGTTGCATCATGCGCCAGTTGTCGCTCTGCAAGTTCTTCTTGTTCTCAGAGTCGACCGCCTGAAGTTCTCGATCAAGTGTGTCTTCGAGGAATAGCGGCTCGATGAAGAACTGGGAGAAGCGGTCCAATGCACCATAGAGTGGCGACTTGTCCTTTGTCCTCGGTAAGCTGATCTGGCTGGCGTTGGCAGAATTTGCGGCGCTATTGCTCGTGGCAGAGGATGAGATCTCAAAGTAGTAGTTGGTTGAAGTCCTTTCCGTGTATGCGTTGGAAGAACCACCAAACCTGCTCAGGTAGGTGTTGTAGTCGTTCTCTCCTGGATACTGAGTGAGCATCTGTCAGTTGCTGCCCCTGTCCATCTCGCTGTACACACTCACCTTCTTTGTCCCCATGAACAGCAGATGCTCCACCGCATGAGCCATGCCCGGCATATCCTCCTCGTCACTGAAGCTGCCTGCATTCACATCCATCGCCGCCGCCGCTTTGTCGGTGTCCGGATCATGGATGAGCAGAGCCTCGAGCTGGTTCGGCAGCTTGATGACACGGTATGTGCGATTGTCAAGCAAAGGCTTTTCGAGCTCGTGTGCGAGCACTTCCGTCGAGCCATCCCCAGTTGATTGTATGCCCGCCATGGTTGCGTATGATGCGAAGAGAGCAGATACGGCTTTACCGTTGCGCATAAGAGTTGGACCGGTCGTTGTAGATATGGAGCGAGCGCCGAGTCTTAAAGGATTGTGTAATGTGGGTCGTGGCGCGTTGCGCAAGGGAGGCAGAGGTAGCTGACGCGGTGATGGGCTTAAGGCTGAGAAGCCTCGCGTTGCCTTGCGGACGATGCCTCCTCTTGCAGCCCTGTTCAGCTCTCCGGTGATTGTGTGACTCCTCGCAGCCCTCCAACAGCCTCCAACAGCATCAGTTCGCACTCTTTGCGAGAGGCTCATCAAAGGGATGGTGATCAGATCGCGATGCCGCCAAGCGAGGGTGGAAGCGGTGTGCTAGTACAATACCAACGAACGTACGCCGTGACACCCGCGACAATGATGGTCAAGGGGATTGTTCGTGAGACTGCAACTCTACACCTAGAGACGATATGGCATGGCACGATGTCACATGCGTTTGAAGAGGTGCGCACGGATCGTCACCGTATGCAGGCACTTCGGCTTGGCTATGATGCTTGCAAGTTTACCTAAGGTACACCTGATGTCTTCAGACCATTCCAAAATTATAAGGTGAATGTCCTTGTCTCAAGGCAAGATGCCGTATTCGCTGCATGATTTGTTGAATTAAGCACTTGACAGCGAAAACGGCCCACTGAACAGGTCTAGCAGCCTTCTCCCAGCTCCCATTACACCCGGAAAGGCCACCATCCTCTGTCTGACGGGTTGTCGTTGTTTGTGAGAACGCGGTTCATCTGTCCTACTGAGCCGGTCCCGCTGTTGGCAGCTTGTGCATGAGACTTGCGTACCCACAGGCTTCGCAACGACTTCTTCAGACGGCGAGGTACTGTGCTCCGCATGATGTGTTATTAATTAATACTTAGTCGCTATAGTCCCGGCCAAGTCCTCTCGATCGCTCTTGATGCTGTGGTGCCAACCATCTGCTATCGGCATCCGCATCCACGGCCTTCTCATGCTGAGAACTGAACCATCTGGCTTGATGTTGCTCAGAGCGGCAACATTCATTTGTCGACCAGTTGCAAGGCAGGGTCAGTCCCTTTGTTGCTCATCTCCTTAGAAGCTTCTCAACACGCCCACTGCCTGTGCACCGCTTCCCTCCTAGCCACCAAAACGGGACCCTTCTCCAACTCAGAAGCACCGTGAAAGTGCATGGAGTCTCGTCAATCACCTTTCATCTCGCAGTCGTATCCGGAGGGCGTGACCCATCTTGCGGGGGAACTGTCCCAATTCGTCCTCAACGGAAACGACCAGGTGAAGGTGCCCTTTGCAAACCCGATTCATTTCCTTCGCCTCCCACTGCTTGAAGGCAAAGGTGGCTCTGTGGTCTTTGATGCCGATGATCGTACTGTTCAAGCGGGCTGCTTGGAGGACGTCGTCTGGCGGGTCGCGAAGTGTGAGTGGAATGCACTTCTCGCCTTCGTGCTTCGTGGCCGGACATTCGGTGGTCTTTTGGGTCTGCATCGAATGCCCAGCCCGTTCCGGATCCTTCACTTCGTCCTCGATGTCGTCCTCGTCCTGGTCACGATTGGTTCCGCGTATGGTTTCAATAGAGGTAGGCTTCGCTCGCTTTCTGGGCCGCTCGCACTCCAACAACTCCGCCGACCTTTTCAAGATCTTCTGAATGCCATCGATGGTCTCGTCACACCCCTCCTTTCCCGTTCGTAATACTCCATACTCCTTCTCGACGGCACTCAACTTGTCTCTTAATCCCTTGATCTCCGAATCCTTCTCCGCCAGATCTCCCTGATGATTCCCCTGCTTGTCATTCAACACAGCATATCTATCCTCCCACTGCTGAACTTCATCAGCATACCTATTCTTCCAGTGCTTCACTTCATCTACGATCAGAAAGTCAGCAGAGATATCGTGCCGCACCAAGCACGCCGTGCAATGATTGGAGCGTATGAAGGCAAGGAGGTAGGGCTCGGATTGAATCTCTTTCACTTACCAAGCAATCTGCAACAATGTTGATCCTTATAAATGACATGTTAGTACAAAATTTGCTAGTGGCGATTGGTGCAGACACTTACAGTAATTTCAGAGAGGCGGATGATGGTGGCGATATTCTCATTCAGCCTCTTGGACGACTGAGTGGCATTTCGCTTGGCTGCTGCAATTTGCTGCTTGTTGGCATCTAGCTGGCTTTTGGTCGTGCTCTGGATCCTGGCCGGCTCCATGGTGAAGGATGTTGGTGGTGTAGGATGATGTTGATGTGATTCGGAAGAACATCTGAGCAACAAGAACAACTTATATATGCTGGCTTACTAGGCGCATCACATGGTTTTCATCAAGAGCATGCATTTGCTTTCAGCTGTGTTTTGTAGTGAAGAAAGCTCGTGATATTCCAGGAGTGAAGGCCGATCGATCCAGCTGCATAGAGGGAACAGCGCTGCGCTCAAGCAGATCGATCGCAAACCGCCGTGTGATGTCAGGCGATTGAGACCTATTTCATGTCAATGCCGCTCAAGCCTGTATCTAGAAACTAATGCACAGTGAGTACTGAACCACAGATCGGTTCCGACTGAGGAGCCCCGGTGGCCGTGAAAGAACGGATCGACAACGGATTCAGAAGAGTGTTTTAAGGAACACGAAGCATGTATATGTGTTTGTCAATCGTTTCCGCTTCCGTATAGAAGAGCTTATCACCCACTCGGTTCCGATGCTGTGTTGCGGACCATTCTCCAAGCACCATGCTGATCGCATCAGAGCCCTTCACACCGCAGCGTGTGAGCTGGGTTTCGCAAGCCGAACCCATGACCGTGAGACCTAATGCAAGTAACAAGCTCAACCTCGTCGGCCCAGCCTTGTTTGCCCGTCGTGCTCGATGATACTGAACGTTCACTCCTTTGCCTGCGCCTTCATCTTCAGAACCGTCTCTTTAGCGATCGTGGAGGCATTCGTGGCATCGCCTGGTTTGACGTTGGTGAGGTCGTCTCGCTGTCGGACTTCTGGGTGCCGTTCTTGTCGACCAAATCCGCCGAGCTGGTTGCTTCTGGCATGCGATGCACCACGTAGCTCGGGGCTTCATCCGTGCCGGTCATGCCTGTCAAACCCTGGCGTGTTAAACGCATGATGAACTTCAACTCGGTGAGGCGGTTCCCGTACTTGAGGATGTCGGCATCCATCGTCTGTGCTGCTTGGGCCAGTTCGCCATCCTCGCCTTCCAGTCCACATTCACCTTGGATGTTGATTATTTCCCTGTACTTCTTCGCCTTTGTTTCGAAGACGTGAAGAATGAGTTCGAACTCAGCAATCGAAGCATGACGAAGCACCCCAGTTGACGTCGTACCGAAGAGGCCTTTGAAGATAGATCGGATGTCCTCACAGGACTATAATAGCAAAACGTCAGTAAACACTGCGCAGGCGGCTGACGGGTGGCACATGCTACTAACCGGCAGCTCCGTCTTGCCGGTGCGGGCGACCTCGTTCTCAATATGTGACTTCACAATCGTCGTCTTCTGGCCGTCGTCCTCGTATACTTCAACCGAAGTGAAAGAGACGGCGATTGTCTCGTTCTCGGCCTTCAGCAGCTCTATGAACTCCCGCATCTGTATTTTGAACGTGTCCACTCCCTGCCTGTACTCCACATCATCGTCGACGTCTTGCTTCGTGGCCGTATTCGGTGTGGTTGACGGCGCCGTGGCGAGGCAGCTTGTCGGTGAAGTGGTGAACAGTGATGTTGAGGAAAGTTGGAAGAAATTTTTGAAGGGCAGGAGGCAAGTTAAATAATAGACCAGAAGCTTGGACCGCATGACAACTCTTGGCGTATCACATGTGTCTTGACATTGCGATCGGTTCCGATTCAAGTGATCACGATGGTGATATGGTGCCGAACCGATTGGGCGGTTCCGTTCCTGGAGCTGGCGGCTATCACCAGGTATGAGAAGGAGATCAGTTCGGTTCCGAGAGTGCGGAGGCTTGATTAAAGGATCCTGGGAGCCGGTTCATGATGACGATCACCTTTTTGACCTCACAGTGCTGTCCATAGGTATCTGTACTCCGCCTTTGTCTGCTCGCTAATGCCGTCTGCTCTTTCCACGACGATCACAGCTGCTGTCATGAACTGTTGGAGGACATGGCTGTCACAAGTACCTCTGTTGTCGGACCAAGAATGCATGAGTGCTTTCACACGTTGCTGAATAGTCTCCCAGTAGTACGATTCGGCCATGTTACGGGCGAGGTCCCTATTCTGGTCTGTAACGAGGAACTGATTGACTAGAGCCATGCGGGTCCCATGGCTCCTGCCGGCAAAGGTATCTTCTGGCTCTGAGCCGTTGGCAAGGAGACTATGCAGGTCACCGAAGTACATCTCTTCGCCATCGGGCGCATGTCCAGTGACGAACTGTGCCATGTCCGGCGCATTCTGCATTGCAGTCGATATTGGAGCCAGCACATCCTTTTCGTTTTTAGATCGTTTCGAGATACCGGTGCAGCATACGATGACGCCGTCGATGGTAATGCTTGCTGGTATCGAGGGACCTTTGCTTTCACTCTCGCCCGCGTTGTCCTGCATCGCTGCTAGCAGAGTGGCGAAGTGATGTTTCCATGCGAACGCACACTCGCAATGCTCTGCCGAGTCTCATGCGGCGATTTTCCTTCGGTAGGCTCGCCATGTCCTGGCGGACCGTCTTGCGTCGTGGGCTGCACAGGTGGTTGAGTGGCGTCGCTCGTCTCCTCCTCTGGGCTTCGGCGGTCTCGCTGTGTTCAAGCTGATCATTCTGAGTTGCTAGCTGGACGGGCTGTTGAGCGGTCTCGCGACCTGACCAAGCTGGTATCTCCACATCTTCCTGTAGTCCAGGCAATGGATCCGGCGTTGGGATTGCTCCCGGTTCCATGCCGACCCCTCCCTACTTGTCGCACCTTTCGGGAGTGATTGCACGAACCCTCTCTTCAAGCCTTTCCATGCGGTCGTTGAACTCTCTCGGGATCCGGACACGTTGAAGGTCCTGTCCTTCATGCCTCGACGGATGCACCTGCAGCTCAGCGTCCGGGTTCTGCAGGTGATAGATGACCTCTGCCGGGTCCTGAACATGCGAGAGTTCACGGATCCGTGGATATCCAAGGGAACTAGTGATCGCTAGCGGCTTTTCACCACCTTGTTGGGTAGTCGATAGATCAACGTTCGTTGTATTCGGAGTTTCCAAACGCACATCTGGCGACCCATATGGCTTCGTGGCCGACGGCGGCTTTGTCACAAGCCACCCGCTGCCTTGACCCAGCGTGGACTGCTTGCCAGGAGCAGAACTGTCGCTAGTCTTACGTGGTTGACGATGATCCGCAGCTTTGCCGTAGCGTGGAGGACGAGCGGCAGTACCATAGGTGCCAATTGACGGCTTGGGGTGGAGCATTGCCTGCTCGTTGGTATCTTTCATGACCACGTCATCATCTTCACGAGTCACTGCGCGCTTCTTATTCGGGCTCGGTGGATCCTTGGCTGGCGAAGACCTCCGCTTCGGTGTTATTGGAGTCTTTTCATGCTCGCTAGACTGCGTCGCCGGAGTGCATGAAGGTCCTGTGCTTTCGCTAGGGTCACTGTGCTCCTTGCAAGTGCGAGGAGACAGAGCAGTAAGCTTTGGACGCTGGTTTACATCAGCTTTGCTACTCGGAGAGGCAAATATTGGCCTTGTGAAACTAGTGGACGTCCTGAGTGATGCGCCGGGTGGCACAGATCTGGTGAGACTTAAGTTGTTCAGCCTGGTCTGCTCTGCTGACCAAAGGAACGAGTCTTGCCTTCTCGGGGCCGTTGGGCGCCCCGAGAGACGCGCCAGGTGGTGGGTCCTGCGAAGGCTGCTGAGCGGCGTCGGAAATGCTCACTACACCTGAGCAAAAGACAGCGTAGTGCGATTTCGTGTTGTGATTCGCGCTTCCTCTGATCGTTACCGACCCTGGCGAGCTACATGTTGAGTCGAACAGCTAGGAAGGAGACGCAAACGAGGGGAGTGACTGAATTGCTCGACAGCGTCGGAACCAACTCTTTTGATGATCTGGAGTCTTCTTATTGTCCGTTTGTACTCGGTTGCCCACCTTCACTCTTCCCTGCTGCCTTTCCACTAGCCTCCCCATTCACAGCTTTCCGCTCACACCACTCTTTGAGATCTCTACACATATCCTGCGTTCGATCTCTGAACGGCTCCTCCAGCTTCTTCCTCACAATCTTCGCAACCGGCCCGCTGAAGACTGACCACGTCCTGAACACCGTCGTCCCATCCCCCACCTCTTCAATCTCGTTGATTGTCTCATTCCGCATCAGAAAGCCCGGCGTCGTGATCGCGGCGTTGTCCAGCTGCCACCGCACCCTCGTGATACATGGTAGCTGATGCCCTTCCTTCGACAGCTTCAATTTCTCCAGCAACGTAACGACCTGCCGCACCTCGGTCTTGTAAGGTGGGTTATCCGTGAGCTTCCGGTAGAAGATCATGCATGAGCCGCCCGTGATTCGCTTGTGCGCGCCGTCCCTGATGCCATGTGGGTTCGGATTCTTCGTGATCTTCACATCGTAGACGAAGCTGTTCCATTCTTTGTAGTCGCCCACGTTGAGTAGGGCATCGTAGACTATGCTGGGATGGGCATTGATCTTGACTTCGGAGTACGCTGAGAAGAGGCCGCCGCTTGGGATGTGCTTGCTGGCGCGAGGGCCAGTGAGTTTAGGGTTGCGGAAGTCGTCGCCCTGAAGAGGGGCCATACTGGCTTGTCTGTTATGGTCTGTTGGTGTAGGAAGAGAACAGAGGAAAGACTGGTATACTTCACCACCGCTCAGAGCGCTACGGAGAGGCGAGGGAGGTGCGATTGTCGTGGAGACGGTAGGACGCCTATATCAATCTCATTGCTCGCCTGCGCTCAACCAGCGCCACCGACGAGAGCGAATGTTGACGAAATGATCAGTAAGGTGTTGATGGGCGCCGCCAATTCGGTATCGGACCCACCCGGCTCGAGCCTAAAGTATCCGACGTCTTGGTCAGCAGCCTTTCTCGACTTCATCTTGTCTTCTTCCTATCTCATTTTGCCCTTTCCCGTAAACAAAACAATTGCGAGGTGTTGAGGCTTGATGAGGATGCACATAGATATTGACACGACCCAAGACTGGGAAAGTCCTCTTCCACGGCCTTCCAAGCCCCGCAATGAGGATGGACAGTTCTACGAATGCCCTGCCGGACTTGAGGTCTGGTCCAGCGTACTCGGCAGATTCATCCACGACCATTACTCGAGATGGCTTCAACATCGGAGTGGTCCATGTATTGCTGCTAGCGTGGTAACTTCATCTGCTCTGACAGAACGCAAAGGCAAAGCACGGGGACAAGGGAACGTTTGCGATCTGGCTTGTCAGAAAGGGGGTGCATACATCCGTCAGGCTGGTTCATCGGTAGGTTAGAACTTGTTGCACTCACTCTTCCTCAAAGAGCCATGGCTAAAGCCGATCAAGTCGCTCTCAATAGTTGCACGAGTTGTTATGCACCTGTTGTCCCTTTCAAGATTCGATGTCTCTTTGCGCAGCGGAGAAAAGGGTAGATAGGGGTACGTGAGGTACCACTTCTCGTTCGAGACGCTTCCTGTTACTCAACATGTCGTCAAACAAGCCGCTCTTTGAATTCAACCATCGGCCCGCTTCGATCCGACAAGAAGCGATCGAACAGCTGGAATTCCTGCCTCCTTTTCCTTTCCTCCCTCCAGTCATCCTTCTGATCTTCAGGATCCATCACAGGCACACTGCCCTCCCTCCACGCCTTGCTGTTCTTCATCACCTTTCCAGTCGCTGCATCCTTGGCCAGCCGCACGTCGAAGCGATGCAACAGCATGAACAACGCTGCGTGGAGCTCCAAGTAAGCGAGCTGGCGGCCGATGCAGCCTCGTGCTCCTTGCGAGAAGGGACTGAAAGCCTCTCGAGCAACCGAAACAGCCTCCGATGAGCGAGGAATGGCTGATGAGGCTGCTTCGTCTTCTGACGCAACGAGCCAGCGCTCGGGGTAGAACATGTCTGGTTCCGGGTAGTATTCTGGATTATGATGGATGGCATAGGTGGGAACGCCAACGACACTTCCTTCCGGGATTAATTCCTCTCCAATTCGGATGCCGCCCTTCAGCACTTCACGTGGCAGCAGTGAAGGGACCGGTGGCGACAGGCGTAGCGTCTCATCGATGACTGCCCGAAGGTACGGCAACCTGATCGTCTCGAACGGCGTGATCTCTCCATCACCGCGAGAGGACGCAAAGGACATGATCTCCTTCACTAGTAATTCCATGACCCGAGGATTGTGGAGAAGATAGAAAAAGGCCGCTGCAAGGGTAGTCGAGGTGGTGTCTGCACCGGCGGCTATCAAGAGGCCGCTCTCGGCTGTCAAATGCTGTCGACTGAAGCCTTCGCCTGTCTGAGGGTCCTTTGCATTCAGGATGTAATGCATCATATCCTTGCGTGCGGAACTATCGTCGTCACGGCCAGCTTTTTCTTCCTGCGCAACACGGTCGGCCAGGACCTCATCCGAGTACTGGTAGAACCTCATCTCGTCCCTCGCCATGCTACCTCCAATCCAGGGCTTGGCGAGAATGCCGCTACCCAGGATTTTACGCAGGATGGAGCCGAATGGGAGACTTGCGAACTGGGATCACGACTGGTCAGACGAGAGGTACAACTTTGAACTGGCGCATACTCACAGTGTAGATGAACGCTGTACCATTCATCAGAACACCCGGAACGAAGCGGTGTTCTTCGCTCGTCATACAGTTGAACCTTCTCCCAAACACGAGGTCACCCATGATGTCGTAGTTGAGATAGGTCGCCCATTGCGACATGTTGAACGGTGAGGACCATTTCTCATCCTGTGGAACCAAAGGGTGAGAGAGTCAGCAAGCCTCTCGATACTGCAAAAGAGCTTACAGGGTATCAAAGCGCCACATGCAATGTGATGGTGCTTTGGAAATCCCTCTGACAAACCATTGCTTACCTTAATGCTTTCTTGTATTATTTCCCGGAACGTCTGCACATTCAAGACGAGGTATCTTTCCGCGGACCTCAACCCTTTCTCCGTAAAAGCATGCTCTATCACCCGGCGGCGGGAGGCGTGCACATTCCGGTCAATCTCGGCGTGGATGCTGTCCTCGTCTCCCGCCGAGGCCTCGATAATGGAGTACCATTTTGACTTCTGGACGTTGCCTTTGCGGTTGAAATACACTTCTTTTACCGCAGAAACGGTGTTGAAAGATAACGTGTTCGGACCAACGCGGACGATGGGACCTTCTTGAACTTTAGAATTGGTGGTTCAATACAAACGGACGACTGCAGAGGCTACCGTACCATACTTTTCGTGACCTTTCAACAGATCGAGATGCCGGTCGCCCGTCGCTGTTTGATACACGATGGACCATTCTGTGAGTTTGGCGATCAATGGACCCGGGTACTGGGCGAGGGGATGGAGTGTGAGACGGTATATGCAGAGAACGAAGACCTGAGGTTTGCATAGTAGGGTCAGTTGAAAGTTTCCACTTCCTTTAGAGCTCTGCTGAGCAAAGGTATGAAGCTTACGTAGATTGGAATCGCAATGCCCAAGAGCAGCAACGACTGCCACCAGGAAAGTGAAGAAAGGAGAACAGCCATGTCGATCTTTCTTTACAGACAATGACTTCCTGTGTGTACGTAGACGGGCTCAACCGCGGTGTGAGTCGTCGACCTCCAGGTACGGATATTCTGAAGAATGGAACCTTTCCTCCCACTCTCCAGACCCCGCATAAATCTTATCAGGCACTGCAATGCAAGTGGTTTGTCGGGCCTGGGGTTAATGAACTCCACCGCCGCTAAAACTGACGATGCTTTTAGATCGCAGTAGTGTGTCGTGTGGAATCACGCAGCTAGATAGCTCAGCATTAGCGTGCAGCTCCAGGAACCAGCTCCTGGCCGTGCCGGCCGTGATCAATCTTCTCGAGTTCCTGATATGTTTTGAATGAGCCTCGGCGAACTACATGGATTAAATCTGGGCTGCTTGGCCTCAGAGAATGAGTTGAGCTCGGACATGGGATGCACAATAAAGCTGCAACGCTTCAGACGTTCAAGCCTATCACCATTCTTTAGCGCACGCTAAAGGACGGTAGTTGAATGGCGACGAAGTGAAATCAGATGCCGGACCCAGCGCATCGTCCGTCAAAGCTGTACATACACCATCTACTCGATAAAATTCCTCGTCCTCGTTGCATTGGGTTCATCATTCAGCTGCGGCGGCTGCGTATCATCCTCCCGGGTACCAGGTGCGTTGTATGACACTTCCCATGTAACAGTCTGTCGAATGATGTTTTCCTGCGATCGATCGCTCCCTGCATCTTCCGAGACCGTCCTTGGGTTGTGTCTAATCACAGTCTCGCCGTTGCCATAATGAGAAGGCTTCGAAAGCACACCTCCCCGTCTACTCCCATAGATTTTCAGTGGTTCGTCTCTTTCACTTCCTGCGTTGGAAATGCTTTGCCGTGACCTGCCCTTGCTCGATCCTCGCATCTTCCTCGACCCGGCCGAGCTCTTCTTCATTCCTCCTGACGCATTGCTCAGAACATAGTCTCCGCCGTTGATCTCTGTCCCGAATCGGCCGGCTGAGAGGTTTGCGAAGAAGGCACTGAGGCCGAGAATGATGGCTGTGAGCACTGAGAGGTTCAAGACGAGTTGTTGTAGAACCACCGGAATCAACATGGCTCTAGTCTGGTCTGTAGAGCCCAGTTCTCCCGCGAGTGACACGAGCTGGGCAACTGTAGCGACGCACACCCTGCTTTTGGTCAGGAGACAGGAAGGAGAACGTGGTATGGATGTACTCACAAAAGCCGGATGCTCCACAAGCATGACAACTTGAACTTCTGCTGCCTTTTCATGGAGAGGTTCACGAGCACAGGTGTGAATGAGAACGCGAGCAAGGCGTCCGTCAGCGCATTCGTGACTGTCACGGGGTACCACATCGCTCCGTCCGCACATCTATCTGGTGTGTCAATCTCCTGATTGACTGAGCCGCATTGAAACGCAATTCCAAGGACACTGAAGATAGTCCAGATGGCGATCACGCCGCAACCGATGGTTATTGTGTACCTTGTGTAACGGTCCGTTGAAGTGCTTCCCATCAGGCGTCGCTGGAGCAGTAACACAGAGGACTTTGCGAAGGCCATAGATATGATAGCCAGGAGTTCGGATGCGTACGAGTACTAGGTTAAGGGGGTTAGTATACGGAGAAGGGGAGATTCCAGCAATGAGACCGACCTTGTAGTAACGATGAAGAGAAGCATCATTCAAAGTGGACATGTGCCTTCCCAGGCCTGATGTGACTGATTCCGCTACCAAGATAGTTTGAGCGATTGTAAGACTCTGATCAAGCTCGTTAGTATTCTTACTCCTGATCGTTTGGATGTGACACTGCGAGCACTCACCGTGGCGACGACGAGAAACGCATCGTCAAGCCCAAGTTTGGATCGTCTTGTGTGCAGTCTGATTGCGCAACACAACGAAGTGATTATTGCCAACGTGAAAGTAACGACAATCACAATCGCTCCTCGATCTGCCTCAGTATTGGCGAAGAAAGGTGGTTGCTGGGCTGCCATGCCGTAAACTTAACAGAAGCTCAGTGCTGTACGCCGTGTAACGGTCGAAGTCGACACTTGTCGATAAATTGCCTGTCCAACACTACATGTTGGCGTTGAGAGGCTAGTTATCGCTGTCATAGGGCTGCGATGGGATACAAGCGCAGTTGCATGGGAGCTGCTCTCGAATCTGCCTAGGTTTCCTGAATGAATATGGTCCAAGGGCTGAGACATGCCGCGCTCAATCTCGTCCCGTCCGTCGGTTCGACGACAGGATGGCACACTTTCGGGGTCTTAGTGCGCTCGCTTCGGCATCTCTGATCACAAACGAGGCTACAATGTCAGGGCAAGCTGTCGACAATGCAAACGGCCAGCCGGACATCCAGTTGTGTTCTCCAAACCCAGATCCGCCCAGAAAAGCCACATCACTCCCGTCGGCGGGCTGTCTTCGTCTGTGAGAAGATCCATTCACTGCTCGCTCTGACCCGTTGGGTTGATTGATTTCGTCGCTGTCGACAGTTAACAAGAAAAGTCGTCTGTTCTTTCGTCCAGATAAGCTCAACATGGTTTGCAACCCGACCGTGGCTTGAGATCCCCGTCCGTGGCGACCACGCTATAATGCACTACCAACACTATAGCCGGGGAGCTCGCCGGAGGAGGATCTCCGGTCCAAGCCGCTTCTTGGGGTTTCGAGATGCACCAATTATCGTTTCGCTCTTCTCAACTGTCGTCCACAGCGTGCCTCGAGCATACACCCCCCGAAAGCTAGGTCGTGGGGGCCTTTAGATCCGACACCAACGGCATGCGGCCCAGGAGTCTCTTGACTCGACCAGCATCTGCAGGCCAACAACCCAGACCTGCAGGCCTGTATGGCCGCGGCCTCGAGCTCTCACGCATCGCTAGCTATCAGTTGCCGTTGCCGTAAGCGAACCCTTTGCACCCGAGCATGGCATCGTTGTCTTCTGCTCGATGTTCCACCTTCTTTCTCGTTCACGCACTTTGTGAGGCTCCTTGAGTGCGAGCCCGTCTGTCTGTTCTTCCGCCTCTTTTCCAATCCAGATCGGTACCTTTGTTGAGAGACGGACGTGTCTCTGAGAGGAGAAGCATGGATACCAGAGAACAGATTGAGCTAAAAAACTACAACAACGGTGTCGTTGAGACAGTTGATCTTCGAGATGGCAATGGGAAGGAAGAACAAGGGCTATCAGCCAGCCAACAACAACGCAGCAACGGGCTGAATCTCTCGCTTGACGTGAGCTGCCTCATGGACCCGCCTACAAACCACGATTCGCTGATGTTTGAGTAGAAATACATCAACTTCCTGCCGACGGTGGCATTCAGCGGCAACCTTCAATGCTCGTGGGAGGCAGTGGCAGTGTCTTTCCAGGCTGGATTACTCAATGGCGGACCGGTGAGCTCATACCTTCTAGAAGTTCTAACAGGCTTCTCGCTAATTGTCTCAGACATCTTTAGTCTACGGCACCCTTCTCTGCTGGATTGGAAACCTTGCAACCGCAGCCTCCATCGGAGAGATGGCGTCCATCAACCCAACCGTCGGTGCCCAATACCGATGGAGCGGCCTCTACGCACCGCCAGGCATTATGTCCCCTGCCTTTTGGGGGCTGATCACCGGCTGGGTGACCGTCTTCGGCTGGATAGCTGTGGTTGCGCAGCCTGCCTTTCTCGTTGGAACTATCATTCAAGGCCTGATCACTCTCAACGTCGACAGTTATGTCGCGCAACCGTGGCACGGCACGATGCTCACCTGGGCGGTGCTTGCCGTTCCAGTACTCTGCAACGTCTTTGCTCGGAAGGTGCTGAACAGCATCGAAATCGTCGGTGGGATTACCCACACGGCATTCTGGATCATCTGGGTCGTTGTCCTTACCACTATGGCACGTCGAAGCTCGTCGGAGTATGTTTTTGAGACAACCTACAGCGGTGCGGCGTTCGGAGGATGGGAGAACACTGGTGTGTCTTGGTGTGTCGGGCTGCTGACAGCTGCCTTCCCCCTGTCCGGTAAGCTGCCGAACCTCTTCTCTGAATTCCCAAGCCCGTGCTAACGGTTTCAGCCTTTGATGGTGTGATCCACATGAGCGATGAGGTCAGAGACGCCGAACGGAAAATCCCTCAGAGCATGGTTCTGTCTGTCCTCATCAATGGTGTCATGACATTCGCGACTGTCATCGTCTTGCTGTTCTGCATTGGCGACCCCGTCGCGGCGCTCACCAGTCCTACCGGCTATCCCGTGATCGAAATCCTGCGCGAGGCAACGCAGTCGAAAGGAGCTGCGACTGCCCTCATGCTCATGCTATCATGGAACGGCATTGTCGCTCTCTTCTCCTCGCTGGCATCCATCTCCCGCTTGACTTGGGCCTTTGCAAGAGATCGAGGCCTCCCGTTCCCGACGTTCTTCGGTGCCGTACACCCACGCCTTCGGATCCCTCACAACGCATTGGGGCTCGTTGTCACACTCGTGGTCCTCCTCATGCTGATCAACATTGCGTCGCTGTCTGCACTCTTCGCCATCCTATCGCTCGCGAACATGGCGCTTTACGGATCCTACCTGCTTCTTGTGACCTTCTTTTTCCTCCACAAGCTTCGAGGCGGACCACTTGTCCTTGGACCGTTCCAGCTGGGGAAATGGGGCTACGCAATCAACGTCTTCTCGATGGTGTTTCTTGTCTTCATCATCATCTGGCTGCCATTCCCACAGTTTATGCCGGCGACAGCGGCCAACATGAACTATGCCGGTCCCATCTTCGGGATGGTTATCCTGCTCGCTTTGGTGGATTGGTTTTTTTGGGGCCACAAGCGGTTCAGTGTTCCAACGACGGAGTCTGTCTTTGTTGAAGAGATACATGAATAGATAGCATTGCAAACGATTGGGGCACTTCGCTCCCTCCCCCTGCTTCAGCCACTTTGCGTGGGACATCTTCAAATTTACGAACGAACATTAGAAGGATCACCGGGACACCGCGCTGCAGATACGAGATTCTGTGAGAAGCAGAGAACTGGTTCCCACAGCACGGTTGTGGTTGTAGCGCAACAACGACAACAAAATGAGAGTGAGTGTGGTTGGTTTCTTCCACGTGCTGGATTGCAAGTCTTGGTCAAGTGAGTGTTTCTGTACCATAGGTCTTGAGGGTGGAATAATGCAGGTAGGACTACAACAAGAACGATACATTATCACGACTACGTCAATGGGTAGAAGTCAATTCACTGCAATCCGTTTCCATGCTATCTGAGCTGTTGAGCTTTCGTCTCGGCTTTCGCTTGCTGAACACTCGCCGGGGCCATCGACGGTACCGCCGGTTTCTCTATCGCGTATCTAGAACTCAAGATGCCCCTTCTCAAACTTTTACACACCATGCGCTCCCTATACCAGCCGCCCGCAGGCTTCGGATAAGTGCTGTCGGGCTGCCACTTGTCGGTAGCAGCAGCGACGTCAGCTCCCCAGCCAGTGCCTTCACCGATCTCCTTCTGATCACCACCTTCTTTCTGCTCATCGCCATCTTCCTTCTGCTCATCACCACCTTCCTTCTTCTCAACAACAGTCTCCGTCTTCTTATCAACATTCTCCTGCTCATCAACGCACTGCTTCTTCTCACCGCTAGCCTTGTCTTCACCCCACTGCTGCTCATCACCACCCTCCTATCCTTCAGACCGCCCATCAACCTTGCCGGCGTTGTGGTGACCCAGCCAAGTCTCGCGGTCTTGACGCAGATGCGCTGGGTACTCTGACTCAGGCAGTCTCCTTCTCATCATCAGCAGATTCCTCCTCTTCGCCTTTCTGCTTCTTACCACCCTCAGCTACTGGAACCCTGACACGCTCGAAGTGCTTGTAGAACTCATCGCGGTCGCTGCGGAGCTGGATGGGGCATTTAGACTCTTCAACAACGCGAATCGGGGCGATACCTGACGCTCCTGCACGCACCAGAAGACGTAGCGGACTGGCGGTGGCGCGCTACAGTCGTCGATACTGGTCATGTCTTTGAGGAGATTGCCTTCACACTTGCCGCCAATGGTCCAACACCCTTGCTGACCGCGTGTGATGGCTACGTTGAGCCTGCCAGGAACCGAGGTGAAGCCAACGTCGGCCCTCACATCTGCGTCCTATACGGCCAGGTCGACGAAGATGAAGATGGTCTCGTAGCCTTGCGCAGTATCGATGATGAAGACCGAAGGGAAGTGCTCAGCGGAAAGACCGTGCTTCTTCGCCAGCCGGCGGAAAAGCCTCAGCCACCATTGCTGTGTCTCCTTGTACGCCACAAGAACGTAGCACTCCTTGCTGAATCGGTCACCCCAGACCTTTTGCAGCTACGCTCACGCATTGTCGCAGAACCACTTGGCATGCTCCAGAACGACCTTGGACAACGCACGCTCATTGGCAAGGCGAGTGCCCTCCACGGCGACATAGTGTGTACGGAAGTGTGTACGGAGTGCAGACTCGGGCACCTCAGTCCCGCTTACCGGTGCGAGAATGTTGTTGAGGGCTTGAGTGAATCCCGGAGCTGCCTCTTCAAGAGTCCGATTGGCTCGCTGATGCGTGCGAAGCTGGCTTCGTAGAACTCCATGTTCTGGAAGCGGACGACCAAGTTGTGCATGCGGCTCTGAATGGTCAGGCGATTGATGCTGTCTTTGCTGTCGAAGGGGAAGATATTATAAGAGCGGATTATGGTAGGTAGTCTGCAACGTTGACGGAACCTGTTCTCCTCGCAGATGGGGTCTGATATGCTCACCTTGACCAAGACGTGGGTTCTGGAGACATGCTTAGATCTCGAGAACTGGGAGAAGTATTTTCGGCTCGGTCGAATAGGTTATACAGGGTTTTCTGGTCAGCAGCAAAAGGTTGGAGAATGTTGCCACTATATCAGCGATGCTTCTTGTACTGGGGAGAGAGCTTGCATATTGCCGCGTTCTCTTAGACCGAAACTGAGTTGTGATGCCTCTGGTGTCCCTTTCAAGCCTTCTCTAAGCAGCGGAGAAGATGGTCCATATAGGGGTCGGTGAGGTGCTTCTCCCCGTTCGACACACAGTGTTTGACGAGCAAGCACAATCAACGCTTGGCTTGTTTGTTAGGGTCCAAGCATTGTTTGTTAGTATCTCAACAAGCACAAGCAAGCGGCCGAGTTGGTTAATCAATAAAGCTGCTTGTATATGCTTGCCAAGATGTAGAATAGGACGACAACCTTCCTAAAGGGGAAGTACTCCGGTCAGGTGATCGACAAAAGGATCCCGATATTCGGAAGAGGGGCGTGGGGCGTGGGGCGCTCATGGAGATCACGCTCTGCAGATGGGGCGCCAGCAGGCTGTACAAGCTGTCGCCACCTGCAGTCGGAAGGCCAGGCAGGCCAGTCTCCGGCCGTGACCGTTCCGTTTCGGGCGCCTGTGCTGGTGCTTTGCCCTTTGAAGAAGTGGAAGTCTCCCCTTTCCGCGCGTCACCTCGGTCTTCTGGGTGAATGTCTTCCATGGATTCGGCTTGCTTATCTGGCCTATCGGAGACCTCCATCTAATGCTGCTGCTCATCCGTTCGGGAGTTGGTTGGGCTGGGCCGAGGAGCGGACTGATCCCTGTCATCGGAAACAGTATCTCGGTCGTCAGGCTTGTTAAAGCCGGGCTTAGCCGTATTGGTAGATGGACTGGACTTGGTCCTACCGCTCGGAGGAGCAGACTTTGGTGTGGACTGCGGCGCAGGAGTAGACTTTGCTGTGGGCGGCGCAGGAGCAGGCTTCGATTTGGGCTGCGTCGCAGGGGCGGGCTTCGATTTGGGCGCCGTGGGCGCAGCGCTACCGCTCGGAGGAACAGCGCCCTCTTTCGAAGGGCCAGGCTTTGTCGTGGTCTCATTGACGCTCGGCAGAGGCGGCTTTGGTTTCGCTTCTGATGCAGTAGGCTTCGCCTGGTTGGTGGGTGCAGGCTCAGTTCTGTCGCCACTTGGAGGACCAGTCTTCGTTTTGGTTTCTGGAGCGCCTGACTTTGCCTCATCTCCTGGGGAGCTGGGCTTCGTTTCAATAGCAAGTGGACCAGACTGATCTCTGTGGATAGAGGAGGGACGATCGTGCTCAGCACCAGAGACACCTCCTTTGCCTAAACCCTCCATCCACCCTTTGCCTTGAGGATGGAAAGAGAATCTCTCCCCAGCATCAGTGAGCCAGGTTGGAGCGGAGTCAATGAACCCGGACGGAGCCCCTGCGAGGTCCACATCCATCCAGACGACGGCGTGTGTGGCCTGACCAGACTGTGGTTGCCTTTTGAATGTCTCCGGGGTTTTCATCGCCGCGCGCCTCTTCGCAGCAGCAGTGCGGCTTGGAGATTCACCAGGCTCACCATGATCCGCTTGTCTCTGAGGCGAGTGCCGTTTTGGGGTGCTTGATGGGGTGTTTGGATTTTGGAGACCCGATGGTGCTGAGAAGGGGTTTTGGCGGGGGAGTCCGGTTCCTGGAGGGGTTGCCAGGATATCCGGCAATCTGGTGGTTGTGTGCCGCCTCAATGGGTCGTCGTGTGGATGGGTAACAGATGCCCCATTGTTCCACCCCATACATCCTCTCTCTAACAACAACATCATGTCGAAGCGCAAGGGCCGCGGGCAAGCTGCCAAAGGAAGCACCAGCCGGGGAAGCAATGCGAAAGGACATGGTGGGCAGAGCAGCAGGAACAACGCTGTTCCTGGCCAGCACCCCCACGATGCTCAAGCGGTGCGCGATACAGCACAGAGACAAGCGGAAAGGGCCCGCCAGACAAGGGAAGAAGCTGTGAGTATGCCCGCGGCTGGTGACATTGACGTTGCTGATACTGTCAGTATACCGGAAAGCTCCAGAGGCAGCAGCGAGAGAAGCGTTTCTTCAGCTTCCGCATCACGTGCGAGAAGGTAGGCACCGAGAGATTAATGATGCAGCCAACCACTGTACTGACGTTCAGCCGGCTTGGCGCAAGACCGTGAATCGGAAAGCACACACCATCACGAGCAGAGGCCAAGTCCATGATGTGCCGGCAATGGAGGGCGCACAAGCCGAGGTTTGGACCACTTTGCGCGCGGATAATGCGATCACATACCGCGTGCTCATCGACAATCAGAAGGGGCTGAACTTCTTCGTGTCCTTGAAAGACACCAAATGGGCTCGAAGTGAAGGGGATTCCAACGAGCTGTTCAGGCGCTTGAAGCGCAAGAAGAACACAGCGAAAGCACTGACTGCCGCAGAGGCGAGCTGTGCGTTCAGGGGATGGGAATTGGGTTTAACGAAGATCGAAGCAGAGGTGGCGGCACTCCATCCACTATGTTTGACAGCAGCTCTAGACTTCCTCGAACATTGGAGGGCGCACAAGCCGAGGTTTGGGCCACTTTGCGTGCGGACAACAAGGGTCCGTGATTATCAGTGAGCACACGGTATGTGACCGCAATTTCCGCGCGCAGTGTAGTCTTTTATGTTTTACCGGCTTCGCTTCTGCCACGTCGACGGACGGAGGGACCAATCTGCTGTGCAAACATCGAGCGCCGGTAATCGTGGATCGTAGTGGTAGGCAGTCCAGATAGATTGCCGCGCTGACAGTAACGATATTCTATCTTTCACAGACTTTCAATTGTATGGTCGCGAGGCTGGAACGGCGCCGTAGAGAATGCGCCTTTGGAGGTCGTCGACCGACTGTGCCGGAAAGGCTACCGTGCCGTTGGAATCAACTCTCTGTAATCCACAGAGCATCGTTCCTACGCCGGCGATGATGAACGAGGGCCAGAAACTATCGAAAAGGCCGTCGCGCTGTAATGAACGGTTTTCTGTCTTCCACAGAGGCTCGTGTCCCACGGCGGGTACGTGCAGACGCCAGATGAATGGTAGCGTAGCGTTTAGCGCACGCCATCCCGGGGTGGACGCACCCGACCGAAGCTCGGAAGTCCCCAGTTTTGTCGACTTCACCTCTTCACATGCGTGTCACTTGGTGCTGTTGGGTGCAGAACAAACATCGTGAAGCAAAGAGAATGCTCTGGGAGTATCGCAAAAATCTCGTTGAGTTCGTTGATGTCTGGATTTGGGTGTGTAATGCCAGTCTCGGAGCTGTAAAGCGAGTTCCCGGAAGCCTGCAGTGCTCCGCTTAGGTGTCTTGTATGATGCGTTTGAAGTCAATGGAAAGAGGCAAGTATGCAAGGTAGGTTGATGATGTCGTCTCTCTCGTATGACAGAAATCGAAGCGGCCAGTCCGTGTCCTTTCGTCTCTTTTCAGCCCGATGGTGATACGATTAGCACGCGGCGTCTGGTTTCTGCTGTTAGCTTGTCATCAACCGGGCAAACGGTCGACACTTGAAGCGACCCACCAGGTCGGAACAAGTCATACAAGAGACCTTCTCACAGAGAACGATAGCCCCCCGACGAGAGTGATGTGGCCTTTTTGACCGCAATTTCGCGTCGGAGAAGACTGCCGCGTGCCCACGAGGTGTCCGGTTGACCGCTTTCACTGTCTTTGGCCTGCCGGGCAAGGAAGCTATCGCGCTACCCGAAGACGTTTCTCTTAGCAGGTCTCGCACTCCGTCGTCTCCGAAAGGCTGCGGGCAAGTCGTGGGGTGACATGTGTTGCGGCGCCAACGCTCCTTCCCAATCCAGCGTCGCAGCAGGCCAGTCCAGTCCAATGTCAGCAGACAGCTGGCCGCGCTAGTGCCATGCCTTGGCGCACAACACATCTGCAAACATTCTCCGCTGAGCTTGCGGAACCACTCTTCGATGCCGAAGCTGGATCAACAACACCACCCCTTCTCTCTCTCTTCCATCACCCGGTACTACTAGTACCACCTCCGCATACCTCAAGACAATCGTGCGAAGACGCAGGCCCGCAAGCTGCACTTCCCGCACCCTCAAACGAGTGAGTTCACACCTCGGGCCTCGAACATCAGCACTATTGACGTCACTGCAGACTGTGTCAAAGCAAGCCTCTCAGCCAGTCATGGAGCCATCAGCTACTGAGAACAAGCCTGCGACGATCCATCACCTCACCATCCGTAGGCAAATGCACGAAGAGCTCTCGCGACTCCCAAACTATGCGTTCTACGAAGGCACATTGCAGAACGACGTCGCCACAAAGCGCAATCTCGAGGATGTACAGCCCGGACTCGCCGCTGCTTTGACCGACATCCTCAAGTCCATCGGCAACAACGGTCCATTCGTCGAGAGTATACTTCGTCGCCACTACATCGTCATCAACGGCACCCGCGTCACCAACGAGATCACACAGTCGAAGGTCGTTCATGAGCACTGCAGGTTCTTCTGTACGCACATGTTCGAGCGGCTGCACGAAATCTTCGGTGACACGTTTCGCGAGAAAGTGCTTGTGCTCGTCGCCCACGGGGAGAGCCTCAAGTACTGGAACGCCTGCCTTCACGAGATCATGAACCGCCGCCGCCTCTCAACCAAGCACGTTCCCGAGGTCTCAACTATCGAATCGGCGCAGGTCCGTGGCGCTGTGTACACCATCAACGACTTCACCATCCAGCAAATGCTAGACAAGCGTGATGCTGGGTTCATGATCGACCACCACAGGTTCAACACAGGTATCACACGTGCCGAGGCGGTCCAGACTACGCTCGGCGGCAATTGCGAAGGCCGTTTTCTCAGCATGTCGATGGACATCGGGCCTGGTGCTGGTGAATTCCGCGGCTGTCCGATCCCAGTCGTCCACTTCCGCGATCATCTTGTCAACAACCAGGTCACCTACGCCTACAACGAGAAGATGCCTGAGTCAGAGTACCCAGCGCATTTGCGTCAAGGTCGGTGCTAATATCTAGGCTGGTGGGCATGATGAGGCTGGTGATGAAGGCACTGGTTGGGGGGCTGACGTCGCTGTTGCTACCGACATGTGTCAGCCTGACAAAAGTGGGTGGAGGCTGGTGACGGATAAATGGGGGGGCATGAGGTGTGAAAGTTCGAGAAGGGGCATCTTAAGTTCTGAACGCCGTCGATGGCCCTAGCGAGTACTCAGCAAGCGAAAGCCGAGACGAAAGCTTGACAGCTCAGATAGCATGACTACAGATAGTGTCGTGGTGTGAGGCGTCTATGGTCTCAGCGTGCGCAAGGGCCTTCGGTCCGGATACTTCTTGGCGCGAGAACAATCACAACTACTCAGTTAGCAACACATATACAGAACAGAATGCTTTTTGACACACTCGTTTGATACATCAGCTGCGGCCATCCTGTTCCCTTGATTGCGCCCGTCTCTCCGCCTTGAAAAGTCATCTCGTCCCCCTACGCTGGAAGTACGGACACTCAGGACATCCTTATCCACTACCATAGCAGCGAACACTATGAACTGAGTTCTTTCCATTGATGTCGTCGTGTAAGTTCAAACATGTCTCCGAAACCCACATCCTGCTCTATGTGAGCATATTAAATTCCATCTGCGAGGAGAACACGCTCACGCTCCGTCAACGTTCTAAAGTACCTTCCACAACCCGCTCCTATAATCTCTCTTCCTTCGATAGCGAAGACTCTAAATCGTATGCAGGAGAGGCGTTGATTAGATCGGATGTCATTTGTTGACTACAATCGACGGAGCAAAGAACGATATTTCAAAGGAATGCTGCGCCAAGCTGTACGTGAAAGTGATTTATTAACCATGATACTGTAGTCCGCTCATGGCAGCGCTGTCTGCTCTTATCCCAACCATCTCTCATTCTCCGTCACCCTGTCCTCATGCCATACTCTCGTCACACATCCCATGCCAGCTCGAGATCTTCGTCGTCGTGCGAGAAGGAGGAGGTGAAGCGCTTAGCTGGTGTACCCAGTAGCCTCGCACTTCTCCGTTACCGTCTTTGTCGCCTTCTTTGTCTCGGTGCAGGTGGTGGTGTAGGTCGAGACCGGCTTGGTTGGGCAGTTCTTGCCCTTGGTGACCGTGGAGGTAATAGTTGTCGAGCCGCCTGGCGCTGTCACCGTTGTGTACCTAGAATGATGGATACAGTGGTTAGCAAATGTCTTCTCAGAACCAAGATTGACGAGATTTGAGCACGGCGTGTCTCGGAGAACTTACCCGCCTTCCTTTGTTACAGTGGACGTCTTGTAGACAGTGGTAGTCTGAGCTGGACCGGCCGGGATCGAAACCGTGGACGTCTTGTAGACGGTGGTGGATCCGCCGTTCTGAGTGGAAGTGACCGTGCGGGTGGTTCTGCAGGAGGAGCGATTAGCGGACGCAGAAGGAAGTCGGGCGAGCATGAACTCACGTTCCGCCATTGACAGTGGAGAACTTGGTCGTCGTGGAGTACTTTGTCGTCCCTGGAAGAGTAAGAGTTTTGGTCGAGCTGAAAAGGCACGTAGTTAGCAGAAGTCCAGCGAGCTTGATGCAAGATGTACTCACGCGTGGCATTGACCAGTCGACGTGATGGTGCTTCCTGGCAGCGTCAAGGTGGAGGTTGCATATTTGGTCGACGTCAGGGTGGTGGATCCGCCGTTCTGAGTGGAAGTAACCGTGCGGGTCGTTCTGTTGGAGGAGCGATTAGCGAATGGAGTAGGAAGTCGGGCGAGCATGAACTCACGTTCCGCCGTTGACAGTGGAGTACTTGGTCGTCGTAAGAGTCGACGTCTGAGCGTTGCACTGCCCCGTCGTTGTGGAGTACTTGGTCGTTCCTGGGAGAGTGAGAGTTGTCGTCTGAGCATCACACTTTCCCGTGGAGACGATAGTGGTGTACTTGGTGTCATGTTCGGTAACAGTCGATCTAAAAGGAATCAGCTGATGAATCGGAGGACTGGAGATGCATCTCGACTCGCCCTTGGCCTGGGACCGTCTCCACCTTGGTAATTGTTCCGCCTGGAATCGTAACCGTCGTGGTCGATCTGTGAGAAGCATGGTTAGAAGCTGCTGGACGAACGTGCTCTAGTCGGACTCACCCCTGTCCCGGGACCGTCTGGACTTTGGTAATCGTTGACGTTGCTCTGAGAGTAAGCATTAGCAGCCGCCTCGCGAATCTGATCCCACTGCACTCACTTCCCGCCCTTCACAGTCTTGGTAACCGTGTAGGTGGACGTGGCCTTGCAAGTCGTCGCACCACCAGCCTCGCTCGAGGAGCCGCCATAGACGGGCGGGCTGCCTCCGGGAAGAGCGACAACGAAGTTGCCCAAGCCCAACAGCGCAAGTGCTGCGAATTGGAGAGAGTAGTACATCTTGTGTGTGCCTGAGTGACAGGACTGAAGCGAGCTTCAAAAGCGAAAGTAGGGGAGTTGGACGAGGAGACTGTGGAAGCTGAGAAGACCGGTGGATGGATGAAGAAGAGAAACTCGACAGGTCTTGCTGCCTACCTTTATACATACCTCTTACCTCTGGAGATGTTCTCGAGATGCAGCGCGCGCTGTCGTGGGTACCTCGTAAACGCCTACATCAGGAGGATGTGTTACAGCGATTCGACGTCAGCCTTTCCGACTCGGAAGCATGCTACGTCGTCTTGCCCGGCTGCAGCTTGCTTCCACGAGGTGCGAATGGTACAGCGTGCCTAAGTTTGGGACTGCTCGTGGCGAGGCAATAGAACACAGCATATTGTTGAACCGCGCGCATGGTCACGAAAGATGCAGGACGAAAGCAGCGCGAAGATCGGAGCGGGAGAGGATCCGCCACCTCCTCGACGACATCTTCGTGATCAAGGAACCACATCTTGCTCTGCATTAGCCCTCTGCGACTTAGCTGTAAAGTTTTATTGCTGCAGGTGTGGGTCGAGCAGCGGAGAGAAGAGATGGAGTCGTTGAGAGCTCCCCACGTCAGGCTATACCGTAACACAGCAGCTATAGCGCGACCAGAATAGTGCACAGAAACGTGGTGGATCCCGAACCGCTGGATGCCATCTCACGTGGATCTACAATGTTGCTTCTTCGCTTCCGACTCCATGGGACTGACTAAAATCGAGGGATGGTGCCTGAGGGACCCAAGTCCTTCGAAGCCCGGAACGTGGTGAGGAACATCCGAAAGAGGACGACTGCAGCTGGACGTGGAGCCTGCTTGCACGTTTTACCGTCTCACAGCGGCCTGAACGTGTCCATTGACTTGCCGCCATTGGATCAGTGCCTCCACTGCATCGAGAACGTGCCAGCGAGGCGATAATACCTGAGCAGATCATGCCCTGATCGCGGTATGTCAACCAGCGGAAGGCTCTGCGGGCTATTGCAGCAATCACGGCGAGGAGAAAAACGACTCTGAGAGGTCCAATCTGTCCGTCAATGTCTCACTTTGGAACGAGAGCGCTGGCCAGACTCCCAATCGAGTCACTACAGGCATTCATGAACGACCAATACGCTTGCTGTCAGGTTTCACGGATTACGAGCCTCTGCATCGAGCCTCGAGATGCTTGGATCAGGGAAGCTCCCAACGTTGGCTGTGGCGACGCGGCTGGATCTAGATGACGGCAGTCCACTTTCTACCAAGGCAGCCACTGGTTGTGTAATCATGGTGAGATGCTGCAGTCTCTCGCCTCTCCCAACAGCCATCGTGGCGAGCGTGGGCGACAGATCATCCGGCTGTCCCACCAAAGCAAGCCACCACGAGAACAGCCCAGGCTTCGATGCAGCAGCCTTCACCGCCATGGACCATCGGACTATTCACAGAGTCGTCCTTCTGCAAAGCGAAAACGGGCCCGTAAAGCCATGATCGCGATCGCCTGGCCGTACTGCATATGTCTTCGCTGGCAAGCATTAGCCAAGCAGTAGTATTGCAGCATGCCGGGCAGGATCTTCGATGTAAGGCACGTACGTATGCCGGCTCAGCTCACGCTCATGCTCGGGCGACAAAGAGCGCGAGTCCGATTGACAGCGACAGTGGCACTTCGCCAGGCACGCCGTCGAGCACTTCGTCGAGCACGATGCAGTCATCACATCCTGCAGGTACCAAGGTCTTGCTCAAGATACAGGCTTTTGCGGCCCAGGCAATGCAGTGGTCCTCCCGATCATTCCAGAGACTGCCGTGAGAGCACCTCGGAAGTTTGTATCGACGTGCCACTCACGTCGTCAAGCTCAGGAAGTCTCTTCTCATTGCATGTTGAACCGGCAATGGCTCGAGCAGCACGACGTTCCGAGTCTGCAACCAGGAGAGAGAACACGCACCGCGACATTCTCGAGGATTCTGAGGGGCACAACACGGCCGGTGTGTTGCTGGCCGAGTGTCTTTTGCCGGACACTCCGGCCACTATGCTTCTCTTCTCAGTCGACATTTTCTCTGAACGAGCCAGTCATGCTTTCTTCTCTTTAAGCCTCGTGTCGGGCAACACCTTTCAGCTTTTCTTATTAAGATATCGCGAATCATTGAACACAGCTCATTTGACAAGGGTGCAGGATGTCGTACAGTTGTCAGTCTACCTGGAGGAATCGGCAGATCATATCAAGCAGCTCACAGCCGAGCCTTGCTACTCACAAACTGATTTGCAGAACTCAAGAGAGCCGCAGCCTCCTCAACGATTTCCTTCACGATCTCACCACCGCTCTGTCCTGCCTTGTTGACCAAGCCAGCCACCACTCCCATCGGCCTGCTGGAGGTCAGCTGCAACATCCATGGAACGATGCTTTCAACTTACCGCAGCGTTGCGTTGTCCATGACTTCATCCGTGAGCTTTCCCTCAGCTTCTAGCTTGTCAAGTTCGTATTCCCTAAAGTACAGAAGGCGGTACTGATCAGCGGACACTTTAGAAATGTCGGTGGACGGCGAACTCACAACGGCACTTTGCCTTGGTTAGTCAACTCCCGGATTTCAGCCTGCCGGTTGCTCTCCCAGTCTTTGATATATGCGTTGCCGAGGGCACGGAGGGGCCTGCCGCTCCAGATGGTGGACTTCACTGCAGACAGAAAGACATGCGTCAGCAGGTGCTAGACTTTGCAGAAGTTTGACAATGAGTTTCCTACCGGCCGAGTCGAAGTCGGCTTCAATGATCGCCTACGTGATAGAAGGATTGATGTGTCAGCGATGTCTCAATCGAGAGGTCCCCTTCCGCCCATCTGGACTCACCTTCTTCGCAAACTCAGAAGCGCCGCTCTCAGTGGCCGTCACAAACCTCGTCCCGATCCACACCGCCTGCGCTCCGAGCATCAACGCCGCCGCAAGACTGCGCCCATCGTTCACACCTCCAGCTGCGACCAGCGATACCGGCTGGCCGGTCAGTGGAGACTTGTACTGTCGACAGATGTCGGCACAGGCGGGGATAAGGATGCTGAAAGCGATGTCACCTTGAAGATTAACACGTCAGCATCGCGTTGGACGAGCATGAGGGACCCCGGGTTGGACATACCGGTATGGCCACCAGCCTCGCCTCCCTGAGCGCAGATAATATCGACGCCCACGGCACATGCCTTGTGGACATGCTTCGGATGGCCGACCTGCACCCCAATCAGCCATCGACACACACCACTTACACCTCACAAGCAAGACAGAAGGTTCCAAAGACCATACCATGTTCATCACCAACACCCCAGCCTCATGCAACCGCTCCACCACCTTCTTCGGCGGCACCCCCACCGCCGAAACAAACACCTTCGCCCCACCATCAATAATCGTCTCGATCAAATCATCAATTTTCCCCTTTGTGTAATCGCGATTCGTCTTCCTCGCCGTCCCACCTACAGCCGGCAGTAACAGGTCCACTCCAAAAGGCAATGAAGGGTCTTGGAGGGAAGACTTGAGTTCGGAGATCATGTCTTTTAGTTGTTGGTTGGCGAGTGGGAGGTCAGTGATGATGATGGAGATTTGAGATTTGGGGACCTACTGTAGCCCACGCCGCCGATGACTCCGAGACCTCCTGCGTTGGAGACTGCTGCTGCTAGGGGGGCGCCGGATGTTTGGCCCATGCCGGCTAGCATGATTGGGTGCTGGATGTTGAGCAGTGTTGTTAGTTGGGTAGTAAGCGCCATGATGAAGTATGTCGCTGAATGACTTCACAAATATCAAAATGTCTTCTTTTTCCCGACGAATGGAAATGAGTGCCAGTCTTGCGGGAAGAGTTGGAGTGTTGCTGTGATATAGGTTCCTCGGCTTCAAGCCGGTGCTGTTGTTTTCGCTGACTGTCGGCTGCTGGAGTTGCGGGGAAGAAGGAAGCTCTCGAACTGCAGGCCACACCACTCTCCTCGAATGCCACTTGAACCATCCATTCAAATCCAATGAAGCCTCCAGTGCATAGCAGACGCGTGGTAACAAGTTGGGAATAAGATGCGTGTTACAGTCGCTGAAAGTGGAGAATACGTACTCAAGTTCCAATGCTCAGAGCCCTAATATACAGTATTGCTCGCCACTACCATCTACCTCTAATCGCCCATTTGCAGCCCATGGAAATGCTAGGATCGCTCGGATGTACTAGGAAGCGATGCTCATAGGATGGCACCGGCCGCGTAAACCACAAATCTTCAGGAAAGCATCAACGCGTCCAGAACCGCCACCCATCAAATACAATGGTGACCACCACTCTTCGTCAAGCAGCCCGCTTATTTCGCAGCAGCAATCTCGACACCACCGACAGCGCTGCATGACATGTTAGCATGGCCTCCTTCAGCAATGGATGATCGCCACTTACCCAATCACCCGCTTGATGTCACCGTAGATTGCGAATTGTCCGGCAGTCAATGTGCCCACCATGAACAGACGCGCGGGCAGACCGCTGAAGCTTCCCCGGAGACCCAGCTCTTGCGCGATCTTGACCAGACGGCTCGTGGTGCTCTCACCAGGCAAACCCTTGGTCTTGTTGATCTTGCTGAGCATGGTATCGGCGGGCTGGGAGATGATGGCGGCAGCGAAACCGGCAATGAGACCGGAGCCGAGGTTGACGGTGGTGTTCATGCCGTTGCTGGCGGTGGACTTGTCGACGAAGTTCTTGTAGATGGCTTCGGAGACCTTTTCGTAGACGACAAACTTTGCCATGGTGTAGGGGACTCTGTGAGCGTTCAATTAGTGGGACAGCCTAAGATGGTGTGTGAGGTTAATTGAACGCACTGCTTGAAAAGGATGGGCCCGAAACCAGAGTAGAAGGCACCAACACCCTCAGTCTTGGCGATCTTGCTGAAACCGCTGACGAGGCCATTGGCGAATGTGGGCTCGGAGACGAGACGGATACGGGTGGCTTCGAGAGGGCACAGGGCAATGTCGGCGAAGAACTCTGCGCAAGCAGCGGATGCGAGGTAGACGGCAGTACGGTTGTTGGCGGCGTTCTCGTAGCCCAGCAGCGAGATGGATTGCTGCTTGAAGAACTCGTACCCGCCGAACTTGAAGGCGCCCTGGAGGAAGTAGCCGGCGAAGGTTGGGCCGGCACCAGTGAGCAGGGCACCGGCGCCCTCTTTCGCGATGACCTGGCGGAAGCCACCGATCATGCCGCGGTTGTAGGTCGCTGGGTCGAGCTGGATGCGCGTCTTCACCCTGTATGCCATGGATTATCATTAGCTGCCGCTCCATCCTGCCATTGCTGCTGCCATGCGATGCTCTTACACGTCCACGGGGGTGAGGCCGCCATGCGTAAGGGAACAGCACACCGCGCCGGCGAAGGCGAAGCGCGAGTAGAGGGCGACACCGCTGAGCTTGGGTGCGGTGTTGGGTGCAGCGGCCTCGACCTTCTGCTTGACCTCCTCCAGCTTTGCGCCGGCTTGCTGCGTCGTCGAGCTCATCGTGGGTATCGTTTGTCGGTGGTCGTAGTAGGTGGAAGTGGTAGGGCGCAGCTACAATGGCTTGCTGGTGCTAATGAATGGGATTGAGTGGAGTGACGGGGTGTGGTAGAAGAGGCTGGTTGTCCGTGAAGCAGGAGATGAATGTGAAAGCGCGAAAATGTTCCGGTTGAACCTCAACTTTTCCGGAGCCAATCGCGATCCACAACGTGCGAGCCGCCTTGCCGATCGCTCTGCCCGTGCTTCTTTCTACTCCTACTCCCATCAGACCTCTCCTCTCACCTTCTCTCTCTCCTCTTATATCATGGTACATCGTGATGAGAGCATGCTGCCATACAGTCTCCCATCTACGTCTCACACCGTCGAGTGCAGCACGACGAGCAGCCCCACGCGATCAAGTGGCGGCCTATGCTGAATGAGCCTTACACTGCGGGAGCAATACCATGTCAGACAGCATCAGTCCGGCGCCTCCTCCCGCACACGAACTACCTATACAAGGTCGCTTCATCCGCCTGGAACCGATATCACAGGGCCATGTAGGCGATCTGTGGCGTCATCTAGGCTTCGACTCCGACCTAGACATCCTGCACTGGCTGCCATTTCCCAAACCCATGGACGCCGACGGGCTCTGGGATCTCTTCGAAAGGTTGAAATGCGATCGTGGCTTCACCATCTACAGTATTATAGGGGACCCAGGTTGTGTCAACATTTGTCATCCTAATCGATGATCATCCGACCCCGACCAGGCATTAGGCACGATAGGCTACAGCGAGGTCAACCCTCAAAACCGAACACTCGAGGTAGGTGCAGTACTTTGGGTCAGCACTTCGACGCTCTACTGCGGCCACAGAGGCCCACTACCTGCTCCTGCGCAATGTGTCTGAGCCACCAGCATCTCCACCCTACCAAAGGATCGCCTGGAAGAACAACAGCACCAACGTGGCATCCAGACGAGCTACTGAGCGGCTTGGGTTACGTCTGTGAAGGCACATGGCGCAATCACATGCTACAGCAAGGCCGTTCGCGGGACACTGATTGGTTGAGTATAATTGACAGCGAATGGCCTATTGTGAAGCGAGCATTGGAATTGTGGCTGGACGAAACCAATTTCAACGACTCGTGGCAACAAATACGATCGCGGGAGCAGATCAGGTCTGAGCTGGCAACCACCTGATCGACACCGCAATGGCAAACCTCCGACCGCTACGCTTTCCTCTCTCCTCCCATCTTGGCGACGCAGTCATAAATGGTGTTGATATAGCCCTCCGTGCGAGGGTTTCCAACGGTGCCAGCCCCTTTCAAAAAGGTATTAGAGAAGGCTTAAACACAACTGAACACGGGGAAGAGGTGACCTACCCATCTTGTTCATGACATACGAGATCGTGAGCTTGCGATCTAGATCCATGATGATGCTGGAGCCACCCTGGAAGAGAGACGTGTGAGCTTCAAGAACAACGGCAGAAGTCATCTTGGAGAAGTGTATACTCACCCATCCGCCCCAGAAACATACCCGGCCTTCCCTTATCATTGGGACAAATTCTGGAAGGGGGAGACCATATCCTATGCCAAACCGGATTGGCTTTCCGAGCACGAGGTCCATCTGTACGTGGAAGGGCGGAAGATGTCAGCGCGTGTCATGAGATGGGAAGGTATCTTGGATGTTAGCAACGTACCCCGTTCGTCTGTTCCTGGAAGATCAAATCAATGGTCTGGGGAGACAGCAGTTTGACACCGTCGACCTCACCACCCCTCGTGATGATGGACAGTATGCGCACAAGAGCTCTGGCATTGCCATGTCCGTTGGCAGCACCAACTTCTCCACGTCGCCACTCAGGCCCAAGTGCGAATTCCGCCGACCCGCCCGGGTTAGTCAGAGCCCTCATGGCGACCGAGTTCGGGTCTAAGCTTGCACCGGTGGTGTCGACCAAAGACGGCGGGGCCAGCAGCGTCGAAATACGGTCCCAGTCTTTCTCAACTGCGCCTAGCTGAAAGTCGGCACCTAAAGGACCAGCGATGTCCTCTGCAATGAACTGCTTAAGAGTCTTACCAGTGACTCGGCGGACCAGCTCGCCAGCCAGATGTCCTTGATTCATCGCGTGGTAGCCGGATGCAGTGCCTGGAGTCCACCACGGAGCCTGTTTGGCCAGCGGAGGCGTGCTCTTCGTGGGATCGCAGACGTCCTCGAGAGAGACGTTGTCAGCATTCTCCCAACCAGCGAGACCAGTGGAATGACTGAGAATGTGCTTCACGGGAATGTCCTTCTTGCCGTTCTCCGCGAATTCAGGCCAGTACTTGGCAATCGGCTCGTTGACGTCTAGAAGTCCTCGGTCATGGCAGATAAGGACGGCCAGGTTTGTAACTGTCTTTGAGCAGGACCAGACGTTGATGATGGAGTTTTCCTGCCAGTCGATCGTCTTGTCCTTGTCGATGTAGCCATCCCAGATGTCTACGACGTTCTTGCCGTCGACTGTGAAGTTCGTAGTGTGAGCGGTGTTCCCATGCAGATGAGTGCATCTTCAACTTACCATTGACGCATACGCAAGCCTGAAGTGTGTCAGTTGGTGTCTCAAACGAGGGCTCAGGGAAGATGTTCTGTTCGTCAACGACGTACCCCGAGCTCAGTGTCAGATGCAACATTATCCGACAACAGCTGCTTGACTGCCTCAAACGCTGGATCACAGTGGCCCTTCGCGGTCGACATGGCTGTTATTCGATTTCAATTGCCAGATCAAGTCGATGTCGAATGGGCACTGGACACGATGCATAGTAGGAGGTAGCGGGGTTTGATATGGAAGCCTGCCGAGGTTCATACATGTAGTCTAGACTAATGGATACCTTATTGGAATCGTTCCACGTGCACCTCCTTCCTCTTACGATCATACAATCGTATCAGATCTACCGTCGGGTCTCGGTATGGCGGAAGTACCGTGCAGTCCGATCGTACAAACATCCACATGTAGGCAAGCTGAGTCATTCATTCGAGCTGCTACCAGCCTGATTGCTACAGCTGGGATATCTGATACCTTGAAAATCGTATATTGACATACGGGAAATCACCAAATACCGCCTTGGAAATACAAATATGGTGCATACAGAGATGTGAGAATTCTTGGAAAGTACGAGAATCACCGCTGACTGGCGAAGACTAGAGACACCCTCCATCAAGGCCGACCAAGCGGTCTGGACATCCTACGGCTCTGCTACGATCAATAAACCCGCTGACACGGTATGGCGCGCCATCCGAGACTTCCGATCCTGGAAAGTATGGAACGAGTACACACCGGAAGTCACGACCAAGACCGGCACCAATGAGGTCGCCGTGGGTGACCAAGTCACCGTCCACTACAGACCAGAACCCACAGGAACCATTTCTCAGATTCCGTGCACCGCGATGACTGTATCCGACGCCGAGAGGACTCTGTGCTGGCGAGGAGAGCCTTTTGGTGTGCCGGCTTGGCTGCTGTTGCCGGAGAAGGTGCAGCGGGTTACGCCGAAGGGTGACGACAGTTGTCTATATGAGATTTTTGAGACGCAGAGCGGGCCAATGAGTTATTTGGTCAAGTGGGGGATGGGGGCTAAGCAGTCGGCGATGAACCAGGGGATAGCGGATGCGTTGAGGAGGTACGCGGAGGGAGAGTCTGGAAATAAGTAAAGGTGTATGTGATAGGTTCATTTAACAACCAGCTCTTCTTTGGTTCGTTATTGGAAGCCGATGCAGCAGTCGGGTCTGTCACTGCCAGGTAAAGCATTGACATTTCAGGCCGCTCTACCATCTCAAACCTCCTTGCGCTCAGTCTTGCACTTAATCTAAATTTTCCATTATACCAGCTGCTGTATCAGCGACTTTGTGAGATACTTCTAACGGAGAGGAAGGGTGAAGTTGTCAGCCTGGGATGGTGTCTCTGTTCTAGAGACTTACATCCTCACTTGCCTGCCGTGCAATGTGACGCATGAGCATAAGCATCATCAGGTCCTTCTGGAAGAGCTTCACAGCTTGAAGAGTCTGGACATTGCAACGACACCACGCAGACACGTTCACCGCCACGATCTCACTTGTACTATCTTGCAGAGCTATGGACGTTGTCGATGCCTCCTTCAGCAAAAGGTTCGATGAACAACACGCCACTCACAGCTCTTCGGTATGTACAGTGTTTCTGACCAAGCTGCACGAACTGACATCTTGTTCCTTCAGGTACCCATGATCAAGCAGCCGGCTGAGGAGGAGCAGGCCCAATCGACCGAGAAGAAGACGAAAGTCGACCCCATGCCATGGTCAAGCAGTAGTGCGGAGGATACGGAGGTATGACGAGTATCGAGCCATGCAAGATGCATCGCAACTGACTATGCTCTTTTGTAAAGGCTCAAGCCACTCTCAATCCGCGGTCCAAGAAGACCTTTCACGCCTATTTACCAGCAAGTCAATGATTACATGGCACCTACTCAGAAGTCGTCTTTGAGCAAGAAGCCTGCCATGCGGGCGTTCAACAAGGAGGGTCGAACCTCGCACGAGTCCTCTTCCTCCCTTTATGGACATCTCACCTGGCACATCACTGCTGAGCAGCCATACATGTACTCTCAAGGTACTGCGCCGGCCTGGCAGCGGCCTAACCGATCACAGCCCCTTAATCGTGTTCTTTTGCACATGAAGCAACAAGCGGGATGTAAGGCAAGTTGTGCTGGGTGAACCGGCACCGCCAGCAAGTACATCTTCCCGGTCGGATCCATGGCCGAATAAAGAATAGAATAGAGCATTCTCAAGTACCTAGGTACAGTACAGTAGAGAGATAGATGTTCAGATGGAAGCAGAGTGATTTTGTGGTTGGGAGCTGCTCTCTCATTGGCTATGCCGACCTCGGCTCATCTTTCTGACTTTTTGGCCTTGACGACATCACGTTCGCACGTCTTCGAGATGGGTGGGCGACCGTCACATGCAACCCTTCGGCGAACATGAGTGTGTAAAGACGTCCTGGAAAGGCAACGAGAAGGGGAACTTGGGTAAACAATCAGGATTTGCGGGAGGTCCTTCACCATGCCAACACAATCTTCCATCCCTGATGTCGAGATACCCAGGCAGGATCTCTGGGCTTTCATGTTCAATTCCAAGAAGGACTTCGCCGACGATCAAGTAATATACCGCGACGCCAATGCCCCCGACCAACTCTACTACACCTTTTCTGGAGTCCGCGATGCTGCGACGTCGTTCGGCGAAGGACTGTGCGATTTGTGGGACTGGCAGCGATCTGATGTCTTGGCCATCTACGCTCCGAATGACATCGACTTCGCGGCCATAGTCTACGGGACCTTCTACGCCGGAGGCATCGTGTCGCCCGCCAACCCTGGCTACTCACCGGACGAATTGGCGTTTCAACTCAAAAATGCCGGCGCCAAAGCTCTGGTCACGACCAAGGCGTTCTTGAAGCCTGCCCGACTGGCCGCTGAGCAGGCAGGCATTTCCACTAACCGCATCATTCTCCTTGGATCGGAGCGAGACGAGACCTTCAGCGTGAAGCATTGGACCAATATCCGAAAAGCCTCACGGTCGCAGCGGTACCGGCGGCGGAAGCTCGATCCTGAGAATGATTTGGCCTTTCTGGTTTATTCTTCCGGCACGACTGGGCTACCCAAGGGAGTGATGCTCTCGCACCGGAACATTGTGGCCGATTTATGCCTCATCAAAGGCTGTGTCGGCCACTACTACAACAGCGGCAAGGACAAGATGCTAGGAGTCTTACCCTTCTTCCACATATACGGTATTTCTTGATGGGCAAAAGGGCGTCTCTTGTCCCGGAGCCCGTCCACAATGATTTGAGACATCACTGACCTTTTTACCCTTTTCTTATGCAGGCTTGACTGGACTCGTGCACCAGCCGCTCTCCCGAGGCATTGAGCTTGTAGTCATGCCAGCATTCGACCTCAAGAAATTCCTCACGGCCGTCCAAACGCACAAGATCACTTTTGTCTACGTCGCTCCGCCTGTCATCGTCCGCTTGGCACGTGACCCAATGGTAGCCGAATACGATCTTTCCTCCCTACGAATGATCACAAGCGGTGCTGCGCCTCTTACCCAGGAACTGGTGGACACCGTCTATCGCAAGCTCAACATCAAGATAAATCAGGCATATGGTTTGTCAGAGACTAGCCCGATGACCCACACGCAGCCGTGGGACGAGTGGTATACGAGTGTCGGTAGCGTAGGCAAGATGTTCCCTAATATGACCGCAAAATATGTGGATCCCGATGGTAATGAGGTCGGGGCGAACGAAGCTGGAGAGCTGTGGCTGGCGGGGCCCAATATTTTCGGGGTAACGATGATGCTTCTTCGGTTTCGTCGCGATGACTGACGGCCGTATCACAGGGCTACTGGAAGAACGAACAAGCAACAGCGGATAGCATCACCGAACAAGATGGCCTCCGCTACTTCAAGACTGGCGACGTCGGCTATCAAGACAAAGACCACAACTTTGTAAGTGAAATCATGAGCTGGATGCGGCTCTGGAACGAGCATCGGAACCATTTGCTGACGTATTCTCCAACCTGAAACAGTACATAACCGACCGCGTCAAAGAGCTGATCAAATACAAAGGCTTCCAGGTGGCGCCTGCGGAACTTGAGGGCAAATTGATGGATCACGCTATGGTCAACGACGTCGCCGTGATAGGTGTCTACCACAAGGAGCAAGAAACGGAGGTGCCCAGAGCATTCGTCGTCCCTGCAAAGCAGGCTGGTGACAGCGATGCGGAGGAGATCGTCAAGTGGCTGGATGCGAAGGTGGCAAACCATAAGAGACTGCGCGGCGGAGTGAGGTTTATTGACGAGGTGCCTAAGTCGGCGTCTGGGAAGATTCTGAGGCGGGTGTTGAAGGACAAGGTCAAGCAGGAGGAAGATGGCGAGAAGCCTAAGGCGAAGTTGTGAACCAGGGCCACGAAGATGTAAGGATGATCAGAGGTGTACCTAGATCGAGTGGGTAAGGTTGATGTACGGAGACTGTGTCAGATCAGGCGGGCTCAGAGTGTTGCTATCGCCCTTCTAGAGAGTGCGGAGCCATTTATTGTATACTTATATACCTGATGCATGTAAGTTCCTACTACAGTAGTACCTTAGGCGGTAGCTGAGTTTCTGCTTCGGGTTCTAGACGTGAATGTGCCAAGACCTGAATCTTATCTGAGATAAGATCTTTCAAACCAACCTCAAGAAAAAGTTGAAGTCAGCTTCTGAACATCCACACAACCGCCGATGCTTTGCGACTGCTGCAACGGTTGACTGCAATATGGCGACCGTCCTACAAAAGCAGCTGGCCACGATCGCGGCGAACAGCACACACCAGCTCGACTTGAAAGCACAGAAATCGCGCCACAGCCAGTCGCTACTCTTCGAGCCTCGCGAAGCCGCGTCGCAGTCCTTCGACACCATCTACCAGATCTGCATAGAGGGCTTCGACGAACTATGCCAGCTCGATGCTCGCTTCTCTCCCTATGACCGCAGCCTCTTCGCCGACTCGAGCAAGAATGTCGATCGCGCGCAGATGACCAAGAAAGAGAATGAAGAACTGGACGGTGTAATCAGAAGCTTTCTCGGACTCTTACAAGGACGACTACATCTGAAACCAGCTACACATTGCTTGGAATGGCTCGTCAGAAGATTCAGGGTGCAAGAGCATTGCACAGAGTCGCTGCTACTCGCCGTGTTGCCATATCACACGGCAAGCTTGTTCGCGGCCGTGATGAACATCTTGCCTGGACAACTACCCCCGACCTTCAAATGGCTGCATCCATATGTAGCTTCGCTGCAATGTCCGCCTCGCAGCGCCATCCTCTCGGCCATCAGCAGCAACACGGCCTTCTTTGCGGGTTTCAACAGCTGGGTCATGGACGTCGCGAAAGCGAGACACCAATCTGCTATCCTTCTGGGTTTCTGGGCAAGTATCACGGCTCAGGCAGCCAATGGGATGGTCGATTCCACAGCTTCCGGACGAGATGCAATCCGGAGGCAACGTGAGGAGGACCTCATACTGCGTGTCTTGCCTGTCTTGCAGAGCGCTCTGAGCATCAAGGGCATCCCGGAGCTGTATCTCGGGGCATGCATGGTGATGACAATTCTTGCTACCAAGGCGAGACTGGAAAACAGGGTCCTGGACGCAATGATGGAGGCCATCGTGGGCGCCTGGACGGAGCAAACCATTGACGAAGGACTCGCCTGCCTCTGTGTGATCGGAGAAGAGAAGGAGACATTGGATCTGCCGAAGTCGGTCACCCGGACCCTGTTGCAGGATGAGAGCCTTGTCCTTCGATTGCTACACTTACAGCATGAACATCGTGTGAGCAAACTATCAGCAGGTCTAGCGATCGGCGCGGTGCGAATTGCGAGAAAGACGAAAGAGATAGCAACGCTACGACGGCTTGAGGATGTACTTGACGCTGGCTTGTTGAATGAGCAGCACACTGGCCTTGCATTGCAGAGGCTTGTCGTCGGCTTGACAGAGACTGGACAGTCAGACAAGAATGCAGAGCTACATCGCGCAATATCGGGTGTTGTTGAGCGACTGGCGGGCGAGGAGCGCAATCTTGTTTTGTTGGAACAAGCGGCAAAAGCCGCCAATGTTGACGTGCGAGGTCTACATCTGCCATTGCTCACCAACGGGAGCGCTGACCACGATGTCGAGCCCATGGAGATCGACGACGAAGAACCGGCGAAGATTGCCGACCATAGAAGCACCGAATTCGGTGAACTATTGAAGAACTTGCCAGACCTCCCGGAATCAATTACATCGTTTCTCGATCCGTCGCTGCCTCTGGAAACCTTCCGGCAATACTCAACAGCTTTTCAAGCGTCACGCAACTCGATACGGCTATCGGAACGGTTCTTCAGTATCTCTGCGTTTGGACATTCAGACTCGAGCGATCTTAGTCGAGCTGCCTCTTTCTTCGCCAGGGTCTGGGCCCATCGCTCGAATGCCGTAGTCGCGAGGCAATCTGCACTACAGAGCTGTACGTCGCAGCTGGAAAGCTTTTTACAGCAACATTCTGCGGCCGACACCAGTGGCCTGTTGCCGTACATACTGTCGGCACTTGGAGATGAAAATGCGAAGGTCCGTAGGAGTGCAGCCTCACTGTGCAGAGCCATGGGGGCCGCACATTCTACAACAAAAAGCTCGAATGCATTCTTCCTCCCGGCAGCGCAAGTTTATGGGACGACCAAACCCGAACACCTATCGCTGCGTGCCGAAGACATGCATACATTCCTTGCGAACCACATCGTGCCGGTACTGGAAGACTGTGTTGTGGATCCAGCCTTCATCGCTCGGGTTGTGTCAGATGTACTGAACAATGGGTCTGCCGGGGCAGGGCAAGGAGGGACACACGGACAAAAAGAGCTCAAGAAGTCTCTCCGGGCAGACATTTCCACTGTACTCGCGGCGCATGCTGCCGTCACGCCTGTCGTTTTTGTAAAACTGGCACTGTTGAAGTCGCTGAACCAAGTTGGCAAACAAGCCAGCCACGCCAGGAAAGCGGTATTGCTACCCCTTGTCGAGCAATGGGTCGCGCAATCGCGAGAAGACGTCAAAGCGGCTTGCAATGGCGGCGGCGAAGGGGTAACAGTTGAGGAGGCGGATGAAGCTGTGCTTGGCTCCTTAACACACCGCGGCACAGAAGAGATTCAGCTGCTCAAGAACATCGCCTCTGGTACTGTCGGTGATCGAGTGCAATTGGTGCCTTTGGCATTTGCCCGCATACGACAGATCTTCCCATTACTCAAGTCGACACAGAATGAAATGGTGGATTACCTATTGGAGCTTGCGCTGGATACCGGCAGGCAGAGAGTGGTGGACGGGTCGGCGCTCGAGACTTTGCGAGTGCTGACCTTACCAACTGAGATCCTCGTTCACATGGTGGACGGTCTTCCGGCGGCGAACGAATTGCAAGACCAGCCTCCATCGCCGAAAAGACGGCGACAGAGCCGATCGGAGGACACCAAACCAAAGGACCTGGATGAGCGCAAGATCGGCGCTGCTGTGCGCCGTATCACTCTGGTTCTGGAGATTGTCGAGTCTTCAAAGCCTGATAAACATCCCCACCTCCTTCGACCGTTGTTTCACATGCTCAGCGAGCTCCATCATTACAAGTCCACGACCGGCTCCGACCTCGCTTACATCTACCAACTCCTTCTGGGAAGTCTCCTGTCAATCGTGCAAGGTTTGAGCGAGTCGCCACAGACGCAGAGCAGCGAGATCAACGCCTCGGTGATCCGTACAGACCTCATCGTTGAGTGTGTCCGCACTACACGAAGCACACAGGTCCACAATCTTGCCCTCTTGCTGGTGTCGAGATTGGCGGCCTGGGCGCCAGAGCTTGTCCTGCATAGCGTCATGCCGCTCTTCACCTTCATGTCGTCTACCGTCCTTCGACAGTCAGATGACTACTCTGCCCATGTCGCCGACGAGACCGTGTCGCGCATAGTACCGCCTTTGGCTGCGTCGCTGAAGAAGAAGGGCCGAGAGGTGGTTAAGGGGGCCGCGGAGCTACTGCTAAGCTTCGTCGCGGCATTCGAACACATCCCTCTCCACCGCCGTCTGGGTCTGTTCGAGCTGCTAGTCAGCACATTGGGCGAGCAAGACGTGCTGTTTGCGGTGCTAGGCATGCTCGTTGAGCGGTACCCAAACGACACCAGGGTCGCGGGATTTATCGCGGACCTCTTCAACCGCTTCGACGCCATCACTGGACTGCAAGTCATGAACCAGTACTTTGGCCTTATCGCAGACGGGCTGAAACCGAAGAGAGTGCTCAGCGATATCTTGCTAGGCTTCGGCGAGAAGACAGAAGAGCAGGTCCAAGAATCTGTTGCCTCGTTGCTTCAGGGCGCATCCAGGCTATTGCAGAACAGAGTTCTGAGTCAGGAGCTTGCTGCACAGCTGGCAGGCGGTGATGAAGAGAAGATTTCACGCATCCGGACCTTCTACGCCACCCTACTCGAACAGTCAATGCAGCTCACGCACGCGCTGTCTACCAGAGCTCAGCTCAAAGAACCCTCCGAGTCTGTTCTCCGTGCTACTCTCGGCCTCCTTCCGACTCCCGACTTCATTCGATCCAGCGCGCAACTTATGCAGACTGGCTCTGATGCAACGCGACAACAAGTCTTTCGCTCTTTGGAGATGCGCGCACAACAGGCAAGGCGTGGGGACGCAGCTGCGCAAACCATATTCATTGGCGCCCTCCCGAACTGCGCTGTGTACGTGCGCAAGGACCAGCCCGTCGCAACAAGACATGCGGCAATCGCTTGCATGGATGTCATCTGCGAACGCTTTGGCAAGACCGATCGATCTGCTGTGCTTGCTGCTGCGGAGCATGTCGCGGGCAGTGCAGCTTTGCGCAGCGATGTCACCCAGCTCCAGATCATATCACTACTGGCAATGGCCTCAGCTGTGGAAGTCTTAGGTGACGAAGTGATTGGGATACTGCCATCAGTGCTCGAGACAACAATCTTGTATTCCGAGAGCTGCGTGCGGGAACCTACTCCGGACGAGCAACTATTTACCGCCGCGTTCAGCTTGCTGAACTCTACCGCTGGCACACTTCCGTGGATGTTGATCGGCAGTAAGCTTGACAGGATTTTGCAAGTAGCGGACCATGCATATCTTGCCAGCTCCTCCTATCTGGACGGACAGAGGGCCATACAAGACCTCTGCAATCTGCTCGCGAAGAAGATCGCACCCGCTGAACTTTTTGCATCGATCGAGAGGCCATGGAGCAATGTGGTGCAGCTTGGGAGCATGGCCATTGAACAACATCTGCGCACATTGCAGGTTGCGGTCGGCTACCATTCGAAGGCCACGGTCACAAAGAACGCACAGGTCCTCTTTACCATCCTGCTGCAAGGCTTTGACCTGCGTGCCGACTTCGAGACGAGCGATGATTCGTCCACCAGCGAAGCTTTCTCGCTTGCGGAGACTATCGCATTGGACGTGACCATGAAAATGAACGATGCCACATTCAGGCCGTTTTTCATGCGGATAGTCGATTGGGCAAACGCCAGTGAGGATGTTGAGCGAAGGACACAGAGGCTTGTCAGTATCTACAGCTTTTCGTTCGCACTGTTCGAGCAGCTCAAGAGCCTGGTCACCAGCTACGCCAGTTTCCTGCTTGAGAGCGCTGGGGAGATACTGCCAGCGTCCAGTGGTGCTCTCGACGACGAGAAGCAGCTGGTCGGAGTCACTCTGCAGACATTGGCAAGCAGTTTCCGCCACGACCAGGACGATTTCTGGCAAGCTCCGTCACATTTCGACGCCATTGTTGATCCTTTGCTCGAACAGCTTGCGCAAGCAGAAGATGTGGGAATCATGGATCATGTCGTCCCAGCGATCACTGACTTCGCCTCCGCCGCATCATCACCAGAGCACCTCAAGACCATCAACACCAAGATGATGGGCTTCTTCAAGCATGCACAGGCGTCTGTCCGACTTGCGACTGTGAAATGCGAGAGAGCTGTCACCGATAAGCTTGGCCTCGAGTGGTTGACACTGCTGCCGGAGATGCTTCCTGCCATATCTGAGTTACTGGAGGATGATGATGCTGCGGTCGAGCGAGAGACGTTCAAATGGGTGAGGGAGATCGAGGAGGTGACTGGCGAGAGTTTAGAAGGCATGTTGGCTTAAGCAATCGGCCTTCGGAGCCTCGTTAGACTATTCGAAGCAGCTATGGAGATGCCTACAAGCCACGCTCAAAACTTCTCCATTCTACTGTTCAATCGAGTCACATGCGACTGGCAGGGACTACCTCGCCAGTTCGGCTGTCGTTTTCCGGCCCCAGAAATTCTTCATCTCCCCAGATGTTCCTCCGCACTAACTTCTCCGTCCCAACATCTCCATGAGAGCGCCACGCGAGTATCGCGAGGAACGGATCTTCGGCAGATGCTTGTGCAGAACTCTACAGCAAATGGTTGACACGATAGGATCTCTCAAATAGCACCGCGGGCGAAGACACGAATCGTGGGTTCCCAGGTTCGGATGTCCATTGCAGATACCCTTGGCTCGTAGGCACTGATTCATTAAAACTTCTTGCTCCTGATTACTCCCTTTTCTGAACGCGACGTTTGATTGCTGATTTTCTGTATCGCTGTAGTATACCATGGACGCCGCCGAGAAAGAGAAAAATGTCCATGTTGAGGATTCCAGCAGCCGCCAGGGCGCCGCTCAACATTATGCAGAGGATGGAAACGATAGAATGACATTGACGGCTTTTCTTGCCATTGTGGTAGGCCTATCTTGAGAGCCCGAGTTCTTCCAAGATACTGATCATGTACAGGCTCTTGCTACACAGTTCATCTCATACATCAACACTCTGCTCATGCCGTCGACGATTCTTAGCTACATCATCGCGGACCTGGACGCCAACCCCAACTATCCCTGGATCACGATAAGCTGGAATGTGTGTGCTTCTGTGCTGGTGACTGTTGGCGGCCGCATGTCAGACATCTTTGGCCGACGATGGTTCCTGATTATAGCGTCAGTCATTGCACTCTGCGGAGCAGTCGTTGGCGCAACCGGGAAGAGTGTCAATCAGATGTCAGTATAAGTTACGGCTGCCAACTTTCGCCATGCTGACATCTCGATTAGGATTGGAAGCGGTGTGCTCTTCGGCCTTGGTGGAGGTATCCAAGAAATGTGCTACGCCGCCCTGCAAGAGATTGTGCCGATAAAACACCGCGTGCTCGCCATCGGTATGACGATTCGCCTCAAGGTTGCTGTTTCTTGCTGATGAAGCACAGGCTGTTTCGAATTTGGTGCCGGCTGCATCGCCCTCATGAGTCCATTGATCGCCTACTCGTTGCTGGCTAAGACTGCGCTCGGCTGGCGAGCAGTCTACTGGTAAGTACTAATGGATAGAAGGGTTCTCCAAGATACGATCGAGCCGGGTATACGGCGTCTTGAGACCTGCTAAGCCTCTTCGCATGGTTGAGACGCTTGCTGACCCTCTTGCCTGATTGTCCAGGTACATATTCTCCTTCGAAGCATTCTCCCTCATCATGGTCGTCTGCTTCTACCATCCACCAAACTTCCACACCAAGCATTTACGAGACGGCAAGACGAGATGGCAACTCCTACGACAGATGGACTTCGTCGGCTTTGGACTTTTCTCTCTTGGATGCATTCTGTTCCTCATCGGCATCAACTGGGGCGGCAGGTCTTACGACTGGAACAGTGCTCCTGTTATTGCCACGATTGTCGTGGGAGCATTGCTGCTGGTGGCTTTGGGCTTCTACGAGGCCTACGCTCCGCTGAAGTACCCTATGCTTCCTGCAAAGTTCTTTCGGAATGTCCGTGGGTTCACGGTGCTGTTGGTGGTTTGTTTCGTCGGTGGCATGCTGTACTACTCGAGTAAGTCTAATAGCCCGGGCTACATCATGTCGATGTGCGCTGATTCCTCCGCCTCTCTGCAGTGAATGTTTTATGGCCAAGGCAGTCAGGCCTACTCTTCGTCCCAACCGGCAAGCCCATCATCGCTGGCGTATACGCGAATATGGTATCCTTTGGTACGATCACCGCAGGCTTCATTGTGTTGGCTTTCTGTTCGAAAGTTGGCCATGAAAGGTGGCAACAGGTCGGATTTATGGTACGCACCGCGTTTGGGTGTCGTCTTGCTCCGCTTGCTAATGCCTGAAGCAGGTCGTCCAAACCGCACTCATCGGGTCGTTAGCAAGCATTGGCGTCAACGACAGGGTTCAGGCCATTGCGACCATTGTTGTTCTCGCTGCAACTATTACACCACCGCAGCTTCTCTCCTTCGCGATGATATCGATGGGAATCGAGAACCAGGTCGACATGTAAGTCTCAGAATTGCTTTCTGTCGACGACAACTGACATCCTACAGCGGTCTGGCAAACGGACTCGCCAGCACATTCCGTCTCATGGGCGGCGCTGTGGCTACAGCGATCTACAGCGCCATCCTCGCGAACACTTTCGCAGAGAAGCTGCCATCAAAACTGGATCCTGTGATCGCAGAATACAACGTGGCAGACTCAGCCATACCACTGCTGATCCAAGCCGCGACGGTCAACACAGCTGACGCTTATGCTGCGGTGCCGGACATCACGGACCGACTGACTGCTGCTGCTGGACAGGCCGTGCAGTATGCGTACGTCGATGCGTTCAAGCTGGTATACCTGGTGGCGCTGGCTTTCGGCGGGCTTGCAATCATCGCTGCTTCCTTTACGAAGACGATTCCGAAGGAGCAGAAGACGATGCAGAGAGCAATCCATATGGAGAACGAGAGCGGCGGTGCTCGAGCTGCCGAGAGTGGAACCAAGGGTACAGATTAGCTGGACGGCTCGTTGAAAGTCAGACAGAAATGAAAAGTGACACGAAGTTATCGCGCGTGAGTTGTAATGGCATTGGTCTGACTTATCTGTCAGCAGACTCTGACACCACATATCCTCGTCCCCTCAGCATCGACTAGAGCCTCTCGGCCAAAGTAGGTCCCCATCATCTGCTGCACAAATGACTTGTCTGCCTCACTCCAACTGTCCAGTCCCATTCCTCGGACATCGTCAGCAGACACAGTAATAGGAGCCTCCGCAATGCCCTGTTCGGTCCCGTCATCTGCGGTCTCCACCAGCTCGGCAAGCGGCTGTAAGATTTGTGCGATCAGGCGGTGAAAGTACGCCGTAACAAGCGTGGCAATAGCTTGTGCCAGCGACCCAACACTCTCTTCTGCGTCCTCGATGTCGCCAAGATGTGGTAGCAGATCGTCGAGCTCTGGCAGATCATCAAGCAACTCCCGGTCGGATCTCGTTTCATCATTCTGCCAGGCCTCCATCTCGCCCGCAGATGCCCACCACATGAAGCCATTGTACGCCAAGGCGGACCATGAAACAGGCTCGATGGCATCACGCTCGTTACGTTCGCTACGCTTGACTTCCTGTCGGACGTGGGTTGTAGGTGTGCGAATGAGCGGTACTGCTTCATGGTCACCTTCATCGTTGCTTGACGGGTCGTCCTGATAGCGACCACTGATCGATGTGATCCTCTCAAGCTCGGATCGTAAGAGTCGGTAACGGCGAAGGTCGCGCTGGGTAGCTTTCACGACCGTGCCATCAGAGAGGCGTATCACTGGTCGTGGTCGGCCTCTCCGTCCCTGAGGTGTTAGATCTCGCAGCACGGCAAGCACATCGTAGAGATCTTTCTTCTCGCCCAGGATGTCGTCTGTCGTACATGCAATCCACCGTGTCGTTCGGTTCTTGTCGCTCAGAAACGGTATGTCGTGGATACCAACACTGAACAAGGCCTGTGTTTTCGACAAAGCCTCTGTGTCCGGCTGGAGGATTTCAAACTGTGCTTGAGGAATGTTGGATAGAACGGAGAGCAAGTAAACGAAATTGCAGCTCTGCTGGACCGGTGCAGTTCCGAGCAGTAGTATTCGCTTCCGAAGTAATGCGGCTCGAAAGAGTGGAAAGATTAGAGGTCCAAACGTATCCAGCATATCCGTCATAGAGAAGGCAGGATGATCCGGCGGCAGTCCATCGCCGGTGATCGCATGGCTTCCATCTGAATGCACACGCTTCACCTTCTTTCGCAGAGCATCTGGCGATGACATTCGCGTACCGATCGAAGGCGAGGCCGCCCGAGCGCTGTGCTTCCTCCCATGCTCATTCTGCTGCCAGTACAGCTCCAGCGCCTTTGTATCATCCGCATCTTGGACCGCCTCATGTGCCAGACGTCTCAGTCCAGCAGCATGCAACCAACTCTTCCCCAGCCTGCCATAGCTAAGCGGCACCAGCGCACCCACAGCCATGAAGTTGGCGTGCCTATGACTTTCGTCCGCTTCGCCCTGCACAAACGCGCTCACCCCAGCATGACTGCCATGGAAGAAGTACACCAAATCTTCCTTCACACCATGGAGACCAGACGGCAGACATTGGTACTCCACGCCGTCAAGATCCAGACCTTCAACCGATCGCTTCCATGCTATGGTGTACCTGGTTGGAGTTAGAAGGTAGGACAAGCATCGGACAGCAAGCGACTCACCCTACCTTCTGGTCAAACCTGATCAAGAACAGCGCAGCGAGAGGAGGTAGGTTATCCATGGGAAGCAGAGCTGATGTAGTCAGAGTGAGGTGCAGTCCTCCTGTCAGATAGCAGCTTTGATTGGCTCCTGGATGGTCGACGCTAGCTCATGTCTCCTGCAATGCCAAAAAATGACAATGCAGGTCCGAGCCGAGAAAGCATGTCAAATTTACGAACGCATGTTGAGACAGTCAACGCGTGTCAGGCAGAACAGCGCGTGTTAAACACATCCAATACATGTCACGGTAGAGAACTTATGTCGATTGATGGAGCAAGAAATGCGGCCCGAGACTGGGTAGACAGTCCACGGCCAACCAGACAAGACAACAAGCACAGCAAAAACGCACGTCAAAGCAGTAGAAAGAACTAGATAAGCTACTTAACAGCATAGCATTTGCATCGATCCCTGCAAAGCATCCTAAAGCGTCATGGCTCACGAGTCCCGAAGCCGCCCATACCAGCAACAACACACGACCGATATCAATGGGGTATCTTCCCTCGCCTTGCGCCTTGCCTCGTAGACTCCACAAACGCCCGCCTTCGCCTTCGCTAAAAAGCACATGCTAGCTAGAACGAATCATGTATGCGAGCCATCGCCTCGCAGGAAGGAAGAAAAGAAATGCAGCCAGTGGTGAAAAGGGTCGGATGGGAGTTGGGGCTCCTGTGGGGTTAGTAGTCCGGGACCGATTTGCACCTACCTTGGGGCGTCTCCTCTTGGTCCGCTATTTCCAGTTCACAGGGTTGCCGGGGCCTAGAGTCGGTACAGGCCCTTCCACCATATCCCGGGGCGTCAATGCAAGAAGTTCCGTCAGATGACGAGAGAATTGACAGAGACGTGCAGACGTCTACTGCCTGCAACTGACTGCCGACGTGCCGACTGCGCACTGGACGCACGAGCGATCACGAAGACCTGACCTTCTTGACCTCTGGCAGCTCGATGTTGTCGTCTTCGAGGTCGTCAAACTCATCAAAAGATCGCTTCCCAAGCGGCGAGGCGCCAGATGGCTTGATGGCAGCGGTACCGTTGGTGGCAGGCTTGCCAGCATCGTATTCCTGCTCTACAAGCTCGTCATCGTCGAAACCGAGGTCTTCGAGACCATCCTCCTGCGGTCCTTGGTTGTCTCCTTCCTGGTTGTCGTCCTGCTGGTTGTTGCCTTCCTGATGGATGTCTTCCTGGTCGCCTTCGTCCTGACGGTGGATCAGGACAGTGTCGTCGAATTCCTCTTCGTCATCCTGATGGTCTCCGGTGTCTTCAAAGAAGTCAATGTGCTCCGCACCGTGCTCGTAGGTGCCTTGTTCATCAAGACCTTCGTGAATGGCACTGTATGCTTCGTACTCTCCTCCGCCGATTTGGTCATCGGCAGGATGCTGGTCATCGGCACTGTAGCCAGCCTCTTCGTGGTGGTCGCGCTGTAGAGTGGTTTCATGGTTAGTTTGATCATCTTGATCGGCCTGTGGCTCGTGGCCATCTTCATAGCCAGCGTGTTGAAAGCCCTGCTGGCCTTCTTCAGCAGCCTCATTTGGATCTTGCGGCTCCTCGAATTCGTTCAGCCAGTCTTCAGAGCTGAACAGCTGCTCGTTGTCTTGCTCGGTCTTGGCTTCAACTGAATCATATGTATTGTCCACAATTTCAGTGAAGTCCTCGCCCGTGCCAACATCTGTCGGTTCTGAACCGTCTGAAGTCAGACATTCGTCATCCCAATCAATGAGCTCCTCCTCGTCGTACTCACCGGCTGTGATGTCTGCTGCCTGCCAGTCGCCTTCTATAGTCGCTGAGCTTGCTGATGACCCGGGATGCTCGAGATTAACTGCTTCAGGCTCTTCTTCACCTGGTACCTCATGGTCCTCGTATTGCTGCAGTCCTTGCAGCCCGTCTTCGGTATGGTATTGCTCATTGGTTGAATCACCAGCAAGTCCATCCAAAGCGTCAGCTGCCTCACTCTGATCCCCAGCGAGGTAGTCGCCTTCTTCGCCGAAGTAGTACTCCTGGTCTGCGTCCTGATAATGCTGTTCTTCGCCGACTTGCTCCTCATCTTGTTCTGCAGCATTTTCCTGCTCAAAATGCGTGGTTCCATCAAATGCTCGCTCGGCCTCGTCTCCATGCTCCTGGTGGTCGAGGCCTGTCCAGTCCTCATTGCCTTCGTAGACACACTGGTCGTTGCGATGGTCGCCATCGCCAATCGCTTGGAGGAAGTTGAAGCTGGACATTCCTTGTCCGCCGGCAACGGCCTGCTTGAACATTGAGAGGCTGCTTGTGAACTTGAGTTGGGTAGACAGAACGAGAGAGAGCGGTGCGACTTCTTCCACTCCATCGTTGTGGTGAAGTTGGAGATACACTTGCAGAACCTCGTCGAGACTGGTCGAGGACGCCGCTCTCGAATCCTGCATGTCTTATTAGCACAGTCCGGAAGCGATATGATACTGCAGGACTCACCTCTACGAGCATCAAGGCTAATTGGTCAAAACCAAGCACAAGATCTTGGTCATCAGTGATGGCTTCGTCAGTCTTGAGGGGTAGACGCTGTCTGCAGCTTCGCATGAGATCTGCCAAGCTAACATTGGCCAGGTTGTCATCTTTCAGGAGGCCATCGAGCTGCTTGCGGGACTTGAAAAGTGGAACGTGAAGATCACCGTATTGGAGGGTCATTGGGTGAAGTCCAGTATCCGTGGGTGTAGCTGGTCCATCTGCTGGTGCTTCGAAGGTGGTGTTGACTGTGATGGGTTGCTCTTCGTCATGAGCGCCAACCGCGAAATCGGCAGACTCATCATAAGATGCATCCTGCTGTCCGCCTGAGGTAAAAGCGGATGTATCAGGTTCAACAACTGCTTCCGCACTTGCTTCAAGGGGTGCTGCCGAGGCCTCATCTGGAGGTAAGTCTATAGTCTGCGCGGCTTCGCTGCCAGCCTCATGTGCGGGTACAAGAGCTTGCGGTTGCTCTTCCCCGGCATCAGCCTCAGTCAAACGCTCAATCTCCTCATCTACGTCTTCTTGTTCGGCATCTGCTGTGGGTTCTGAAGCCTTTGTCGCGTTAGGAATCTCAGCATCTTCTACTGCTGTGTCTTGGAGATCTTCATCCTCGCTGTAGTCGATCAATTCCTCATCTTCTGGCGCTAATTGCTGGTACATCTGGGTGGCATCGTCTTGCATCAGCTCTTCTTGTGCCTGTCTGGCGTCAGTGGCCTGCTGCACGTCATCGTCCATCACTTCATCGTTGGCCGTGGCGGGGCGGGTAGGATCATCTTCGAGCATGCGCTCATCGTCGTTGGTATCTGCAGGGGGCTGGTAGTCGTCGAAATCTATGTCAATATCTTCATCATCGAGGGGTTGGCGGGCGGGTGAGGACATCTCCATGGTGTCGTCGGGTGCTGGTAGGGAGAGGGATGTGAAGCTCGTTGTGGTGGCCATCGCGAGTGAAAGAAGCTAAAGAGGGTTTCAAGCGTGGTAGGCGGTGGTGAAAGGTGGATGCCGTTGAACTTGAGAGGTTGCGTGATGTCGGTGATATTTGGTCACGTTCGAGGCGCGTCTTCAAGCTTCCTTGCTGCTCTGCTCGCTGGCGCATGCGGACACGCGCCCTCAAGTTACGGAAGGTCTAAGGGAGTGTCGTCGGGATCGAGAAGTGTCCAGGTGTCGTGGGTGGTGTCTTGCAGGTCCTGTTGCATGTTAATTCAGTGACTGCAAGTCGTGTCTTGGAGAAAGGTGAGTCTTCTGGCGGCGACAGCTTGAAGTGCGCCGACCGAAAACGGCACCTAGCGGCGCGGCGCGGCTCGCTCGGCGGGAGCATCCGCTGCCAAGACTATCACGAGCCAACGATCTGGAGGGAACAAGTTGCACATAACGGATCCGTAGACGACGGCACTTCGAGACAGGCTGGCAGACTTCATGTTGGACAGGGCGCGGTAGTATACCAGATCAACCCCCAGCAATACACCAGAAAACTGCCCAAGATGGTACGGCATCCCCCAATCTAGTCTAATATTACACCCATATTGACCGAAGTATGGTATAGGTTGTCCTCTCCGCCGCAATTACGACCCGCTCGGGCAAACCTATACTGGCCCGCCAGTTCCGCCAGATGCAAAGATCCCGTGTCGAAGCTCTCCTCGCATCCTTCCCCAAACTCGCCGACACAGCCAGCCAACATACAACCGTCGAGCAGGACAATGTGCGCTTCGTCTACCAACCGCTGGATGAGCTGTACATGGTCTTGATCACCAACAAGCAGTCCAACATCTTGCAAGACATCAACACTCTCCATCTCTTTGCGCAGGTTGTAGGCAGCGTGTGCAAGAGCCTCGACGAGAGGGAGATCGGCCGCAATGCCTTCGAGCTGCTGTGTGCGTTCGACGAGGTGGTTACCTTGGGCTACCGGGAGAACTTGACCATGAGCCAGATCAAGACTTTCTTGGATATGGAGAGTCATGAGGAGCGGATTCAGGAGATCATTGCGCGGAATAAGGAGCTAGAGGCTAGCGAGGAGAGGAAACGCAAGGCGAAACAGCTCGAGATGCAGCGGAAGGAGATGAGCCGGGCGGGAAGGGGTGGAAATGGCAGTATGAGTTCGATGGGCAGGCATCAGTCGTTCGCGCCGACTACATATACACCTCCGCCTAGCACACCCAGCATGACGGACAGCTACGACAGCTACACCGCCGCCAAGAACGAGAAGTTCGGCAAGGCGATGCCGTCACGAGGAAAGGGCATGCAGCTCGGCAAGAAAAATAAGACTGGTTCGATGTTTGAGGCGGTACGGGGCGATTTGGGCGCTGAAGCAGAACCCAGCGCGCCTCTGGCCGGTGTCCCAACTCCTGCGGCGCCTTCCATTCAACCCAACATTCAATCTTCGGGCGGTCCTCGCTCCAGCATTGACCGCGACGGCATCCACATCACCGTCGCCGAAGCTATCACTGCCCGTCTCTCACGCGAAGGCGCCATTGAATCTTTCGAAGTCAAAGGCGATCTCCAACTCCGCATCTCAGACGCCAGCCTCACGCAAATCAGACTTCGCCTCAACTCTGGCGACACCAGGAACGCACAGCTAAACGCACATCCTAAGGTCGACCGAACACAGTTCAGATCGAACAACATCATCCAACTCACCGACAGCACGAAAGGCTTCCCAGCCAACAATAGCATCCAGGTCATGCGCTGGCGGTTGACGGCCAAACCGGATGACGTCTCCGATCCGCCCATCAAATTCACCGTATGGATGTCGGAGACCTCCGCCAACACCCACAGCGTCACCGTCGAGTACGAGCTCACCGGTTCCGACTCATTGAAAGATGTAACAGTGATGATCCCCTACGCTTCCTCAGAACCGAGCGTCAGCTCTTTCGATGCCATCTACGAAGTCAGCGGCGACAGTCTAGAATGGAACATCGGCAACGTCGACGACTCCAACCCAGCTGGATCTTTCGAATTCGAAGCGCAGGCGCAGAGTGAGGCAGAGTTCTTCCCGATGCAGGTACGATTCGCCAAGACACGGCCTTGGGTGGACATCGATGTGGCGAGCGTGGAGTTGGTGAGCGAGGGTGTGAATGTGGGGTTTGCGAAGGATGTCAGGAGTGTGGCGGAGAACTATACGATTGTATGATCTAGTGAAGGGTGGTGAGAAGTGGTGTCTGGGCGTTGGCACTAGACGGCGGAATGGTCTTCGGTCCATAGCGTGGGCACGAGGCTGTACGCAAAAGTCTTCAAGTTGCATCCGACCATATTGCTCTCGCTGCGTCCCTGACCAGGACCAGCTTCTCCCACATCCGCTCCATCGACATATCCTTTCCACCGGCTAGTGATGAGCTCGAGAAACCGCACTGTGGACTGAGAGCCAAACAATCCTTCGCCTCGTCCCTCGTCACACCGCGAGCCTTGGCAATCACACCCCCAGCCTCATCAACCTGCCCCTTGATCGTCTCCACACTCTCCAGCTCCGCTCGCTTCGTCGAGACAAGCCCCAGCACAACATTCTTCCCCTTCGGCAAGAATCGCAACGGCTCGAATCCACCTTGCCGTTCCGTATCGTCGAACTCCAGGTAGAACGTCCCATATCCAGTCTCGTTGAAAAGCTTCTCCGCGATCGAGTCATAGGAACCAGAGACCCAGTGTGTGGATCCGCTCATATTGCCGCGGCAGAGATGAATGCCCACACCGAGGTCTTTGGGTAGATGTTGCAGGAACATATCGTGCGCTCGAAGGTAGAGGTCAAGCAGCGCATGAGTATCTGTGCCGTCTTTGTGGCAACCGTCCAGAAATTGTGAAGAGCAGAAGTAGGTCAAGTGTGGATCGTCTATCTGGATGTTACGGCAGCCGGCTTCGTAAAGCGCCATCATTTCGGAAACGTAGGCCTTTGCGAGGTCGGCGAAGTACTGCTCATCGCTCGTGTAGCCGCTGGATACTGTGTAGGTGGTACCGGGTTTGAGCTGGATGTGTTGATAACTCGGAGCGGGCATCGTGAGCTTGCATTCGTGCCATTTCTCCTTTGGTACGTTGGCGGTCAGCATACGCCATTCCTCTAGATATGCCGGCTTGGTCCACCGAATAGGTCCGGTGCAGATGACGGCCGCGCGAGTCGTGGCGCCCATTTGGGCGAGTTTAGTGGTGGTAGGGAAATCTGTCCGGAATGCTTCAAGGATTGGCAGGTCGGGAATAGGGGTCATGCCGCCCAAGGTCTCGAAGAAGCCGCCGTAGAAGATGTGGCGGCAGTATTCTCCAGAGCATATGGGACGTATGAACAAGGAGAGCTGAGTTTGGACCGCTTCGTTGATGGCGTCTTGTTCGGCCTTCTTGACAGAGGTATCTTCAGTGTCTTCGTACATCTGGCTAGGAGAGGAGAGAGATTGACGGGCAGAAAGTAGAGATGGAGGACGCAGGAGCGAGCCAATCTGGTCTGCTCTGAATGGAGGCGCCATGTTTGATTCACACTGATGTTGAGTCTTTCGATCCGGGTCGCTCTTGGAGTGATACTCCAGTGCAACGGATTAGAGAAGAATATAAGGTTACTCTTAGCTTGACTAAGACTCACTACAGTTAAAGAGCTTGCAATAATAATGACGGCGACAGAGTGATATATGTGAGCTTCAATGTTGTCTTGTTGGATTGCCACGAGTTCTTGACTCGACAAGAGGAAGTCTGGACGGTGATATCTCGGAGTTGCCTCGGAGAAATGTCGGTGGCAGTCGCGTCACCAACGCGACTTCCAGCCTCTCTGAAAACATGTCACAAGTTGACGACTTCATCCTTCTGTGTGCGCGCACTACGTAAGACGCCGCCGCAGAGAACGCAATCCAGCGAGTCACTATGAAGCGAGCTCTAATTCTGCACAACCGAAATGGCTCTGGAGGACGATAGCCACGGCGAGAAGCTGCCCTTGCTGTTCGAGAAGCATGTGAGTCAGCCTGTGGCCACAGCAAAGGCCGCATACTGCGATCTCTACGATTTGATTGCTGTCATCAACCTTACAACCGACGATGTGGCCGTCTACCGGGCCGCCAATGGCCAGCTGGCATTTACAGCCAAATACCCAGATCAATATGAAGAATCAAAGCCACAGTCAGTGTCATGGAAGGCGGATGGTAGCTTGCTGGGTGTAAGCTGGGACGATGGAACGTGCTGTCTCTATTCTGGAGAGGATGGAAAACTGGTCTCGCGGATTGCTCCTTCGGCTGAGTCGAAAGACGCGGACTGGAGGCTGGATCTTGCTTCGGCTCTTGCGCCCGTCGCAGATGAGTCTACGGACGGCAAACAGGCACCAAGCTGCCTCGCCTGGACCGACCATCAACGCTCAGGAGGCTTACCGCTGCCGCCTTTAAGGAGAGAAGAAAAGTTCGGCGACGAACTGTCTACGGAGACCTGGTTCAATTCCATCGATTCCCAGTCGGGGACGGAGCTTGGGAAGATGGCCTCTGGATCATCAGAGGGCCTTCAGGCTCTAGTGGACTCAGTCACGACACTGGATGTCACTACGGTCCTCCCAGGCCTCAGCGCGCTTCCTGCCCACGGCATGCGCAGTACGCCAGACGCCGCGAAGTTCAACACTCAGTCGGGCGTAGACAACGCTTTCAAGACCACTGCATCAGTATCTGATGCCGTCGACGTCCTTTTGGTATGCGGCTCCTCACAGCATGCAGATATCTATCTGGACGACACTGTGAAGGTTGGAAGCATTTCACTTGATACCTCAGGTACCTTTCACGCATCCCATCCCCATTGCAGCACCCAGGCCGTTCTTTCTCGACCCGACGACGGTGCCGTATGCAACTTGCACTTCATCGACCTGCCGTTGGATACACTGGGCGGCTCCTTACTCCACGTCATCGCCACCAACACCAAACGAATGCAAAGCCTTGTAGCCTATGTCACACAGACGGTGCGGTGCATTCAGCACGATTTCACTACGGGCCAGCAGCTGCCAACAAGACTTCTCAACGGCTTCACCGAAGAGCTCCGTGAAAAAGACGAAAGCGACCCTTTCACCAGTCTTTACGAGCTGCTCATGACCGCGAGATTCACACCAACGGTTGAAGAATGGCTCACCGACATCATCAAAGACACTCAGAGGAAGCGCTGGGAGGAATCGATTGTCAATCTGTATGACCACATCCAAAACCACATCTTCATGCATCTGCTCCCGGCATTGAACCGGATGTCGATCGCAGCCAGCACACTTCGTGGCTTCGCCGAGCTCCATGAAGGGACGACCACGTTTGACATGCCGGCAACGTTGCTCGTAGAGCTGGAAGACAACGTAGATGCTCTGCGGCTGGCAGCAGAAAGGGCACAGCTCATCGTCATTGCTGAACAGAGGCAGTTCAGAGCTTTCATCAAGTGGCTACGAGTGATGATCGATGTCGCAAGCGCCGGGCCTGGTTCGAAGAGCGCAATTGAGACCGAGCAGCGGGAGACGCCTAACGTGGATGTGAACCTCACTGGGGCTTATATCAAGCTAACCATGCGGAAGAGCAAACTGTTTCCGTATATTGAGCAGCTACCAGAGATGAAGGGAGGTCTGGATAGCGAGCGGTTCTTCGACCATCCGGTGGTCAGGTCATTGAACCGGGAGAATACAGTGGCCTCGCTGCAGCAAAAGAATTCGACGAGCAAGGCCACCCCGGACTTTGACGAGGGTACTCTGTCGAACGCTACGGCCGCACTTAACCTTCCAGCTCTGACTGCGCGACTCGTGGCTCAGGTGCGGTTGTGCCTGGACAAAATCACAGCGTGGCAGCAGAGGTTGCTCTCGCGGCAGGCGTCATCAGGAAGCCCTCCCGTCGAAATGACCCTCAACCCAACAGCGACATTGCTGGATATGAAGATGTACCCTTCGTCAGCGGTCCGCCAAGACGATGGAAGCATCGCGCAGATGTTGTTCAGCGCTCCAGGAGGGAGCGATGACTCGAAGATCGATTTCTTTAGAGTGGATAGTTCTTCCGGAGCGATGGAAGAATATCGTAGCGAAATATCGTTCAACGCAGCCACAGTACTGCACGCTCAGATGGTCAGCGTAAGCACATGCTTCGTCCTAGTACAAGTACTTGAGACGAGCCCAGCAGACGCAAGCTGCGAACTGCTTTGCTGCCGTCTTGAGAACGAAGGCCCCAAGCAGCATGGCTCGTGGAGCAAGCATCTTAAGCACAGCTTCTCCACACCACCCCAGGCTGCCTTTACGCCCAAGCACTTCGTCGTCGGCGGCCGCCCAGGCAAACAGGTCGTGGTTGTCTTCGGAGGCGACGGTAGGTCCTGGCGGGTCCTGGATCTTACCGACTACGATGCTGCGACACCGATTCGGCGGGGAAAAGAACGCAGCGGTGATCAGATGACCTTTTGAGCTTGAGAAGAAACAGATGATGAAAGCGCAAGGAAATAGCAACTTCAAAGGGTACAACATGATGGCATGAATATGATACATATCAATGCGCGCTGAACGCAGACAGCCCATCTTCCCCCAACTCCAGCTATGCCTCCAGACCCCACGCAGCCTATGTCTCCGTCACGAGGTTTCACATCACCCTTGATTCCGCCATTGAGGGTACATGGCCCGCATCTGCTCCTCCGCTACCTCTGGATGCATAGGATCCACCGACATTGACTTCGCTCGGACATTGGGGTCCTTGTTCGTTGGGCCAGCCTTGCTGTTCATAAAGGAACTCTTCCAGAAGACGTCGCGCCAACTCCGCTTGGTTTGTGCCGGGCCGCTGGGTGGGGTTGTGGTGCCGTCGGTCGTGCCTGTCTGTGCGGATGGTTTGCGGCGGCTGCTGGATGTGCTGACCGACCTCGACTGTTTGCTATCCATCCTTGCGAAGGGGCTCAATACGGCTTTGTTGATAACTTGCTTGGTGACGATTTTCTGAGGGTTCGTGGAGGCTTCTCGGTGTTTTCTGTTGCTCCACAAGAATATACAACTCGGGCGTGCTACTGATCGTTGTTCTTCTGGAGACTCGATTCTGAGGTGTTTGAGGTAGAGCTTTACTGATGATGTCGAGGTCTTCGGGAATGAACAGACCTACGACTCTTATATACTACCATGCTCAAAGCATCACCACCACAGCGTCGCGTGCAGAGGTTGGCAACTCCCCATGGCACATGTCATTCTCAGACGCCACGAGACTCGCCACAAAATGAGCCTCCAGGCCAAGGAGCCTTGTTAAAGAATTGCCCATGTTTGGAAAATTTTAAAGCGGAAAGTGAAACGACAAGAGAAATTTGAAAGCCTCGTCTCCTTGGTGTCTGCTTGGAACGCTCACCGATGCGCCTGGTCGAGAGGCGAAGCGGAAAACGGTCTTGGCTCCGACGTCATCTTTGTCAACGAGTTTCTATGCAGCGACTTCCTCATCTTCAGGATGACATTTCATCGTTCGCAGGGACTAGAGGCAAACGGCATAGGGGAGTCGTAGCACGATTAGCCTACCTCTCCGCTCCGCTTCTCCACCCCACCCCCACACCGCAGTCGTGCTAGCTCCTCCTCACGTCGGAGAAGAGTGACCGTCCGCCAATCCCCATGCTGTGAGCATCCTCCCTCGCTCGCTTACATGCATAACACCCGGCTTTATGCCTTCGGGAATATCAGATCTGACTCGCAACATGCGGAGTACAGTACGGAGACGATCATGGTAATGCGTCTTCCGAGGTTGCTAGTGCCTCAGACGACTGAGTATGTCCAACTTTTTGAATTCACATTCTCCTTGCATAAGTTTTCTTCCATTTCGTAGACCTTCCGAGGAAGCAAGAGTGGGCAAGTGGCAGTCATGAAGAGCATTATACCAAAGCTCAGCCTGCAGGGCAAGGCGTTGTATCGAGCAATGAGCATCAGCTGTTCGATCGTAAGATGAGTAGGCTGACTTGCACACGCATATGGCATTGACAACGTCCGCAGGCCTTCACAATGTTCGGTTATGATGCGGGCGTGCTGGGTGGAGTGCAGGAAACAGAACCATTCCGCGATGCGATTGGTGTAAGTGGTGGTCATATACATGCTATGGCAGTCGCCTAACGTACTACGACCAGAATCCGTCCGGCACGTACATCATTCCTATGATAGCGTCGTCGTATACCCTCGCTTGCTGGGTCTCGAGCACAGCATACATGGTACGTACTGGAGAGCAAGGACCTCTGGATCCAGCTGACGGGCTCCGCTCCGACGCACAGTTTATAGGCCATCCGCTTGGAAGGAGACGAACGATCTTGCTGGGAGACGGCTTTGTCATCGTCGGCGGCTCGCTACAGGCATCTTCTTGGTCTGTACCACAGATCATCATTGCGCGAGTCCTCTGCGGGTTCGGCGTGGGGTTGATCAGCTGTGCCGTCTTGACGTATATGTCTGAGATGAGCATCAAAAAGACCGAGCGTGGACGGGAGGCAGCAAACCAGTCTTCGTGGTTGAGTGAGCACACCTCCCACCCTCTCCTTCAAGCTCTGAGGACACTGGCTGACAAGACGTGCTCTGCGAAACAGTCGGAGGCGTTGCGTTGGCATACTGGCTCGACTTCGGCTTTACGCAATCCGCCAGTCAATGGTCCTGGAGAATTCCAATCGCGCTGCAATCTCTATTCGCCGCCATCTCCTTCGCTATCATGTTAATGCTACCCGACACCCCGAGATGGTACTACTCAACGGGCCAGACTGAACGAGGGGACAGTGTTCTCGCCAGCCTGCACAGCCAGCCGTTGATGTCCGAGCCGGTTCAACATACAAAGACCGAGATCATGGATGCTATATCTCTTGAGAGCAGCCACGCCAAGCTCAATCTGCTTGATCTGTTGTGGGACAGAAGCAAGCTCAAGAGCGGAAGGAGGCTGCGGATTGCGTTCTTGATCCTTACCATTCAACAACTGATGGGTGCGTAATGACCTTCCTTCTGGCAATGCTGATCGACTGATCCAGAAGCATAGGCATCAACGTGCTGGTTTACTTCAGCACTACTATACTCAAGAACGTTGGATTGAGCCCGTTCATGCAGCAGCTACTTGCCGCAATCATGAATACGTCTTTCTTCTTGGGAACGATACCTCTTTACTGGTTAATCGAGCAGTGGGGTCGGCGTCCGATTCTGCTCTGGTCGGCAGTTGCTTGCACGGCGGCCATGGCTGTCTTCGTCGCCGTAAGGACGTCCATCAGTCGAGCCAAGGGAAACACATGCTAACGAGACCTGCTATAGATGAACGGCGTCCAGGACAAGACATCTGCTACTCAGTGTAAGTGTTCACATCGTTATGAGAGCTCACCACTCACCCTCTCATGCAGGGACTGCCGTGGCATTTGTCATCATCTTTGTGTTTATCTTTGGCTTTGGTTGGATCGCCATCCCATGGTTGTATGGTCCAGAGATTGCTCCCCTAAAATACAGGCATCTCGGGGGTGCATTTGGCAGGTGAGAGCTCGACGACTTCTCAATACGTGTGACATTGCTGACTCTTCATTCCCCGCCACAGTCAAGGCGAATGGTCGATGACCTTCATAACGTAGGCAAGCCCTCTTGACATGTGGGACCCTCTGACTTTCCCTTCTGTAGTGTCTTCGCTGGCGGTATTGCAATACAGCGTACGAATTGGGTGAGTCTCCACGGCCATGGCAATTATCCGAACAATGCTAATCACCTTTCGACAGGCAATCTGGTTCTGGTACGGCGCTTACAAATCGCCCTTGTAAGAAATCTGCTAACGCTTCGCTCTTCCGCTCAACAGGCAGCTCGGAAGCTGCATCATCGCCATCCTCTTCGTGTACTTCTGCTGCCCTGAGACGGGCGGCAAGACTCTAGAGGAGGTGGACGTGGTGTTCATGGACAAAGACGACGCTGCTGATAACCATCTCCATCAGGCAGCCGTGAGGGATGCAGAGGCGGCGAGCGAAAAGCACAGCTCGATCTCCGAGCAACGTGAGAAGACGTGAGGATGGCATGGCGTCTTCGCACACTAAGTGTAACCTGCTTCTCCAGTGGGCACACTCATGCCGTGCGCCCCACTGTATCTAGATGGCTGAGGTGGCTTCCATCCGGCCAGCACAGCGTCGTCCTCAAGCTTAAATACTTCGACTTTGAGCGGCCGGCACGTGTCAATCATAGACTTCTTCTCGCCGTCCTCGCCTTCACCACCCTCGCCCCAGCCCCAAGTCGACAAATCGCCGCCCGGGCATGTCGATAATGCCATCAACAGTGGCTGTTCGGTGAAGAACTCAATGAAGTCATTCTTCTTCGCCGGGCAGGTGTGCATCGTATATTTGCCGGCGTCGTTCAGGCTGGTCACCTGGAATAGATTTATCACATCGTGAACATCGAACTCCGTCAGTCCATAGGGGAGAACGGCTCGTGTGAGGTTGCTATGACAGTGATAGTCCTTCCAAAAGAAAGGGCGTTAGCAAGTGGCTGTGACCGTATTCAGAGAGGACGTCCTCGACTCCACAGCAGACCTACATAAGAGTCGCCCGTAAGCATATGATTGACGTACGGGTCGCAGCGAGTGCCTAGCAAGTCGTTGCACCGGCCTCCCCATTCATCGCTATAGCCAGCTAAGGTATCGTGAATGATGGTGACTAGAGGTCGCAAGAACGGCAGGCAACTCCAACTGTAACGATCTTATCAGTGGACCCCTCGAAGGTTCTAACGAAGGGAAAGCTTACAGCCTGTCTCCAACAGATACATGGCTAGCGTGCAGTTGTCTGGTGCGAGCGGCCTGCAGTATGTCAGCATTGGTTGAGCGTAGTAGAAGTTGTAATACCCAAAAGCGCTCCCGGGGGTTATGGAGGTTCCAGATGTTAAGGTCCCCAACTTGAGGCCCTTCCGGTGTCGAGATTCGGACAATGTGGGCTTCAGGAACTTGCCATGCTCTGCCACTCCTAATCGGAAGGGTGAAGGAGTCCACAAGGCGCCGTTTCGTCAACTGCTGAATGGAGTCGTAGAGCCCCCGGTCTGTGTGTAGAAGAGATCCTTTCGTTGCTTCATATGCGGGCTGAGGGCGGTGTCCAGGCTCTTTGGAGGCGGCCATGATCGCGAATGTTCACAGAGAATGCCTTCTAGGGTTTCGTTGAATGGATAAATCACTCCCTCTGTTGATCGTTAGGACCGCCTTGCCAAAGAGCATATTTCATATGCTGTCACGTGATACTTTTCACTAGCGTCGGAAAACTTGCCTAAATCCATAGCAGCAAAAGACAAAGGCGATGCTGCTCAAGTTCACACAAATCAAAGACACAATGTGACAAACAACGAGGATCACCTCCTACCGCTTCCGGCTACAAAATGATTTCATGCTTGGTCACACATTTCCCTTAGATGTGCCATACTGGCCTCGCCACTTACAGCACAGAACAATGGCGTCAAGACTGGTACGATTCTTCAACTCACTAATTCCCTTCGCGACTCCCGGCACTCCCCTGATCCAGGATCTAGTGCATCTGGCCGTATTCTGCGCGTTCCTCTATTTTGGGCCGCGCATCCAAGAATACGTTCAAGCAAGAGGTCGTCGCGAACAATTGGAGCCTGCGCAAAATGATGCTGCGGTCGAGAATGATGACATCGCCGAACAACAAGCTGGGGATGGGCGAGAAGTAGAAGATGAAGAAGTGGACGCTGCGCTGCCGCCAGCTCCTGCCGATGGTCAACCAGGACCTGCAAACGGGCCGGCCAGACGACCTCAAGAACGTAACGTCAGCGCCAAGAAAGCAGCATCTCTCGCCCGGAGAGACCATAGACGGGCTGTCAATGAGTTCAGGATGGCCGAGAGAGATCGACAGCGAGCAAATGACGCCCAGGAGGCTGCGGAGCGAGAGCAGGAACTGGCACCAGAACGTGAGAGAAGGAAGGCAGCAGCAGCGGCCATTGCTGAGAAGCAGGCGGAGGAGAGAGCTGGACGAAAGCGAAAGGAAGAAGCAGAGCGGCAAGCGGAGATGCAGAGGCGGGACTTGGCGGTCGAGTTGGTGAAGAAGGAATTGGAGGAGCGCAAAGCCTGCGACTTGCTCGACGTGGCGGATCAGGTGGGCGGGGATGTTGACGAGGTATGGGTTGAGAAGATGCTGAACGCCGCTGGGCTGTTGGGCAAGAAAGGTGATGCTTTGACGATGGTGACCGGTGGTGGGTGGGCGGTTCGGATCGACGAAAGTGACATGATGAAGCTGTACGACGCGGCAAAGGATACAAACCTTGGTGCAGGAAGCGATGGTGTGGGCTTTGAGCATTTGGGCAAGCTTTTAGAAGGCGTGATCAGTGCGTGATAGATACCACGGGGTTCGCGTTCAGAGGTACCACGAAAGAAGGGGACCTTCGTCACAATGGCAGCGTAAAGCTACTAATCCCAATGCCAATAATTCGAGAAACAACAAAGCGTGGAAATATTCGAGTTATGTTTTCAATTGAGTTCTCCAAGTGACATTGCAAAGTGACATTTCCTGGGTGACATTTCAATGTGTTGTCTCCATGTGAGATGTGAGACTCTCAGATAGGATTGTCGAAGCATTAATGGAAGATTGAGTGCAAGATTTGGCGAATTCTGGTGGAAGGTAAGGATTTCCTGACGGGCTAGTTGCAGGCAAACAGACAACGAATCGTTAGCTTTGCAAAGACGAAATTTGTGCATTCTTTTCATCTCGTCTTGGTCCGAAGGGTTTTTGACGGTCTTCCTGAGCTCACGTTGCACTTTTCTTTGTTTTAATTTGATACTGTACTCGAGCAACGTATAGAGTCGACAGTCCACCTTTGTCACGTGGCAGCAGCAACATCAACAGCCCTCTTTGCCACGACCTCTAGCGCACAGACTGCGCGAATAGTCCAGTGTCTCGATAGATCGCTTCATTATTTGATGACTTCTCTCTCCTACGGAACACGTCACCTCTTTTGGAGTCGGTAGACTACAGACTGCTCGACCGCTCCCTACAAGCGACTTTCTCGCAGGTAGAAGCCGTCGGCAAGCAGGAGATTTTGAGCGAGCCTAGCCATCCAGCTGTTGGCCAATCATCAATCTTCTCTTCTCTACAAGCCTTCCCGAGACACGTCTATTTCCTAGGTCTGATTGGCTGTAAGGAAAACCGCATTAGTTGCATGTTCAATTTTCATGGTCTTTGGAGGCCGCTCGGCAGCTCGTCGGGCGTTTGGAAGTTGGAGAAGAGGTATTGTTGCCGCAGGCCAGCGGCTGGCTGCATATTGGCCGGCCTTGAGTGTGATGGATGAAAACCCTTCACCTCAAGACGCTACACAGTAGGTCGCCTAAAAGGATGGCAGCAACGCAGACGATTTGAATGGCAGTGCCAGGCGGTAGCGTGGGTGCTTCGAATATAACCAGGCTGCTGATACAGAGATGTGGGCCGTACAAGATTACACCGCTTCTGGACCCGAGAAGAAGGAGTCCAAATGAGTGAAGAGGTCAACGTCCCTGGAAAAGTCTCCGCCTAAGGTCTCCCAGTCCAGATCGGTCCATGGCATCGGCCCCTCGCCTTCACCTGCAAAGGAGAGAGAGCTGTTAGCAGGCAGCTCGGCATTGCGGAGGAATGCATAAGGTCTCAGAGCGCCGTATCGCTTCCTGAAGCAGTCTTCTACCCAGCAATGCTTACCTGTATCACTGGTCGCTGTAATGTTATCGCCAATCGGCTCCTCTTCTGCTGCGAGTACGCGACGGGTCTCTTGCTGGAGCTCCTCCAAGATGATGCTATAACGTAGACTGGGTGCGTTAGATTGGGTTGCCTGAGCGAGGTGACGCTGCACAGTCTCTGCAAGATCGTACAGCTTGCCTTGCTCCGACTTTCTGTGGCTGTCACTCTGATCATTGTTGGGCTGAATCAAGTAAACGTAGATGACAGATAGCGCACTAAACGCCACGAACTATTGTCGGTCAGCTGATTATCATACAGCAATTATTGGGGTTGACCTTGCCTGTGTATACCAGAAAGCAGGAAACATGTGTTTGTCCTGCACAAAGTCCAAAATGAGCTCGAGAGCATCACGTGCTGCTGCTATGCATTTTTCGACCAATGGCTGTACTCCTAGGATTTCAGATGCGTCAGCATTTGCTTTCGAGGCCATACAGCAGCTGAAGGATGGCAGCATCATCACGCTCGACGGTATTTCCCAGAACTACACTCCTCCAGATGCTTCCAAGCTTACCGGGTTGTGTTTGATTTCGATGGAGAATCAAAGGCCTGTTCAGCAGCATAATAGCATGTGCACGTGCCAAACGCAGAACGGTATGCTGCCGTCGGAAGATGGGAATCAGGCTAGCTGGGTGTATCGCGCCGGAAAGAAAGACCGGGAGACGATCGCGCCACTGATTGATTTCACCGTTGAGCCTCCGGGCTGTTGCAATCTGTTGCTGCTCGCGTGGTCGCTGCACCGCATACTGTTCTCTGCAAGACTCTTTGACGATCCTCGCCAGCTTGGCATGACAAACAGATGCATCCATAATGGAATCTCGGGGAATGGTGTGGGTTGTGATTCCCTCGGCGGTAATATCGTCGTCGTTGACCGACTCTGGATGGAGTTGATCGATGTCATCGTCGTGTATCATCGTCGGACGGCCAAGCATAACGCTGAGATAGACGTCGAGAGTGAACGCGGACCAGAAGCATCTCCTGCGACATTCACGGACAATAGCATCTGATTGACTCACCATCTTCACTCGGCTCCGGTGCAAACCGAGGGCATGGACCAGCTGCACCGTCGTGCCAAACATGTACCAAGCACCGTTAAGCCTGGATGTGTTCAGGAGATACAGGACTGACGCCAGCCTGGCTTGTACAGACTCGATGCTGATGCGGCCGGTCTCGTCGCGGATCTTCTCTTGCGCTGCCTGATGGAAGCACTCTCCCGACTGCCATGTCTCCCAAGACTCTTCGACAGAAGTGTCGATTCTTGTGTGCGAAGAGTCTACGGCGTAGAGAGAAGCGGTTGCAAGTACCATCAAGACGATAGCTTGGCGGATAGGAGACAGTCTCTGTTCGCCGGTCGGATCTCGCTCCTGTGCGCGGTAGCTTTTCAGCCAACGCTGTACAGTTGGTTGATGAAGAAAGCGGTATGTTGGCGCGGCGAATTGGAAGTACCTCGCAAGAAGCTCCGACGTCCGAGTCTCATCTGGCAGCGTCACATTCGCGGTGTTTTGGATGGGTACCCTTCTGTCACCAGCAAGAAAGACCGGAGTGTCGTCTTGCGAGGCATCCTGACGTGATTCCAGGTCGATGTCCTGTCCAAAGCGCCTCCAAGCGCGCCGCAGGAATGAGTGGGAGGAGGTAGGGCCCAGATATTGCCCACTCGTTGGGGCTATGGCATCGCCGGCTGGCGAGCCTGTGCGAGACGTTTGAGCAGTGCCGATTATCTCTGGTCGCGACGGCGTCGCAAGCTGCAGAACAGATAGTCACCAGAGTCAGCGAGTGTCTTCAGGTTCGAGCAGATCCAAGAGGTCTTGCCAATCAATGCTTACCTCGTCCATACGGTTATCTGAGGACGGTCCGAGTTCACGAGAGTATCCCCCTTGCGCTCCAGCGGGTCGAGGCTCTGGCACCCTCCCTCTCGTATAGGCGGTCCGATATGAGCATGGCAATCCATTTCCGCTGCAAGCTGGACACGGTATCTCGCCCGTACAGCGACGTTTGCGCAGCTTGCAGTTGTCGCACGCTCGCGTGACCTTTTGGCGCTTTGGAGATCCATCAGAGCCTTCGAAGGATTGTGGGGACAGTATGTGTACACGTGCAGAGGCGGACATGTCGGGCATCTGAAAGAGACATGCCGGCGATGGCGAGGCTGAGAGATATATCCATCAGCCCATATCAGCTCAAACGGCGGAAACGAAATTGAATTTGGATATGTCTCCGGATGTGGAGAGTCCAAGATAGCGTCTTGGCGGTCCCACGGAAATGGAAGCTTCCGTCGCTAGGGGCGAAGATGCCCGTTCAATTAAAGATCCGGATGGTTCCCTTCTGTTGAACACAATCAATCTCAAAAGCCGATAACGGACTGAAAGTAACAAAAGGTGGCCTATCCGCAGGTCACAAGCAACAGCACAACGATACGTAGCCAAGAAACCGGTCCTCAGACGTCCACAATGCTTCCTGAACATTTCACTCTTAACACCGGGGCTCGCATTCCAGCTGTCGGGTTTGGAACGTAAGTGCTGCACGTCTCTCCCATGACATGTAGATTGAAAGTACTGATTGGCGGCTTAGTTGGCAGGCAGCTCCGCGTGAGGTCGAGAAGGCGGTAGAGGAGGCACTCAAGCAAGGCTATCGTCATATCGACTGCGCAGGTGAGTCCTCAGGCTGACTGCTGCAGCTCAATGGTGCAGTAAGCTGACGGCGGCCACGCCAGCAATCTATAGGAACGAGGCGGAGGTTGGAGCTGGGATCAGAAAGTCTGGCGTTGATCGAAAAGACCTCTTTTTGACCGGCAAGCTCTGGAATACAAACCATCGTCCAGAAGATGTCGAGGCAGCAGTGGACAAATGCAAGTCCTGAGATTCAGAGCGCCGGAATAGAGACTGACGCATCCACAGCCCTCAAAGACCTGGGAACCGACTACCTGGACCTGTATTTGATGCACTGGCCGGTCGCGTTTGCCGCAGGTGATAAATGGTTTCCATTGAACGACGACGGCGTCTTTAAGCTGGAAGAAATCGACCCGGCGGTGACGTACAAGGCCATGGAGAAGCTGCTATCGACTGGCAAGGTGAAGGCCATCGGGGTCTCAAACTTCAGTGGGTCTCAGAACGCCCTGCCACGAGTCTCCCGCTGACCATCTGCTCAGATATACGACGACTAGAAGATCTGCTGGGAAAGGTAGATGTCGTGCCCGCAGCAAACCAAGTGGAAGCGCATCCATATTTGCAACAGCCGGACCTCCTACGCTTCTGCCAGGATCACAAGATCCTCCTGGAAGCGTACTCCCCTCTCGGCAACAACCAAACTGGCGAGCCACGGACGGTGGACGACGCGGTAGTGCATGAGGTTGCGAAAGAGGTCGACATGGATCCAGGTGTTGTGCTTGGGAGCTGGGGGGTGCAGAGAGGTACGGTGGTCTTGCCGAAGAGCGTAACGCCGTCCAGAATCGCGTCGAATCTCAAGGTGAAAGAGCTTCCACAAGATGCTTACGAGACACTGAACAGCCTGGAAAGGCAGAAGCGTTTCAACCAGCCGCTGCGATGGGGTTATGACATTTTCCAGGAGGCTGGTGAAGACAAGGTCCGGCAGCTTGCTCAAGACTCTGCGGCGGAGAACAAGACCAAGTTTACCGTTTAGTTTTCCAGAATGTAATCGTCGATAGCATAGTAATGCATGAGTCGCTCTGCTGGGCTACAACGGTTCTCGTTGGCAAGCCATGGATAGGAGGTAAAGAGATCGAGTGTCCACGCCTTCAACGAGACGCCAAGTGTTTACCTCTAGCGCGTTCAGGTGCAGCATTTCATTGGCTCGCTTAGGCTCCAATCATCGTGTCTTTATACCAGCTCAGTTCCTTCTTCTGCACTATCGGCCTGTCTCCTTGAAACCGATCATCTTGCAACACGCAATCAAGCGATGTTGTTCTTGTCGACGTGAGAGATCTACAACAAGCCCAACTGGACGCATACACTTCGAGACAGCAAAGACACTCCTCGACGGTTGTTCAGGGGACAAGGACTCCTTCGTTGATTATTCGATGAGTTGCATACAGCATACGACGCTAAATAATGCCTGAGCTCACACTTCTACTGAAATACTCCATCTACAGCAGCGGTATGGCTTCCTTGATCAGTCCTTCGACCTCGTCTCGTACAGCCCGAGGCTCCCTCGCCGCATCAATCGAGAGCACGTCTACCTCATACTGCTTTGCCTCTTCGAGAAGGGATACTTGCGCATCGACCATCACCGGATCCATATAGTGACCTTCCCGTTTCGCCATGCGTGCTTTCAACTCGCCATTGCGATCAGTTTGCAACATCACAAAGAGCGTCTTGATGCCGGCCACTTCCTCCAATGTGCGAAGCTCGTCTCGGTATGCGCTGCGGAGCGCCGAGCAAGTGACCACCACGGCAGGCGCTCGAGTCGTGAGCAGCCGATCCATGACTGCGCCTCGAAGATGCGCCAGCCAGGAGAGTCTGTCGATATCATCCAAGGGAACGTGTTGCCGCATCTTCTCACGAGCCTGCCGAGAGTGCAACATGTCACCTTCGATGAAGGGGATGGAGAATGTTTCGCAAAGGGCTTGCGCCACAGTCGTCTTGCCGGAGCCACATGGACCACCAACGATGATTGCTGTGGGAGGCGCGACGACTTCAGGACCGGTCCACCACCTGGTCTTGAGGTGTACGATAATCTTACGCATGAGCTGTTCGTCGACAACGCCAGCGTTCTGCAAGGTGGGTGAATATGCTCGGGCCAGCTCAGTGGCGTGGGTCAGCGACTTCCGGGCCGAGTCGTTGTCATATTTACTGGCAAAGAAGTCTACGAGCTTGATCGGGGGGTTCTGCTGAGGGTTGGGGCTCGAAGCTCGCAGCCTCCGGATCCACTCGCGTTGGCCAACCTCCTCAAAGTCGAGCGCAAGTCGGAGGAGCGGCAGCAGATCGCGGGTCCAGTGGAATGCTTCATGATTGACAATGTTCATGCAGCCCGCTGGGGCTCCTGAGCAGGCGATCTCGATGCAAGCGTTAGCAACTTGATCGACAGGCAGCCACGCCGGACTCTCATCCAAGGTCGGTAGACATCCCACTGTCTTTGCCGTCTGGAAGATCATCGGAATGGCCTCGGTGTCATTCCACACTCCATGTCGCGTATCACCAATGATCTGGCCAACTCGCAAAACTCTGGCTTGAAGGCCAGTTTCGCTGGCGGCTATGTAGCAGAGATGCTCAGTCACAAGCTTGGACTGCGCGTAGCCCATACCTTGGGCATAGCTCAAGGACTCTGGTAATGCTTCCGGCACGGTAGGCCCAGGTGTTCTCGCAGTAGCACTGACAGAAGAGCAGAAGTTGAAGGCCGCTGGGTGGGATGTCTTGGTCTTGAGACACAGATCCATCAGGTTCCTGGCCCCAGCTATACAGTCAGATTCGAAACTCTCAAGAGCCTTGTTGAAGTTGACGCTCCAAGCCAGGTGGAGAACATGCGACACATGCGACAGCAGCTGGTCATATTGCTGGACGGAGAGCCCAAGGTTGTCTTTGCCAAAGTCTGCTGGCCAGGCCACGATCTTGGATCGCTGAGACAAGGTCAGCTCGTGGTATAGGCGTCGTTCCTGTAACGATCGACGGACGCGCGCCTCCGCTGATCGGATCGAAGATGCGCGAACGAGACAATAGACGGTCCGGACAGATCGTTGCGAGGCAAGTTTGGCTACAACATGAGCGCCCAACGAGCCAGTCGAGCCGGTGACGACCTGCAGTTGTTAGCCTCCCGTCAAGACCTACATCGATGCGTCACTTACAATATGCTTTCCAACAATCGTCTTCTCCACAGGCACATGCTGTGAAAAGTTTGAGTACTTCTGGATCATGTTGCGCATTCGATCCTCCACACCCAACTTCTCCATCGCTGGTTGGCCGGTCTGCAGACGGAGGATCTCGTTCGTCATCTGCTCCACCGTTGGGAAGTCGAAGACAAAGTTGCGGCCGATATTCTTGGCGTCGACTGCGAGGTTCTTGATGATGAATGAGCGGACTTGGATGGCTTGCAAGGAGTCCACGCCGAGGCTGAACAAGTCTGTGTCGTCCTTGATGGCCATGCCACTGGGAACACGCTTGAGGAACTCTGACCGCAGCATTTCCAAGAGCTTTTCGCGCGAAAGACGTAAGCTGCCGGACTGCTCGTCGGCATACATGTCGTCAATCTGGCTTGCGTAGCTCTTGTAAAACGCTGCTCGGATGACCGTACCCTTGTCCGTTCGGCGGTATTCGGCATCGCGAGGCAGGGTCCGAATCATGTCTCTGGTGAGATGCGAGTATGCGGGTACTGAAGCATTCATATTCAGAATAGCGGGCATAACAGCGTCGATGATCGCGGCATCTTCAAGGTCTGTTGTGGTAGCTGGCACGATAAAGGCACCAAGACGGGGCTTATTGGCGCCGAACACCACGGCTTCAGCAACATGTGGATTTTCTCGCAGCACCCCTTCGACCAGAAGTGGATTGGCCTTTTCTCCATTCTCCAGCACAATGGTGTCGTCCAGCCGGGCGTAGTACCTCCAAGCGTCCTCCAGCGTGGGATGCGGCTCGAATAGATCCTTGGTGGCGTAAGACCCGTCGTCACGATTAGTCGCCACCTTCGAAGGCCAGCCTTCAGTAACGACAAGTTCATAAAGGTTCGGACCTCGCAGCTCCATGCTCAGATACGGCTTGAAATGTGGAGGCACACGCAGCCAGTCCCATTGCTTGTCCTGTTGATGGTCGCGGAAAGACGTCATGAGCTGGCCAACTTCAGTGGCTCCGTAATGACCGACCAGGTTCACGCCGTTCTCCACCAGCTTGTCACCGATGGGCTTCGGACAGGCTGAACCGCCGAACATCACGATATCCAGCCGCGCTAAAGCCGCAAGCCCTTCGGTGCTCTCCGCGAGTAGCTTGAGCGCATACGGTACTCCATAGAGGATGGCGACTTCTGGATGACCTTGTAGTGTGGAGAGGAGATTTTGGCTTGCAAGCGGAAGTCGAGCATTGTAGATGTAGATATTTCGTCTGGAGTGGATGGCCCGGAACAAGCAGCAGATGCCGTGGTTGTGGTAAAGTGGCAGTGTGATGAAGCCCACCAAGCCAAAGTTCTGGGAGTATGTGTAGAGCGAAGCTCTGTGTGTCTGGTAGATTGGCTTGGGAAGGCCAGTCGATCCTGATGAGTGGATAATGAAGGAGATGTGCTCAGTCTCCCTTCGAGGCTCGAGAAGCGCGGGCTGCAACCGGGCGCCAGCAGGCAGACTCGTAGCATTGCAGATGGGAGCTGCCTGCACGTTGGGCAACTGTGCGACAACTGCTGTCGCTACCGCGGTGAACTGGTCGTGATACAGCAGCGCCGTAGCTTGCGTGCTACTCAACAGCGATTCGTGGGCTTCCTCAGTGATCCTCGTCGATAGCAGAAGTGCGGAATGTCCTAACCGAGAGATAGCGAGGAAGGATATCAGGTAACTCAGGTCTGACTGCCCGAGGATGCCGACAACTTGGACGGGATCATCTGATGTGACTCGTTGTCTGATTAAAGTGCTGTAGTGCACTGCTGCTCTCTCGACAAGCTCGTCCAGTTGTCTCGGGGTGTAGTCGACGTACGCAGTCCCCTGCTCTGGATACGACACGATGGGTTGATCGTGGCCAGACTGATGCGCTCGCAGTCGAATGAGTTCGTCAATAGTCCGCGGTGTGGCCTTTTCCAGATCTTCCTGAGGGCTGTCTGTTCGGCTTATCGATACTTCAACAGCGGTCTCGATGGGTTCTTTTGAAGGCCGGGCGGCCGGGATGTGATCCACTGCAGTAGCCATTGCACTATTCGTGGAGAGAGGAAAGAAGTGGCGGCAATGCTCAGAGCGGTACTAACAGTGATGATATAGTCACTCGTCCCATCCCTCGCCAGACCGATGATCTTTGGACCTGGCCAACTCCACAGACGTGTTGCATATCCGACGGCACAAGCTACGATGGACACCTCATGATCAGCCTCTCTTCGGCTTTTGCTTCTACTTCTCGTTTTCCCCACGAGACGATCGGAACCCAGGTTGAACCATTTTCAGGAGCCCTGGCAGCGGAGAAGAGTCTGGATATATCTCCGTGCCCGATCGAGTTTTCCGCGATTCCGCCAAGGAAACTATGCTCCAAGGCTATCCCATATCCAAGATTCCACGACTGATTGCTTGATCCATTGCCTCCCAGACGTCCTTGGCAAACACATCGGACTGCTGTACCGCCCATGCTTCGGTGAGCACATGGCGTTCCCAATGGACAATCGTCCCCAGACTGCTACTCCGCAAACGAAGCATGTGCGGAGAGTATATAGCTGCGGCGAGTATCTGGCTCGATACCTCTCTCACTCACGCCCAACAGCTTCATCCTCCATTCTCAGAGGTCTTCTGTCTACCACATCCTGCCTCATCCAACACCTGCCATACAGACTTCAATCATCATGGTGGGGCCCAACAAGGACCCCGTGTCCATCAGTGCCATTGGCAAGGACATTGAGAAGTCGAGCAAGGTTGAGGATGCCTACAACAAATACGCCAACGTCGGCTTCAGCGCGGAGGAGGCCGACTTCTTCGACAACTTCCCAGAAGAGAAGCATCGAAAGATGCTGCGCAAGATCGACTTCCGCCTGGTGCCTTGTTTGGCGCTCCTCTACCTCTGCGCCCACATCGACAGGGCAAACGTTGGTCTTCCAAACTTTTGTCTCGGTCCGTAACACGATGGCTGATGCTTCGTCCTTTAGATCGGAAATGCGAAGATCGAAGGCATGCTCGAGGAGTTGCGCATGGAGGATATCCAATACAACATTGCGTACATTTATCATTGTACCCTTCCCAGGGACGTCTGCTGACCATATCGGCCAGTGTGAGCGTGTTCTTCGTCCCGTATATTTTGCTGGAGGTCCCTTCGAACTTGCTTCTCAAGAGGTTCAAGCGACCGTCAACATACCTCGGGATTCTAGTCACTTGCTGGGGCATCGTGATGACCTGCACCGGGTTCGTGAAGAACTTTGGCGGTCTGCTGGCTTGCCGTCTTATCCTCGCGGTCTTTGAGTCGGGCTTCTTCCCAGGTGAGCGGAGCTGACGCCATCAACACAGAAGTGCTGCTGACAAACTACACAGGCGCTGTCTATCTAATCACACGTTGGTATGCTCAGCGTCAACTCCAGCTTCGGGTTGCCTTGTTCTATTGCGCCAGCGCTCTGAGCGGTGCCTTCTCTGGCTTGCTCGCTTTCTGCATCGCCAAAATGGACGGCACTGGAGGCATCTCTGGATGGGCATGGATCTTCATTCTCGAGTAAGTCAACTTTATGCTCAGCTTAGAGAAAGCTCCGCTGAGTCGTTTTGCAGAGGGATTGCTACGGTCTTCATCGGCGCTGCTACTTTTGTAAGTCTGCATACTATATCAACGCCTTGGGTGTAACGCTCACAGCAATCAGCTCGTCCTACCCGACACCCCAGAGCTCTCTTGGAAATGGCTCAACGCTGAGGAGATCCGGTACCTCGAGCTCCAAACTGTTATCAAAGAAGGTGGACGCTTCCATGAAGGCGAAACCAAGGACAAATTCAAATGGGTGTACCTGAAGGATCTCCTGATGGACCACAAGGTCTGGCTCCAAGCCTACATCCTTTTCACCGTGAGTCTTTGCTGCCCTTCGATGACGGACGCACATCTGACACATCATCCTAGGCTTCCGTCTGCGCATATGGACTCAAATTCACGATGCCGTCTATCACACTTTCGATGGGATTCACCAGCGCCCAAGCCCAGCTCCTCACCATTCCACCATACGTCGCAGGCGCCATTAGCGCCATCACCTTCAGTTTGTTCTCCGACCGAGCTGGCTGGCGGTTCCCCTTCGTCGCAGGTCCGCTCTCCATCATCGTGGTCGGCTTTGCCATCCTTCTTCCCCTCGCTCCGAACATCACGAACGAGATCGCCGGCTGCTACATCGGTGTGATGCTTATATGCATTGGCCAATACCCAACCAACCCTGCCGGCAGTGCATGGATCTCCGGTAACCTGGCCGGCGACACCAAGCGGGCGATGGGCATTGCATTGAACATTTGTCTCGGCAACTCAGGCGGCCTTCTGGGATCATACATGTTCTTGGACAGCGAAGAAGAGGAGGGTTATCCGACCGGGTTCGCGATTGGCATCTCGCTCGCTGGGCTTGCGGTGATCGCCTCCGCAGTCCTTGAGTGGTCATACTGGAGCGCAAACAAGAAGAAGGCCGCGTTGGATGAGGATGAGATTCGAAGGCAGTACACTGACGATCAGCTTCTCAGGTTGGGTGACAAGAGCCCCTTGTTCAAGTACAAGCTCTAAAATGGGACGAAGCAACGACAGGAAGATGTGGTGATGATGATATGTAGCCGTCGGTACTCAGCGTTTGAATACGAAGCCTGCTCAGTCGCTCCAACGGAGTTGGGTGCGTGTTGTACTTTCGATGGGGTCTCTCGCAAGACAATGTCCAAGTCTCCTTCTAAACCTCCTCTTCATCATGATAGCTGGGTGAATTGTCATGATGTTGAGAAGCATGCTCTTCTGATCGGGATCCTTGTCTCCCCAACAGTGCCGCATATCATAGTAAATTTCACATTTGAGACTGACAAGCACACGCTCAGTCCACTTCAGTCAACCAGCCATCCACGCGGCACCGTAGCAGCATTACTGCAGTGTAGTTCGACGGCATCATCCGAATCATCTTTGACATCGGAACTCCCATCCCAAATCTTATCGTAGATAAGATCGGGGCTTGGCAGATACTTTACTATTCGCCTCTAGTGCCAAATGTCACTTCGACAGGTAGATTACAAGCCAAATCTCAGGTCGCTACCGCTCTAGAGAAGACAGACTGATTATTTCACACATGGACAGGCGTCCAGTGCCGAAGTTTGGGAGCTTCAAACCGAGGGCTACGGTGAAACAGTCTGACCCAAATCAGCCCCCTGCACAAGAAAGACCCAAGCATGGTTCGAGGGAGAGAACACCTCCGAGAGATCACGAGCGCAAGCGACGAATGGACCGTAACAACTACGATCGGCACCACAGACCAAAGGAGCGCGAACGACCAAGGAATGAAGGCCATGCACGCCACTCTCCGAGCACCAAGATCCAATCTTCTACTTCAGGGCTGGCCAAGAACGAGTTCGAGGGGAGCAAATATTTTATCGTCGACCGCCGGGGGGACCTAAAGAATATCGAGTTTGGCCGTCTCCACCGCTACTCTGTGCCCAGCTATCATCGAGTCGGCAGCGGGAGAGTCTTAGGCCATGCTGCTGGATCAAAAATCGATCGGAAGGAGAGCACAGAAAGCGCAATTGTTCTCGCTGCACGAGACTCATCTGAACATTCCGCTCGACCTTTGACCGACCCGAAAGCAAGGACGAAGAAGGGAGAACGGGCACTGAAGCTGGTCTTATCGGATGCACCTATCGCTCCGCTTGACGAGATCGACAGCGACTTCATTCAACTTTCTAAAAGTTCTGGTCCTTTGAAGCGCAAGCGGGACTTGGACGAGGACAATGCCGGCAACGTCGAGGTCGACTACCGTTCCATTGAAGGCAAGGCGAAGGAGCCCACCCAGCCGGATGATCAAGATCTCGAATTTGAAACTGATTCAGATGTTATTGAGCCCGAAGATATGGCCGTTGTTGAAGCTCGCAACAAGAGCGCAGAACTGTCACGTAGGACGAAGGAGGATCCAAAGAACGTGGATGCCTGGCTAGAACTGGTTCGGCATCAAAGCCGAGTAGTCCACCCAAAAGCAGACCATGCTTCTCTGAGCAATGCAGAGAGTCGCACGCTGGCAGACATGCGGGTGTCAATATACGAGCGAGCACTGAAATATGTTGTGGTCGGGACGAGCGGCTACGAGGACTTGTGGCTTGGTTTATTGAAAGAAGGTGCCATCCTTTGGGAGACTTCTAAACTCAATTCCAAATGGGAAACAGCGCTGGAAGACTGTCCAAGCAGTATCTCACTCTGGGCCCGGTACCTTGAGTTTCTTCAGACGAACGCTACGTCGTTCAGCTTCTCAAACTGCAAGGAGGCCTACGTGCAGTGCCTTGGTGTCCTCGACAGTGTAGACCCAATCTGGAACGAGACCAGAGCTTCCGCAAAGATTGACACATTCCTACGCTTGGCCGGCTTCGTGAGGGACGCTGGCTTTGACGAACTTGGCTATGCATTGTGGCAGATTTTACTGGAATACCACTTCTTCCGGCCTCCGAATTTAGCCTCCGACAAAGAGGCCGAACTCGCGGCGCTCGAAGAATGGTGGGAAGCTGACGTGCCGAGGATTGGCGAGAACGGTGCTCTTGGCTGGGACCAATTCTATGCAAGCGGCAATGTCGCTGATGGCAAGCGCCTAACACGGTTGCCACTCAGCGGCAGGAATACGGCGGGGTCTTCGCTGCAAGCCCGGCTGAAATGGGAGGCAGAGGCAATTTATAAGCTGCATCTCCCTGCGGCCACGGAGGATGAAGAAGTCGACGATCCTTACCGACATGTCTTGTTCTCAGATGTCCAAAAAATTGTCACGCCTATGCTATCGGGATTAGCAGGACGGGTCGTCCTCGAAGCGTTCCTGTGCTTCATGCAGCTACCAGCTTTATCTTGCGGGGCTGATGGAGATATCCTCGCTGTGAAGTGGGAAGCTGATCCTCTTATTCGAATGGGCCACAGTGGTCGTAGCGGGTCCGTCGGTGAAGCATCTGCTTCGCCCACCACAGTTTATCCGGCAATTTGGAGGCAGTGCTGGACATCATACGACCTCTTCTCCACTGACCACTTTGCAACACTCAGCGAAGATGCTGCATGTTTCGTCGAGCGTGTTTTCGCTGCAGTCCTCGGCCACTCAGAGGATGAACATCTCGCCGAATACTACCTCGCTTTTGTCCTTCATCATGATCCTGATTCCGCGGCGAAGCATGCGAAGCGTCTACTCAAGGCTTCTCCAACAAGCTTGAAACTCTATAACGCTTACGCCTTTATCGAAGCAAAGCTCGGTAGAATGGAGAAAGCAGTCAGTGTGTGGAAGGCCGCGCTGGCGGGCAGAGTCCACAATGGCGACACGTACGACGTAGATGCCACTCTGCTCTGGCATAGCTGGATGACTTTCTCCTTGCACAGCGGCAACGAAAACGAAGCGTTGGCCGTCATCCTCGGCATGGCCAACGGCAATACTACGGCGCCGAGTATGCTCCTTCCGGCGCCCGAAAATGTTTCTGCTGCACAGTGTCTGAAAGCCACGCGCCACCTTGCGGAAGGCTTCAGTGTCATGCTTTCAAGGCACAATCATCCGCATGCAGTTCAGTATGTCGACTGCTTGCTTTGGCTCACCTACGTGACCGCCGACTGTATCGCCGTTGATGCCGCTCTCTCAATCTTCACAGAGTATGCCAGTAAGCTGTCTCTCTCCTCCGGGACATCACATGCAGGGGTTGAACTGCTACACCAGGCAAAGGCAAGACTCATCGTGTACCATATCGACAAAAAGCGACCATACAAACCTGCATTCCTCCGCTCTGAACTCACCTCCAGCATGACACACTGCCCAGAAAACAGCATTTTACATTCCGCACTGTCAACCGTGCGTGGTCAAACTGTCATCGACGATCGACTGCGAGATGCTGCTCAGATGAAGCTGGTTTCTGGAAAACACGAGCTCGGGCTTATATCTTCAGGTCACAGAATTGACGAAGAAGTAAGAAGATTCAACAATGGAGCTGCAACATCACACTCTGTGCGATCAGCTTTCTCCTCCGCTCTCCTCGACAGTGGCAGCGCTGTCAAGCCCTCGACCGCTCTCTGGAATATGTGGCTGGATTTTGAGTTTCGAGTATCCGTGAAAAGCAGGTCACTCAACAGTCGATTCCGCGGCAAGCGAACATTAAGCCAAAACGATACGCTTCAACTGAAGAAGGTCTTCTATAACGGCATGCGACATTTGCCGTGGAGTGCGATTTGGGTTGTTCGCGGCCTGGATCTCCTCGTCGAGCTCGGTGGGGTAGAAGATGAAGAGTGTCAGCGAGTTCTTGAAGTGTCTGAGGAGAGGGAGCTGAGGATGCGCTACTTGTCCGGTGAGCTTTGAGGCATAAAGGCATCCGCAGAAGCCGTGAGCCACGCTTGATTTGAGGACCAGAAGGCTCTTTGTAGCGCTGATGCAGCCCAGCGTAGTCATTGATTGCGTTGCACACCTGGACCTGGCACTGTGGTGAAGACTGCGTGACCGTCCGATACACTATATATACAATTAAGCTACCAGAGCTGACTATGCAGCCAGCCTTAGCATGAGCACCTCTATACCATCCCACATGCTCATCCCTTCCGCTGTGCCTGGAGGGCATCGACGCGCCTATCCTCGAGAGCGCGGGAACGCAGCAGCCCGCGTTTCAGGTCTCGAAGATCGCTTTTACACTCCTTGGTCATATCGTCATCCTCGCCCCCGGTTATCGTCAACAATCTCACAGCTTCCTCCAGATTGGGCTGCGCCTTTTCGGCGTCCCCTTCTTCGCCGTAACGGAAGCCAAGCATGAACCTCACCTGAGCCTTGTAGAGCTGCATGGCTGGTTCTTGATCGCATAACTGCACCATGCGCTCCATCAACCGGATCTGTTCTTTGATCGGTGTGCTTGACAGTTCGGGAGCACCGTTAGAGTGCAGCTTAGTCACGATTTTCCACAGGCCATCCAGCTCGATTCTGCGAAATTCACTTTCATTGAAGTATTCGGTACCTGGAACGCAGGCCGCACAGGTACAAACGAAACCGTACGAACAGATTTGTTCCTTTCGCATGTCGTATGGTTGCATTTCCCTCACATACGGGACCAAGATCTCTGCGCCTGCAGGTATGTCTCTTCTTGCTCGTAGGAACAAATCTTGTCTCTGATCCCAGTCGTGAACTGCATTCGGTACACAGCTGTGATTGACTCGACTAGTATCCCGAGAACTTCATGAAAGCCTCGTATATATCTGGACCAGGAACCTCGTGGGGATGGTCGTCAGTCGAAGATTTTAAGTCGCTTTCAATTGTTGGCGATCCAAGTGTCAACATCGTCCGCTCCGAGATAACGACTTCACCCGCAGGAATGAAACGGGTAGAAAACATGCCTTTACCCCTACCGTTACCTGCGGCGACGATTGGCGAAGCCTTGATCTCCCAGGAGCGTCCGGCAGCTGTGTCCGGACTACCTTCCAGGTTGTGGGAACTGCTCTGCGACGAAGTGCTTGATGGTCGGGATTGAGCTCTGTTGGATCCAGTGGCATCTATGGATACACGCTGCTCTGCCCGACCTCTACCATTCTCAGTCTCCCAAGTCGTGCTGCTGTTGGAGGACATGATGCTCAAAACGGCTGGGCCGAATGGGATTTTATACTCGAGAAGGCTGATCGTCCCTTGATTAATAGGTCTGTGGAAAATATGGTGGATGTCTTGAGCAACTGCCGTTTCAACGCTGTGTAAGAATCCTCGACTATGCATAGCAAACGCTTGGAGTCGCACTGCAGTCATGTTGATTACGACAGAGGGCACACCAGTCCTCATGGAAGCAAAAATGCATGCCAGCAGCGCGGACGTATTTTAACGACTATAGTCAACGCTGACTCTGACAGCGAACTTCCGAACAACTTGCCCTCCGAGGCGGCAGTGCATCCGGGCGGCGTCGCAGCGGTAGACGGTCTCTAACGATACGATCGGCGAAGCTGTAGACCATCCATCAATTGGCTGTACCTCTGAATGACAGTATCGCTCAATGGGAACTTTATGGGAGGTGGTTGACCTCAGCTGATCCAACAAGGCGAGAGTGTAGATGGTATTAGGCCCGAGCGGCGACGAAAACCTTCCAAGTATCACTCTAGCACCGCATCAAGCGCCTGTCCCTGGCACATCTCGTAGTACACACCTCGCTCTGCTAGAAGCGCCAAATGGGTGCCCGCTTCTATGATCCTGCCGGCTTGGAAGACGTAAATGCAGTCCGCGTCTTTTACCGTGCTCAGTCGATGCGCCACGGCGATGGTGCTCCGTCTCCCGTCCTTCGCAGCCTCCATCAACGCCGCTTGGACGACCTTCTCGCTCTCGGTATCCAGAGCCGAAGTCGCCTCATCGAGCAATAGAATCTGTGGATCCCGGATAAGTGATCTTGCGATGGCGACTCTCTGCCTTTGACCACCAGATAGCTGCGCGCCTTGATGTCCGAGCGAAGTTTGTAGTCCTTCCGGAAGAGAGCGGACAAAGTTCAGAACGTTTGCGTCTTTCAAAGCTTGCTCAACTTGCGCCAAGGTTGGCTCACCAATTTCAACTGCTCCCATGGCGACGTTGTCGTGAATGCTGCCCGAGTACAAGACAGGTTCTTGTTGCACGAGTGCCAGTGTGCGACGATGTTGACGAACGCCGATGTCGGTAATGGGCCGTCCGTTGACTGCTATGAACCCAGCGGTGGGATCATAGTAGCGCGCAAGCAGAGATATCAGGGTCGACTTGCCGCAGCCGGATGGTCCAACGAAGGCGACAAATTTGCCTGCGGACACTTGGACGTCAATGCCCTTGATCACCTTGGCTTGCGGCCTCGAGGGATAGGCGAACTCCAAAGCCTCACACGTGACGGACAATGGCTGACCGCGCTCTTTCTCATCTAGTGCTGGTGGTAAATCACCGCCGTCTTCAATCTTTGGGAGTCGATTTCGCAGCCTGGTGATTCCAGATTGCAACTATTAGCGAAAATCGGAAGGAGGAAAGCAATGCTTGTCAGACTCACCAGAACATGTAGTTTGCCGCCTTGGTGGCTTTCGTGATGCTAGAAGTGTACTGGAAGAACTGTGCTGCATTTTCTCCTCCCAGGATGACAGCCACGAAAACGACGAAGAACTTGCCAGTACTGTATTCACCAGTGGAGACTAGCTTCCCGCCGTACCTGCAAGTCTGGTCAGCAACGGACGGAATCCCTTTAGAAGATTTTCAAACTCACCAGAAACCCAAGGCCATGGCCAAAAAATTGATCGACTGCGTCACAGAGTACCAAAGCATGGTCCAAACGAGTGCCTTGGCAGATTTACCAGCGACATCAGAGAGCCTTTCGTCGTATTGCCGCAACACAGTCTTCTCGAGTGTCAACGACGCTACAGTGCGTATCGCAGCAACAGCTTCGGCAGCCAACGCGGAACTGCTGGCGAACCTTTTCACAGTGTCGTTGGCGAGCTTAGTATCGAGCCGGACACGTGCGTAGCCGCTGGCCAGCATGGGTGGGAGGGCAGCGAAGGTACACACAAGGCCGAGCTTCCAGCCGTAGGCAACGCCTAGGATGGCGCATGCGATGACTGTGACCACGTTGTTCAAGATAATGCCACTGTTGAATCCAAGAGCTTCAGTCAGATCGGTAGGGTAGGTCGACAATCTGGATGTGATGGCTCCAGTGGCGTTAACCTCTTGGTCGAAGAACGTCGAATCCTGCTTCGCGGTGTTGTTGAATAGCTCCAATCGATGACGATGTGTAATTTTCTGAAAGTTCAATTGTCAGAAATATGAGCACAACCGCAATAGGAGTCACCGACCTGCGCGATGATGTTGGTCATTATCCCAATCGTGAAGTAAATTGCGAGATTTGCAAGTGCGACCACCTGTAAGAGCAGAAGAGGAGAAGGTTAGCACTTCCACGTTGAGAAGGTAGTCAGAAAGGAGGCCTACGAAGAACATCAAGGCCCAAAAGGATGCTTCGTCCACGGCAGCTTGGCCGCGCAATTGGAAAGTGCCGAACATGCGCGAAAAAAGGACTGCTAACGCAGGCCAGGTGCCACCTTTGGAATTCGTCAGTTGCCACTCGTATGGTCGCTGAGATGCCCTAGCTCACCTGCACACAAAGAAGCCAAGCCCAGTAAAGAGTAGAAGGGCCAAAGGTTGCGCTGCTCGCCGACCAGCAGAATGAGACACTTGATCAAGCTGTAACCCATCGTCTCGTGCCTCTCACCACTCTGCCCGTCGTCTTCGCGGTCGACCTGGCCAGTGTACTTACGGTCCAGCTTCTCCAAGTCGTATTCAGCTTTGTCGGTAGCCTGGTGATCCGCCAGTCGCTCGTCGGGGGGGATCTCTTCGGTGGGGCCTTGCTCGAGGTTCTGAGCACGGACAAGTCTCGCATAAGCACCATTCATCTCCATCAGGGCTAAGTGAGTCCCTTGCTCCACTATCCTGCCCTGTGATATGACAGCGATATTGTCTGCCCTCTGGACCGTTGAGAGCTTGTGTGCAATCACAAGCGTGGTACGGCTTTTGCTGACATTGTCCAAAGCTTGCTGGACGATCCTCTCAGCTTTGGGGTCCAGGCTGCTTGTGGCTTCATCAAGGAGGAGCACTTTCGGGTCGGAGCAGACAGCTCTTGCAATTGCAATTCTTTGCTTCTGACCACCTGAAAGCATCCTTGCACGCTCGCCAATCTCGGTCAGGTAGCCTTGCGGTAGCTCTTCGATGAAGTCGTGAGCAAAGGCAGCCACGCAGGCCTCTCGAACCAGCTTCATCTTTTGCTCGGGAGATTCGCTCTCATGCTCCGTACCGATGAGTCCGTGGCAGACGTTGTCGAACACGGTGCCACTAAAGAGCACAGGCTCTTGTTGTACTATTTGCACTCGGTTTCGTAGCCATTGTACGTCCAAATCCCGAATATCTTGCCCATCCAGATATATGCCTCCGTCCGTATGATCATACCACCGCTCCAACAATCCAACGATTGTACTTTTCCCGCACCCACTAGCGCCGACAAGTGCTGTGGTCTTGTTCGCGGGGATGTCAAGGGTGAGATCGTTGAGGACCTGAGTATCCGGTCTTGCTGGGTATGCAAAAGACACTCCTCGTACTTCAATCTTCCCCTCGCAGTTGGCTGGTTTGGCTCCTGCGTCAGAATGGGGATTGATGGCAGATCGCCTGTCGATCACAGCGAACAGCTCGCTAGCGGCTGTGACGGCTTTTGAAACATCCATCACCTGGAAAGCAATCTGCGACAACGAAGTCGATGCTAGGACGACGGCAAAGATGACACTATCTCTTTGTTAGCATTGAACTGGCATGCACTTCCAACTTCGCTTACGTGACAATCTTCCCCGTCTGAGTGATCTCCCCAGAGGCATACATACGAACGCCCTGCCTGTGGCTTAGATTAGTACTGTCCGCGAGACGGTTGGGGAGCATGTGGACTCACCAGAACGCCAGAGCGTATCCAGAGTATACGCAGAAGAACTGCGTAGAGAAGAGTATACCATAAACGGGACCTGTCGTCTTGGTAAGTAAAGACTCTACTTGCACTGATGACCACACTGACTCTTCTTCATGCCTTCCTTCTCCCCCTCCGCAAGATGCTTGTCGTATCGCTCGCTCATGAGTGGTTGCAGCCAGAAAGCCTGTACAGTCGGGATGGTCGCGAACATTTCCTCCGCAAGCAGAGAAGCTCGAGAGTACGCCGCCATCACTCGAGCTTCGATGGGAGCGTCAATGGCAAAGCAGAGGACAGTGGCCACCATGATCACGGGTACAATGGCAAAGGTAATGAGGGTGAGTTTCCACTGCACGACAAAGGCAACAACGAAGGCTGCAAAGAACAGCGAGACGTTGGATACCGTCAAAGTCAATTTCTCCGAGATGCCGTTGTTGATAATGTTGGCATTTTGTGTAACTTTGATGGACGGAGAGCCGGCGTCATTCGCCTCGAAGAAGCTTATCTCCTGTCGTAGAAGGCTTTGCAGGAAGTCAAGACGGAGGGCCTTCGTTGTTCGGATCGCCGCGAGTGAAGAGAACAAGCTGTGGATGTAGCTGAGCGCGAACTTGGCGATGAACAGGTAGACAAAGTACAGCCTGCGAAAGGGTGTCAGTCAAGTAGTAGAAAGAAATGCAATTCCAAGACAACGTACGCCAGCCGATCGACTTCATGCATGTAGTCCGCAGGAGAAGAGTTGCCGCTGGCAAATCGTGTAAATGTTGTGACGAATTGGCCAAAGACGATGTTCATGAGGGGCAGAGTGGTCCCAGCGGCAATGGCGGCGATGAAGGATACGAAATAGAGGGTCCGGCTGGTGCGGTCGGCGTAGGAGAACACACGCTGCCATGTATCAGCCAAACCAAGTCATAACGCCATATTGATGGGTACTACTTACGAGGTAGCTCTTGATACCGGCGGGCTTTGCCGGTTCGTTGTCCACGTCGGAGGTGTCGCTCCCGTCGCCCTTAGTCTTGCTTTTGGACTTCATGGTGGGTAGTGTTGGCAATTACTCGAAGGGAGGACTAGGAGGACACGAAGGACGAAAGGGTTGTGCCGATGAGCTGTTTTGAAGAAGGAGTGGACTGTTTACTTAACTGCTCATACCTACGGGCCCCGCGGCCACCGATGGGCGCACATACTTGCAACTGCTGCTGCCAATCGATGCAGACTGTGCCATACGCTAGAGATTGATCCGCTCGCTATATCGTGAGTCGCGAGCAACCGGCGGTGAATGCGAGGATGAAATGACATCCAGGTACTAACTTGTGACAGGGAGTTGGAATCGACGTTCGTGTTACTAGATTCGGATGCATGGACCAGTCTTGCACGTGACCTTGGCCCAATCACAGCACACCCATCACCCCATCATGCTCATCCATCGGCGTCCGCGGGCCCCGAAACGCCTTCGACACCAATTCATTCGACTTTTCAAGTGATTTTGGGTGACAGGAACGACGGCTGAGGAGATTTGACATCTTGCCGAAGCTATGTGCACGATCCAGTCATCATCCGTCCAACGAAAAAGTTGGTATCCTCGAGGCTCTGTTTGATGCGCTTCTCAAAGGAAGATGTCGACTGAGATGCAGCAGGACGCCTCTGCCAAGCGAGCTGTAAGATCTCTTGAACACCTTCTGACGACTGCTCACTAACATCCTGAAGTGCGATAATTGCAGGACTCGCAAAACTCGTTGCGACAAGGGCGCTCCATGTTCTCATTGCAAGACTAGCGGCTCTATCTGCCGAACCTCTACCACTCAGAGCAGTGAGCCTCGATCCCGAGTGATCATCTCGAAAGAATAGTGCGTCTTCCCATGCCCCTCGCGCTTTGATAGGAGTAACAACTGACAATAGACCAGCGAGAAGAAGATCGACCTCATTGGGGACCGTCTCGTCAGCATCGAGAAGCTGTTGAAGCAACAGCATGGACGTCAGCCAGAGAATGAGAACCCTACTCGATCGGCGGAATCCCTGTTGACGCCATCGTCAATTACCACAGCCACCGCCTCACCGAACTCATCGAACGTGGATGCCACTTTTGGGGCTGCCACAGCAGGCACTCATTCTGCAGCTGCAAGCACCACGATCGAACAGGCTGTTGGGAAAAGTCCTGGTGTATATCAGGATGCTGAGCTTGCCACTGCTTTGGCCTCGCTGAAGGACATGGTCAGCCAAGTTGATGAAGCTCCCAGCTCGACAGACCTCTCGAGCTTCCAGCAAGAACGGGGTGACTGCGCCGCTCCCACGGAAGTGGAGATCACGCAACTCCAGGCGCATTTCGGGGGTAAGTCTACAGAAGTCCGCTTGTCTCGTCAGCGTTGCTCAGTGTCACTCATGTGCAGTGGTCCCCCGCGCATACAGTCATTCACTGAAACTTTCTCTCATAAGGCAGTATCACACTTGCGTTCAGCCCCGGCCTGACTGTGGCAGAGCTCAAGGACAAATGCGACAGTGTTTTCAAGTACACCACACCACGAACAACCATCAGACGCCTTTATGTGTATGGAGTACTGCGATTCCTGTGCCAGGAGCGAGGTGGACTTGATGGGGATCCGGCATTTGCGCAGCGCTGCAAAGATTTGAGCAGATTCTTCACTGCTAAGATTGGTGAGGCCTTGGGGGATCTGAGAATGATCGTACCAGCGACTGCAGAGGCAGCTGCGGCGTTGATCATGGTGGTGAGTTCTGCGCTGGGCTAGAACCGAAGCCTGCTTATAATGTTGCACAGGCCGGCTCTGCCGAATCGCCCTATAAGCCTCATCTAGCAAGGACCCTCAGCTCGCACGCCGCATCCATTGTGCTCTCGCTTGGCTACCACCGAATTTCAACGATGCAATCAGACCCAGAGCCCGTCCGACAGAGCAAAATCTTGCTATTTTGGATGGTATATTGGGTCGACTCCAGCTTCTCCATTCATCTAGGCCGCGAACCCGTCATCCGCCACTACGACGTCACAGTGCCAAGGATATCACATGGCTCGGTCCTCCCAAGCAGCTTCGTTGACGCTTTCAACTACTGCATTCGCGTCAGCAGCCTGAAATGTCAAATTGTGGAGCAGCTCTACAGCCCTTTGGCTTTGCAGCAACCTCTTAATGATCGCAGAAAGCGCGCCTCGAAACTCATGGAGCAAATCAATGAGGTCTGGGCTTTGCGTGAAGGGGTGGGTCGTAGTCTATCTGTCGGGGTGGATGGTAGCTAATAGAGTCTCTTAGGCGCCAGCTTCCGTCGCTGATGACATTGATGCCGACCACGTCAGCCTCTATATCCTTATGAGAACATCGGACGCCGTGTCGCACTACAGTACGATGTAAGTCAGGCACTTGCAACACAAGAAGACAACGAGCTGCTGATTAGTCTCACTATCTAGTGCCCTCATTCAACATGCAACGATATCTTCCGCGAGCGAGGAGTCTCCGGCACTTGACTCCGCTCGAAAGGCTCTGAATCTAAACATCGATGCATGGCGGCTGTACGGCCATTTTCCGGATTTCATCTGGTCAGGCCATTGCTACTGGTACGCCAATCCGCTCCTTCCTCTTGATGCGATACTGACGCAACCTAGGACGTTGCTAAAAGCTCCACTAACTCCTTTCACCGTCGTTTTCGGTCATATCATAGCTCATCCCTTCAATACCCACGACGACCTCCAGCTGCTTGCCGATTGGGTCGAGACGTTGAAGCAGCTGCGGCGTTTTTCTGGAGGCATGGTCAAGCTGCACAAACTTTGCGACATCTTCTGCAAAGTCGCCGCCCTGTATGTAAGAGCGAAGGGAAACGAGACCTCCACTATTCGCTCCACCAACGGCGCTTGGGTGGTCAATGCAGACAGCCATATGCTGGCTCCTCAGTATCAGGACCATGCATATAACAACGCAGCTACCATGGACTTCGACTCCGACTGGATAGGGCAGCCAGCAGTCAACGACATTGACCAGTACCTTTCAACCTTTGGACTTGCGCCTACCGGCACTGCAAACGGTTACGGCATGTCTGGTGGAGACTTCGATCCGAGCTTCTTGAATGACTGGTATCAGGCAAACGGGTCATTGATGGGCTTTCTGGAGCAGGACTTGTTGTTTCCAGAAGGACAAATGGGAGACTTTGTGCCTGGTGCTCCGGGATGAAGTGCGAGTGGAACGGCAAGGATTGAGAATTAAATGAATGGACGTCACGATCACGTGCAGTCTCGTTGAGTGTTCTCGGCGGTGCGTGCGGTGTGCTGGGGATGCAAAATGGCGGTTGCAGGCAGTGTCACGAAAGACTACGGATGGGAAGAGGTTCCGTGTCGGCGCCATCAAAAGAACAGCTCCAAGGTAGCAAGGAATCATGGCATCCTTCGAGCTGGTTTTGCAGCAGACAACACGAGTATGTACATCAAGACATTCATCCAGTTGTGTCACAGGGGTTCCATGCGAACATCGTGCAAGGTTTATAGAAAGAGACACGATTGTGTAAAGGCCTCTCGACAAGAGCGACAGCAAGAAAATGTGCAGCACCCAATCGGCTTGCTGTCACGCTGCCGAAACGTGCGAGAACAAATTTATTAGACTTCAGGCTTCATTTTAGTCGATCGCCTTGACTTGTTGGCCCTCCGAATCGGAGCAGACACTCACTTTCTAGCCCCGCCATGGGCGGTACCGCTCAATCAGATCCAACAGATCCAAAGAAAAGTGTATGCCTCGGCTCTTGGTCGTCCGTTGTTGGCAAACCGTCCATACGAGAATGGCCGAATGGGGCTTAGTCGGCCGGTCGGCGTCGGAGTCGGAACTTCAAAGCCTCGTCAGCGCTTTCGCTTTCACATGTCTGACGAAAACGCCGATGGCGACTTGATATATGAGTACTCGCGCCACGCCGTCTCGCCGTGACCAACACATGGCCATCGACTAATTCAACGAAACACCATCAATGGCATGTCCGATGGCGAGTAATGCCGGCGAAATGCCGGCCAACCACCCAACCACGGCCCATAGCAGCGAAAAGATGGAGGAAGTACCCATCCCGCAGCCTCAACCCCGGTTTCTGGTTGGCAACCTCTTCGAAATGGATCCGGACTTCCCCTCACGATCAGTTCAACGGATGGCCAAAACGTATGGAGAGATCCTGCAACTTCAACTTCCCGGGCGGCGGATTATCGTCGTCTCTTCACAACGACTAGCCGACGAAGTCTGCGACCAGGAACGTTTCTTCAAAGAACCGTCTAGGGTTCTGAGAGAGCTACGGCCATTGACCGGAGATGGCTTGTTCACCAGTGCCCACAAAGATGGACGAGCGATGAAGAGGGAGGAGAACTGGTGGAAAGCTCATCGATTACTGGTCCCTGCATTCGGTCCGCTCGGATTGAGAAAAATGGCAGAAGATATGATTGACATCTCGGCACAGATGATGTTGAGGTGGGACCGACTTGGCGAGAACCACCTTATCGACTGCTCGGACGATTTCACGAGGTTGGCGTTCGACACAATTGGTCTCTGCAGCTTTGGGTACCGATTCAACGAGTTCTACAGCGATGAAGCACATCCTTTCGCCACACAGATGGCAGATGTGCTGAAGATGTCTGGGCGGCGGACTAATAGGACAGAGTTCCAGAATTGGCTCCATCGCTGGGAGGAGCAGGACCGACAGGAGAAAGTAGCATCGATGCTCGAGCTGGTGGACCAGATCGTCGAGGAGCGAAAGGCGCATCCCAAGCCGGTTGCGAAGGACCTTCTCAACACCATGCGTAAGTAAATTTAGGTGGAACAGGTCACTGCTATGTCTTAGATTGGAAGGGGCTCAAGCGCCTACTAACTGAGATGACCCTTTGAGGTCATTTCAGCCTGTTAAGCCTTCCTTCGATCTGAGGTCTAGAAGCTAGTTCTACGCCGTCCTTCCCCGACCCAGGATAACATGCTGACGTCTTTCACCTAACTTTTTTAGTCTACTCCGTCGATCGGGAGTCAGGTGAGACCCTGACGAAGGAAAATGTTGCGTTCAATATGGTCACCTTCCTTGTTGCCGGGCACGAAACCACTTCCGGGACGCTATCTTTCCTCTGGTACAACCTTCTCAAGAACCCGGAAGCATTCCATAAGGCTCAGAAGCAGGTCGACGAAGTTGTTGGCGACCACGTCCTGTCCGTGGAAATGCTACCCAAGCTGACCTACATCGATGCATGCATCAAGGAGACGCTGCGGCTCAATAGTCCGATTCCGTTGTTCTCAGTTATCCCAACAGACGACACTCTCCTCGGCGGCAAGTATCGTATTGAAAAGAGCGATGCTATCACCGTAAACCTGGCGGGTGTTCACAACGATCCTGCAGCATGGGGCCCAGACCACGGCGAGTTCCGACCTGAAAGATTCTTGGACGGCAAGTTTCAGAACTTACCCTCCTCGTCTTGGAAACCCTTCGGCAACGGTCTGCGGGCATGCATCGGACGCGGCTTTGCAGAACAGGAGATGCTGCTCAACACTGCCATGATTCTGCAACGCTTCAGTCCAGAAATGGCTGATCCAGGCTACGATCTGGAGATCAAGTCTACACTGACGATCAAGCCCGAAGGTTTCTACATGAGGGTGCGACGTCGGCCAGGAAAGAGCCTGTTGACTGGTATTCCAGGCGGCGTGCCGAGTAAAGCGGACCACAAGCAGGCTGCTGATGAGAAGAGCGAAGCCGCCGCTGGGGTCGGTGCAAAGGAAAAGCAGAAATCTGTTTCGATCTTCTTTGGAGGAAACAGTGGCACATGCGAGGGCTTCTCACAAGCGCTGGCAACCAGTTTGAGTGAGCGCGGTATCCAAGCTGAGATTTCAAATCTGGACAGCGCGGCAGAAAACCTCAGTAAGGACACTACGAACTTCATCATTACGGCATCGTACGAAGGTCAACCTCCTGACAACGCCAAAAAGTTCGTTTCGTGGTTGCAGACGCTGGAGGGTTCCGACACACTGAAGGACGTCAAGTACTCCGTAATGGGAGTCGGTAACTCCGACTGGGCCTCAACATTCCATCGTATCCCCAAGCTGATTGATGAGAAAATGGGGGCAGTTGGAGCGGAGGCGGTCCTTCCTGCAGGCTTCACCAATGTCAAAGCAGATCTTATCGGGCCCTTCGAAGACTGGTCAGACGCTGTGGTGAAGACATTGACAGCTGCGGGCGGGTCTCCCATGCAGGATGAGAAGCCAACACTCAAGGTATCTGTCGAACGCAGCTCCGTCGCAAAACAGCTCGGAGAGGAGAAGATGGGCACTGGGATTGTACTCAAGAACGAACAGCTGGCAGACACATCCGTGGGCCTGGAGAAGAGGCATATGGACGTCAGACTGCCACACGGCATGAATTACAAATCTGGAGATTATCTTGTTGTTGCGCCGCGCAATCCAGAAGAAGCTGTGCACAGGGTCATGCGGTACTTTGGCTACGACGAGCAAACCAAGATCAGCGTCACAGGGTCGAAGAAGACGTTCCTACCCAGTACGCCGACTCCAGTCGAGGCCTTCCTCAGAGACTACGTCGAACTGGGGTTTCCCGTCACCAAACGACAACTGAAGATCATTGCCGGCTATGCAAAGGACCACTCTGCCGACCATCTCCTGAAGGACGAGGTTGGCGATAAGCTGTCCGAGAAGCGTTACTCGATCGTGGACGTCCTGATCGAGAATCATGTCAGCCTTCCCTTCGATGTCTACATTGACATGCTTCTTCCTTTGACACCACGGCAATATTCCATATCCTCCAGCCCGCTCGCAGAAGGCCATGAGGACATCGTGTCCCTGACATACGACGTACACTCCGCACCCGCCCTGTCCGGACACGGCATCTTCGAAGGCGCCTGTTCCACCTTCCTCTCCGGACGGAAACCTGGAGATGCCGTCTCCTGCTTCGTGCGCCAAACTAACGTCGGCTTTCGTCTTCCGGGAGACCCCCAGACCCCGATCATGATGTTCTGCGCAGGCACAGGCATCGCTCCGATGCGTGCCTTCCTCCAAGAGCGAGCCGCCATAGCAGAAGCTGGCTCACGCAAGCTAGGTCCGGCCCTGCTCTTCTTCGGCTCTCGAGACGCCGAGAAGGACTACCTCTACAGGTCTGAGCTGCTCGAGTGGGAGAAGCTGGGAATCGTGACGCTGTATCCCGCGCACAGCCGAATGCCGGACAGTGGCACGGAAGGCCATCCCAAGTACGTCCAAGATGCCATCTACGAGCATCGTGAGGAGTGCGCGAAGCTGTTCACCGAGGAAAATCAAGGCCGTATCTATGTCTGTGGGAGCGCAGCGAAGCTGGGACAGAGCTGTGCAAATGTTTGTAAGCAGATCTATTCTGAGAGGATGGGCAAGGATGAGGAAGAGGCAGAGGCATGGCTCCAGCGTGTACGGACGAGCCGGTACGTGAGCGATGTATATTAACGCGGGCAAAATGGCTGGTCCTAGGTTACCTGGCATGCATGCAACTGTTCTTTCATCGTCTCTGTGCTTGCCATAGGTCTTAGTCCCATGCTTAGGCAACGTAGAACACAGCTAGCCGGTAGCCTTTTGGTAGCGACAAGAAGGGGATGAATGAGACAGGCAGGTCGAGACGACCGGACTTGAAAAGCTTGGCGATGTTAACTCGAACCTCACTTCAACTTTCACATGCTCTCTGCATCTTTCACATGCTCTCAAATTTGCGACTGGGCGCTGCACGTACAACGAACTTGAAAGAGTTCCTCAGATCAAGTCCCGATGCAAGCGAAAACGGTGATGGAACCGCAGCTGTCAGCTTCATCGTGGCTGGTCCTCATACTCTGCATTTCCCAGGTTGACTGAAGCCTCCAACACCCAGCAATGTGAATCGCCGCGGGATTGATGGCCTACAAAAGTCAGCAGACGCGGGCGCATCACGGCGGCCCGCACACTGTGCGTGAGAGGCGATGTGGGATGAAGAAACCAGCGCAAAACACCGCCGGCCATGAGGGTCGCAAGCAAGTTGCGCACGATCGTGAGCGGAGGTTGTCAGAGGGTCATGCACCACGGTGAAGTGAGTGTCCCAGTACGGTTGGTCATTGGTGAGAGCGTGGACGCCTCGGGATGTGGTAGGTGCTGGTTGTGATGAGGAAGGATGAAGGTCTTTTGCCCGTCCAGAGCGGCCTTGCACACCACCGCGCCGAACCAGGGTTGACTGAGGCGTCACCTAACACGCCGAAGCACCCAAAGCCCTGCTACCCAGGGGGATGTGAGACCACGCAAGCTGCAAACCGCGTGTCGCGCACGGCTGATGCCACACTCGCATGGCCCGGAGCCCAGGTAGATCTGAGGAGGAGTGGAGTACGACGACGAGTCCTCAGCCCACCCCAAATCGGAAGCACCTGCGTCAGCACAGCAACAAAGCCTTGTCAGCTTTGGCGACTTGCTGTCGGTACGCACGATGCACGGCGATGGCGCATTGAGCATTACCGGTTGCAGTAGCGGTGTGAGCTCTGAGGTCACAGCCCAATTCAGTGTACTGATGATTCCACCTACTGAGGCGCTCGTCACGCGGCGTTTCAATCCACCAGAGTGGTGAGTTCTGGCTTCTCTACTGCCATGCGTGGGTCGACACCGCGTCCATGCAACGGGCTGCTCAAGACGTCAGTGAAAAGAAACGTGCTGATACTTCTCTCATGCAGGCGCATGTCCGGTGGTGATGAAGGATGGTGTGCCGGTTGGTGAAGATTGTTGGCAGGAGGACGTGGCGGATGGAAGAAGGATTTGTCGAGTGAAAAGTCTGGAAGCCGATGGAAGGGCGAGGAGCCTTTTTGTATACGTGAATCGGGAGTGCCGACGCCGCAGCTGCCTGATTCGATCGAACGCCAAGCCCACAGCAAATGTTCGCGTCTCCGGACCAGCTGTCGGCTTCACAAAATTACTTGCACCTCAACGACTTCACCAGTGGCATCCACATCCTCGAGACACCATGGTCGGACCCACTACACACCTCGAAGAGTTGTCAGCACCAATCGTCTTTGCCCGGCCTGAGATGACGGACGTCGCATCAGCAGTAGCATACCATCGTAGCTGTATCGCTGAGATCCGTGATCTCAGGAAGATCCAGAAACAGGGGTCTGTCAACAAAGTCTCGAAGAGAACGGCCGAAGAAGCCACAACATCATCCGCTACAGTAGCACGTCCGGCATCGCCACCACCGAGACGCCAGCACAGAGCGCAGCGCAGACTTCGCGGACTCGACTCTCGTGCGCAGCATTCTCCGTGCTATGAGCAAGCCACGCAGCTTTTATCACTGGCTGTAGTGGCATCAACCCCACACCGCTTTGGGAGACGCGGCACCAGCACTACCATAGACGGCATGACTTCTCGAGCACCGCGCAGATCGAGCCGCCACCACATCCGCGGACAAAGGCAGCGCAACAATGCCCAGACCCTGGAGAACGAGCTCGCCTTGGCACGTGAAGCCCATCGTGAGCATGAGCAGACCGTTCTCGACCTCGAGAATGAAGCAGAGCAGCATGAGCGGGGGAATGCGAGTTTGAGGGCGGATTTGGAGAAGGAGAAGAAGGGGGCGACGCTACGGTGGGAGTTGCTGTTGAGCCAGAAGCGGCAGATCGAGGAGCCTCTCGCAAAGACGAGCGAGCTGGAGGAGGAGAGCAAGCAGTACCGCAGCACGATTGCCGGGCTGGAGAAGGAGAAGGGGAGGCAGAAGCTGGCGCTGGATGGAGTGAAGGAGGCGTCTGAGTAGTTCTCGAAGGAGTTCCCGGAGGATGGGCTCTCGGAGTAAGCAACGGTTGTTTGGTGGATGAGCGGTCGCTGTGGTTGCGGGATCTTTGTCGGCGTTATTGGGAACGGGCGATGTGATCGTTGAGATACCCATGGGCAAGCATTGTCTTCTCAGAGGAAGCTACAGCATGGTATGGATAGAGCGCTGGCTGCGGTTGCGATGTTATTGGCAGTGTTCTGGAGAGTGGGCTCTTTGTGTCGTGATGAACGAAAGCTTCATAGTGGTATCTCGAAAGCACAAACTATCAAACAGAGTAGAGTCGTGTCACTGCCACCGAACGCCCTCATGTACTAGGAACAGTCTTATCAAAACTCTCCCCGTGCCTTACTCTCTCCAGGCCCTAGTGCGCCACCACCCCAAACACCCACCAGGCCCCAGAAGCCGACTTTCCATCCCCTTACTAAGCCCGGCATGCCCTGTCCTCGCCGTACTCTCAGCATGCCTTTTGCATCCTTTGACGAGGTATCGCCTTCGGTATAGAGGATGGAGTACACCGTTCCCCATACTCCCATGTAAGGCGCGGGTTCTACCACGGTGGGCAGATCTGGCTCCGCGTGGCGTAAAGAGGATACTTGGGCTCGACGTAGGACTGTTTCAAGCGGCAGACGGACGAAGAGGTCCGTGACGCAAGTCGTGAAGGAGGCGAGTGACCAAAGCGAAGGCGTAAGCTCGGGCGTGATCTTCAATTGCCTTCGGAGGAAGAGGGGCGAAGCGGCAGAGAAAGTCTGTGGAATGCTATGATATAGCGCGGTTGGGAGCCAGAGGGTTGATGGAGCAAGTAGGCTTGGGAGGTGGCGAAGGTTCTGTACTAAGCCTCGGGGCGGATGAGAGGTTGGCGATACAATGAGTCTTGTTCGTACGAGATCAAGTGGTGCCAGAAGGAGGCCCGTTATGCAGCTTGCGAGGCCGACGATGATCAAAGAGCCGATGGGATTCGGGCTCTCGCTGAGGTCTAGACCAGAGAAGCCCGCGGAGCCAGTAACACTGAGGCCTGGTCCCAAGCCGCCTGCATCTGGACCGATGATGTCCGGAAGTCCGACTATGGCGAGCAGGAGACTCCGGATGAAGCTGTCTGTAGTGCGCAGCGCGATAGAGTAGAGGAACGTACAGTTCGTGGCTCGCCACAGCCCCACGGCACCGGAAGTGTTGTAGATGGCCGAGATAGCATGAGTAACGCTATCAGGCTTCTTAAGCTTGAGCTTATACTCCTCGCCCGGATCGTGCCCACGTCGGTCCTTCGGAGTCGGTGTTCGTGATGGCGAGAGCTCGGTGCTGGGTGGTGTACGTCTTCGCTTGCGGGGAGATCTGCTGCGAGGGGCGGAGGACGTGAAGTAGTCTGGTATCTCATCGCTTTGGTCGCTTTGATCCGCTGTGTCCGAGTCTTCTTCGTCCGTTTCATCATACCGGCCCCTTGACCTTCCTCCATTGCCGCCTGAGTGTGCCCGGCGCTGGGACCTCCTTCGCTTCCTGGGAGCTGTTGCCGCCGGATCTGACGGTGGCACTGAGACCTGCAGCACCGTCTTTGCAACGTCGAATGGCTGCGCTAGCAATACAGAGGAGTACCTCCACACCAGCGTATCAAACAAGCTTCGAGTGGACTGCCATGCTTCGCTCGTGGTCGACTTTAGGTCAATGTCCAGCTCCGGTAGAAGGTCGCGAGCTGAAGTCGAGAAAGAAGAGGAGGGCGCCGGCGCATTCCTTGCAGAATGTAGGGGTTGCGAAGGCGATGCTGAGGGTGTTGGACCGATGGATGGCGGGACGTAGTAGGGTCGGAGCGGGTTGGGTTCGCGCGAGGTCGAGAGGGGGTGGAAGCGATCCTTGTTGTCCATCGCGCCTGATATAGAGTGGTCCTAAGGGTCGTAAGAGATAACTCCTTTCCTCTTTTCGATCGAAATGACACTTTCACATGCTCATGGTTGATAGCGACCACATCATGGACGCGGAGAGCTCGGGGGTCTTGGCGGGCTCGCCGTCATCGCCGACAGTCCAGACTTTTTTGATATTGCATACAACAACCAGGCAGTATACTGTGGGAAGCAAATCGGTGTCTAGGAGAGACTCGGAAGGAGATGGCAGAAAAACAGATCTTCTCAACATTACGATGCGCTCGAAACTACAGCAACACGCTTCTTCGATCAAGCCGGCAACCTCTCCAGAGATGGGACCAATGCAGACAGTATACCCAACACACCTCTGCGTTACAGGACATCAGGATAGGGCGAGTGGATGCGCATAAACGACATGCATTGTCGCCCTCTCCAACTTTTGCGAACCGATCGCTATCCCGACTTCAACAATGTCCCGCCAGCCGCGCATTCAGCACATCCCCCTCCCATCTCCACGGCGACCTCACCCCTCCCAAGCCTGGTGAAGAACGGCACGTAACCTTCGTCGACAAAGAACAGCAGCGATATACCTTCGAGGTCGCGGATGGCGACAATCTGCTTGACATCGCGCAAGCCAATGATCTCGAGATGGAAGGCGCATGCGGTGGGAGCTGTGCGTGCAGTACGTGCCATGTGATAGTGGAAGGGGATGATATGTTTGACAAGATGGAGGAGCCGAGCGATGATGAGAACGACATGCTGGATCTGGCGTTTGGATTGACGGAGACCAGTCGGCTGGGGTGTCAGGTTGTTATGAGTAAGGAGTTGGATGGGCTGGTGGTAAGTGCGGGATGGTTCCTAGATGATGGATATGGCAGGCTTGCTAATGTTTTGCTTGTGCAGGTCAAATTACCATCCATGACGCGGAATATGCAAGCGTCAGATTTCGCGGACAAGAAGTGAGGTCCTGCTATGCTTGGCGGATGTGCAAATCAGCAACGTGCATGATGAGCGACCTGTAGCATACGGAGACATTCAAGGCATAGCGTGGCGTTATCAGAGGGAAGTCCATTGTACATATACATGTGGCTGATATAGAGTAGAGCAACGCCATCTCCAATCCAGTGCCTGTGTCGCCGCCGTGCGATCACCCTAAGAAACTACTGCCTCTGCTTTCTCACCCAAATGTCTCTTGCAGCTTGTCCATCAGATACTCAACAGTCCCAGGCGGTGGCGGGCCATCCGAGGAATGGAAGTCCGACAGCTACCAGGAAGAATATTAGCACAGACATCCCTGAGTTACAGCTGCGGTTCGCCACTCACCGGCACGTAAGCAGCCTTTTCCACGCCCTCTACCTTCAAAACTCCCTCGACATACTCATCCCACACCCTTTCTACTTCATCCACGAGCTCTCCGACAGCCGTACCAGTCACGAGAACCTGTGGTCTTGGATGCAGAGCATGCAGCACAACGCCCAGATTGTGTGCTGAGTACCGGTACTGCTCAGGCGACTCTTTGAGATCCATAATGGCAGTCTGGGAGAATGGGGTACCGGCGAAGATGCTGCTGGTCGCGACGACTGTGGAGCGATGGACTCCGACGGTCACAACTGGAATGGCGGGCTTCTCGGCTTGGAAGTGTAAGGGTGACATCGCGTGGTGCCGTGAGTGGGAAGTAATCGCTTTACTGAGGACATGGACAAGTGGTGTTGGAAGCGGTTTAAAATAACAAGAGCGCTGTATTGCTATTCGGGGCCGTGGATGAGACCGTAGCGTCCGACCGAGACCTCAGAGCCGGCGAGCATATCCCACAATAGCTACCTTTCGGCCGCGCTGGTCCCCCCTTCAGAAAGCCTCGCTTTCGGCCCCGAAACGCTTGGGGTTGTTCTGGGGGGGGGTGTCTCTGGGTCGCGCGGGGTGTGTGGGGCGCGGTCGGGGGGGGAGTGGGGCGCGGGCGGGGGCG